TAGCGAGACATCGAGGACATAAGAAGAACAAGGGAAGGGAACTGGGGCAGAGTTCATTTTGGATTTTTCAAATCTAAGCACTTTGCTTTAAGCTTTGCAGAAGACTTCATGATTCAAACACGGATTATATAAAATCATCATAAAGATATATGGTTATATATGGATATGGATATATGGATAACTGATTATATGAAAAGCATAAGGGTAAAATTCACCCAGGTGGTCCTGCTTCATCTTTACTTGCAAATAAGAGCCCCTGTCACTGGTTTTGTGTGGGAGATAGGACATCACCATCCTTTATTTTAGGAAGTCACTTAATATTGCTTTAGCAACCAATGCCCTGACTCTAAACTGTGGGAATATATTTATTTGCTTTTTTTTGGCAAACTTTATTGAAAAATAAAAAAACAATTACAAACACAAAATGTTGTCTTCCAAGACAAAAAAATATATAGATGTTGACTCTTGTATACATCCATCCACATGGCATAAAAAAACCTTGAAAATCATTTACATTACGCATTTAGCTCACATCCACAATGTATACTTCAGTCTAGATGGTGTCCTGTGTCATCTTATAAATGACCTTTAAAGAGGCTTCCTGCAGTTTAGCCAAGACGGTATGCAACGGGTGTTTAGAACACATAGAGCTCAATTTGTGTTCATCGATTTGTTGGCCTAAGTCCGCTTCTAACACCTCTCTAAGATTCTGCTCTTTGCTCATTGTTAGGTCCAATAGTGTTTTATAAATTAGATAAGCTTCACCTTTAAGCTCTGTATTAATTCCTAAAGCTTCAAACATTGTTAGGGATCGAAGCTCTTTATTTTTATAAGTGAATGAGCAAACAAACAAATTTGTCATATTTGGAACAAATTTGTTGAAATATTCCCAAGTTGTTTCTTTGAATTTTCCTCAGTAATTGGGTGTCCGATGGGAGAACATCTCATAGCCAGATATTCCTGCTCTTACCCATATTTTTTTTATAATGCCTATACTTTTTTGTGTAGCAGAACCTTGGGTGGTCAACATTCATTAGTCACCCATTCATCTAGTCCTCTAGGTCAGGCATGGCCAAACTTGGCCCTCTAGCTGTTTTGGGACTACAACTCCCATCATCCTTAGCTAACAGGACCAGTCGTCAGGGATGATGGGAATTGTAGTTTCAAAACAGCTGGAGGGCCAAGTTTGGCCCTGCCTGCTCTAGATGATGTACATCAACTTAATCACAATGTTACAACACAAATGATATAATAAAACAGGAAATACATCAGCACCCAAAATACATCAAAAAAGGCTACAATTATCACATGGAGTGAAAAATAAAGGACTCAAATGTTATCAGAATAGAACTATGTTAATAGTACCAGCCTAAAAATAAAACTTTACAATCTGTTAAAAGGCCAGTGTGAACAAAAAGATAATTTCCTTGCTGCCCAAAATATGTCACCTCAGGCACTATGCTGGTCTTTCTAGGAAGGTTCTTTAGGATGAGCCCAGGGCCTACCACCAAGAAGGCCCTCTCTCTTGTTTCTCACACTTCAGATGGAAGGAGCATTCATGGAAGACCTTCAGTTGGTGAGCATGAGGCATGGGAAATTCCTTTAGATACTGAAGTTCTAGGCCATGTAGAGGGTCAGGTGATGCTGTGATAGTGAAGCCCCCAAGGAGGGATTATTCCTGGAATGTATCAGTTTCCAATGTACTCCATTGGTGATTTACCAAGTAGATGAAGCACCCATCAAACCCAGCACACTGTTTCACAGATATGGGAAACCAGATACGTCCAGGAAACTGCCCAACAGGACATGAAGGCAATAGCCCTCTCCAACTGTTGACCACCCCAAGATGTGGCATTTAGGGGTATACTAACTCTGCTCATGGAGGCTCCATTCAGCTCTCATGGCTAATCGCTCTTGAAAGCCACCCTCCATTTATTTGTCTAATCCCCTCTAAGTCCAAGCTGTTCAGTTTAGTGAGTCACAGAAGGGCCAGGCCTGCTGCATTTATTTATCTGTTAACTATAGCTTGGCTACTGTTTTGTTTTTGTTTTTTCTCTTGGGTTTTCATGGGCTATTTGTCTCATTCGCTACCATTTCTGCTTTCCGAGTGCGATTCCCCTCTGCTTTGATCTTGCAGTACTGCAAACCTTCCCTCGCATCCCCCGAGAGTCGGTAACGTTGTTTGGGAAAGTGAGAAAAACCAATCAGAACGAAAGGAAATGAAGGGAGAAGTGGCTACGCTCTCTCAGAGTTCTTATAAGGAAGGCCATTCAAGTAGTGCTGGTCTAATCTCCAAAGAGGCAATGTTGGTGTGTTTGGTTGTTATGGAGATATTATGTTTACTCCGCTGTTATTGTAGAAAGAGCATTGAAAAGAGAACACTTGTTTCTCGATAAATCGGGAACTAGACACTGGGTGAAGTCCTGCAGATGGAAATCGAAGGCAAACAGCATATTTACTGTTGCGATCCATCTGTTAACTGGGGGCAGCTGTAATTTAATAATTGGAGGAGTTTACACAACGTCAGCCCAATATTTCTTTCTAAAAGATCCTACCCGTGTGGTGCGGTTGAATGCTTCCTCTGCCTGATCACAGAGATATTTTGTCCATAAATGCCATTTATGGCTGCGAACCTTTTAACAAATATTCAGATTCCTAGTTGCCCTCTTGCTTTAAACAACCCGATCCATAAACTTTGCTAGTGAGTTGTTGCACCAAAGGGGCTTATTGATCACTTGCACAATCCACATGGATTTGCATGCTATACATTTCTGCATAATCTTAAGGAGGTAGCTACTACAGCTTTAGCTTTCAGCTGCAGTATCTACCTGTAATTCTGCTGCCAGTTTTATGGAGCACAGATCTTCCCAGCTGACAGCGGACCAGGCAAAATCATACCCCAGTTTTGCCCATTTTCTGCTTCTCTTCAGTCTCCCTGCCAGGAAGGGAAGAAAATGATTCAATTAGGAAGCTTTGGCAAGGACACACTTCTTTGGAAAATCCCTGGAGCTCAGCATACAAGCCCCAACATCAGCTCTGCAGAAAGAAAGAAAGAAAGAAAGAAAGAAAGAAAGAAAGAAAGAAAGAAAGAAAGAAAGAATTGTGTTAGATCTGCAGCCATGGGGGAAATGTCCTGCACCCAAACAAAACCTCAACATTTTATCAACAAAGTTGTTTGGGGAGGTGGGTACCATTTTTAGCTGCCTAGCATGTGATGATCCCAGGGATGGAGTAATTCCCCTGTGAGGAAAGGTTGCAGAGTTTGGGACTTTTTAGTTTAGATAAAAGGCGAGTGAGATCAGGTGCAAAGCAGAGCCCAGTAAGAACAAGGGCTTATGAAGAGAAGGTGTGGTCTGGAGAGAGGCCTAATGGCTGGGCAGAGAGGTCCAGAGGGTCACATTTGACTCCCAGACCTGAGATTCTCCACATGTTAGAGAGTCAGCCAGCAATAAATCACACGGAGTATGTCAAGTTAACTCTTTATTAGCAGAAACCAGCTCAGCTCAGGGGAGCCAGGCCCTAATGAGCACAGCAACTCTTCTCAATAGGTCTTGCCCCATGAGGCAATTGAGGAGGCTGAAGGGCTTACCCACAGCTGCCTAAATCTCTGCCTCCGCAGGGTATTTCCCCAGCAATTTGAGAATATGCCGGCGCACCTGTCTTTGCTCCTCCCGCTTCATACTTCTAGTCCTGGGAGACCAGGGGAGAGAGGAGCTGGTTGCAGCAGGATGGGGAGACACCCTGGCTTCTTCATCAGCCTGGCTCATATCCGCCTGTTGGGCTCCCTCCTCTCCAGCTCCCACTTCTGCTTCTGCTTCCGACCTCCTATCCCTGCTCACTAAACCCTGTTACCTCTTCAGCTACCAACACTTACTCTCCCCCAGGCTTCTCCCTTTTCTCCCTCTGACCACTCATCACTGTCCCACCACCAACCCCCAGGCTCTGAGCCTTCATCCCTTGGGCGTTCCCCAGCTGATGCCTCCCACCATTCCTCTGTGTCCAGCCAGTCCATGACACCACCCCTGTGATTAACTATTTAATTACAACAAATGAAAAGCTGTTTGAGGTGGATGAAATTGAGAGTTGGGATAGGGGAGAGTGCTTGGCCACCCGCAAATTCTTCACTCCAAATCTGTCCCCAAGCAGCCTTCCCCTGTTGCTACAGGTTCCCGCTATCTTATTTGCAAACGATTACAACATGCTCCTCCTCTAGCTTCAATTAGTTTGCTCTATGCCTCCAAATTCTCTCATTATTTCTCTGATTCCTTGAGGCTGCATACCAATTATTGTTAATCTACTGTGCTATTCTTTTAACAATGGGATTGCCAACAGGTCCGTGATTATGAATCGCTTGTGTTGCCACAACAAAGTTACTGTTTCTAAAATAAATCAATGACTCCTGCCTAATTCTACGTTGGGTCAGGTTGATCATTACTCCCAGAGGCCTGTGATGGTACCTTCACACTGCTGTGGGTGCTGTGGGGACATGTTTTCAGGGTGCTAAAAATAACTTCCCAGCAGTGGAAACCTCATTGGGATAGTAAAGAAATATACTGTTAGATGCCACTCCTATCTCCAAGCTATATGAGATCCAAGGGGTACTAAGCGTGCTTACCAGGGCCTGTTTTTCCTTTGGGCAACAAGGCACAGTAGAGACTGTGGTATCTTTATGATATATGGTTTATTTACACATAACCTGAGCCTAGGTGGAGGAGAATCCCAGCATTACATCTCAAGAGAGTCCTTCGTTTCTCTCATAGGTTTCTATGACTACTTAACTAGTTGGTCACTCCATATCAGCACTGTATATTTGGGGCCAGGCAATAAAGTTGTGGGGGGGGGGGGGAGAAACCCTGTTGTTACATCCACCCCAAGAGTTGGTCTGGAGAAGAGAGAAGTAGAAGATAATACGATAGACATCTTCAAATATGTGAAAGGTTGTCACATGGATGACAGAACAAGCTTGCTTTCTGATGCTCTAGAGCAATAGTAGCCAACATGCCTGGATAGCTCAGTTGGTTAGAATGTGGTGCTAATAATGCCAAGGTTGCATGTCTGATCCCTGTATGGGACAGCTGCATATTCCTGCGTTGCAGGGGGTTGGATGAGATGATCGTCAGGGTCCCTTCCAACTCTACAATTCTATGATTCTATGGTGTCTACCAGCTCCCTGCATCCCTGGCCATTGGTCATGTTTGCTGGGACTGATGGTGAATTTTAGTCCAACAGCATCTGGAGGCCACCATATTGGTTAACCTTGCTTTGGACCCAACCCAATCAATTTGAAGTACAAAATGGGATTTCAACAAAACATCAATAGCTCGGCGTCCAAGTTTCTTGAGGGCAGGGCAGGCTGTCTCAAAAGGTGGTGGGCTCTCCCTCATTAGAGATTTTAAAGCAGAAGCTAGATGACAATCTTTGAGGGATCCTGTAGCCGTGGATTTCCTGCATCAGCCAAGGTTTGGACTAGGTGGCCTATGAAATACCTTCCACCTCTGTGTTTCTCTTCATATATTACAGGACCATGATGGGACCAAACCATATTGAAATTGTTCCTTTGCCACTAAGCTAACATATGACCTGGGTATCTGGAAATATATAGCAGTCACTAAATGCCTATCATGTGGTGTCGAAGGATGCAATAATTTGTAACGGTACAACCATGTTGCTGCTGTCATCACACCCCCAGATTAACAAGTACCTGATATGAGGAGTAAGATATGGTCATTGACTAACCAATTATTACTCCTGTGTAGTTTGCAGTTTTATGTTTCAATTCCTTGAGTTCCAGCTTTGTGCATTAGGCTGCTTTTGAAGACTCGCTCTACAATTTACTAGTAAAGGAACTGAGAACATAATTGGCAACGTCCTATTTTGTGAAATGTCCTTGAGTTGTTTAGACACCACAAAAAAAGAACTTGATTGGTGTGGAGGTCAAACAAGGGTGTAATTTTTCCCTCCGCAAGAGCTCTGAATCTCTACAGCTGTCTGAGTCCCTGGTAGTGTGTTATCATACCCTCCTCAGTATGGGGGGTTTGCTGTACGTTTTGATTCATCTATCACCAGTGTGTTATTAAAGACTTCCCGCTCCTCCTCACAACAACCACACACTAGCAAACAAGCCCTCAAATTAAGCCCTTGGATTGTCACTGAATAAAGTACGTGCAGAGTTGCCAGATACACATATTCCCTAGTTCAAAGAGATGCTGCAGAACTGGGTTGTCTGTTCCATGCAGTTTTAAGTGGCACCATAGAGTTTGGGAATGAAGGACTATTCTTCACTGTAAATGACATCTCCCCAAATGGAGAATAGCTGATAACTCTTTGGAGACTTGGATGAAGCAATTGCTTCTGGAATGTCTCTGCATTCTGCTGCTTAAACCTCTGAGGCTCTATGAACTACTTCCGATGTGGTTACATCACACATAGTTTTGGGCTTGGAAGTTCTGTCTCTTGAGCAAGCTAGATGGAACCAGCCAATGAACTAGGCACAGGGCTACTAACTGGTGCAGAGCAGAAATGGGTGCGGCACTTTCATGATCAGCTTCATGCAAATTTGAACGAAGGGTCCTTCGGTCAAATGGACTGCTTGATTCCTGGTGTGATCCCTGATTGGTTAGGACTGCCAGTCACACAAGAAGCATTGCTATCCCTCTGATGGATGTGCTTTGCCTTTAATGATGTCAGTACATAAATAAATCTAATCAACTACATGTTAATCATCATGACATCATCACGACTGGTACATGATTCCTGATTGGCTGGCATCACTTAAGGCAGAATAATGAACCAGCAAAATAAATGGCCCCTGGAGTAACAGCAGCAAAGAGCAACAGTAAGAAACAGAGGAAAGCAGAGATTATAGACCTCCCCCTCTTCTTTTTCATTTCTTTATTTGGTTGCAGTTGGATTCAACCTGCCACTGCTACTTTCAAGGAAAAACGCAAGTCTAGAGAACATATGGCACGGCATTGTTGCCAACTATTTTATCCACTCATGATATTTTTGTCTCAGGCTTGGTATCAGGTATTTTGTTTGTGTATACACCGTATTTTGAGCCACTTTTGCTTACCATGAATTGCAAGTGGACAGAGTGCTTTCTGGTTTCCCACCAGCATCTGGTTCACCAGGGTGAAAACAGGGTTCTGGATTTGACAGGCCACTGACCTGATCTAACAGGCTTTCTTATGTTCTTATAAATTGAGCCAACTTCCCACAAGGCAATTTTTTTTGCAAATTGGTTTTAGCTTTCCCAGTAGGTTCCAAAACACATTGGATTAGTAAACATCTATTTAGTCTCCCTCCGTTGCTTTTAGCTCCTGGCTTCAAATTCCTTTTGGTGGTTTCCATTTTTTTTGCCTTTGGCCTGCCTCACATGCGACATTTTGAGTTACCATTTAAAAAAACCAACAACACTCCACCAGGTGCCAGTTATTTTGTTAATTCTTCTAATCTTACCACCAGAGGAGAAGAAAGGAAATTTCCAGCCTCTAGCACCAAAACAATATCAGGCTGTATCTTTTTATATAAACCCTTCATTCTCTCTTTGCTGCTGCAGGTTTCGGGATGTCCACACCGGCAACGGTCGCTGGCAAAGCCTTCCTCATCGTTTATGGTCTCTTTGGGTGTGCCGCAACAATCCTCTTCTTCAATCTCTTCCTGGAGCGCATCATCTCCCTGCTCGCTTTGGTGATGAAGGCTTGCCGCGAGAGGCAGCTGAGGAGGAGCGGCCTTCTACCTCCAACCTGCCGAAGGGGCTCATCCATGTCCGACGTCGACAGCCTGATTGGGTGGAAGCCATCAGTCTACCACGTGATGCTGATCCTGGGAATCCTTGCCATTACTATCGCTTGCTGTGCCTCGGCCATGTACACCGCCGTGGAAGGGTGGAATTACATCGACTCCTTGTACTACTGTTTCGTCACCTTCAGCACCATTGGGTTTGGCGACCTGGTGAGCAGCCAAAACGCCGTGTACCGAAATCAGGGATTATACAGATTTGGGAACTTCATGTTTATATTGATGGGGGTCTGCTGCATCTACTCCCTTTTTAACGTCATCTCGATTGTAATCAAGCAGGTTTTAAATTGGATGCTCAGAAAGTTCCGGTGCCGGTGCTGTCCAGATTGCCATAAACCATCCGCTCGCCTCGGGCGCCGCAATGCCATCACGCCGGGGTCCCGTTTCCGCCGGCACAACATCTCTATGGAGACGGACGGACAGTACGACAGCGACACAGAGGGGAGGCGGCTTTCGGGTGAGATGATCTCCATGAGGGATCTCACCGCCTCCAACAAAGTCTCCCTGGCCCTCCTGCAAAAGCAACTGTCTGAGACGGCCAATGGCTACCCTCGGAACGTCTGCATAAACACGAGGCAAAATGGCTTCTCGGGAGGAGTAGGCGCTCTAGCTATCATGAACAATAGACTGGCAGAGACAAGCGATTCTAGGTAGAAATTTTGAAATTATCTTCTATAAAACAGAGCTGTTTTCTTATTCTTTATTTAATAAAACAATATTTTAAAAAAGCATCCAGTCGTTCTCGAGGGCAAGTTTTATGCAAAGTTTACTTGAGAGGGTTGTTGTTTAAAAAAGAAAGCCTTCCATCATCATCATCATCATCATCATCATCATCATCATCATCATAATGTTATTATGTCCACTCTGGACAGCTCCCAACACAATATTAAAAACACAATAAAACATCAGGCATTAAAAAACAGATGTCTTCTAAAAGGTAAATAGTTGTTTATCTGTTTGACATCTGATGGGAGGGCACCACTGCCGTAGTATTTTTAGCCCATTATTTTTTTATTCTTCCTCAGGTACCACCAACAACTTATACTTACTGTAAACCACTTCAAGGTCTGTGGATAGCAGCAAATGGTCTGTATAGATCAATAAATTGTCAGTGGCTGATCAAGCAGTTTACTAGTGGGAAATACCGACTACTGTCTCAGGCAATAGAAGAATTTCCCACCACTACTGATTGCAGCTAGGGACACGGGTGGCGCTGTGGGTTAAACCACAGAGCCTAGGACTTGCCGATCAGAAGGTCGGCGGTTCGAATCCCCATGACGGGTGAGCTCCTAGAATCATAGAATCATAGAGTTGGAAGAGACCACAAGGGCCATCAAGTCCAACCCCCTACCAAGCAGGGGGTTGCTTGGTCCCTGCTCCTGCCAACTTAGCAGTTCAAAAGCACATCAAAGTGCAAGTAGATAAATAGGTACTCCTCCGGCGGGAAGGTAAATGGCACTTCCATGCGCTGCTCTGGTTCGCCCGAAGCGGCTTAGTCATGCTGGCCACATGACCCGGAAGCTATACACCAGCTCCCTCGGCCAATAAAGCGAGATGAGCGCCACAACCCCAGAGTCGGCCACGACTGGACCTAATGGTCAGGGGGCTCTTTACCTTTACTGATTGCAGCTGGGCAGTGGTGCTGCAGGGAAGCTTCAATCACCACCATGCAAATACCGCTCTGATTGGCCAGCTTCCACCTGTGTGGACTCAGGATGCTGATCTCAAAGGAGGATGACTAGTCAATCAACAAACACTTGCATAGTGGCAGAAGAACCTCAGTCAGCAGTAAGCAACCATGTGATTGCTGATTGGCTAGCCATTTCCTCTTGAAGAGCCCGCTGCCTTCACCACTGCCTCTTAATTGTTACTGGTAAAGGCAGGGATCTCCTTTTCCCTCGATCTTCCCATAGATGCAGCCAAGAGCTTGCTAGCCATTTCACTGACCACCACAGGGCCTCATAAAGATACAATGAGGTGCATTGCTGTGGGTGATATCCAACAGTTCCGCTACTTCAAGGAGTATTGGCTGTGCAATGGAACTTTCCTCATCCTCGCCATTTCCTGCACACTCCCTGCTCCCCAATATCTGTCCCCCACCATCCCTTCCAGAGCAGATTCACAGAGTCACACAGGGAGGGGACCAGGCAAAGGAGTTCCATTGTGCAGCTAAACAAAATACTCCTAGACCTAGCAGAACTAGCACCCTATAAAGCTAAGCTAGCAATCGTCATCATCATACAGATTTAAAATACAACAGCGATGGATCATAACACATTTTGCTCTGGTGGAAAGCTAATGAATGATATGCACATGTATGTAAAGTCTCTGAGCTGCTTTTCAAATTAAAGCAGCAGGTGAGGAGGGGGGCTCATGGAGACACATGGCCAGCCCCATCTCCTTCTGCTGACACGGAGGCTGTAGCCCCATCTCCCAGCCCCAGTGTGAATGGCAGACATCTTTCCCTGCCACCTGTGCATTTGGATGCTGTGGGAAAGGACTCTGCAAAAGCACAGGTAACTTCAGTTCTGGTAAAGCTGCAAGGAGCAAATGTGGTCTAAAGCATCAGCGAAGGATGGATCGGTGTAAACCTAGTTCATGCATCCTTGTGAGACACACACACACACACACACACACTGCAACTGCGACCCTCCTACGCCCTAGCTTCAATTCCAAAACATACATACGGTATCTGATTTTGTAAGGGGTGTTGTTTTTTTGTGTGCTATCCACAACAACAGAACCTCAGAATGAAACTATGGCTGCTACTTAGCAATTGCACATAATTTTCATTTTTGCAAAAATGATTTACCGTGGTTTGTTTTCCCCCAAAAATGTAAACGTCACGCAATAACTGTGCAAGGCAGATTGTTCTTATTCCTACAGCTGATAGGTGAGTATTTGCCCAAGGGCACAAAATAATTGCTTATTTTGTGAAGTAGAAGTAGCACTAGAACTCAGGTATCCCAAATTCATGTTTAGAGCTAAGTCTACTAGACCTCATGTCTGGTCAAGATCTCTCTCTCTCTCTCTCTCTCTCTCTCTCTCTCTCTCTCCATACACAAATGTCTAAGGGCAAGCTGCTCAAGTTTTCTGTTCAGTAGGAGAAGAAACACCTGACCTTTTTCAGCAATATTGAATTCATGTATTTATATTTGCTTCTGTGTTACAGTGTTACTAGCTGGTGCTGCTTCTAACTGCCGCACTTCCGTCCTCTTTGCCTTTACTGTCCTTTACTTAATTTGCCCTCACTGCCCTTAGCCTGGCTGCAGCAACCCCTGTGATTTAGCGATGACCCCGCAATGCTGCATCTGACATGATGACATTGTGGATGCTGCAAGAATCAAGTCATCCTATGGGGGTCATCTCAGGCCGTCAATTTAAAGACAGTGAAGGTAAATGAAGGTGTGAAAAGTGAGGAGAAGGAAGAAGAAGAAGAAGAAGAAGAAGAAGAAGAAGAAGAAGAAGAAGAAGAAGGAGAAGACGACTCCAAGAAGGAGCAGCAACCAGGGAATCACAGAATCACAAAATGGTAGAGTTGGAAATGAGAAGGCACTGAACAGCATTGAAACAATAAGAACATTGTTGACCGTCCTCATGGTAATCAGTTTGGCTGTACTGAAAATGCCAATTCCAAAGCAAATATTGAAATGAGCAAACATTTGTCTCCAGTGTCAGATGTTTCCCAGATCTCCACAAGCTGCCCAAGCTGGGCTTTTCAGTTTGCAGCGACCATCTGCCTATCCCTTCGAGCCTTGATCATAGGGCCATAAGAACCTGCCATATAGCAGGTCAGACCACTGGTCAACCTAGCTCAGTATTGTCCCCACTAACTGGCAGTGTCTCTCCAGGGTACATTCCCAGCTCCAGCATGTGAATTTTGAATTTCTGTTTGGCTCTTGTGGTTCCTCTTCTTGAGCCTCATACTCAAACTGCTGTTTCTCCTTTTTCTAACTTATTATGTCTCAAGGTTTGGTAGTATTTCTAGCTCCTTTGCAATCTCAATAGCAGATATCAGAACTTGTTGCAAACCATCATCACACCTGCTGCCCTCAGGGGAAGTACTGGTCACTTGCCATTGGTTTGCAGCTGAATTTAAACCAGCTTCCTTATTTTGCAGGAGCTTGCTTATAAGATTGCCTTCAAAAAGGATGTTGCACCTTGTAACAAGCGATGCCACAAACTGGAACTTACAAATTGCAACAGCTAGGGCCTCCGCTTCAACTCAGGAAGTATAGTACAGTAATTCCCAGATCAACCTTTTAGGCCTGCGTCATCAAAGATCTCTATTAAAACATCCTATATATTACCAAGATGATATTTCCATTGTTTTAAAGCATTGCTCCAACTCTCCCATCTTGTTTCATTCAGTGGCTTAACAGCTATGCCTAAGTCTGATACATGGCTAGCTAGATTTTGTCAATGCTGAGTCAATGCAGATAAATAATTACAGATCTGTTGAAGGTGTGTCGTTCAACACACAGAGCGTGTGTCGAAGGACACAAAAAGGCATGTGAGTTGTTGCATAGTATTCTTTTGTATGCCATTTTCTTTGTCTTTCATGTGACTCCGATTATCATAAACTTGACTATACAGATTCTCAATTTGTAATCCCATTTGGTCAAGTTGTCCAAGAAGAGTTTATGTCATGAAGGCACCTGGAGTCTCCTTTAGTGGAACAAATTCCAAGAAATGTTCTCAGGATAAATAATAATAATAATAATAATAATAATAATAATAATAATAATAAATTTTATTTATATCCCTCCCTCCCCAGCCGGCTAACACCAAATATAAAAACAATTGATTGAAATACAGCTTAAAAATAAATACAACATTAAAACATTAAAATGCAACCTCATTTCAGTGGAAACTCAATCAAAAACTTTTTGGGGGATAAAAACGTCAAGTCTTCACCAAGGCTAACTATCCAGACTGGTCCTACATGGGCCAGAAAAAAGCCAGGGAAGTCCCCAAACAGGAGTTCCAATACAGAAGGAGAAAGGAAAAAAGAAAGAGGGCAAGGGAATAAAATTGATTCCAAGCCAAAGGCCAGGCGGAACAACTATCAGGCTGAGGGCCAATGTCCCAGGTAGTACAGCACCGGGTTTTCAAAGGAACCAACCAGATGTATGCAGGAAATCAGGAGCAGAACATGAGCACAAGAGCTCTCCTGTGGTTTCCAGCAACATTGTGGAGGCAGAACAAAGCCATCACGGCTAGATGCCGTTGACGGTCTTCTCTTCCATGAATTTGTCTAATCCTCTTTTAAAGCCATCTAAGTTGGTGGTCAGGTCCATATAGTTAAAGCTATGGTTTTCCCAGTAGTGATGTATGGAAGTGAAAGCTGGACCATAAAGAAGGCTGATCGCCAAAGAATGGATGCTTTTGAATTAGGGTGCTGGAGGAGACTCTTGAGAGTCCCATGGACTGCAAGAAGATCAAATGCTTCCATTCTTAAGGAAATTAGCCCTGAGTGCTCACTGGAAGGACAGATCGTGAAGCTGAGGCTCCAATACTTTGGCCACCTCATGAGAGGAGAAGACTCCCTGGAAAAGACCCTGATGTTGGGAAAGATGGAGGGCACAAGGAGAAGGGGACGGCAGAAGACGAGATGGTTGGACAGTGTTCTCGAAGCTACCAGCATGAGTTTGACCAAACTGCGGGAGGCAGTGGAAGACAGGAGTGCCTGGCGTGCTCTGGTCCATGGGGTCACGAAGAGTCGGACACGACTACACGACTAAACAACAATAACAAAGTTGGTGTCATCGCTGCCTCCTGGGGTAGCGAGTTCTGTATTTTAGCTGTGTACTGCATGAAGATGTCCTTTCTTCTATCTGTCCTCAGTCCCCCAACTTTCAGCTTCATAGGTGGCCAAGCTCCAATTACGAGAGAGAGGAAGAAAAACTCTGTCCACTTTCTTCACACCATGCACAATTTTGTACACCTCTATCCACCCCCTTTAATTGCCTCCTCTATAAACTAAAAAGGCCCAAATGTTGTAGCTTTTCCTCCTAGGGGAGTGGCGCCCCCTCTTTGGCCACCAGCATCAGTCTGATGCTGACGGGACCCCAGTGTGCTCTTTCCCCTTGCTCTTGTCTCGCTTTGCCTTCTCGTTTTGGTTTCCCGTGAAACAACAGGGCTTTCCAAATCATGCCTTGCAGATTAGCTTGCAAGAGCCTTTCTTCTCTTCCGCCTGCAGCCTGCGGTCCTGCATCCTGCGGATTGCTTGCTAAAGTGACAGATCCAATCCCCCGCTGGCTTCATTAACCGCCCGTATTGGCGATACTGATTGCGACGGGTTTTTCCTTTGACAGCAGTGGGGAGGTTCAGCTGTCCGAGGCGTATTTCACACACTGGGTGATGAACAAGAAACATAAAGAGAGCAAAGGGAAAGCTACAAAACTGGAAAGCAAAATTAATTGCACCAAGCAGCCTTTTCTTGCCATATAACCCAGAACTAGTCAATTACCTCCAGAACAGCTGGAGCAGCTGTTTCCTGAAGCCCGCGGTTGCTTTTATTTTATTTTATTGGTTCTGGATTTTGCTGCCTTGGCTGCATTCAAGGCATTGCGTTTTTGATCTCTATAAAGCCTAGTTTTGATTAGTGTCAATTGGATTAATCAAGGTCTGCTTATAGCACATAGGCCCTATCAAGAGTTAGAAAACTACACAGCTCCTTGGTTAAAACTTGTAATATAATGCAGTTGGTAATAGGGGTGCCTCCACACTGTCAGGGTTTTCTGGGAGGGATTCAAGAGCTTACCAGAAAATGTGGGTTCATGCAATTGAAGTGGAGTAAAGCACTCTGCTGCCCTAGCAGCACTTTTAGAATGAAACTGACTTTTTGCAGTTAGGAAAGTGACAGGGAAAATGCATTTGAAAAATGTGGGGTGAACGAATGATTAACAAGAAGATGTATAAACACCCTGCAAGCAGATCAAGATGAATGGGACAAACATCTTGTACCAAGTTTGGCTCAGTTGGTAAGAGAACGGGATTCTTAATCTCAGGGTTGTGGGTTTGAACCCCACGGTGGATAAAAAGATTCCTGCATTGCAGGGGGTTAGACTAGATGACCGTAGTGGTCCCTTCCCACTCTACGATTCTATGAATACCCATTGTCATATAACACCCCCCATAAGCAAATCAGCATGAATGCTCAATAAATACCAGATACAATCTAACCTCCTCTGTTTAAATTTTGTGCAAGGAAATCAGGATGAATGCTAGATAAATGGGAGCCTTAGGGCAGATGCTTTGAGACTATTTAAATAGAAACACAGGAAGCTCCTTATGTTATCAGAGCATTCGTTGATCTAACTTAGTATTGTAAATATTGATTGACAGCAGCTTGGGGTTTCCCCCAGTCCTACCAAGGGACAAGGGCCATTGAACCTGGAATCCTTTGCGTGAAAAGCATGTGCTCTACCAACTGGGCTACGGACTCATTAACATGCAGCAGTCAGTATCTTTCACGTAGGAAGTTGAACTATTCATTTAGGACAGTATTGTCCTTTATGGCAGGCAGCAGCTTCCCAAAACTGCCAGCAGAAGAGGGGTCTGTCCCATACCTATCTGATTCCTTGCACATCACTTGATTTATTCCATTACTTGATGGCTTGCAAATGGATGAGTGAACCAATTCCACATTGCCGTGGAGGTGACAAAATTTGTCTGTGGTGCTTCCCCTGTGGTGACTCGTCATCATTATTATTACTAATGTTAGTCGTTCCTTCCCTCCCAACACCAAGCCCAAGGTGGATTGCAGATCCTTAAAACAAAGCCTATCTCCATAAAATGCAATAGCCTGAAGCGATTGGTGGGGCTTTGTGCTAAAGGAAAGCACTGCCACTCGTGCAGGGCAGAGCACCCCATTTTTGGCAATCCCATCCACCTACTGCAGTCCCTGAAATGCTGCTCTGGGAGTCATGGGCTCTATGGAACAGAATGGGGTATTGCAGGCCTGGGGCAGTTTCAGGAGAGGGCAACAAAAATGGTCAAGGAAGAGGTGCAACTCCCCTGTGAGGAAAGGCTACAGCATTTGGGACTTTTTAGTTTAAAGCAGGGGTCAGCAAACTTACCACGCCTCGGGCCGGTGTCTCCAGTGCCAATCGCATGGCGTGCCAGAGGGCGGGGGAGCGTGTGCCCATACGCGTGTGCACACACTATTTCCGGTGCACTTCCAGGTGGGAGGAGCACCAGAAATAGCTTGTGCACATGTGTACGGGCCTCCTCCGACCCGGATGTGCACCGGAAATAACGCTTGTGCATGAGCAAATAACACTTGCACATGCACACAAGCTATTTCTGGTTCTCCTCTGGCCCAGAAGTAGGCAGCTGCGCAACGCAGCAACGGTAAGAGCGGGCGGCAGCAGTGGATGGCAGGGGTCACCGTGGGCCGGATAAACAAGTCCCTCGGGCCTTATCTGGCCCGCAGGCCTTAGTTTGGGGACCCCTGGTTTAGAGAAACAGCATCCCATCCAACATTTTTCCAATGAAAAAAGGGACATCCTATTTTGTTCCCTCCAACATTTTTCTGTTGAAAATAGGGACGTCCAAAGGGAAAGCAGGACAGTCCGGGATCAAATCAGAAACCAGGACACATTTTGTACCTCCGGTGACTGCCCCTGGGAAATTGTGACACTTGGAGGGTGTGGCGAAAGTGGAGATCTGAGAGTCCTGCTATCAAAGCAGGGAGTTCCATAAGTACACAAGACATAATTTGACGCTGCAGTCCTCAAGTGATGAGCATGCAGGCCTGCATCTTTTGCTGCCTGGGCTTCTCAGGCTTTCTGACTCACAGCCACAGGGTTCCCTCCTTAAGAAAGGGCACCATGCAGACCAGGACCCTGGCACAGCCTCTAGGTGACTTGATAAAGCTTGGCTGACTTTAATCAAGCATTGCTTTATGGAGGAAGATAATCTTCCTATTTAAGGATGCCTGCAGCCTCATCTTAACCATATAACTTGGAAGAAAGTCCCACTGAAATGAATTATGGAACTGACATCCAAGCAATGTGATTTTGAAAAGAAAAGAAAAAAATATCAATGTAGGAGGTCTTTAGACTCAATCCCCAGTGTTTCCAAACTGGGAAAACAGGGCTGCAAAAGATCTCATTTTGAGAAACTAGACAGCTTAGTTTGAGACGAGTTGACAGTACGAGGCCAGATGGACCTCTGTTGTGGTTCAGTATAAGCCAGCTCTTTCTAATCCAGGATTCCTGAGATCCAGGTTGACATTTCAAGCGCAGCTGAACAGGAGGTGCAACATATGCAACAATGGCCTTATTATCACCATAGAGACGACGGTAGGTGACACAGCCATGTATCTGGTTTTTTTATTATTATTGGAAATCCATTATAGCCATCTTTGGGTGTTTTATTGCAAGTGAAAGCTGAGGCTTTGCCCAAGCGAATCCATTTCCCATATTGACTCCACAGTGGCTGTCATAAGCAGAGCGGTGTAAGGCTCGAATAATAATGCTGACCTCATTATTCAGTGCAGGCCCAGTCCGATGCAGCCAGAGCAGGAAACCTGCGGCTACAGCATCTCTGAACCCCTTGATAGACTCTTTTAATCCTTCACTGAAAAACAAAGGAGCGTCAACCAGCTTCCAAGGAAGTCTATTTCACTGTGGACCAGCATGGACCATTAGCTCATGGACCTTCATACAATGAAGCTGAACGCCAGAAGATTCAGATCCGAAGTAGTTTTTTACACAAGGAAAAGGTAAAGGGACCCCTGACCATTAGGTCCAGTCGTGGCCGACTCTGGGGTTGCGGCGCTCATTTCGCTTTATTGGCCGAGGGAGCCGGCGTACAGCTTCCAGGTCATGTGGCCAGCATGACTAAGCCGCTTCTGGCGAACCAGAGCAGCGCACAGAAACGCCGTTTACCTTCCCGCTGGAGCGGTACCTATTTATCTACTTGCACTTTGACGTGCTTTCAAACTGCTAGGTTGGCAGGAACAGGGACCGAGCAACGGGAGCTCACCCCGTCGCGGGGATTCGAACCGCCGACCTTTTGATCAGCAAGTCCTAGGCTCTGTGGTTTAACCCACAGCGCCACCCGCGTCCCGTTAGTTTTTCACATAGCACCTAGTTAAACTATGGAGTTCGCTCCTACCAAAGGGGATGGCTTCAAAAAAAATAAATAAGACATCTTCATGAAGGAGACGGATATCAGAGGCTACTAGCCCCTATGGCTATGTTCTACTGCCACTGCCAGAGGGAGTACACTTCTTAATTGCAGTTGCTAGGAATCACAAGTGGGGAGAACGCTGTGATGCTCAGAGATTGTTTTCAGGGTCCCACAAGCATCTACTTGACCACTTTGAGAATCAGGTGCTGGATTAGATCAGTATTTTCCAAAGTGGGTAACACTGCCCCCCTGAGGGCCACTGGAATGACTAGACTACTGCAATGCGCTCTACGTGAGGCTACCTTTGAAGGTGACCTGGAAACTACAACTAATTCACAATGCGGCAGCTAGACTGGTGACTTGGAGACCATATAACACTAGTCCCAAAAGACCTACATTGGCTCCCAGTAAATTTCCAAACACAATTCAAAGTGTTGGTGCTGACCTTTAAAGCCCTAAATGGCCTCGGCCCCATATACCTGAAGGAGTTCTCCACCCCCATCATTCAGCCTGAGGTCCAGCGTCGAGGGCCTTCTGGTGGTTCCCTCACTGTGAGAAGCGAGGTTACAGGGAACCAGGCAGGGGGCCTTCTTGGTAGTGGCACCCGCCCTGTGGAATGCCCTCCCTTCAGGTGTAAAGGAAATAAACAACTATTTGACTTTCAGAAGGGAAGTTTTTAATATTTGATCTTTTATCATGTTTTTAATATTGTGTTGGGAGCTGCCCAGAGTAGCTGGGGAAACCCAGCCAGGTAGGTGGGGTATAAAAAATAAATTGTTGTTGTTGTTTTGTTGTTGTTGTAGCCTCAAGTGCCATTAGGGGGTGTTGAATAAAAACAAGGGGGCGGTGGTGGAAACATAAAGAAAGAAGAGAAGAGAATTTTGAAAAACACATTTCACCTATTGTGTAATGACTCTTACCACCAGGTCTGGCGCCATTGCGGGACGGCAACAATGCCTCCCCTGGATCCTGCAGTCGTGATGGAGGCAAGGGGTTTTTCTGGGCTTGGGTGAACCCTTTTTAGCTTCACTCAGGCCCAGGAAGTGGATCACAGCTCACCTGCCTGTTCATTATATAGATACATAAAAGGACGCAAATTTGTCAGTGCATCTTTCTGCTCATTCGCTTAAAAAGGTAGATTCTTCTGGGGGAGGAGTGAGGAAAACCCAAATTGCTGTGGAGATGGCAATCCTGAGGAGATTGCAGTGGGAGGGTGGGGTGGAAATTGTTAACCCTTTCCTCCCATCAATCAGCAAAAATGTCCCCACCAAATATTTGGCGAGGGGGAGAGCCAACTTGAATACAGAATTTTATTTTGATTCCCAAGTCTGGAAGTGGAGTTGCTACATCACTTCCAGCTTAAAGCAGGAAAAGTAACAACTGGAAGCTGCTAAAGCAGGGGCAGCCCAACCATTAACCGTGGTGAGGCAGTGGCCTCAGGCGGCAAGCAGGCTGGGGACACCTGGGAGGGGTGGCAAATCTGGGCTCCTGAAGAGTGTGCATTTTTGTCACCCACAGCCAGCAGAACCACCGCTGCCTCCAGCGGCTCCTCTTTTTTTCTCCCCTGCTGCCTTCCATCACCTCAGGTGGCAGAGCAGGAGTGGGGCTTTTCCTGGTTTGCCTCAAGCGGCAAAATGTCTTGGGCTGGCCCCGTGCTAAAGCACCCACTTCTAGAATCCCCCTCACAGTGTCCAGGGAGCAAGGTGGAAACCCTAGTAGCAAATGGACCGTGATGTGAAAAGATGGTTACATAAACACTCCCTGCGGCACTGTAAATAAAAGCATCCTCCATTCTGCAATTTCACACCAGTTGCCGTCCTAAGCCATTTTCAGGTCACACACACAAACACACGCTGCTTCATTTTCTCTCCTATTTTTGTTTGTTTTGCCTTCTAAAACATCTCTGCAGGAGGGCTTGGGAGAGTACAGAAGCAGTTGCTGACTCATTGTTTGAGTGTGATGACTTTCCTATGGAAGGGGGGGAAATAACCCTAGCTTTTAAAAACACTGGACCAGGAGGAAATACTTGCTTGGAGCTTTTATTATTCATATGGAATGGAATGAGCATTAATAGGAATATTACAGAAACAAACAAAATAATACTGGCTGGAGAGATAATGCACATTTTAGGTTACTTCCCCCTCAAAACAATCCTGTGAGAGCGGTTAGGCAGGAGGTCTGGCCAAGGTCCTGCAGCTGAGTAGGGATGTAAATTTGGGTCTCCTTACTCCTAAGCAGAGACATCACCTTGCCAACAAAGGTCCATATAGTTAAAGCTATGGTTTTCCCAGTAGTGATGTATGGAAGTGAGAGCTGGACCATAAAGAAGGCTGATCGCCGAAGAATTGATGCTTTTGAATTATGGTGCTGGAGGAGACTCTTGAGAGTCCCATGGACTGCAAGAAGATCAAACCTATCTATTCTGAAGGAAATCAGCCCTGAGTGCTCACTGGAAGGACAGATCCTGAAGCTGAGGCTCCAGTACTTTGGCCACCTCATGAGAAGAGACTCCCTGGAAAAGACCCTGATGTTGGGAAAGATGGAGGGCACAAGGAGAAGGGGGCGACAGAGGACAAGATGGTTGGACAGTGTTCTCGAAGCTACCAGCATGAGTTTGACCAAACTGCGGGAGGCAGTGGAAGACAGGAGTGCCTGGCGTGCTCTGGTCCAGGGGGTCACGAAGAGTCGGAAACGACTAAACGGCTAAACAACAACAACAACACCTAAGCACAACATCACACTGGCTCTATTTTCTCTCTCTCTCTCTCTCTCACACACACACACACACACACACACACACTTCCCAAGTTGCTTGTGATTCTCTCACTGACTGCTCAGACCAAGGGTGCAGCACTGGGTTCATAACAGGATTGTGCACCTTTAACACTTAGAAAAGAGGAAGTCTGAATTATAAAAAAATAAGATCGGCGCAAAGGCATCTCTGGAAAACGATGTGCTTAAATTTGCCCCAAAAGGCAAGACTCAAGAGTCTAAAATCTGTTTAAAAAGATGTATCTTAAATACATCAGCAGAAGCCCAGAGTTTGCTTTCATGGTCTTCTACAGCTTCTGGGCTGATTCACTGCACAGTACACACAGATTCACTCCCCAAAGCTGAGCTCAGTAAACAGATCTAAATAAGGAACATTTTTTCCTTACTCCTGGATAAGGGGCACACTCACACCTCCTATCCTAAGACTGAAGTAGCAGCAAATTATGCCATGTGGGGGCTCCTAAGGATTACTGCATTTCCCTGCCATGGTAGTTTGCTCCCAAACTCAGAAGCCAAACAGGAAATTACTTTTAGTTCTCTGGGGGTTTTTGTTGTTGTTGTTGAAAAAGGCATTTGTTAAGCCCATGTTAGGAGCTCCCATTGCTGGTTCTGAGCAGCAGTTCATGTTCCTTCCGCTGATTGCCCAATTTTCCATTTACACTAGCAATGCAATGGCACTAAGGCTGCTAGGTTACCAGCTGGAGAGACGCTGCACCAACTTTATTGACTTTGAACATTTGATTTTCCCATGCTATCAGCAGTGGATTTAATTTATGATCGTTGATAATTTAACGTCTTTAAACTCGACAGGAGAGGGAATAAAGCCCAGTGCGGAAATAAAACACTAGTATGCAAATCTGAGTGTGTGGGATGCTGTCAGTATACCAAAAGGACACTCCATGGAAGGAAAAAAAGGTAACGATACCCCTGACCGTAAGGTCCAGTCACGGACAACTCTGGGGTTGCGTGCTCATCTTACTCTATAGGCCGAGGGATCCGGTGTTTGTCCACAGACAGCTTCCAGGTCATGTGGCCAGCATGACTAAGCTGCTTCTGGCGAAACCAGAGCAGTGCACGGAAACACCATTTACCTTCCTGACAGAGTGGTACCTATTTATCTACTTGCACTGTGTGCTTTCGAATTGCTAGGTGGGCAGGAGCTGGGACCGAACAATGGGAAGGAAGACATCCATAGAAGTAAGGTTGCTGCAATTAACTTGCATGCATTGGACCAGCCTTTCTCAACTTTAGGTCCCTATATGTTGTTAGACACAACCTTGATGGCAGAAAGTGAGGAAGAATTAAAGAAACTTTTAATGAAGGTGAAAGAGGAGAGCGCAAAATATGGTCTGAAGCTCAACATCAAAAAAACTAAGATCATGGCCACTGGGCCCATCACCTCCTGGCAAATAGAAGGGGAAGAAATGGAGGCAGTGAGAGATTTTATTGCTTGGGCTCCATGATCACTGCAGATACTGACAGCAGTCACGAAATTAAAAGACGCCTGCTTCTTGGGAGAAAAGCAATGACAAACCTAAACAGCATCTTTTAAAAGCAGAGACATCACCTTGCCAACAAAGGTCTGTATAGTTAAAGCTATGGTTTTCCCAGTAGTGATGTATGGAAGTGAGAGCTGGACCATAAAGAAGGTTGATCGCCAAAGAATTGATGCTTTTGAATTATAGTGCTGGAGGAGACTCTTGAGAGTCCCGTGGACTGCAAGAAGATCAAACCTATCCATTCTGAAGGAAATCAGCCTTGAGTGCTCACTGGAAGGACAGATCCTGAAGCTGAGGCTCCAGTACTTTGGCCATCTCATGAGAAGAGAAGACTCCCTGGAAAAGACCCTGATGTTGGGAAAGATGGAGATCACAAGGAGAAGGGGACAACAGAGGATGAGATGGTTGGACAATGTTCTCGAAGCTATCAGCATGAGTTTGACCAAACTGCAGGAGGCAGTGGAAGACAGGAGTGCCTGGCGTGCTCTGGTCCATGGGGTCACGAAGAGTGGGACACGACTAAAAGACTAAACAACAACAACAACATGTTGTTAGACTACAACTCCCATCATCCCAGCCTAGCTGGACCAGTGGTCAGGGGTGATGGGAGTTGTAGTCCAACAACATCTGGGGAGTCAAGGTTGAGAAAAGGCTGTATTGGCTGATAGCCAAACTAGTCACTTGTGCCAACCTTCCTTCGCAGATCTCACCTGAGTCTCCTCTCTCAATCACTTCCCCCCTCCTTACCTGGAGGCATAAGAGGGCAAGCAAAGGAACTCCTTCTTGAAGCCCTACATACCCTCACAAGGTGGCATTCAATGAAATTGACACTGACCAGTTTGGTGCGGCAGTTGGAGTGTTGGACTGGGAGATCAGAGTTAAAATCCCCACTCATCCTGAAGTTCCCTGAGTGACCTTGGGCCAGTCACTGTCTCTGAGCATTTCTGCAACCAAACACTGTGTACAGAAATGAATCTGTCAGGGGCAAGTGCGCATAAAAACACACACAACATGACAAAATGCATCATATTGGAGGGAACTCTGGCACAAATGTACATTTTAGGCAAAACTGAATACCAAAAGACATTTTATTAGGAGAAATTCACACTCAAAATGTTGATGAATTTTCATTTTAATCACAAATTGCTGTCATTTTAGGAGAACTGAATTTTAAGATGGGGAAAAATGCTAAACTGACAGAGGCCAGATCTGGCAAAGTTGTTCATCCTGTGGGATAACCAGCTTCAAACAACAGGCTAAAGTCTAATTAATGCATGAAGGGGTTAATACTATCCTGCCAGGTTTTGCTTCACCCACTTCCCCTTACCTTGGAAGGAACTAGGTCATCAAGCCTTTATTTCTCCTCAGTCTACCCGAGAAGCTGAGCTTGTGAAGAGGTTTGAGCTGGTTGCTCCAACTCAGACCGCATGGCTCTCACAAGCCACTCTATACCAATAATTTAGGAAGAAAGAACTATATTTTGCTTCCATGTTGTTTCTCAGTAGTCCTGTTTGGCTCCAGAGTTCACTGTTAGAAGGAGTTGGTGACTATATGGAACCTTGAGGCTTAGTGGCGGAGTGCCTCTGAATGGCAGTTGCTGGGGAGCAACAGTTGGGGAGAGTTGTTGTCTTCTGGCCATCACTGTGAGCTCTCCAAAGGCATCCGGTTGGCCAGAGGGGAAAGCAGAATGCTGGAAGAGATGGGAACTTTGGTCTGAGCAGGCAAGTTCCTTCTTACACTCATAAGGGACAAGTTGGCTAGAAGTTTAAAGATCAAAGCTACAATGGTGTGACTTTCTAAAGAAAAAAACAAAGCCAAAATCTGATCAAGGCAAATTGCCACCTGCTTGTTCTGTACCATTTATTTCACTTCCAGAAACCAGATTTGGGAAGAGGTTAGGGAAAAGTTCATAGCTGGGTTGCCTCCTTCCAGCTTGACAAACCATACACCACCCATCTCATCCCTCTGCAAAAGCAACTAGGATACCCAATAGTTTATTATTATTATTATTATTATTATTATTATTATTTATTTGTACCCCGCCCATCTGGTTGGGTTTCCCCAGCCACTCTGGGTGGCTTCCAACAAAGATTAAAAATACATTACATTTTTGGTCCTGATGGGCATAAAATACCCCTTTTATGTGCTAGGGAAACCTTATTTCCCTGCAACAAAAAGCTTTATCTTGAAAAAACTGTGTCTGGACTGGACCTACCCAGAAACAACTGAAAATAGCTGCATTATCGTCCCAGAAACTTAAATCAGAAAAAAAACCTTCTATCTTATTTTGAAATCCAACACGGCAGCATTCAAATATTGTTTTACTTTACTTCTCAACAGTAGTATTCAGGAGGAATGTGTGGTGTAGACATACCATCCCCCATCTTCCTTTACGAGCACTTTTGTACTATGACATATTCCCCCCCTATATGAGTGTAGCCTTTACACTTGTAATTGTTCCCAAGAGAGCAGCTCCTGGGAAGTGATGCTTTGCCACTTTACCTCTCACACCATAAATGCAAGCGTGAGTGTTCTCAGCAATTCCCAAGACTCCTTCAGCCCCTAATTAGCTCTCAAAGCCAATTAAGCACAAGTATTTAACACGTTCTCTTAATTTCAGTTGGGATAGTTCAGATTCCTACCAACAGAGTTTCATTCGTTGTCTCAGAGATCCCATGTCACAAGAAGGGAAGACAGTCCTTGTCTGGGGAAAAGGTGGGACATAAATAAATATAATAGTAAGGCTAACAATAATGTTGTTGTTGTTTAGTCGTTTAGTCGTGTCCGACTCTTCGTGACCCCCTGGACCAGAGCACGCCAGGCACTCCTGTCTTCCACTGCCTCCCGCAGTTTAGTCAAACTCATGCTGGTAGCTTCGAGAACACTGTCCAACCATCTCATCCTCTGTCGTCCCCTTCTCCTTGTGCCCTCCATCTTTCCCAACATCAGGGTCTTTTCCAGGGGTCTTCTCTTCTCATGAGGTGGCCAAGGTATTGGAGCCTCAGCTTCAGGATCTGTCCTTCCAGTGAGCACTCAGGGCTGATTTCCTTCAGAATGGAGAGGTTTGATCTTCTTGCAGTCCATGGGACTCTCAAGAGTCTCCTCCAGCACCACAATTCAAAAGCATCATTTATTCAATAATAGAAATGTGTATATCAAACTAAAATATGTATTCAAATATGTATTTAGTGATAAAATGCCTGTTTTCACGTGGATTTTTTGGAGGGGAAATTCACAGACGAATGCAGAAACAAGGCAGAACAGACTTAGGCATGTATAAATGTGAAATTGAGATGGGCCCAAAATGGCAGAGGGCCTGGTCTGCCTGCTCCACTTCTGCCTTCCACCAATTGTCACCATAGTAGCCAGACCATGGCTGTGGCAGTAACTCCATTCCCAGCCTCTTCTCTCTTTTTTTGTATATCTTTTTTTTTAATTTTCTGTTTTGCAATTTAAAGAACTCATTTTTACATCCTTAAGATATCAGTGACTTCCCTTCTTCTCTTTCCATGGTTCATTTCACATATCATAAATCCCTGTATATTTTACAAAAGCTATACCATTCAGTATTCCATTATTGCATCCATCAAAACTTGTTTACACTGTTGAATTTATCTTAATACTGCCAGCATTTTCAGCTGTGCACAATTATTTCATTCCCAACCTGTTCTCAATAAGCCTTTTAGGGAGGTAGGAATGGTTTTTAGAGAAGTCTCAAAATTCTGTTAGTCATGTGCATCAGTGCTGGCTTCAAGGGGGCGAGGATCTTTGGGCCCTGTGGCGTTTGCCTCCTAGGTGGGTCATAAGGAAAGGGTTAAAATGAGTGTGATGTGATTGGCCAGTGGAAACTGATAGGAGGAGTTAGGGTTAGAGGGAGAGTTGTGTGAAAGTCAGTTGAGAGTTGGGAGTTGAAGAAGGAAGAGGGAGGAATAGTCTGTGGGTTGGTCGAGTTGTGTGGTGAAAGAGTGAGAGGAATTATTAGGTGGAGTCAGATAGTTAGTCGGGATAATCAGTTTGAAGTTCTTAGGAATGAATAGGACAGTTAAGGAACTAAGATTAAGAAACTGCCAAGGAAAATTAACTGTAACCATAAGCTTGTTCATGCCTATAAAATAAACTTGATTATTTGTTAATGTTAACAGCTGACTGGATTCCGTGTGTACCCGTGAGGAGAAACGGGTTGGTGGCAGCGAAGAAAGCTATTACAGTGGTGGCACAGGGTCAATAGACCGTCAAACGTCCGGGGACCCTGTGTGATCGCCACAGGCCCCCTCAATCTTTTTATTTTTGAGAGGGTCAGGGCCCCCCATTATCAAGGCCAAATGTGAAACCAGATGTGGAGCGATGTCAAGACATCGCGCCGGGCCTCAATGTCCATTGGCTGCACCCAAAAACATTACTCCAGAATGCAGCACAAGATTCAACTAGTGCAGAACTTACTTGCATCTCTTGAAATTAAAAGCACTTATCTTTGCCTGGATTGAGCTTTTATTATCTAGAAAGGCCCAGCTTGTCCACAGTCACCATATGGCGCTAACAAAGCCAAACGCTGCATTTTCTGCAGAGTGCTAATTAAGGTGCCCTTGACCAAACCTTCTGAAAAAACAAAAACGTGGTTTGAAACCTGTCAGGCACCATCTTCTGCAGAAGGGGAAAGGGAATTCTATGATTCTATGAAAGGAGGTAAAACTTCATACAGGAAAATGCACTTATGAAATGCCAGAGGCATAGAATCACAGAACCATGGCATTGCAGAGCTGGAAGGAACCCCATGGGGTTGTCTGCTCCAACCCCTGCAATGCAGGAATCACAACTAAAGAATCCTGACAGATGGACCTCCAGGTCAATTAGGCCTTTTTCAAGAGCACCAAAAAATGAAAAAAATCCTGCCGTGGCAACATTACCCAAACAACTCAAACATTTAGTGATGTTGCCTTAGTAGGAAAACAACAACACTGTGCCCCTGAAGAACACAGGAAGATGCCTTATAACAAGTCAGACTGCTGCTCCATCTAGCTCAGTACAGTGGATGCTTGGATTGCGAACATGATCCATGAGGGAAGCACGTTCGCAACCCGCAGTGTCTGCAACACATCTGCACACGCGCAGGTTGTGATTCGGCGCTTCTGCGCATGCACAAAGCGTGATTTAGCGCTTCTGCACATGCGCAAATGCAAGTGCTGAAACCCAGAAGTAACCCTTTCTGGTACTTCCGGGTTCAGCGTGGTGAGCAACCTGAAATCACACAACCCGAAGCGTCTGTAACCCGAGGTATGACTGTACCTGTCTATACAAACTGGAAGTAATAATACTAACAACAACATCAACATTTATACCCCACCAATCTGGCTGGGTTTCCCCAGCCACTCTGGGCGGCTCCTAAGAAAATATTTAAAACACGATAAAGCATCAAACACTAAAAACTTCCCTAAACAGGGCTGCCTTCAGATGTCTTCTAAAAGTCAGATAGTTGATTATTTCCTTGACATCTGATGGGAGGGTGTTCCACAGGGCTGGCGCCACAACCGAGAAGGCCCTCTGCCTGGTTCACTGTAACCTCACTTCTCGCAGTGAGGGAACCGCCAGAAGGCTGTCGGAGCTGGACCTCAGCCTCCGGGCAGAACGATGTGGGTGGAGACGCTCCTTCAGGCATACTGGGCCGAGGCCATACCTGTCTCAGTACCTGATTACACAAACTGGAAGTATCTCTCCATGGTTTCAGGCTTGGGGGAGGGGGTTGAACCTTGGTCCTTCTACATGCAAAACAGATGCTCTACCACTGAGTTATATTTTTGCCAAAATGTGATGGGCATTTTATAAGCACGTTTTATTATTTTGAAGAAATTCTTTTTTTCCGTACTGTTTTGAGGTACGGCCCGCTTGATTTTTCCCTCCTGCTGTTTGATCTGCCATCCCTTCCTCACCACGCAAACCCCACTTGCCTTCCGCAGAGAAAGTAGATAGGATCAATATCCCCGTAAGGTTTTTAGACTACTGAGAGGGAGACACTTGGCTCAACCATCAGCTTTAAAGTGACACTGAGAGAAACAGAGAGGAAGGTGTGGCTTCAAAAGTAGATCGAGAAGTCAATGCAAACACTTCAAGGGCAGCTGTACTCAGAGGCTCACCTCAAACAGCATTAATATTGATGTTGTCAGAGATACAGCCAAGGGCAGGCCTGATCAGCAAGGAGTTGTCTGTCATTGCGGGGTGTAAACAGTCTGAGGAGAAGAGATGTCTGTGTGTTGTGTGTTGTGAGGAGGTATAAAAGCCATTCAAGTTTTTTAAATATCTTTGATGGCTCATTGTGTTTTTATATTTTGCTGGAAGCCGCCCAGAGTGGCTGGGGCAACCCCGTCAGATGAATGGCATTCAAGAATAACATTATTATTATTATTATTATTATTATTATTATTATTATTTGGTTGTTCTTCTGTGTTTCCCCAGTGTTACCACATCATTGCCATCTGGAGGTGCAATCTTGTGCTATAGCTCAACGAAAGCAGGATTAAAAATAAAGGGGAACATTTGTGGTACAAAACAGTCACAGGATTTCAGCAGGAAGTTATGGGGCACGGAACGACTGGAAACAAAGTCGTATGTCTGTCCAAAAGCTTTTGCAGACGTGAACAGTATTGAAAGCTGAATCACACATAACTGCCCTGATACTATCATGAGCATAAATTGTTGCCAATGCACAATAAAAAAAGGATTTCTGGAAGTGCCCGTACAGCTGTTCCCAAGGCCAAATCTGTTCCAGTGAGTGCTAGTTTGCCACCTCTGTTTTAAAGTCTGGCTAAGCTTAGGGAAGGGACGCGGGTGGCGCTGTGGGTTAAACCACAGAGCCTAGGACTTGCCTATTAGAAGGTCGGCGGTTTGAATCCCCGCGACGGGGTGAGCTCCTGTTGCTCAGTCCCTGCTCCTGCCAACCTAGCAGTTCGAAAGCACGTCAAAGTTCAAGTAGATAAATAGGTACTGTTCCGGTGGGAAGGTAAACGGCATTTCTGTGCGCTGCTCTGGTTTGCCAGAAGCAGCTTAGTCATGCTAGCCACATGATCCGGAAGCTGTACGCCGGCTCCCTCGGCCAATAAAGCGAGATGAGCACCGCAACCCCAGAGTCGGTCATGACTGGACCTGATGGTCAGGCGTCCCTTTACCTTTTAAGCTTAGGGAGAATTAGTTAGTTAGTTAGTTGGTTGGTTGGTTGGTTTATAACAGCAGCCTTCAATTTTGTATCCTGCATTCCACACCTGAGTAATGAGAGACAGTCTCAAAATGCTATTTCGGTTCATATGCAACAACAAGGACAAACTCAGCCATCTGAATGATCTCTTGAAACTCTCCTCTCATGGTGCTATCTATGCTTTCTTTCTCTGAGAATAATAATAATATTTAAAAACCCAGCCCCATACCCACTTTCTAACCAACGGTGTTCAACACACTTGGAAGAAAGGCTGAGATTAAATATTTGCCTTTTGAGAAGTCATTTGCATTCCAGCTACAGACACACTTCACCTTCTTGGAACTGGCTCAGAATTCCAAGCAGCCCCACATTTCTTTTTATTGGGAAGATGCCCAAGCCGGCACGATTCGTCAGCCTGGGTTTGCCTTTCAGAGTATAAGCATTGTATGTTTCAGGACCTTGCCTGCATCCAACTTCAATGCCTCCATTTTGTGCCGATTTGCGTGCAGTTTGTCAATTTGACCTTTGACGGGAGCATTTCCAAACCTGCTCTACCTGTGGAGCCAGCAAAGGGATCAGCTCATCTGTGAGGAACCTGTGGAGCAATCTGCATTTTTTTTCTAACAGCAGAAAAACAAGCTGAAACAACTTAATTGGGCAGGAAGAACAGGTTTCTTTGCCAAAGGAAAATAAACTTCTTGCTCTCACTGCCTGAAGAAGACTGCAAGAATAGCGGGTGGGGGTGAATTGTCAAGAGGGCTGTCAGCTTTTTCTGCTCCCATGAGTTTAACAACACCTTCACAGGCAGAAGTGTGGCAGGCAAAGCCTTTCCTGGCATGTAGATAACTTCACCTACTTAATTTCTCAGGCTGCTGTTGAAGACACCCTGGACTGGTAATACACACCCTCCAACATTTCTCCAATGAAAATCGGGACATCCTATTTTATTTTTTTATTATTATTATTATTATTATTATTATTATTATTGACACTTGGGTTGCGAATGTACTCCGTGCGGGAAGCACGTTTGCAACCCGCAGTGTTCGCACATGTGGGTTGCAATTCGGTGCTTCTGCGCATGCGCAAAACGCGATTTAGTGTTCCTGCGCATGTGCGAGCGCCGAAACCCAGAAGTAACCCGTTCCGGTACTTCCGGGTTCGGCGTGGTGCGCAACCCGAAAACGCGCAACCTGAAGCGTCTGTAACCCGAGGTATGACTATATTATTATTATTATTATTACTATTATTAATACCCCGCCCATCTAACTGGGTTACCCCAGCCACTCTGGCAGCTTCCAAAATATATAAAAACATAATAAAACATTAAACATTTTATAAAAAAAACCTTCCCTATACAGGGCTGCCTTCAGATGTCTTCTAAATGTTATTTGGTTACTTATCTCCTTGGCTCGGAGGTCACATAAGGCCATGCCCTCTAACATTTCTCCAGTGAAAATGGGGACGTCCTAAGGAAATGTGGGACATTCCAGGATCAAATCAGAAACTGGTACAGCTTCTGTAAATCTGGGACTGTCCCTGGAAAATAGGGGCCTGGAGAGTCTGCATGGAGAGTCTGGTAATAGGGGTGGGGTGTTATGAGGAAATATGGGGTTGGCTTTTACAGCCCAACTCCCCATCAAGGGACCCAGTGTGACCCAAGTTCTTTATCGGCCAGAGAAGAATGAGTGGAGGCAGGAAACTGTTGAAGAAAGCAAGGCAGAACTTTATTTTCTGTTGGAACTGAGTCCACCACCCCCCCTTTGCAAGAAGGTGAGGGGACCCAGAAAAAAGGTGTGTAGCAGCTTTGAAAGGCTTTAGAAATTGTCTGAGACAACCATCATCCAAACGTCAGAGAAAAGAGGCAGAAATATGAGGGTGTGACCTGCCTGCTGTCTGTCAAGATACCTGATCATGCTTTCCTGGCCAGTGTGGGCCATTCTTTAGGAATGGTTCTTGAATCCATTATCATACCTATCCCTGCTCATACACAGAAGATGCTCTTTTGACAGGTCTGCTCCACTTGTCAGACAGGTTTCACAGAGGGGTGGTGAAAAGTTAATTTATTTACAGGATCTGAGGGATTAGCAAGTGGAAGGAACAAATGTCTATCAGGAAAGGTTTTATTGAGAACTTCCTACTATCTGTTTTGGAGGGGGTTTCAGAGTTCAACTGTAGGCTAAAAATGGCTTTGGTCTTGCTCTCCGTACTATTTCAGACATGTGGTTTGTGTGTGTGTGTGTGTGCGTGTCATTTGTGACAGCTTAGAATTTTTATAACGGGGAATTTGATGCAGTGCATATTTAAAGGCAAACCTACCTGATTTGCAATTTTCTAAACAATATGCAAACTGAAACACAAGTATCCTTTGAAATTTGCATTTCTCTGAATTTTGCAATGCAAAATCAGTCCAGTGAATATTGTCAGCCCTAATTATGCCCGTTCCCCAATTTGCATTGTGTTTCCTTTGCATTGAAATGAATGGTAGTAATATCATAACATTGCAAAATATTGACAGACCAGAGGCCCCCTAAACAACAATACAAAGGAAGAAAAAATGATACCAACTACATTCAGCGCACAATTTGAATGAAATAGACACGTCTCCTTCAGCAGTTAATAACACTGCTTCTAGTATGGATATGTATCTGAACAACAGGCTATTGCACTGTGGCTGCCATTCATTTAAGTCTCATAATGACTCCTATTTCAACACAGAAGAGAGCATTTGGATTAATGATGCCCAAAATAGTCAATGCACAGATCTCCGATAATACCCAGCATGCATTGCACTACTTTTACACCAAACCATTTTTCATGCAGTTTCATTGATCGCATTTCATTATTTAAACTATCTTCTTTCTAATGAGGCCCTGATCACCAAGCCATACAAGAGGATGAGGTGCGATAAGCATATTAGTTTCAACACTTGCTTCCAAGGATAGTAAAACCAGCAAAGCCCTGTGCGCGAATGCTGATACTTACTAAGCTTGCTTTCGTATTAAACTGCAGTGTTCCTTTCCAACATGGAACACAGCTTGTCCATTGTGGTGGGGGGGCGTGCCCTAGTGAAGTACTGTTAATGTTCTGATACACACAATATGGGCACTTCCAGATGACCTGTTTCTTGAGCATTCAGCCTGATACACTTGCAAGGAGATTAGATTAAGCCAGCATTCAACATGATTTGTTGGTGGGAAGGTTAGACAATGCATCAAGTGTCATCCCATACTTTCCAGTGCATTTCCCCACCATGTTCTTTATCGTAAAAAGTCTGATAATTCCAGGAAGTGGGCTTGTTGCACAATACCTCCCAGTCAACTGTATTTGCATACCCTCCAACAGCCCACTGATCAAAATTGGGATGCTCGCATTTTGGTCCTTAGCTCCTCATAGGCGACTTGTACAAGCCTGCAAGACCAAAAAATGAACATCTTTTGGTCTGGCTCTCTGGTGTGAGCCAGATGATTTGTGTGAGAGTGCAAGACCCCCCAAAACCCTGAGCATCTTTTGGTCCAGTGCTCTGGCACAAGCTAGCTGACTCGCATCAGTGGAACAGACCCAAAAACAGGACATTCCCGAATCCAATCAGAAGCCAGTCAGGATGGCTTCTGTAATTTCAGGCTGTCCTCCTTAAATTGGGATGGTTGAGGTGTATGTATTTGTGCAATCTGGCCTCATGGATCAAACGGAGAGGCCTGGTGGGCCCAATTTGGCTCACAGGCCAGAGATTTCACACCCACGCATTAGAAAATAGTGACAGGCTGTCACTATTTTCAGGGCATACTAAAGAAATACTGTATCTGTTTTAATAAAAGAGCTGTTTAGCTTACTGTGCCTTTCATTTTCCACTATGGCAAAATGATATTGGCTGAACAAAATATGCTTGCTGCGAGCAAATGCTGCACCTGTGTCCATTCATCCTCTAAGCTTTCGCTGTCAAAACACGCATCTTCCTAGAAGCAGATATTGTCCTGTGTTTTTGTTGCTAAACCAAAGCCACTCTGAAAGCTTGTGTTAACAACCACATGGAACCAGAGGCAGGGGCACCCAAAGAGACAAAGACAAATCCCTTATGATCCAAGACCCCCAATTCCAATAGCAAACCTGAAAGCAGGGGGCCCGGCTGGGGACAGTGGGATTATGGACTTCTAGAACAATAATACAGAATTCCTGGTTTAGGAACCTCATGTGTGTAACCAGGGTGTGTCAATGCGTAATTTATTTTCATTTCCCAACACAATCCTTTGGATTCTGGATAGGGGCTGTTAACACAAATCTCCTGGAGCAATAAATCAGGCCCAATGAACGACGTCTTGCTGCCTGACTCAAAGGACAAGTCGTCCCCTGCCCCATTCCGCATACAGAAGCCAGCCAGACTAGCGATTGAATCTTGCTTCAACACTGGCAATGAGATAGTGTCCTCTACTATGCCAGAGGGCATAGGCTGATTTAAGGAAATATTGTTCAACCTTTGGAAAAAGGCCTGTAGCTCAGTGGCAGAGCATCCACTTTGCGTGCAGAAGGGACAGTCTGAAAGTCCCCTGTTTTCACATTCATGAAGGCCCTGGGTTCAATCCCTGCCATCTCCCGGTCCAGCTGGTAAAACACCCCAGTCTGAAATCCTGTGGAGCCACTACCAATCAGTGTAGATGAAGCTGAGCTCTATGGACTGTTGTAAACAAATATCTGCCCTTTCCCCCTTAATGGGGTATCCAAGAGCCCATATAGGTTCCTTATTGGTAGGAGAAAATAACAGAGGCCAACCAGAGAATATTAAGAAACAAGGCTGCTAGTAAGCCTGATCTTTATTGATCTGTTGCAACAGGGTGATCCCCTCACACACGGGAAAGGAGGAACCCAGAACCAAGGTGTGCCTGCCCTGGAGCTCAAGACCACCCCTCCATACATCATACATACCTCACGGAAGGGGTGTAACCCAAGACCACCCCCCAGATACATCATACCTACATCACAGAAAAGGTGGTCTACAGCAGAAATCTGAGTGCGTTGTTTATCTTGTCTGACAGGTTACCTGTTAAGGCTCACTTGATTGGATACCCTGGGGAGCCTGGCCAGTCCTTTGTAATGATAAATACTTAGTTCCTGAGCCAGGTCACAGGCTCACCCTATTCAAACACAGACATACACTTAAGACAGGATTTGTGAAGGAAAAGACAATGGGGAGGCTTTTCCATTTTCCTTTGACCTTGCAGAGAAAACATTTGGTCAGTTTGGGAATCAAAAATGGTTTCAGGTGCTGTGCTGTGCTGTGCTGATCTACGTACGTGCTTGGTTGGTATATTTATTATATACCTAAGACCTTAAAATTCTTATCACAGAACCAATGGTCTGACTCAGAAAAAGGGAAGATTGCTAACCTTGAGTCCTCAGATGCTGCTGCCCTACAATTCTCACCAGCCCTGGCCATCAGCTAAGATGGCTGCAGATGATGGGCATTGTAGCCCAACAACATCTGGGACTCCAGGCTGAAGAACATTAGTTTAGGGAGTGCATGAAAGACAACGTGCCACACTTTGAGCAGGTGGTCTTCTCACCTTTCTAAAGCACAGCATGCATGCATGCATGCATCTGTATTTATACCGACCGATTCACCCTCCATCTTGCTTCCCAACCACAACATTTAGGATCACAGAAATGTAGAGTAGGAAGGGACCCCAAGGATCCTCTAGTCCAGCCTTTCTCAACCTGTGGGTCCCCAGATGTTGTTGGACTATAACTCCCATCACCCCTAGCTAGCAAGGCCAGAGCTCAGGGATAATGGGATTTGTAGTCCAACAACATCTAGGGACCCACAGGTTGAGAACCGCTGGTCTAGTCCAACCTGCTGTAATGCAAGGAGTTCAACTAAAGCATCCATGACAGATGGTCATCCAACCTCTGCTTAAAAGCCTCCAAGGAAGGAGAGTCCACAATCTCCCAAAAGAGTCCACCCCACTGTCGAACAGCTCTTACTGTCAGAAAGTTCTTCCTGGTGTTGAGTCAGAATCTCCTTTCTTGTAACTTGAATCCAATGGTTCGAGTCCTACCCTCCAGAGCAGGAGAAAACAAGTTTGTTCCCACTTCCATGAAACAGCCCTTGAGATATTTGAAGATGGCTATCATCTTTCCTCTCAGTCTCCTCTTTTCCAGGCTAAACATACCCAACTCCTTCAACCGTTCCTCATAAGCCTTGGTTTTCACAAATGCAGCTACCACACTGTGCCAGGGAACTGAGAAGTTAGTGGTGTCAGTGGTGCTGAGCAATAGGTGCCTTCCACAAAGCTGTGTTTGTGAACTTTCCCCAGGTCAAGTTCATCCCTACTTTCAGTGAGAGTTCTAACAACCAAGAGGAACAAAGTCTTTGTTCCATCAAGACCCGCCTCTGTAATATTTCTCTATAACCCATCTTTCACTCTCGGAAATGTTCCCATTGATTTCAGGGAGAGCAGATGGAGGCATTGTGTACTCATGACAGAGCCCAGTTGGATTTCCTCTTTGGCGGGAAACATCCTGTGATAAACGCACACTACAATAGCCCTAAGGCAGCTGCTGCTGCTCCTTTATTTGACTGAATGTTAAGCTCCTCAAACAAGACCCCCAGCAACAGCACAGAAAAGTGGAAGGTGATAACAGGCAAGTCGAAAGACGAAAGCCAATACCTCATACAGCCAACAGGTATAAGCGCACATTGCAATATCAAAGACGCAAGCGGGGAGGGAAAATAGTGTTTTTACAAGGTATTGATTGAAAACCATGTCAACACTGTGATTTCAGCAAAATGACCGCTTTGTACAAGTCATTACAAGCCAGTGAGAGGGAAAGGATGTTAAATACAGCAAGGGCCAGGGGACGTTATTTCACATTTCAGCAAAGAAGATTTCGAGGGTGGAAATTATTGTCAGCAAGGCTTCAAATAATGCTGGCCCAAAATCTCAGCTGCCAAAAGAATAATGGGAGCAATAAGAGGAGGCAGCATCAGTATCCCTAGACCATGGGTAGGCAAACTAAGGCCCGGGGGCCGGATACGGCCCAATCGCCTTCTTAATCTGGCCCACGGACGGTCCAGGAATCAGCGTGTTTTTACATGAGTAGAATGTGTCCTTTTATTTAGAATGCATCTCTGGGTTATTTGTGGGGCATAGGAATTCGTTCATATATTTTTTTTCAAAATATAGTCCGCCATCCGCCTCCAAGGTCTGAGGGACAGTGGACCAGCCCCCTGCTGAAGTTTGCTGACTCCTGCCCTAGAAAAACTAAAATCTAAATGTGCCTCTTTTAACTAGTTGCATCTATTTATTTATGCGTTTCCGTGCGCTCTGGCACTCGTCACGGTCCTCCGTGCGCCAGTAGCGGTTTAGTCATGCTGGTCACATGACCCAGAAAGCTGGCTGTGGACAAACGCCAGCTCCCTCAGCCTGAAAGTGAGATGAGCACCGCAACCCCATAGTTGCCTTTGACAGGATTTAACCGTTCAGGGGTCCTTTACCTTTTTACCTTTACACATTCCCTCCTGCTTCCTTACTGTGTTATTCAAGTCAATCAGGGAGAACATACCAAGGAAGGCGACATCACAATGCTATGCAACCAATCAGTTTCACTACAAAATGTAGTGAATTGCCCTCTTGGAAAGTAGGGAATGGATTGCATTCTCAAGGCAATGGACCAACACCCACTCACCCTGTCTTCCAACATTGTGTGTGCTCAGAAAATATCCCAGTTTTTAAGACCTGCGAAGTGACTGGATAAATCTGCCAAGACTCACTCTTGTCAATGCCTAAAGACCCTAATTCACAAGACTCCAAGATTGTATGCTTGTGAAACGCGGACCACTTATAGACGTCATCTCCAACTCCTTGAAAGATTCCATTAACGGTGTCTCCGGAAAATTTTACACATCACCTGGAAAGACAAGCAAACTAATGATGCAAAGTTCACCAGTGTCGAAGCAATGATTCTTCAACATCAACTTCGTCGGACTGGTCATGTTGTGCGGATGCCTGATTATCGTCTTCCAAAGCAACTACTCTATTCCAAACTTAAAAATGGAAAGCGTAATACTAGTGGTCAACAAAAGAGATTCAAAGACTCTCTGATGGCAAATATAAAAAAAATGAGTATAAACACTGACAACTGGGAAAAACTGGCATGCGAGTGCTCCAGTTGGAGAACAGCCTTTATCAAAGGTGTTCTGGGCTTTGAAGATGCTTGAACTCAGGACGCAAGGGAGAAACATGCTAAGAAGAAGGCATGCTTGGCAAACCCTCACCATGATCAACTCCCACCTGGAAACCTATGTCCCCACTGTGGAAGGACGTGTGGATCCAGAATTGGCCTCCACAGTCACTTACGGAAGTTCATGGAAGACAATCTTACTCGGCTATGAGTGATTGCCAAAGAAGAAGAGATTGTTTGCATTGTTAGGAGTTTTGGAGGGGTTCTATTCTTGAGTAGCCAGGCTAGCTTCCTGGTGAGGCAATGGGTCATTAAGGGAACAAAGGAAGGGGCTCTGTGCAGGATGAAAAATGGGTGGGAGGCCCTCCCCCAACTCATGGGTAGATAGAAAGACAAAGGCAGGGTTGAGAGCAGAGAGTTTGGAGTGATTTAAGCTAGAAGAAAAGCAGCAAGCTGAGAGACAGAGCGATATTTGATTTCCATTTGAATCCAAACCTGTGGCTATGAAGGAAACAAGGCCCTCTCAGGGAGTTCATGCTGTGAAACCCCTCCATTGCAGACTCAGGTTGTATATATGTGTGAATACACCATATATCATAAAGACTGCCCCAAAGGAAACACAAAACCTAGGTAACCCCTGGAATCTCACAGCACTCAGAAATTGGAGTGACTGTGCAGAAATTGGAGTTTGTGAAATGCATATCCGCTGAGGAGGCTTGCTAACAGATTAATATCGTGAGAGCCCTATGCTCACAGTTTTCCCTGCAGTTATTTATTCCATTTTGGACAGCAGTCACGTCTGCCAGGAACTAGGCAATGACCTTGCCTGGTCAAGAGCTTCTCATTAATGCCCCAAATGTAGACCTGTTCAATAAGAAAGATTAAAAATGTGATAAAAGATCTTTGCAGAAATTGAACTTGTGTGACGAAGCAACAATATCTTGGGGAAAGAGTCTTGACCTTCAAGTTAACTGCTGTAACAGGCAATAGATTTGCTAATCATTCCTCTGGTAAGGAATTTAGTATCCTGGGGTCAGCAGAAATCTTCAGTTAAGGATCCAAATGCTATTTTCTTTCTCTCTTTACAAATGTCCATGCAGAGAACTAGGGGGCATGAGCCTGAAAAGGTTAAGCCCTTTTAATTTCCATTGATTTAAAAATCTGAAACACACCCACACCTACTGAAGAGCTATAGTGCTTTTACTCTGCATGCAGAAAGTTCCATGTTCAATTTCTGGCATTTCCAGGTAGAGTATTTTATTTTTAAAAATGCCTGTTTATATTGCAGCCTTCTAGATTGCCATTCCTGGAGTAACAACTCTTTAGGATGAACTCAAATGCCCAACTGCGTGTAGTAGTTATTTTAATTATTTACCATGTTCCATACATATGCATATTCTTATATTTAATGGATAACCATTTTTTTATTTTTGTCTTATGCTTTCAAGATTTATGGGAATAACCCATTCTATTTTTGAGAAAAAGAGGTGCTGGGACTCTTAGAGGTTCTCTTAGAATGGCAATGGCACTCACTTGAGATGTGCCAGAACTGAGTTCCGGCTGTGGAAAAAAAGGCCTTGGAAATAACATATTCCTGAAAGGAAGAAAAAAACGGAAAGAAAAATTGGAAGGGAATTAATGGCTGCCATTCACAAATAATTCTCCAGTTTTTTTCTGAAGAAGTATGAAATAAAATCCTGGAGATCTTGTTATTATTATCTGTACTATTTGAAGAACTGCATTTTTTTATATATGGTGACTAGTTTGGATAAGTTGTATTTGTAATTCTGTATTTTATTTACATACACTAGCATACGTTTGCATTCAACTTTCAATAATAATCTTCATTTTATTGTCATTAGGGTCCCTACGACTTTATCTTTCTATTATTGGGTATAAAAAATTTTTAAAAGCCAGTGTGGTGTAATGGTTAGAGTGTTAGACTAGGACCTGGGAGAGCAGGATTCGAATCCTGACTCAGCAATGAAGCTCACTGGGTGACCTTGGGCCAGTCAACATCTCTGAGCCTAACCTACCTCACAGAGTTGTTGTCAGGATGAAATGGGGAGGAGGAGAACCATGTATATCACCTTGAATTCCTTGGAAGAGAAAGGTAGCATACCAGGGTTGCCATATTTCAAAAGGTGAAAAGCTGGACACAAAAGTTGTTCAGCTTCTTTTGGCAAGATCTCAAAAAAAAAAAAAGTTTTTAAGCTATTTTAAAGGAAATTCGCCAAAATCTACAGATCCCACTTCCGACATGGGTTGCCATATGTCCGAATTTTTAGCGATTTAAGTGATTTCTGCCTGGACACTGTTTCCGATGGTTGAATCCTGGCAATGTCTGGAAAGTTCTGGACGTATGGCAACCCTAAGTATACAAAAGGAAGGAAGGAAGGAAGGAAGGAAGGCTGCTTCCTATGTTCCTAAATCCCTGAAGCTTAGAGTGCTTAACATTTAGCTGGATTATATGACATATATGAGCAGAGTCTTTTTTGTGGTAGCCCCAATATCAAGGAACATTTTTCCAAGAGACATTTGTACAGACTCCTGCCTGCTGGCTTTCTGAAGGCAGGTAAAAACCATTCCTGTCCTAGCTTTGAGGTCCAGCTTTTGTTATGCTTGCTCTATATTGATTTTCCTTTCATTTCATTTCATTTCATTGCCGTTCTACTCCGTTTTACGGTTCTTGTTTTTCATTTGTGTTTTATTACTTCATTGTTCGATTGCGGTTTGCTTTACTCGCTTACGAAATCCTTGTCAGCAGCGGGCGCTGCAGACACAACTTTTAATCAATAAGGAACTATGAAAGGCTTCCATTCTTGCTTTCAAGTATGTCACACTAACGTTTATTTCAGGTGAGGAGTTTCTGCTGTACATCAGTTGAAAACTGGGAAATGAAAGATAAATCTGGCTGGAGTCAAGGCCCATGGAGAGCGTCGCCTTTTCAAACAGAATTCTCAATTTAGTTGAAAGCACTGAAGAATTTCATTACACTTAAAGCAGCGCCATGTGGGAAGACAACTTGCTGGAACGCCACTCCCAGGAGAATCAGGTGACAGATCCCAGAAGATTTTTCTCCCCCTGCTGTTCAATGAATAGAGTCATTGGAGCCGTAATATTTTATTGATAGATACTTGGATGCAGAAAGCAAAGACAGAGAGGTAGACTAGTCAAAATACAAGTTAAAATAGCTGGCATTTTTCATAAAGAGGGGGAGGGCGGAATGCTGCGTGGCAGCTAACTAGTTTTATTTGAGAATAAAAATTAGAGAGAGGAAAATGCTCTCCCTTCTTAATAATGCCTCTCCTTCAATGAATGTCCAATTAAGGACAAAAATAAACGTACAGAAAGCAATCAGTGCTAATCATACTCCGCCTCTGAAAACATCCAGCAGAACTCCTTATGGCCCAATTAGATGAGCCCGGCAGCCTGAGATTATGCTTGTTTACATGGAAGTAAGCTCCACTGAGTTCAGTGGGACCAGTCACTGGTACAAGTGCTGGATTGGGCGGGGGTGTGTGTGCGGATATACATTTGTTATGTATTTCCATATCCTCCAACATTTCTCTGATGAAAATAGGGAAGACCCTTTGCATAATGATAATTTTACTATTTGTACCCAGGTTAAGAACAGTTTGAGGTTAAGAACAGACCTCCAGAACGAATTAAGTTCTTAACCCGAGGTACCACTGTATTCAGCCATGAAACAGGTGGTGGACTCATCTTCCTTGAGGTTTTAAGCAGAGGTTGGAGGGCCAAAAGTCATGGATGTTTTAGCTGAGATTCCTGCCTTGCAGGGGGTTGGACTAGATGACCCTCGAGGTCCCTTCCAGCTCTACAATTCTGTGATTCCAGAATACTCATAATCCTTACAAAACACAATTTTATAGTAATGAGAAAGAAAAAGAAAAACGGGGGGAACTAAAAAACAAACAAAGACCCTTTATCACATTTATGTCATATAATATCGGGGGGGGGGACCAGATAAAAACAAGAAAAACTTATTTCTTCCTATGTGACATTTATCTGTCAAGTGATAAAGCTTTGGATTTGGCTCCACCTTCTGATGTGATAGGGGATGTGGGTGGCGCTGTGGTCTAAACCACAGAGCCTAGGACTTGCCGATCAGAAGATCAGCGGTTCGAATCCCCATGACGGGATGAGCTCCCGTTGCTCGGTCCCTGCTCCTGCCAACCTAGCAGTTTGAAAGCACATCATGTGCAAGTAGATAAATAGGTACCACTCCGGTGGGAAGGTAAATGGCATTTCCGTGTGCTGCTCTGGTTTCGCCAGAAGCAGCTTAGTCATGCTGGCCACATGACCCGGAAGCTGTCTGCGGACAAGCGCCAGCTCCCTCGGCCTATAGAGTGAGATGAGCGCCGCAACCCCGGAGTCGTCCACGACTGGACTTAACAGTCAGGGGTCCCTTTACCTTTTACCTTCTGATGGGATGGAGTCCCCTGAAAGCCCCGTCCTTCCGGTGCCTTAACCAGCAGTGGGAAATCTGTGGTCCTCCAGTCATTGTTGGACTCTAACTACCATCAGCCCCAGCCAACATGACCAATGGTCAGGGGTGATGAGAGCTGTCGTTCAGCAACACCTGGCGGGCCACAGGTTCCCCACCCCTGCCCTAAACTCCAACCATGTAGCAGATTTTTAAAAATATCAAAGTTGGCAGCCCTATGCTACAGGCCTGACTCAAAAAATCTCCTGAGCATCATGTGCTTGCAATTAAATGAGCAACGTAGCACAGAACCCTGACAGCGCTGCAGCTGTAGCAATTACCTGGCAGCAATTGCCAGAACTGCAGCTGTGCTTTTTCAAGCCGCGAAGCTCGTGGGAAATCGCGACTGGATTGCTGACGGGTGGGCCTTGTTCAACACAGCAAGGACGGCCAGGATGCATCGCAAATAACAGAGTCCAGCGGCACAAAACTAGCCCCAAGAGGGAAGGGTACATAAGCGAAGTCAGACACAGTTTTGCTTTCCCAATAAATAATAGTGAGAAAGCGCCACCCCTGTGTCAGAGCAAAGGCCTGTCTAGTCCAACGTCTTATTTTGCTCACTGGCCAGCCAGTGCCCATGAGAATCTCACAAGAAGGTGTCACCCTACAATGGGGGTCTGGAAATATGCCAGTCCTCTTTAGACAAAATAAAGCGTCTCCACCCCTATCGTTCTACCCAGACACTGAGGTCCAGCACCAAGGGCCTTCTGACGGTTCCCTCACTGCGAGAAGCCAGGTTACAGGGAACCAGGCAGAGGGCCTTCTCGGTAGTGGCACCCGCCCTGTGGAACGCCCTCCCATCAGATGTCAAAGAGAAAAACAACTACCAGACTTTTAGAAGACATCTGAAGGCAGCCCTGTTTAGAGAAGCTTTTAATGTTTGATGCATTACTGTATTTTAATATTTTGTTGGAAGCCACCCAAAGTGGCTGGGGAAGCCCAGCCAGATGGGCGGGGTATTTATTATTATTATTATTATTATTATTATTATTATTATTGACAGTATGTCATGGAAAGATCAGCTTCATTGTAATTCAAAAAGCTGGGCAGCAAATACAAGAGTTCAAGGCATCTATATAGCATTCTGAATACATGAAGCCCTCGTGCCCATATCATCTCTGCAATATTATTGGTTGCAGCAGTGGTTTTCAACCAGTCTGCTGTAGTACCCTGGGGTGCCTTTAATGATGGTCAGAGGTGCTGCTGGCAACACTGTCCTCTGTCCCTCCTTCCTTCCCTCCCTCCTCTGATGCCCTCTCGCATCTCTGCCTCCCAAAGGCTTGCACGGCTGTTTGTTGCAGCAGCCCTGGCTACAAGCTCTGCAGGCAAATGGTGCCTCTGGGGCTGGTCAGGGGGTGCTGGTTGCCAGGAGCTGAGGCAGCCTCGGAGTAAGCAAGCAAGCGGGTGAGGGAGCCCAGCCCGCCAGCCATTGCTGTTGGGAATGGACAGGCAAGTCCCATGACTCAGCTACACAGCTGCAAATTAAACGTTTTAAATGTGTTGTAAAGTGCAATATACAAATGGCGAGAGTGAGCTATGCAAAATTCAATGTGTTTTTCAAAACTTTTTTTTTAAAAAAGCATTTCCACAGCGTTTTTTTAATATGTGTGTAGATTCTTATCCAGGCCCCTGTGGAACAGTGTTAGGAGGCACCTGTCTTTGGGGCAGGGGAGGCAGCTCAGAGACCAGGGGTGGCGGCAGCAGCTGCCCAGAAGGCTCCCAAATTGAGGGTAAAGGGAAAGGAGGCTGAGGGAACACTCCACAAGGGAGTGTTCAAAAAAGGGTGAGAAGGTGACATAACTGGGGTCTTGAGCCCAACAGGGGTGCCACAGAAAGAATGTAGTTGGTTAAGGGAGCTGTGGACTCAAAAAGGTTGAAAGGTTACAGCAACACGTGAACAGCTCTTGTCTGGCCTTCAAAATAGACATTCCATATTTGGAGTTGTTTCGTACCTAAGAAACTCTCATTATCTTTATCAAGGTGTCATCCTCAATCATCTTCCAGCTGGCTCTGGTCAGCCTAATTGAATCTGTACCAGCCTCTCCTTTACTGGTGTGCATTCCTAAACTCTGTTAATGGGGCAGGGGGCCTTGGAGGCTCTCATTGCCTGCTGATCATGGCACAGCTTTGGTTAACTGAAAAGCAAAAGAATACAGGAATTCAGAGAAAAGGCACAATTCTGAACTGGGCAGTGGCTACATGGCTACAAAGGCAATTACAGTCATACCTTGGGTTAAGTACTTAATTCGTTCCGGAGGTCCATTCTTAACCTGAAACTGTTCTTAACCTGAAGCACCACTTTAGCTAATGGGGCCTCCCGCTGCTGCCGCGCTGCCGGAGCACGATTTCTTTTCTCATCCTGAAGCAAAGTTCTTAACCTGAAGCACTATTTCTGGGTTAGCGGAGTCTGTAACCTGAAGCATATGTAACCCGAGGTACCACTCTGGGTGGCTTCCAACGGAATACTAAAATAAAAATAAAACATCAAACATTAAAAACTTCCCTAAACAGTGCTGCATTCAGATGTCTTCTGAAAGCCAGATAGTTGTTTATTTCCTTGACATCTGATGGGAGGGTGTTCCACAGAGAAGGCCCTCTGCCTGGTTCCCTGTAACCTCACTTCTCGCAATGAGGGGACCACCAGAAGGCCCTCGGAGCTGGACCTCAGTGTCCAGGCAGAGTGATGGGGGTGGAGACGCTTCTTCAGGTATACTGGGCAGAGGCCGTTTAGGGCTTTAAAGGTCAGCAACAACACTTTGAATTGTGCTCGGAAACATACTGGGAGCCAATGTAGATCTTTCAGCGCTGGTGTAATATGGTCTTGGTGGCCACTCCCAGTCACTAGTCTAGCTGCTGCTAGACATTATGAAAATGATTCATTCATACACTGCTTCTTTTCTGTCCCAAAGGCCTCCAAACTCTAGCAGAGTTTGTACAGTGGTACCTCGAGTTACATACGCTTCAGGTTACATACGCTTCAGGTTACAGACTCCGCTAACCCAGAAATAGTACCTCAGGTTAAGAACTTTGCTTCAGGATGAGAACAGAAATCGTGCGGCGGCGGCAGCAGGAGGCCCCATTAGCTAAAGTGGTGCTTCAGGTTAAGAACAGTTTCAGGTTAGGAACGGACCTCCAGAACGAATTAAGTTCTTAACACGAGGTACCATTGTAGTACCGTAGAATACAATAAAATCCCATAAATCAACTAGCAAGCAAAGCAACACAAGGCAACTGAATCACAAACTGGGAGAGTCAAAAGAAAACCTTTCCCAGATAAAAGATTAATGGGTGATCTCACCAACCCTGTACATCGCAACATAACGGTAAAGGTAAAGGGACCCCTGACCATTAGGTCCAGTCGTGGCCGACTCTGAGGTTGCGGCGCTCATCTCGCTTTATTGGCCGAGGGAGCCGGCGTACAGCTTCCGGGTCATGTGACCAGCATGACTAAGCCGCTTCTGGCAAACCAGAGCAGCGCGCGGAAATGCCGTTTACCTTCCCGCCGGAGCACCTACTTGCACTTTGATGTGCTTTCGAACTGCTACATAGGCAGGAGCAGGGACCGAGCAACAGGAGCTCACCCCATTGCGGGGATTCGAACCACCGACCTTCTGATCAGCAAGTCCTAGGCTCTGTGGTTTAACCCACAGCGTTACCCACGTCCCTTGCACATCCCAACATACTTAGCGGCTAGACATCTAAGCAGACAATGAGTTACACCACCAACTACAAGAATTAAGGGTGTTCTCACCACCCACATATTTGTCATTTAGGCTTTAAAGCTGGAGCTGGAATTCATTTTTATATTAAAAACAAAGCTGTGTGCGGACCTCCCAATCCACACTGTGGCCCTGATCTGCGGCTCATGTTAACATGGTTCTGTTCTTATTTAAACTGCCAATTTAGAAGCTTATGCAGAAGCAACTCTCCAAAGGGGTTCTGGTTTGGTCCTCCATTCCATTTAACACCTACTTGAACAAATAATCTGACCCGCAAAATACCTCCCCCAATGACTGCACACTTACTGAGGTTACGGGACATTTTTAGTGGTGACTCCACATCTGTGCAATCTGTTGCCACTTAAGAGTCACATAGTCCCAAACCCTGACGCCCTTTCAGGCATGCTGTTGAAACATTATTATTAATATTATTATTATTATTATTATTATTATTATCTCAAGCCTTTCATCTGCGGTGAGAGTTTACTTGATTGGTGTTTCCCTGCTGGTGGTAAAACAAGAAAATAAAAGCTCTCGATTCCGTTATCTTTGAGGTTTTCCTTACTGTTTACAGTTTAAATTGGGGTGGGGGGGTTCCCAGTGATTTTTTTTTAAAAAAAGGTTTTTCACCATTTTTCAGAGCTCCTATGAATCGAAAAGCGGATTATAAATTTTCAAATTAAACGAATAAGTGAAATAAAACCGAGTCAGCTTCTCACCCCAGGCTAATATCATCACAAAGCATCCTGCATTAATTGAGGCCCCACAGGGCAGTTGTGTTTACAAGCCAACACAATTTTTCATCGCTAACTGGATCATTAACACAACAGTGTGTGAAGAATAGCGCTCTATGCAATTCAATGTGCGCTGAAAATCACCTCAGAGGGCGTCAGCAGTCTCTCCTTTACCTCTGCCAGGATGCAGAAAATTATACCGTTGGCTACCAGCATCCCAGGATGAAGCTTGCCATGCATTATATATATATTTGAGACGAAAAGGTTAGAGGGATCAATTTATAATTTAATTAAGCTCAAACCTCTAGACTCTTTCCTTACAAGGTTAAAAATACAACTTTACCTTAGACTCTCCAGGCACGCCATGTTTTATTTCAATCCATAATAAGATAATATTTATGTTGTTACTTGAGGGACAGTCGTTTTTCACTCGACGCCCTCAGCAAAAGGCCCAAGTAAACAACTTTGCTGAACACAGAGTTTCTTCCATTAAACATAAATAAATGTTTCCACATTTTCAGGTTTGTGGCAGAAACCTACTTCTTTTCGCACTCATACCGCTAGGACCCGCAGTCAGCCGATTTAACTGATTGGCAGGAGAGCCAGACAAAAGTGAAGGACTTCTTCATGCAGTGGGTAACAACTTTGTGGAAGTTGCTGCCACAGAACGCAGCAATGGGCAGTAGTTTCGGTGGCATCGAAAGGGGATTAGATGAATTCATGAAGGACAACCGCAGATAGACTTACTAGCTCAGGGGTAGCCAATCTTCTGCTCTCCAGATGTTCTTAAACTCCAGCTCCCATCCACCCCAGCCATCATGGCCCAATGATCAAGGATGATGGCAGCTCTAGTCCAGCAGCATCTGGAGAGCAACACATTGGCTACTTGGGGTTGTTTCCAAAGCAATGCACAGCAGAACTTCTGTTTCCTCCTCTGCTGCCTGCCCACCAAATCTTGTCCAGATGGTCTTCTAATCCTCTGGAGCTGATGTTGAGGGTGCACAGGGAGATGCAGGAGAAAGGAGGGTGTTAAGTATAATTGTTTAATTCTCACTGAAATGGAGAATGCCTAAATGTGTATTACTGAAGGCTTCATCCTGGGGATTTTCCATGGGGCTATATTAAGCTCTCTGGGTTCCTAGATGGGTTGATACTTAATTGTTATTGTTCTCTGCTAGCTCTGACATAGTGTTTTTTCTTTTAGCTCTGGCATAGTGTTTAACCGTAGATCAGGTGACAAAGGTATTTGGCTGCAAATCTCCATTTTGAAACCTGATCTCCATTTGCCACTTGATCTAGATTAAACACTCACGTGTTAGCTAGCAGAAATCAGCAATAGTTACTTATCAACCCATCTAGGAGCTCAGAGACCACAATATACATCAGTAAAATTTCTCCACATTAAAACCTTCAGTAATACACATTTAGGTATTCCCCCATTTCAGTGTCAATTAAACAATTATGCTTAACGATGGAATCCCAGAATAATCACAGCTTTCATTGCGGGAGGCCAAGGCTGCACAAGGAAGAGTGGCAGAAAGCAGTGGTTCTTTGCAACACAGCATGAGAGGAGAATCTCCATGGCTGGCTGTTCAGAACATCCTTCCAGAGCAGTACCCAAGGGCAAATGTCCCATTTACCCAACTGGACGGAAAAAACCTTCAGTCCTGCTCTTTGGAAAAAGACACCTGCTTTGGAGCTCCAAGGCTAAGTTTAAGGCATTGCCTCCAGGAGAAAATGATTGTGAATCCCTTTAAAGAGCAACATGGCATTACTTGATGGGCATTCTTCTTCTCCAGGGGAGACATGGCGAGAGGTCTGATGGCGACATTTTAATTTTCCTTTCTCATTAGCTGCTTTATGCCAAAGCTGGCCGTGTTTTTGTGTGTGGGAGAAGCCACACTTGCTACGTTCGGGCACGCTGCCTTATTAGCGACAAAATTATTTGTGTTTCTCTTCTCTTTGCAGAGCTGGCCGCCAAGAGGTGTTTGTGCATGATCGCTTCCCCACTCAATTTGTTATTGTAATTGCTGCCATTGCCATTTTTAAAATTAAGCGAATAAAAGCCAAGATTGGTACCTGGCGTAGCAGTGATCAGAGCAATAGAACAGGAAGGCATAAACTTGGAGATGTTAATTCAAGGTTGCCTGTTATAGCCAGAACAGGCTATAAATAACCAGATAAGATGGGGGAGAATGCCCTTAAACCTCAGAAGAAATTCATTCTTTTGTTTTCAGAACATTAGGGAGGTTCTTTTTCCATTTTTCTCCCTCTGTGTTGATATCCTTGATTGAGAGCAGTCAAAGCAAAGCCAGCACTTCACTTCTGAAACTGGGAAAAGCTGCACAGAATGCTAATTCTTTTATCAGTCCTTTCACACGTGGAGCATCAAAACCGAAAACCGGTAGCATCTGAGGCATTACACTCCCTATTTAACTGCTGTGAACTCTTTGCCATAATTAAAACCACCTTGGTACCCAGTGCTGGAAGCCCATCAGATCCTGGCTGTCTCTTCAGACAAGTTCCAAGGAAATGGCTGAGATTGAGGAAGCATCTAGTGACCAATATGTTATAATCCTGTGATGGCCAATTATAAGCAAAGATCCACAGTGGATTATTCAGTCGGCCAGCTGAACACTACTAACTTCAGAATAATAGCAGCTTTTTGATAACCACAGAACAAAAGTGGGCCATGAAATGCTTCCCTTCCAAGTACTCAAAGTACAACAACAACAACAATGTCATTAATTATATGCCGCCCATCTGACTGGCTTGCCCCAGCCACTCTGGGCAGCTCCAAACAGAATATTAAAAACACAATAAAACATCAAGCATTAAAAACTTCCCTGAACAGGTTTGCCTTCAGATGTCTTCTCAACCTCAGATAGTTGTTTATTTCCTTGACATCTGATGGGAGGGTGTTCCACAGGGCAGACACGACTTCTTGCAGTGAGGGAACCACCAGCAGGAGCTGGACCTCAGTGTCTGGGCTGGACGATGGAGGGGGAGACGCTCCTTCAGGTATACAGGATGGAGGCTGTTTAGGGCTTTAAAGGCCAGCACAAACACTTTGAATTGTGCTCGGAAACGTACTGGGAGCCAATGTAGATCCTTTAACGCAAAGGAGTATTTACTTGGACATCAATATAGGGCTATTTAGTATAGAGAAAAAGTAAGAGGTGACATAAGTTTATAAAATTATACATGGCATGAAGGGAATGCATTATTTTCTCCGCTCTGATAAAAATGGCACTAGTTGGCCTCTGTGAGAACAGGAATCTGGACTAGATGGGCCAGTGGCCTGATCCCACAGACTCTTCTTATAGGTCGAATGACAAGGGGGCCACCCATGCTCAGAGAGTGTCCCCACGTGCAACATCTTCCCCTTGATCTAAGTGGAGGGAGTAGGGATGAGCATATGAACTTATGCCTTCCACTGAAGTGAATGGGGAAGGAACATATGTCGGGATCTCCGCTTGGCCAAGCTGATAAAGGTCATTTTCTTCCCCCAAGTCTTCGGAATCGCCTCTCGGCGAATAACGACCTGAGCCTTTGATGAGGCTCCAAGGCACGTTCCATTCAGCAGAGTTTCCAGCACAGGAAAGAGACGAGAGGTTTGGGCTACATTGTAAAGAGTTTATTTCTAAGCTACGCAGACAGAAAAAACATCCTCTCTCTATGAAAGAAGAGCAACTGAACAAAGGAAACAGGAAACCACTAATGTCACATCCTGTCTCCTTTCCCGTGAGACTGGAAGGTCTCTGGAATGTAAACAGAGTCCTGTGACTCCAAGCAGCTGAACAGTGATAAGAACAGAAACTAACACCATATACCCCACTCAGTAGCCAGACCTAACTTGGGTGAATCTACCCATTCAGGACCAAACAAGACCATGATGATAAACCACATGGTGGTCCCTTGAATGTTTGCTTTTTCTTTATCAAACACTTGTCATGGGCAAAGTGCTCTGGTGTGAGACCATGGTTCACTTTACCCATGAACATGGCACTAATCCAGATTACACTTACACACACACACACACACACACACACACACACACACACAGTTATTCTTAAAGTGAAGAAGAATAAACTATGCAAGGGCCAATAATGTGATTGTGAGCAATCATTTCTTTGAGTAAAATCTTTCCATAGGATCCTTACCATAGGATTACCATAGGAACTAATGCCAGTGTACTGGAAGAAGCAAAGATCACCAGTGTCGAAGCACTGTCTTCAACATCAACTTCGTTGGACTGGTCATGTTGTGCAGATGCTTGATTATCGTCTTCCAAAGCAACTACTCTATTCCGAACTTAAAAATGGGAAGCGTAATGCCAGTGGTAAACAAAAGAGGTTTAAAGACCCTCTCAAGGCAAATCTAAAAAAAAAGGTAGTATGAACACACAACTGGGGAACATTGGCCTGTGAGCACTCCAATTGGAGAACAGCCTCTACCAAAGGCTTTGAAGACGCTCGAACTCAGGACAAAAGGAAGAAACGTACTAAGAGGAAGGCAAGCTTGGCAAACTCTCACTGTGATCAACTCCCGCCCGGAAACCCATGTCCCCACTGTGGAAGGACGTGTGGATCCAGTATTGGCCTCCACAGTCACTTACGGACTCCCTGTTAAGACCTTGTTTACGGAAGACAATCTTAGTCAGCCACAACTGATGGCCAAAGATTTATAGTGAAGAAGAAATTATGCAAGGGCCAATAATGTGATTGCGAGTAATCATTTCTTCGCGTAAAATCTTACCATAGGATCCTTTTTGGATATTCCGCATTACACTGCATTTGGAGGAGCCCCCCCCCCCCTGTGTGTGTGTGTGTGTACATCCACACATTTACCTCCAGATATTTCTGGACTACAACTCCATTGCTCATGCTGGTGGGGGGTGATGCAAATTAAGAGTCCAACAACATCTGCAGGGTCACAGATTCTCCTCTCATAATAGAAAATATATCTATCTGCACATAGATATCTAGTGCATTTCTAAATGGGAACTAGTACAGTAAAAATAGTATTATTAGCTAAGTTTTACTCAGAGTAGAACCACTGAAATTAGAAAACGTGATTAAGTTAGGTCCATTAATTTCAACAGGACTATTTAACTCAGTAAACCTGAGTTGAGTAACATTCATTATATGAGCATTTGCCATGAATATATCTGACACCTTGTACAAAACAATATCCGGCTTATTACGGTGTGTGACAACCCCTCCCCGTTGCTAGAAAGAAGAATCAGGAAACAATGTGGGAGAACAACTATTCTGTTAATCAACACAGAAAATGTTAAATCCTAATGTTAGAAACATTTGTGCCACCTTGCTGGAAAGGATATTCACTTTAATAAGCAACTTTTGGATGTGCATGGGCAAAAACTGAAGATTTATTTTAATTTCTTGCTTTAAATGTCATTTATTTTCATCACAGTGATGACTTGTCAGAATGCACTCCAAGCGCATCTCACCATCCCCCCCCCCTCCAATGAAGATAAATGCCAAGCTGAAATAAACAGATGAGAGAATATATTTAGAATTCGGACGTTTAGCAATACAGCTTTTTGCTTTTTTTTTTTTAAGGCTCGTTGTTGTGGGGGAGGCTTAGAGAAATGTAAGAGGCAAGTTATTTACTGTAGATCTTCAGAAACAAAATCTTGTTATGATGGCAATTATCTAGATTAGCACATGCGAGGCAGAATTACGTATTCATCTATCACATGCTCAAGGAGGCTATACAGGACAACCAGGCAGTGTTCTGTTGATACTTATTGCAGCGTAATTCACTTTTAGACCATTCCCAATGCCATTATGCTTTGAAGCACCAAGTGGCTAATCCTGTTGCTGGCTAGGGATGGGGAACCTCCAGTTTGCAAGCCAGAGTTGGCCTAACATGTGTCCCCATGAGCCCGAGGCAACTTCTCCCAAACCATGCCCATCTGTCCCACACCTTAAGTCATATGTGAGGCAGATAGAAACATAGAATTGTAGAGTTGGAAGGGACGCTGAGGGTCATCAACCCCCTGCAAAGTAGGAATCTCAATACGTGGTCCCCCAATTTGAAACCGTGCTGGCTCACACTTAGCTTTGCAAAGGCGCTAGCAGTTTTATTGCTGCATCACCAGGACGCCGCCCTGGTGGTGCAATAAAGAAGAAGAGGAGGAGGAGGAGTTTGGAGTTGATATCCCGCTTTATCACTACCCTAAGGAGTCTCAAAGCGGCTAACATTCTCCTTTCCCTTCCTCCCGCACAACAAACACTCTGTGAGGTGAGGCTGAGAGACTTCAAAGAAGTGTGACTGGCCCAAAGTCACCCAGCAGCTGCATGTGGAGGAGCGGGGAAGCAAACCCGGTTCACCAGATTACGAGTCTACCGCTCTTATATGTGCCGAGTGGCTGACTTCCAGCACATTTATTATTATTAAATGCAAACTTTCTTATTTCAGGCAGTGGCCCAGTCTCACCAATGAAAAAACAGAGAAATGCGGACCCAGGGTGGTGCTTTCAAACACCAAGTAAAAAATGGGCATTCTGCAATTTTTCCCCCCAGAAAATGAAATACTGCAAGTGCATTTGCCTGCCTAATGCTCACAACTCTACCATATAATATCCCAATTTCCTCCGCTGAATAGAAGCAGAAACCATCCTTTTCAAAGATGACAGCACCTCTGAAATATACCACCGTGGGCCATGTTTTGCAAAAAGAGGAAAAAAAGGTCTTTCACTGCAACCAAATGCTATTTTCCTCCGTAACTGAAAAGCCACTGAATGAACTGCTAATATTGCCGGTGCCTTCAGTCCTCAGTACCTTCTTTGGATGAATTACCAGGGTAAATAAGCACACCAGAGGAAGAAAATCTCATCGGCACACAGGGCTGACAGTCAAGTGACACTTCGACACTCAGCAGCAGCACAATTTCAGCTGCGAGGCTTTGATGGCTCTGCATTCAGTGCAAATGTACTCCAGAAAGTCGGGGGGGGGCAGAAATTAGAACAAGTAGCTTTTCCTTCTCTCTGCTTGAAGAAAACAGCAAGGTACAGCCTGTATGATGGATGGTTTCTTACCTCGGAGCCTGTGGAAGAGTTGGGCTCTCACTTTGCAGAAGAAGGGATTTTACTCTTGGAATCCATCCAAACTAAGGCTGCGATCCAACTCATGAGTAAGTTTCATGGAAATTAGTGAGATTTATTCTGATGTTGGTCTGCACAGGATCGGGCTGCAAAAGCCACCTTTGATGTTATACTTCCCCACACAAAGTAAGATGTCTAGTGTAGTGTGTGTGCACATTTTGACGCCACCAGAACTTTCAGTGTCCCAACGATATCGTAGGTTGAGGACAGTACTAATGTACTTGGGGTATAGTTGGGGTCATACAAAGCCATCTTATACCGAGTCTGACCAATTGGTCCATCTACCCGGACTGGCAGCGGTTCTCCAGGATTCAGATGGAGGTCTCTCCATCCTTGGGAGATGCCAGGGATCGAACCTGGAAGCTCCTGTATGCTCTACCAGTGAAGTGTTGCCCTTTCCCGAAATTATTCAGCTGGAATGACGAAGAAAACTCCCAGTGACAACCAGGAGTGTATATTTAGGCAAAAGAACTGTGAGCTCCATTCCATTCTGGTGCTCAAAACAGCTCCACCTTCCAGGCCCGATTCTTCCTTCTTAGAAAGCTACTTTTACTTGATTTGCAGTATTGACTGCACTGTAAATTCCCCCCTTCCTTTACCCACCTGTAGTTCTCACTCAGTCAATATTGTAAATAAGGGGTAAGTGGGGAAATCTCAGGTCAGGGGGCCAAAAGCAGTCCTCCAGGCCACTGTATCTGGCCCTCAAAACCTTCTCTAGTTATCTTCCACCCCAGGCCATGCCCCTCACTGCTCCCTTGAGTCCTTCTGCTTGTGGCTGGAGAGCGTTCTTGAACTGTGGTTACATCTCTTGCCTACTACAGCTGTTGCTCTACCTATTTTTTCCTCTGGCCCCTGGAAAGTTTCCCAGGAGGAAATGCAGCTCTCCCCCCCCCCCATTGTAAACTGCTGAACTAACAGTCTCAACACAGATGTAATAAGGCATGGGAGAACATTTCTAGCAATAGTGAGCACCATGTCCAATTCTGTTTTCCTGCTGTTGCTTATTTAAATATTTCTATACGCAGCGGAAATAAAACAAGGAGTAAAAGTTCAAACCATGATGCATTGCATTTATTTAAGGGCAACGATTTCAAAATTAGAACACCATAGAAAATTTTCAACATATCCACAACCCGTCATAGGAGAAAACTACTCAATAAGTAACATGCAGTCCTAGCTGGGAAATAACAATTTGTTCTGGTCTCCAGTATTGAACATGGCACCTGCCATTGTGAGAAACAGGACGTGGCATCACCTCCTTTGGCAATGGCCTTTGGCTGAGTGCAACTGTGCACTTCCAACTTGAGTTCAAACGGCTCCTTGTTCAGATTTTCTCATGTCACGCAACTAGCTTTGTTTGGGAAAGGATTTCGTTCACATAGCTGTTGTTTTTTGCCCCGACTTCATCTTTCAGCTGCTTCAATTTGGTTCTGATGTCCTCCTCAGACATGTCCGCCAGTGGCAATGCTTTCACATTAGAAAGGAAATCCTTGATTATTTTTTCACCTTCCTAGAAAGGAAAAGAAAATGATGTTCAGCCTCTGATTTGCGCCCTCCTGGATTCCTCTGCAGCATGGGTGGGGAGCCTCAGAGGCTTCTGCTGCACCATTTCTAAGCCCCTACGAATGCATTCATCTGGCACTGAAAATAGCAATTTCAACAACCATGGGTTTGTGGATCAATGACTTAAAATGGCAGAAAATGGCAAATTAAGCAGATGTGATACACAGAAGATCTAGATTCAGACTCCTAGCTAAAGTGTGTGTGTGTGAATACTGATTGTTATCACAGAATCTATTTGCTTTGGCTGCTGCACCCAAGTGATTTATACAAGTCCTGATAGCCTTTAATTCCTAATACTGTGTGTAACTGATGAGATGAGCTTTAGTCCGTAAAACCCCAGGCTACAATAATCCGGTTCATTATCTTAAGGTGCAACTAGAGTTTCCTTGCTGCAGCAAACTGACATGGCTACTTCTCAAAATCAGTTCACAAAGCGTTCTTTACAGTTCTGTTTATACCATTCAGCAAACATGTCTGGACAGCATCAGTCTAACTGAAGAAATCAGGGAAGAAATTTGCAGACTGAAAAGGATTAAGCATTAAACACACATTGGCGAGTGAGCTTTTGCAAGCCAGTGCTTCAAAAACACAGAAAGCATCATCTGAGCAGTTGTTAATGCAGCAGCTGTTGCTCACCCACAAATCATCATCTTAAAGCAAAGAGGCCGCAGAATGCAAAACTCTCAGTGATGCAGTAAGCTATATTTCCTGGTTTTGGAGGAGATGGCTCAGGGAGCTCAAAGTGGGTATCAGTCTTCTGATAAATGACATAGAGAGACAGGGACCCCTGGATGGTTAAGCCCAGTCAAAGGCAACTGTGGGGTGTGGCACTCATCTCATTTTTCAGGCCAAGGGAACTGGCATTTGTCCACAGACAGCTTTCTGAGTCATGTGGCCAGCATGACTAAACCGCTTCTGGCGCAATGGAATACCGTGACAGAAGCTAGAGTGCACACAAAAAACAACCGTTTACCTTCCTGCCGCAGTGGTACCTATTTATCTACTTGCACTGGTGTGCTTTCCAGCTGCTAGGTTGGCAGAAGCTGAGACAGAGCAACAGGAGCTCACCCCATCACCTGGATTCAAGAGACAGGAAGGCAGGCAGAGTATACTAGGCACCCTATAATGTTTTTTTGTAGGCACCATTCCAGGGGCAGTGGTATCACTTAAGAGGTTCTTGTTGACAAATCCGTATCTAAATCTTGTAGATACATTATAGAAAAGGGGGAAAGAAATGATTTCAACAAGCGTATGACAGTTAGCAAACCTGCTTCTCTTTGTAGAAGTTCCTGGCTGGTGGCTCTTCCTCCTCGGCCTGTGGATTTCCAACGGTCTGGAATTCCCCCAACTCCAAGGCCTTTGTCTTGGCATTCTCTATCACATGCTTGGGAAAAGCAGCTAGCTCTGCCACGTGGATGCCAAAGCTCTGGTCACAAGGCCCTGGAAGAAGCATCACTGGGGTCAGTCCTCAAAAGGTGAAAGCAGAACCTGTGCATCTGATTCCATGCTGCCTATTTCAGAAAGAGGGGGGACTGACTGCCTGAAAAGTGATGTCCGGGTCAAACTCCGCCCCAATTTCTAGCAGTTAAACATAATCCTGCTTGAGCTGGGGAAATCTGAAACTCAGCCTGGGTCAGGGGGTTTCAAACACCATAAAAGTGAACATTGCTAAGAAGCAGTAAGTTATCAAAATGGGACAAGAGTACAAAAGGAAAATGTCCATTTGGGGTTGCAAAAGCATCGTGTGTCAACCATTAAAAGTAATTTGCGGGGGCCATAAATTGGAAAGGATTCAGAGGACAGGAATGGAAAAGGGTACCGAAATATGTACATATCCAGCCCAGAGCCAAGCAATGTTGGGACACCCCCAAAAGAGGAGTAGCTTGGAAACTTCCATTTAAGTTAATGGTGGCTTCCTGTGTCATTCAAAACAGGAACGGTGGCTAACATTAACCATGGCTGCGTCAACAAGCCAGTTTCTTGAAGTAGTTTAAAGCTGGCTTGTTTGAAACCAATCAGGTAGTGTGGGTTAACCACAGTTTGCCCTCCAGGTGACATGACAGGCTGCTAACTAAAAGTGAAAGCTTCCCAACTCCTCTTCCTGGCCAGGTGGAGGGGTGGGGGAGCACATGAGTCCAGTGTTCACAATACACTAAACTAGGACCAGGGAATCTATGGCTCACCAGGTGTTGCTGAACTCCAATTCCCATAATCCCTGACCACTGGCTAAGTGATTTGGATTCCAACAATGTCTGGAAGGCCATAGGTTTCTCACAATGCCAACCTTCCCCCATGTGGTGCCTTCCAGCTTCCATCAGCTCCAGCCAGCATGGCCAACGGGCAGGGATGATGGGAGTCGTAGTCCCAAACATCTGGAGGACATCAGGCTGGTGAAGGCTGCTCTACAGTAAACAAGGTGGATTTGTTCCAGGGATCTGAAGCGAGCCTCACCATTTTTCACACGATACAGCATTGTCAGCGTGTCCTCTGTGGTTAGCGCTGTGACGTGCAAGTTATTCACGGTGGGGATCTCGTCAGCAAGTGCGGTCAGTTCGTGAAAATGAGTGGCAAACATACAAAACGCTCCAATTTTGCTGGCAATATATTCTGAGATTGCCCAGGCCAATCCAAACCCATCATAGGTAGATGTTCCTCTCCCAAGCTCGTCAATGATTACCAATGAGTTTTCTGTTGCAATCCTGAAACCAGAGGCAATAAAGTTGTCAAAAGTGGTACAGCTTCAAAACTAAACAGGAAAACTACACCACTGGCCCCTGAACAATCAAGGATACACAAATGCTACTTTCTCAACATTCCTCTCTTTTAAGAGCCTCCTCCAGATAACATTCCCTCTATTTCCAAAGTTTAGAACTCCTGTGTAGCCCAAACACTCCAAAAGTACTTCAGGGACTGAGGATGCTAAGTAGCCAAAGAATGTAAATGTCTGAATTTCATGGGAAGGAGGGTAAAGAACCTACGTGTGGAATGGAGTGTCCTGGAGAAGGGTACTGATATCTGACTATGGGACTGAACAGGAACACAGGATACTGAAACATTTTGCTGTAGGTCCCATTTGTTCCCAATAATACTGAACTAAAACGGCAATCAACTTAGAAGCAAAATGAGCCCGTTGTTTTCTTCCTATGTTTGGAGACTTCTGAGATTCTCAAAAATATACTATTCTCCAGTGGCTGTGGCCAGTCTCAGAGAGTATCTGTCCTGTGCACAAAACAGATCACAAGCACCTTGGGGAGTGGGGTCACTAAGCTTGTAGAAACACTTGGGGCTTCTGGCGAGCAAGGTTTGCAAACGAAGGTCTTACCTAAGGATGGCAGACGTCTCCAACATTTCCGCCATGAATGTAGACACGCCTTTCAACTGGCTGTCTCCAGCTCCTACCCGGGCCAGGATGCAATCCACAATGCTTATCTCTGCAGAGTCACATGGCACAAAACAGCCAATCTGGGCCATGAGAACAATCATCCCTGTCTGGCGGATGTAGGTGGATTTCCCTCCCATGTTTGGTCCTGCAGAGCAAGTAGCAGCAGGAAATTAAGCGGCATTTCAAGCAGGAGGAGTAAAGGTCTTCTTGACAACCTAATATGCAACTTCAGTTTAACATACTGTGCTGTTTTTTTATTTTAAATCACTTAGTATTTCAAAAATCTTTATGCGGTTTACGCTGTACATGATATAAAAACAATATCTATTGAAGCAAAATGAAACCTAAAACCAACAAAACAACATTAATTCTGATTAAATACAGCTATTCTTCAATGTCCTTCTTTATTAACTTTTGATTAATTATCATATTCATAAGCTGTTCTACCTTGACAGTGAGCAACACCACCACCAATGCAACCATGGCTGTTCCATCTGTATTTTATGAAAATCACTTCCACTGATTTGCATGTTGGGTCAGTTTTGCACTGGTTGTCAGGCTTCAAACTTGAAAGCTGAAACATTAAGGCTTGCCTGAAGATTGCTTCCCCATTTCAAATCAAAACACCCACCTAAATGCAGAACGCTCGTCTGCAGAAATTATTATAGGCTCATTTCTTCTCTGTTTTGAGGCCGGGATACAGGCTTATTTTAAAAGCATCCTCATAAATAACACGCACACATACAACACAGAAGATGGAGGCAAGAGGGGAAACAGGCATGGCATATAAACGAAGTTTTTACCGGTAATGATATGGAACATCTGCTTGCCCTTCTCAAAGGTCACATCGTTCGGGATGAAGGAAACGTCATCTTGAACTTCAATGCAGGGGTGTCTTGAGGCTTTCAGCACAATCTTCCCTGTCCCCTTTTCCAGAATTGTTGGGCGTACGTATGGGGTTGGCGCTGCATTTGACGCATGAGCAAAACTGACAATAGCATCCAGCTGGGCTATGACATCACTCAGGATCTGTATGGGCTCCTTATACCCTGTTGGAAAAGCACAGGCTCAATGCAGCTTCCTGCGTTGCAGAAATCTAAAAGGAATCCAGACATTAATCTGGCACCGCCACCCGCTTCTATCAACTTCTACCATCCTAGCATACAATGAGAATTCTAGCTGGTGATGTGATAAGCCAACTTGCAGGTGAGAACATAGAACACTTTTCTTTCTTTGCATTTGAATATCCCAAGGTGGGGGCGGGAGGGAGGTCAATTGGGGTCCTGGCTTCATGGTTGCAGGTGCAGCCGTTTCAGTTATGCAATATCCTTGGCACCTCAGTGAAATGTGTTGCTGTCCCCTCTGGCTGAGTGGTCCCTCTCCCTGCAGGCTCAGTGTCCACACCGGAATCTGTATTATACGAAGTCCTATCAACGGTCCATCTAGCTGAGTACTGTTCATACTGGCTTTCCAGGGTTTCAGACAGGGGACGTTCCCTGTCCTATCTGGAGATGCTAGGTTCTGAATCTGAGACTTTCTGTATGCAAAGCAGATGCTATACCTCTCTCTTACCACTTTCATTTCACTTTAAAAAAACAGCCAGTCTAAATAGCCACACCTATTTCACTACATTAAAAAAGGACACATAAACCACTGTGGCACAAGTCTAGGTAGTGCGTATGGAAGTCCTGGGCTGCCCGGACGACAAGACCTGCCCCCTTCGGCCTCGCTGGGGTGGTCCAAATGAAAGCAGAGCAATATGTTTGGACCAGCTTGGCTGCAGGAGTTGCCGGAAGGAGGCGCACAAGGTGCCATCCAACCATCGTAGGGACTCCACTTTGGATTGGTGCAGGGCTTACTCTTTAACCTTTTCTTCTCCCCAAGATGTCCCACAAGCTAGCAGGTACGGGTTGTTCCTCAGGGTTTGCTCCCAAAGCCTTTCTCAGGAACGAGTCTAGCCGCAAGGCAGCAGAGGTTTAGGATCAGGGTTTTCCTTCTCCTAGATGGGCTACCTTCCCAGGTTGACGATCCCCATGTGCCCCTCACTTCCCTCTACAGCCCGTGCAAAAACAATCTTCTTGAATATTGGACCCGCTACTGGCCTAGTCCGTTCAATCCGCAGGAGCCTGACTTCGCATGCAGAGGATAGTCAAGTCTTAAACACACACTACCACAACTGCAGTGCTCATCAGGAACAGTATCTTCCCCCAACCCCCCATCCTCTCCTGACATATATACACTAAGTGCAACCCTCAGCCATGAAGGCTCTTGAAATCCTCAACCACCAGTACTCAAAGTGAAGCAAACTACCCCAAACCACCACTTATGTCGCTGAGGATGTCTGGGCCATAAAAAGTGTTCTGCCCCTAATAAAAGGTAAAGGGACCCCTGACCATTAGGTCCAGTCATGGCCAACTCTGGGGTTGCGGCGCTCATCTCACTTTATTGGCCGAGGGAGCCAGCGTACAGCTTCCGGGTCATGTGGCCAGCATGACTAAGCCGCTTCTGGCAAACCAGAGCAGCACATGGAAACGCCGTTTACCTTCCCGCCGGAGCGGTACCTACATATCTACTTGCACTTTGATGTGCTTTCGAACTGCTAGGTTGGCAGGAACTGGGACTGAGCAAAGGGAGCTCACCCCGTTGCGGGGATTCGAACTGCCGACCTTCCGATCGGCAAGTCCTAGGCTCTGTGGTTTAACCCACAGCACCACCCGCGTCCCTGAGTCTGCCCCTAATAATGACACCCAACTCCGTCCGTCCCCCCTCAACTTCAGGTGAAGCACTGCATTCCTTAAAAATATGCCTGAAGGCAGTTACTGACTGCATAAGGGATAACAAATGGAAGCTTAATCCAGGCAGTAAAGAAGTGATAATGATGGGACAGCCCAAAACTATCCTAGCAGAGTTAGATCCCCCACTAAGGATGAGATTTGCAACCAGGGGTTGCTCCTAAACGCTGAACTTCTGTTGGATTCTCAGGCGACTGCAGAGCCTAGGAGTGCATTTTGCTGGGTTAAGCTAGTGAGCCAATGTGATGCTCTTTTCAGATAAGGAGTTGAACTCAGTCCCTCATGCTTTAGTAACCTCCCACACAAGTGACTGAAACATGACCTACATGTATTCTATGTTTCAAGAAGCAGCTAGCGCAGAATGCTGCAGCTCATCTGATCACGGAAGAAGCCTCAGTGAAATATTCCAGATCTAGCTCATCTGCAGTGGCTGCCTGGCCCGGTCGCTTCCAGGCCCAGTTGAAATTGCTGCTGCTGATCTTTTAAAGTCTGCATCAGAGCTGAGGAACCTCAGGCCAGGGCCTTGATGCAGCCCTCTTCACCCCAGGCCATGTCCTCTCACCCCTAAGCAGCCATGTTCCACACCCAAACTGTCCTTTAATTGGGTTCGTGAACTGATAATACCTGTCGCTTGCCTAGATGGAGAGCTGTGGGGCAGTGGGACTGAGGCTAAAGAGCAATGAATGTAAATTTGGCTTTTGTGCGGTAGGCAGTTTCTACACCCACAAACACCCACCCACACATCCTTTCTATTCTCCATCCTGGGAAGTGAAGAGACACTATCAGAGCTTATTTCAGCCAGGATAAAGCACTCAAAGACAGTGTAAAGCAGGGGAAGTTGGGGTGCTGCCTGGGAAAGTCCCATGAGCCAGATATTGAGGTTTGGGGGGCTGCATTCAGCCCCTGAGGTTCCCCACCCTGTTGTAGCATCAAACCAAGATATGGTACTACGCCTGAACAGAGTCACCGAGTACTATAAAGCACTAGTTGTGGGCTGCGCCAAAGTATCATTAAGCTCCAATTAAGCATTTGAAACCAACTACACTCAGAGCCTGTTGACACTACTCAGGAAGGATCCTGCCGCTTATTTGCCAAGTCCTAAAGTATGTAAGCGATGTCAGGTGACAACATTTTAGCACTCGGAAAGCTCATTCTGCAAGTGCACACCAGGGAAATCACTCTTGCACATTTTAGTATTCTCTCTGGAAAGTTTTCCAGCGCAAACCTTCGCCGTCTCATTGAACTGGTAAAGAGCAAGGGCTAATTAAACTGCTGTGAGCAACCCTGGCTTTGAAAAGGCATATCACTAGCTGTTAACACTGAATGCATAAATTGGTTGACAAGACAGACCTGCTGTCTCTCTATTATACATAAAACCTTCCACAGGGACAGAATCTGATCTTCTTGACAGCATCATTCTTATCCCCACCCCAAACGAACACCCCAATTCACTTTCACAACGCCTCCCAATTGTGCGTTTTATTGCCCCATGCAAACTACCATGCAAAGATGTCTGGCCAGATGTTCAGAGACCAGTTTCTACCCACAAAAAGCTACTGGGGAAACAATTATAGATAATTGCCCTGGAAGGAGAAGTTAGGGAAGGTGGGTGGTGTTAGCTAATGCAGTTAAGAAAACCACCACTAATGTACTCACTGAGATATTTGCAATTCTGCTCCCATGCACCCACAAAGCTAGGAGGCATTCACCCGAGCAGCTTTTCCTCAAACTGCTGCTGAACATGCTAGCGTGCTCCAGCAGAGCCACTTCGGCTTTGGGTCAAACCAGATGAGATGGAGATTCAGTCACAGATTTCCTGATTCTAGTTTTTGTTCATTTTTTTACACATGGTGGTAGGGTACTTTTATTTTTCCCATAACAGGCAGGAAAAGGGCACAGGAAGCTGCCATATAATAAAGTCAAACCACTGGTCAATCTTACTACGTACAGCCTACAAACTGACAGGCGGAGGCTCTCTGGAGATTGTACAGAATGCTGCCATTCTGCTTGCGCAATGGACTTTCAATGGCTCAATTAATCTCCCCACTACCTCTCCTCTCCTGTGCAGCTCCCCATGCATGCCCAAAAAACCTGCTCGTGGGGGGGGGGGGCGTCCTCCCAGCCCCTTCTTATCTCTCTTCCCACAACTTCCCTTAGTGTTACCTCTACTACAGAAATTTTGATTGTAAGATCCTTTGGGGTAGGGAACTGTATTTTGCTTATGTAATTCTGTAAAGTGCTTTGTACATTTCGCATCAAGCAATAAACACAAGATGTAGTCAAACAAAGAAGCCAGACGATTCCACAGCTAAACTAAACACCAGAGCACCCACAAATGAAGAATGAAAAGATTAAACGGTGCAATCTATTTGTTCATTCATTAAGCAGATTAAAAATATGAATTTTATGCAGGCTTTTTATTAGAGCTGTCCTCAGCGAAATTGATTCAGCACCGACTAAATTACCTGCGTCTTTTTGCCAGCTCGATACAAAACAGTCACCACAGAGGCCATGTCAAGTTCCTTCCTTTTGCAAGATGAAAACTGGGCTAAAATGGACAGACTATGGCCGTGTTTACACATTTGAAGGACTATGATGCCTTTTTAGACAGTCATGGCTTCTCTCAAAGAATTCTGGGAACTGTAGTTTGTCACAGAGCTACAATTCCCAGAGTTCCCTGTGAAGAAGGACTGATTGTTAAGCCATTATGGGACCTGTAGCTCTGTGAGGGGGAACAGGGGCCTCTTAGCAACTCTCAGCGCACTCAACAACTATAGCTCCCAGAATCCTTTGGGAGGACGCCATGACTGTGGTATCACAGCACTTTAAATGTATGGTTTGGATGTGCCCTGTGATATAAAGCTTTGGCTGCAGATGTCTTAGTAAGTTGGACCCCTTCAGATCTAATTCAGCTTTAATCCAATCACATGGCAAATACAGCAGCCAGCACAAGGGGGGGGATTGGTTGTATGAATGCACCATTAAACAAATTTATAAAACCTTTAAAAAATGGCAATCTTAGCTGACAATGTATTTCTTTTCTTATTCATTTATTTATTTCCAGCCATTTTACCTAAGCGGTGCAGTATCAATACCTCTCAGCACGTTTTAACACCTAAAGCAGGTGGTGTTATAATCAACACTTCCGTTTCACTCAAAGCAGCTGGCAGCAAAATGCAAACGCAGCGCACAAAGGTAAAACGCTACGAGGCCCAATCTCACACACTAAACGAGGCTAACTGTTTGAACAGCACATTCCTTTAGCTGCCGTGCCCAAGTGCTTGGGCGCCCGCTGCGCCCAAGAATTTAAGCAATCTGGAACAGCTTACGCAAGAGAAAACCACAAGTCTTTCTCATCTGTATCACCATCTTACTCATGCTAAAGCTGCCTGCACATCAGTGCCCTGTCGGAACAGGATTTGAGGGTTCCCGTTGCTTGAATCTACATCTGATTCATGAGCACAGAGATCTCTGCAATGGCGCCCCTTTAGGACACTTAGGGGTGCAGAGGTGCAAACTGTCACATTAAAAATCACAGGACATGTACACGTGCCAAAAATAATAGATCAGTGACAAAAAATGGCACCAGCATGTTTTAAAGCAAAGAATAGTATTTGGATATAAAAACAGACGTCTGGCAGTTCCTAGCAGTTTTAAAGCCCTCTCTAGACATTGATTGAGATGCTGTGACCTCAGACAACTGATGCTCAGAGTTGCTAGCATGCTCACTTTTGTTTCTAGAAGCGAGACCACCCAACCCGCCACTGTCTGAACAGCCGTGATGTCAGGGAATGTTCCTGGAAAACCAGAACAGGGACAGGAAACCAAGGTGGAAGGAAGGCTACGGTTCTGAAGTGCCTTCTGTTTCATTAGCAGCAGTTGTGCTGACATCTGTAGCTGAGTGCGATATAATATCCAGAGGAAAACCCAACCAAGTTCTGCTTGGCACCTCTAAGCAGACATACGGCTGCAGGCCATGTTGGCAAATTGTTTTCCGCAGTTAACGTAGTTTGTCCTCACCACAAGATGGGTCACATTTCTATTTCAGAGAGGCCGCAGGCTGAGAGCAGACCAATTACTTTTGTACTCACTCACAAATGGTGTGTGGGTGTTCTACTCCTGGTTAAAACATATCCTCGGAACATATCTGGTGATTCCATGTATAAGCACACAGTGTTCCTTACCTGAGGCAACGCCGATGATTTCCTTAACAACGATGGCCTGGCTTTTTTCATACTCTCCTCTGATACTTATGTATTCTTCATTGATGCTTTTCAGTTGACTGTGCAGGAACCAAAAGGAAAATGTTAGCAAACTTCCGCAACCTGGCAGAACACTTCACTGACTCGCACCCACCCCACAGGAAGTTTAGAAGACACTTCCATTGCCGTTCCGAAGCAAAGGCAGGGATATGTGTTTCACGCACATGTTAGAGAACTTCACCCCGTTCTTCTGGGTTTCCAAGACCTTATACTTCAGGTTGTTTCGCAGGACCTTCTCTTCTTTGTAGGTGATTCGGAAAAAATGCCCAAACTGGGAGTTGCATTCTAATTTGATGCTCTTGCCGGCTTCCAGACCTGTTTCATGGGAAGGGATTGGGGGAGAATAAAATCCATGACTGATTGTGGCATTATAAACACACAAATCACATTTTCGTTATCCCCACTCAGTGAGTCAAATTTCTCTCTTGGCTGGGTTTTGCTGCTTGATATTGTACCAGGCCACCTGCCGAGAAATTAACTCATAGTCACAGGGCTTGGAACAAGTCCTAACACCTAGCTCGCTAAGAGTTAAGAGGAGTTTCAAACTGCGGTTCCACTCACCACTTTAGAAATCCCTCTACTGTAATGCCACGGAAACCTAAGATTATCCAAATTGGCAAGGAGAGGGAGCAGCTCTTACAGGAATGCTTTATTTATTGACACTGGATTGACAAGATCATCACAAAGGATAAACGCATGCCTGTACTTCAACCGTTCTGGCTGCTGCACCTCCAAAAGGGTATTGTAGAGCTCAAAAAGGTGCAGAAAAGAGCAACCAGAAGTTATCAAGGGTCTGAAATACTTCCCCTACTAGGAAAAACTTACATGGGTTGGGACTATTTAGTTTAGAAAAAGGGCAAGTGGGAAGAATGACTGAGATTTCCACTGTTGTGCATGGTGTGGAGAAGGTATATAGGTAGACGTTTCTCTCTTTCTCACAAGACTCAGGGTCATGGGTTTGAGTCCCACGCTGGGCAAAAGATTCCTGAATTGCAAGGGGTTGGACTAGATGACCCTTGTGATCCCTTGCAATATAGTACAGTGGTACCTCGGGTTACATACGCTTCAGGTTACAGACTCCGCTAACCCAGAAATATTACCTCGGGTTAAGAACTTTGCTTCAGGATGAGAACAGAAATCGTGCAGCAGCGGCGAAGCGGCAGCTGGAGGCCCCATTAGCTAAAGTGGTGCTTCAGGTTAAGAATAGTTTCAGGTTAAGAACAGACTTCCAGAACGAATTAAGTTCTTAACCCGAGGTACCACTGTACTAGACTCCAACGTTATCCAACAAAAGCTGAATGGTGAGAGATTCAGGACATACAAAGAAAGAGCCCTTCTTCACACAGTGCATAGTTGCAATGATATCATTTGATGGCAGCTTTAAAGCACTCATTCCACATTGCCTCATTTGCCAACAGATCTCTGTGCGTCTGCCAAAGAAAACCTGTGCACTGCGGGGGATTCTGGGTGCAGGAGAAGAGGTGTTCACTGAACAGAGACAAGGCGCTGGTCAAGTTTGCTGGTGCTTCATGCAGGCATGAACTGACTAAGAGTGGACCTTAGAAGATAGCCAGTTCTCCTCCTTTGACCATGTATTGTGGGGGAAGTTTCCAACAACAGGTGTGTAGTTTTTTGTTTGTTTTTTAAAAAGCAAGTGCACAACTGTATTTTAAACAATGAGAATGTGAAGCATTTTTCAGCATCAAAACACGGACTGTGTGGATAAAGTGACGGTCATGCCAACATACTTAGTTCCCTTGCTGCCGCCTTCAGCACACCCTGCATTTTTTCCTCTAGCTTATCCATATTCTCTCTCAGCTCAATGAGGCTCGGCTCAATGGAGGGTTTCAAGAGGTATTCGTGGCTCTCCACCTGGGATATGGAGAGAGAAGAGTTATCCACAGAAGAGTTAAAAGCAGCCGCCATGACCCTTCGGTCATATTACGAAGCATTTAAAACCCACCAGTTCATCTAAAGCAACTTCTGAGACCACATAAACTAAGTAACAAATGTGGAAGATTAAAACTCTTGATTAGATCAGTCTAAGTGTCAAAACAAGTATTTATCAAAAGATATGTTAAGTTCACAGAACATTCTGGGGTTTGCAGCCTAAGGGCTGATCAACACCTTACATAAAATAAAAATAAATGAATGAATCACATGGTGAGGACTTTTACCTTTTTTTATTAAAAAAAAGTTCAGTCACGTGAACTCTATGCATATCAAAAATGATATGGATTTGGGATGATTCTAATAAACATTTATGTTATAGAGAGATGCTAAACTTTTCAACAGTAGCTCCTCATTTAGAGATAGCGAGATGTCGGCATTCCGTAACAGATTTGTCCCTTGATTTGGTGTACTTGAGTTTGGGCAGTTGCTCAGGCAACTGACATGACAAATCCGAGTGGCCAGGGGTAAAACGAACCCATTGTCTTTTCACGTAACTTAGCAACCATTTACTTCATATATGCAATGTGAGGACCATACAAGAATACCACCCAAGACACATGGCAATCTGTGGAGAGATTTTGGTTGGTTTTCATGTACCTTCTTATATATTCTATATGTCTGCAATGAAATTCAAAAGCAGCTAACAAGCATTTCTCCAGAAAGATCAGACGGTGCAGTCACTGTCTGATCTTTCTTGAGAAACATGTTAGCTGTTTTTATTGCTCATCTTTTATTACTGAGTTTTGAAAATACAAAACTTAGCAAAAAGAGTAGCACATCAGCAGGCTAGCCTAGAACCTCTCTCCACCAGTGTGACAATTCCTCACCTGCAGCCTGAAACTGCCTAGCTCAGGAAAGACTCAAACCTTTGCCAATCTGGTGCCTCCAGGTGTTTTAGACTGAAACTCCTGGCCAGCAAATGTCAGCTTAAGCTGCTGGGAGCTTCCATCCAAAACACCTGAAGGGCGCTGGAATACTCTACACTGAGATCCTGTTGAACAGGTAAGCTCAGATTGAAAAAGAACATAAAAATGTAAGATGAGCCTGAAGGACCATGTCAAGCCTGTAAGCTGGACATGAGCGCAACAGTACTCCGCCAACCTGAGATTCCCAGCAACTGGTATTCAGAGGCATAACGCTGTCTTTTCCACCCGCCCAAAATGGCAGATCATCTGGAATGCAGATGAACTTCACACTCTGGTCACACTTAAATCTAAATCTGCTCCACAAGCTCCTCAGGAGCACTGATCTTTTGGGGCTACAAAGCACAGTATGAATTCTAAAGAAAGAATGAGAGTTTAGTCAGGCTGCCTTCGAGATCCCCAAAAGAGAACGCCAGAATAACACTTCTATGAACACTGCAGAAATCCAGTGAACAGATCTTAGGCAATAATATATTGCGATGTCAAACTACTTCTCACATGTTTTCTCGTAATCAGAAGAAGAAGAAGAAGAAGAGGAGTTTGGATTTGATATCCCGCTTTATCACTCCCCTTCAGGAGTCTCAAAGCGGCTAACATTCTCCTTTCCCTTCCTCCCCCACAACAAACACTCTGTGAGGTGAGTGAGGCTGAGAGACTTCAGAGAAGTGTGACTGGCCCAAGGTCACCCAGCAGCTGCATGTGGAGGAGCGGAGACATGAACCCGGTTCCCCAGATTACGAATCTACCGCTCTTAACCACTACACCACACTGGCTCTCACACTGGTTTGAATCACTGCAGCCTTGCTCAAGTAGGGCCATGTCCAAAGGAACAATTTGTGCATAGTGTGTCAAGAACGGTGTTAATGCTAAATAATGCAGATGTGGTAGGAAGAACAGACTCAAAAGATGCCACTAGTTCATACAATGCACCATTTATGTATGAAATCTGCGGCCACCAGGTGTTTTGAGGGCCACTAGACTAGATGACTTGACGGCGACATCTCTGGGCTGCTTCTTTGCAGTGATGAGTATTAAGACACTCCCTTTTGGGTTTGGGAGAATGGGACAGCTGGGTTGGGAGGAAGGGGAGGCAAAGGTGAGCCAGCCTTGCTTCTAAGTCAAGGGTAGGCAAACTAAGGCCCAGGGGCCAGATCCGGCCCAATCGCCTTCTAAATCCAATCCGCGGACGGTCCGGGAATCAGCGTGTTTTTACATGAGTAGAATGTGTCCTTTTATTTAAAATGCATCTCTGGGTTATTTGTGGGGCCTGCCTGGTGTTTTTATATGAGTAGAATGTGTGCTTTTATTTAAAATGCATCTCTGGGTTATTTGTGGGGCATAGGAATTCGTTATTCTTTTTTTTCTTTTCAAAATATATTCCAGCCCCCCACAAGGTCTGAGGGACAGTGGACCAGCCCCCTGCTGAAAAAGTTTGCTGACCCCTGTTCTAAGTGATAGGTAGAATTCTGGGGCACTGCATGTCTGGTGAGATCATGAGCACAGCTCACAGATGTATATTAAGCACAACAGGTAATGGTGCAGTTTCACATTTTTACTGATTTACTTCTGTATTTATTGTGCTTTTATTCTTCTTTTGTATTAATCTGTTCACTGCTTTGTGGGCCTTTGGGTCCAAAAGTGGCACATAATAGCTATATGAATGGACCTCCAATGATAGAGAAAGCTAAGCGGCAGCAGAATGGGACAGCTATTGCCTTAATTACCCTGCTTGAGGACTTTCCCATGGGCCACTGCGGAAAACTAGATGGACCACTGATTTGACAAAGCAGACCTCTTCTTGGTAAACTTTCCATGTGGAAACAACTGCGCTGCCACTTCTAATAGCAGATTGCTGGAGCATATTCAAAACAAAACGGGTGTCCTCCTGGGGGACTCACTTCTGCTTGGAAGAGTTTTTGTGAAAAGACGCAGCTGCTACTGTGATCGTTTTGTCAGAGAGATGCTCTAACATTTACCCAGCAGGGACACATTAGCAAAACAGAGGATGAGGTGGTCTACTGTATTCCCGAAACACCAGCCCAGCCTTCCAGATAAGTACGGAAGTCAAATCAATCAACTGAAAAGTTCATCAGCCGGCTGCCTGACCGTACCTAGACCTAGAGCAAGGGTCAAAAGGTAGCTAGATACAGTCAGGCAGGCAGGCAGCCGGCTGATGAAGTTCCTTGGAGAAGTGGGTTTCTTCTCCAAATTGCTGAACAAATCTCAAATAGCAGCAAGTCATCAATGGCAAAAAGGACAATAAATAAGAAGCACAAGGTCTGACTAAGTATTAGATATATAGCAGCATGCAGAAATATCTGAAACAGGGCTATCGAGCTCTAGCTTCGAGGTCTACAAACTTCTAGCAGCCACACACAGTGGCATGAAAACCCAAAAGGCAAGCAAAATGATCCACCAATATGTTCTGCTACTAGATCTCATGATTGCTCTGCTAATATTTTAACTTCGAGGACAGACGCTCTATTGTTGCTGTTTTAAACTTCTGGATGTTAAGGGATGGGGAAAGGACTTTTGTGCACTGAAGGTTCAGCTATGTCAAAAAACATTTCCTACCTTACCAGGAATTGATTTTTGAAAACTCACCTCATGTTAGGTATAAGATAACATTCCTGAGGATCTATGCTTTTTTTTTCTTTTTTCAAAAACAGATTCTAGTCCTCAAGGTGAGTCACTGCCTCTCTCAAAAGTACTTTTCTTTCTTTTCACCTTGTACCAGAGCATCCTCAGAAATGCAAATTGCTTTGTTTTTGGTTTCCCCTTCATAATATGTTATTAAAGCTTTTTCGCACTTTGATTCATCAGTTAACAAACAAGATGGTTTTCAATATCCAGAGACTGGTCCCTCCCATTCATTTGCCCTCACATGTTAACTTCAAATTATCAACTCTGCACTTTTCTGCCCATTTGAGAAATCCATATAATGGGTTTCTGAAAGCAAAATTCAAAAACCATCTTCTATTAAATCTATCCCTAGCATTTTTAGGAGAAAAAAAACCTTTTAACTTTAAGCTGCCACATCCTTACACTGCTCACACGTTATCTGTTAAAAAGCTATTTTCAAAACAGTCATTTCATCAGGGAAAAACGAGTTTCTCGTAGGTCACACTACTCAAAATGGGACGAGGGAACCTCGCTTTTACCAGAAGCTTTGGGGGAAATAACAAAAGAGGTGAAAGCCTTCTATCCCCTTCACTCCCAAACTTGTAAGGATGATGAAAAATTCATTACAAAAATGCTGGAAAGGACTTGTGTGCTTTCTGCACATCACATTGTAACCTGCATTGCAGCAAAGAAAAGCTATCTAGAGCCTGCAGGGAATGGGAGGAGGGACACAGCTTTGTGATCACACTGTACTGTCAGCAACTACAAAGAAGCCCTTTGCTTGCTTGCGGACCAGGAACAGCTGAATGCCACCACCGAGGAAGTCAAAATATTCCCAGAAAAGTGCAGAGCAGACCCCAAAGAGAAAACAGGGGAAGTGAAATTATCTTTCCCTACATCTCCTGGCAGCTACCTGGACTACATTCAGGGGCACACCAATTATTTCCCTCCGTCCCTCTTCTGCGCTACAGCTCAGTGGCAAAGCACTTTCACTGCATACAGGCACTCCCGGCTCAGTCTCTACCGCTGCCAGCTAAAATGTTAGGGACGCAGGAAGCTAGCTTTGAACCAAGCCAGACCCTCGGGGTCCATCTAGCTTAGTACTGTCTGGCAGTAGCTCTCCAGGGTTTCAGCCAGGGAGTATCTCCCAGCTCATGCTGTTGACATTCCAGAGGATGCTACCTTGCAATGCCCTGCCAGAGAACGTGTTAGCTCAACTGTAAACGGCATCTTTCTACCACCCCAGTGCTACGCATCCCCAGCTGAACTCCCTTTTTTTTTTGCAGGTCTGAACCACTGCATTCACTTGGCCTTTACAAACTTAACCCAAAGCCTAGGGCCTGAGTAACTTGCAATCCCTCAGCTCGAGATCAAGAGCAAGGTGACCATCAGTATGCTGGCGGCACCAGACAATATTTCTCCTTTCCATTAGATTCTGGCAATCTAGGGGTGGAAGTGCTGAATCAGTGCTTGGGTTCGGTTAATGGAGTGGATGAGGGCCAAACCTGAAAGACCACCTGCCCCTCTATGGACTAGTAAGTTCGCTTGGATCAGATGGGTAAATTCTACTTGTGGCACTGTACCCTACAGAATACCCTGTGGAATAATACCCTTCCTTCTGCCACCAGTTGTTTCACACGTCTTGTAAAAATATACACTTTCCATGAGTCATAAGACTGAATCCTGCTTTATACGATTTCCCTGAATCTGTTTTATTAGACACACATACAAAACAATAAAGGGATATTGTTTTTACCCTGTACACAGTGTACACTGCTTAAGAGTTTTTAAAGTTAAGCAGTTAAGGTAGGCATGTAAATAAAATACATAAAATAAACTGGAGCCCAGTCAAGAGATAATACTGGTATTATAAGCCAGTCAGAATTACTCCAAAGCACATATGGAGCAGATCAAGGATGGGGCCACTCTGGGCCAACCAAATTCAGCTGTCTATGACCTGGTCCACATGCAGAATAGTATGGGATGGGATCCCACCTTTCTACCGCTGACATCAACCAAGAGACACTTCACCTCTGACTTCCAAGTGTAACATTCAAAATACATAGATGGTGCGACCAATTCCAGGATTTTATCTAGTAAACTGGGGTAGGCAACCTATGGCCCTCCAGATGTGGCTGGACTCCCAATTCCTACTTTTCCAAGTGCCCCATAATGCCCAATCTGCATTTGCAAGGAAATGTTCCTTCACTGGGGTAGCTCCTGTGCTCTGGGGGTCCCTGCCTACTGACATGGGGCAAGCACTCACACTTTATTGTTTTTGACACTAGCTGAAAGCTTTCCTGTTTGGGCAAGCCATTTGCTTTTAACTGGTTTGTGGGTTTTAGTTCTGTTCAGGGGCTGCGGCACAGTGGTAGACCAGCTACTATGCATGCAGAAGGTCTCTGACAGACAATGTGAGCTAAATAGACCAACAGCCTGGCTCAGTATAATGCAGCTTCCTTTGCCCCAGCTGTAATTTTATTTTGCACACCACTTGGAGAGCTTATTGGTTGAGCAGTTTGTAAAAAATTCTCAAATAATAAATAAAATCTCAACCTTGAAAATATCTCCCCCTGGACACCCACCAAGGCTTGGAAGAGACTATAAGCTCCTTGTCACAGGAGGCTTGTGACACTGTTCTGTGAAGTGCAATGTACACAAGTTCCACTATATAAACTGCCATAATATATACACGCTACCTCACGCAATGTATCTGTGGCTCTATAAATCTAAGTCCGTGAAGCTGGAAGTTTACTCAGCGCAGGCCGAGCAATATAATTTGGTTGCTATGCCAACCTGCAGCTTTACCGTACCCTATTAAAGAGAATGATAGATTCTTACAGGTCTTAATGCGAAACACAAAGCCGTAAAATCAGAACCTGCGAGACCCCGCTTTCTCGCCCACTGTGGACAGTTTGCTGTTCCAGCAACCGCAGCTGCCCCTCCAACATCGGCCTTAACTAACTTCCATGGATTTTGGAAATGCAAACAAAACTTGGAGTCATGTGTCTTACTTGGCTTCATTTAAACTTATCTACTTTAATATATGGAGAATTTCTCGTCCTTTTGTTTTTGAAAGCAGGTGGGTAAAACCTAGGGGAATCCTCGACAGCAGAGAAACACTCAGGAGGAGTGGCTCACAGCAACAGGTCCCTAGCAGTGGCAGAACTGTCTTACTTGCTGCGAAGAGAAGCGGCAATATCAGGCTGCATGGATGTACCAGCAGGAACGTCAGGCTGGCAAAACAAGTAAATGCACATTTTTTTATTTCTGTGTCCCACAGGTTGCAGAATCAATTTTTCTTTGTGTGAACTTCTGATGGGGGTAGAGCCAGACTCTATACGTACAGCACTTAAGTTAACTTCCTATTTTCTGCTTATCCAGATTTCAAGTCGGTTGAATATCTAGGAATATCCGAAGCTTTATAACCAAGTCAGACCAATGGTCCATTATCTCAGTAATGCAGACACCGACTGGCAGCAGCCCTCTGGGATTTCAGGAAGGGAGTCTTTCCTAGCCCTACCCAGAGGCACCAAGGGGTGCCTTTTGAAGTGGGAACGTGCTCTAACACTGACTACAACCCTCCAGTCATATCTTGACCCAGGCAGCCCAACAAACTTTAATTAACACACATGAAAAACCAAAGCAACTCTTTGTGGTAGGGACAACTCCTATTCAAAAGGATTCCCCACTAGCACTACTATTTTACTTATACACACACACACTCTCTGTTCCTGTAGCATGTACCGTATTTTTCGCTCTACAGGACGCACTTTTTCCCCTTCAAAAATGATGGGGAAATGTGTGTGCGTCCTATGGAGTGAAGACGCCATAGCCCCGCGACCCTCTCCCGGCTGGAGAGGTGACGCGTGGCTATGGCAGGAGCCTCTATAGCCACGCGTCACCTCTCCAGCCGGGAGAGCGTGCGCGGGGCTAAAGAAGCCCCCCCCCGCGACCCTCTCCCAGCTGGAGAAGTGATGTGCGACTATGGCAGCAGCCTCTCCGCTGCACCTTTCCGCTGCTCCCTGACCTGCTCTTTGGGGCTGGTGGTGGGCTTCCCCCCGCCAGCCCCAAAGAGCAGGTCGAAAGGAACCTGAAGCCTGGAGAGCAAGAGGGGTCGGTGCACACCGATCCCTCTCGCTCTCCAGGCTTCCAAGGTAGCGCCTGAACGCACCTTAAACGGCACCTTGTTTTAGAGCGGGAAAACAAGAGGGGGAAAATTCTCCCTCTCTCTGCGCAGCGCCTCCTGCCGCTTCGCTGAAGGGGTGCTGGGCAGAGAGGGGGAGAATTTTTTTTTCTTGTTCTCCCCCCTCTAAAACAAGGTGCGTCCTATGGTGCGCAAAATACGGTGACTGCATTTCAAGAATTAGTTAAGACTCATGTGTAGCTACTTGGATATGCCAGCATCATGGTGCTATGCATGTCATTCTATGTTAGAGGCGCTCAGCTGTGTTGGTTATGGGATGAGATTCCTGGATGTTGATGCTCCCACCTTGGAGAGGCAAGTTTTGTGTTGACAGCCTTCTGACTGGTTGGTCTTTCGTCCCAGCCCTATGATTTTATTTATTTATTAAGCTATTTATATACCGACAACTCATAATATATCAAGTCAATGTACAACAATATATACGCGTATAATAAAACCCAACACACCATAAAACCAGTATAAAATAATTGTTTAAATGACGGGCTAATCTAGAAAGTTTAAGCAGCTGCATAGGCTTGCCGGCCTTCAAACCAGTGTTCAAGAGATGTAAATAGGTATCTGACATGTCAATAAGGCGAAATGATCACAGAACATTCACTGAAGGAATGTCTCTGCCCACTGGAAGTCGCCCCCACCCTGGCCACTCAGATCTTCAGAAGAGGACCCACCACATCTAATATATAAGGGAAGAGCCCTATGGCTGTCTGTAGTAGGGCCTTCTCTGTGGTGGCATAAAGTCTCTGGAACTCCCTCCCTAAGAAACTCTGTCTCCATTACTCCCTACGTTTCTAAAGCACATCATACAGTTAGCTTCAACACGAGCCATACAGTACTGATGGGACAGATTTATGTTATAATCTGGTTCCTCCATTAATGCCAGTCCTTGGTGATTTTTAAATTGTGCTGGCACTTGGTTTCTTTTATTGCCCTATGGCTGTTTTTAGTCATTTTGGCGGAACAGTCTTGAGTAAGTTTTTAGAAAGGCAGGCTGAAAAGTTTAAATATAGAAAAGTTGTTCATGCTGCTAATACCACCGGGTCATCATCCACCCAGCACATCTTTGACAGAACCAAGCAACTTTATTCTGCTTCCTTCAGATTACCGTGTTCATGTCCAAAGTTTCATCAATCATATTTTGGAAATTGGAGAAGTCAGACAGCAGTTCCCTCAGAGGTCCTGTGAACACTGCTTGTACTAACGTTTTGCTGTTTTCTGAAAAAAAGGAAAAACACAAACATGTATCATAATCACCATCATTTTATTCCTTGCCTTGTAAACTGCCATCTCAAGGCAATCTACATATAAGATAATTAAAAACAGTTCAAAACGGCAAATAGGTTTAAAGCAAAAATTGCTCTCTAAAGAGCAATACAGAAACCAATTTTCAGGGAAAGGTGGCAAACACTGCAGAGACAATTTTAATTTTTTAAAAGACAACAGACACAATGTATTCCTCAGGCTGCCAAATTAAAGAGTGTTTTTTAATATATATTTCAGACATTCCCATTTCATTTTCTTAGCTACTGGCACATTCAAATCAGAAAAGTACATCTGAAGAGGTCAGCATAGCCCAAACTTAAGTTCTCTTAAGTTCACCATTTTGCTTTTTTTAAAAAATCCAACCATGTACTTTAAATTGCCCTGACTGAGAAGATACACTTATTAATATTGAAACCAGGAGTTGTGGGGTGGGGAGAGAGGTGGAAACAGCCTGGTTGTTCTGCTAAGCCTCTGCCCTCCAGAGGATTTTGGACTACAATTCCCAACAACCCCCAACCAGCTCCGGAGGGCACTGGCTTGGTAAACGCTGCTCTAAAAAAATTTAAAACTGGAGGAAAAATTAGCCATGCACTTCACAAATTAGTCCTGCAAAAGCAACACTTTCTATGTGAAAAAGGAAGGAAAGAATGTGTTGTCTTTTTAAAAAAAAAACGTAAAGACGTTTTCATGTGCCAAGGCTTCTCAGCACGTAAACTAGCTGCTTTTAATTGCCAGTGTTTTTTCCAGCCCTTGCGCTGTTTTTATAGCTTTTACAGCTGGTTTTATATGGAGCTTTTATTGCCTCTACTGTTTTTCTTGCTTTGTGCTTGATGGCTTTATGCCTCCTCTTTTATGACAGCGCCTGAGAGTTGTGGGCTGCAGCCCTGGGCGGAAGGAACCTGATCCCAGGCCCACTCAACAAGCAGAGTGATACTGGGGGCAATTTCCTCCTCCAGCGCTCCTAGCCTCGATGGGCAGCCCACACACAAACCCTGCAGCCCATGCTCTGAAAGCAAGGAGAGGCTTTGGCCCTCTAGGTATTGGTGGAACTACAACTCTCATTATCCCAGCAAGCACAGCCAGGGACAGTGGGAGTTGTAGGTCGGCAATATCTGGAGGGCTAAAGCCACTCCACCCTTGTCCCAATGGAATCCATATTACGAAGCAAGCAACTGTATTCAAGTCCTCGCTGCCTCTCGCCAGCTTAAGATATAGATATAGCACAACAGTGAAAATGTATCACCATCAACTTTGTCCAGTGCTTCTATCACATTCGGTATCTGATTAACAGCCTGGTATATTTTGTAACAGTCCTGGAGTGTGGCTTTCTTGGGGAATTTTTTCGCTATCCGGTTGAAGTCCGGAAAGCGACGGAGCACATCTTCTTGAAGAGACTGCCTCAGCTCTGCGTCTTCCACAAAGGCCTCCACCAAGTTTAGCCTGAGGGTGGGACAAGATGAAACAAAAAGAGACCAAAAAATCAGTTCGTGCACACAGGGCTTTCATAGCCTCCGGAGGCAACTACAATCACTCTCTGTCCCCACACTTCTTCTTTTATTTATTAATGGAAGCACAGAAGATTCAGCTTGCACCAACAGCCCACTCCCAGACGGTGGCTGAAAATCACAGTGAGAAGAGCCAAACAAGTGAAAATCTTGACAGCTTGGAGCCAGTCACTTGGCAGTTTGCTTTGCTGCCATCAATAATGTTCATGATAAATGTCTGGTCAAAGGTTTCAATGAGAATTAAACGGGAAACTGTTATCTTTAAAAAGTTCAGCAATACCCTCCCCTGAAGCAGAACACTAAATTATTATTATTATTATTGTTGTTGTTGTTGTTATTAATTTTATTATTTATACCCTGCCCATCTGGCTGGGTTTCCCCAACCACTTTGGGAGGCTCCCAACAGAGGACTAAAAACAGAATAAAACTTCAAACATTAAAAACTTCATCATCAACATCATGACATTTCTATCCCACCTTTCTTCCAAGGAGCTCAAGGTGGTGTACGTGAGTTTCCCACCTGCATTTTATCCTCTCAACAACCCTGTGAGGTAGGCTAGGCCTAGGATGTTCAAAGCATACCCAGAAACACACACACAGAGAGAGTAATGCTTAAAAGACGAATCTTTAAAACAGAGATGGAAAGCAAGTGTCCTGCAGCCGTGACTTTGCATTCCATTTTTATAGACAAGCCATGGACTGGCCCATAGGACCTTTGCACGCAGCCTATACAGCACTCTCTCCTTCCCCAAGGAAAAACATACAAGGAGAAGCCATAACAGCATCTACCCCCTTCCCCGACTAAGCTTCATTCTTTGGGAGCCAAACATTGGCGTGTATGCCCCAAGGTGCTTCTCTACAGAAGCACGTTGGGGCTCTACAAGATATTGCACTCTTGGCCCCACCTAGTCCCTTCAAAAGACAAAATTGCTTCCCATCCTCATCACAAAGCAAAACCCGATAGTGGGGACAGGAGGGGATGCAGGCTCACTAGCAGAAATGCAGTCTGAGGTTCCAAATATTGTCAGCGAAATAAGCTTACCAGCTTTGTCTTTTAATTAGTACTTCCATCCACCACAAACAAATACCACTAAGACAATCAACTTTCTCTGCTTTTTTTTTTAATTTTGCAGAAGGCTTCTCAACAGCAGCACAGTCAGCAAGGGGGAGACGGGTACATGTGCAGGAGGAGAGATTGGGAGAACGCTTCTGGTTTTTCAGTTCGGGTGCCAAAATGCCACCTCCAGAGAAACGCCTTGAGTCAAAGTATATGACCCATCCTCCTCCGTTAAATCCAAAGCAGGGATCAGAATAAATGACTTCTAGAGAACATTACCCTTTTCTTCCCATTTTTTTTCATTGTTGAGGCTATTGGGGGGGGGGGATCCCACTTTTTTAAAGGGTCATAAAGCAAGGAGACTTTCCCACCGTCGTATGACAAATGAGACCTGCAAGTAGTGGGTTTTATTTTCTCCAAAACTCAATGCACCCTCTTGAAGGATGATTTTTCTTCTACTCCGGCAATAATTCCATGGCATTAGAATTCTATCTCTTTCTGCTTCTGCAGCAAAGCAGAGTGCTCGGGATATTTTTATTGCTTCTTTCTCCATAAAGGGGACGATCCCTTACCTTCCTACACTCCAGCATTATTGTACTAGCAAGAACAAATTAATGCAAGCTTTGATAGCCGTCAAAGCACAGAGGGCTGAGATCTGCCGTCAGTTCAGTGCACAGCTGACTTGTTAATTTATGCTCACATATAAGCAGGCAGGCTAACTCTCCGTTAAATGCTTCTGGAATTAAGTAGAAACTCTTCAGTGACATCTTGCTAAAAGCCTCGCTAGCATAACCAGCGTTACGCTTTTCTTCTTCATAGACACAACTGTGGCTTTGGGGGAAATTAGGTTAGATATCAGAAGCTGGTGGAGCCAGGGGCAGATCTGGTCCTGACAAATGTATCTGCCAGTTTCCAAGTAGCTCATCACCGCCCCTTATGCCCTACGCTTCCTGGAAGTTTGGAAATGAAAGGGAGGAGGGAGAAAGGAATATCAGAAATGAAGGCTCTGCCCTCCTTCCATATCACTAGAAAGTAGCTGATGGGTCACTTTATTTGCAAAGCAGTTTCTTGCTGAAAAAATAAGTCCAGAATAAAGAAGGGGGAATAAAACGTATGAACTCAAATCAAGGGACACTGGCTAGACAGCACCACTGCTGAGAACGAGGAAGAAGATCCAGGAGGCGATTGTGAATCACAACTAAATGTGGCACAAACATGACGATGGTGCTAAAAAAGGAAAATGACATTTCAGATTCATGAGCTGAAGCATCTTATTGCATGACGTATCCAGCAGTTGTTGAGCAACCGTCAGGCTTTGGCTGAAGAAACTATAGGTACCATGCTCTTTTGGAGAATTCAAAGTGAGGCACAAAGGGAAATAAGCAGGACTCCAAAATACATGGAAGGAATGGGAGAATTTGCCTTAGAGTGGAATGAGGGTCTTTTAGAAGCAAATAAAATCTAAAAATGTGCAGCAAATAATGTGTCATATTTGTTTGTTTGTTTGTTTGTTTGTTTGCATACAAATGCCACCAGCAAGCGGTACTGGTTTTGGTGTGTGAATGACTGTTATATGTCTTAGTACCAAACAATGCTTCTCTGAAATGTGTTAATGCTGAACGAGACTACTGGAAGAAATTAACAAACAAGCAATACATGAAGTACTGTATGTTCAACGAAAACGCACCCATGCAAATATTATCAAATTTTACAATGAAGATTAGGCAAACCTGGTCTGTTTGCAGAGAACTGCTTGGCACTTCTAAATTTATTCTGCTTCCATGATTTGGCATTAGAAAGAAATGTAGAGGCAGGGTAAAGGAACTGGTAGACATTTCCATATTGTTTTATGCAACTGTGATGAATAGGAAGCTTTATATTTTTAAAAACAATTAACCACCAAGAGTATTTCATATAATAAATGAACAACACATATTTCCTCCAATAGTTACTTTCAGCATTCAGCATAACACCAACCAAGGCACACATTAAAGACTAGTTTTTAAAAAGAGTAAAAACAACCCCAAACACTCATGGATAAGAAATAAAATAGAAACATGGTTTAACACTAAGATATATAATACTCCTTAATGTGCACCAAAGCCAGAGTTTCATGTAATTCACACACCTCTCTCTTGCTCACACTTCAGTGTCATAGATCTCTTATATGCCTCTCGTTCTGCAGTTCTTTGGGGCAGAGTGCTCCCCTCTTGTTATTACTAAACAACAAAACTATAAGAACTGCATGAAGGGAGGCTTTGAAATTAGATGCTGAGGCAAAGTGCGGACTACATATCTTTTTCTAGTGCTCAGCAGAATCCACTACTGCAATTTTGAGGCTTGCCAGAGAGGTAGCAGCGTGTTGCAGCAAACACAACAGGTAGTCCTGTAGCATCTTACAAAACAGATTTATCACAGCACAAGGCCCCCAAGTGGGGAAGTCCACTTCCTTCATTGCAAGTGCCATCCCCAGATGACGGGGCAGATAAGATACCCATTCACAAGAGGGAGAAATTGCAAACAGAGGGTCACAGATTAAAAGGGTGGCAGTGGGTCTGTGGCATTTCTCTGCAAGTCACAAATAAATGCAAGAGCAGAACAGAGGAGCCCATTCAAAAGAGCAATTATAGTTGGGGGGTGGGGAAGGGTCACATTAAGATTCTGTTAACACCTACAGGGAAAGAGCAAAACAGAGTCCTGATTTAGTCCAAACTGAGCGCAACAGAATTTGTAGTTTTATGCTAGAGCTTCCTGTGAGGTCTTGTTGTTGAAAGTATAGTGACTTTGAAGTCAGCTGCAGAATGCTCTGTAATGCATTACAGTGGAACCTCAGGTTGCGAATGTGATCCGTGCTGGAGGCACTTTCACAACTCACAGCAGTCGCAACCTGAGATTTAGTGTTTCTGCACATGCGCAAGCGCCGAAACCCGGAAGTAACCTTTTCCAGTACTTCTGGGTTCAGCGCGGTGCGCAACCCGAAAACACGTAACCTGAAGCGTCTGTAACCTGAGGTACTTCTGTACAGCTTCCAAGGTGCCTGCTAATTTTTATGTCAGATTTGAGCCCCAAGTCCTATTCTTAAATACTTACAAGTTATTAAACTGGTAATAAATATTTTCCCATGGCTATTATTTCACGTGAATCCTTTCTGCTAGAGCAGAGCAAATCTGCTGGATCTGTATTTATTTCTACGTGCTGCTTCGTATTATCCAAACGTTCATATGTATTACTTTTCTGTCCCAGGGGCAGGGCAGGTCTGCTTTCTACCTAACAATTCTGTATTGGAGAGCTGAATATTTATATATACTGTATATGTCTGGCTTATCTAGTCAGAATGATGCTGCTCTGAAGCTGTATCCAGAACAACTAAGGAATGTTGCAGTTTTCCCTTAACAGACTTAAGGCTCTGAAACGTGGAGAGGTGCATAAATTTTATCTTTGGTGATAATCCAAAATCGAGACCACTTAAAATGTGCCACTAGGAACATTAAAAAACCTATGTGAAGTGTTGGTTCTTTCTGTTGTAAGTATAAACAGCATGTCTCCACTCAGAGAATACTTTCCTCTCACGGTGCGCAAAGACTTTTGAACAGAATAAATTTTCAAGTTACAAGTCCTCAAAATTTATTGGGGATGTGTAAGACTTAAAGTACAGAAACGCAAATGTAGCTTATTTATAAAGAGGTACAGACATTGGACTATATCCAGTGCTAGTCCTACTCAGAGTAGACCCACTGATGTTCACAGGCACGACTATTCTTTTTAATATGTCAACTCTTGAGTAGCTGGCTACAACGCTTTTAGCTCCTGCTCGGCAGCCAATGTGGTCCTCAGTACCACCAGAAAACAATGTAAGCCTCTGAAGATAGCCACAGGTGGAAGAGCAGGGCAAGGGAGGGGAAAGGAATCTAGATCAACTACAAATGGAGACCCAACTGTGGTTCATGCCAGCACAGATGTACCGGAGATGTTTGGGAACTGACCATTAGGTCCAGTCGTGACCGACTCTGGGGTTGCGGTGCTCATCTCACTTTATTGGCTGAGGGAGCCAGCGTACAGCTTCCGGGTCATGTGGCCAGCATGACTAAGCCGCTTCTGGCAAACCAGAGCAGCGCACGTAAACGCCGTTTACCTTATCGTCAGAGTGGTACCTATTTATCTACTTGCACTTTGATGTGCTTTCGAACTGCTATGTTGGCAGGAGCAGAGACTGAGCAACGGGAGCTCACCCCGTCGCGGGGATTCGAACCGCCAACCTTCTGATCGGCAAGTCCTAGGCTCTGTGGTTTAACCCACAGCGCCACCCACGTCCCACCAAGATGTTTGGGAATTGAATGCACACGATTTCCCTTGCTGTAATTTTGCACCTTTGCACCTGCTAAAGGCAGGTGGTTGACATGCATAATAATGCAGGGCTCTGGAGAAATTAACAAGGAAACTTGACAGATGGGGCTGGCGTTCCTGCAAACAACAGGTATATCAGATGCACAGGAGAGTCCATGGCACTTGGGAGCATCGGATCAGGTTCAGCTGTCCCTGCTGCCTAACAAAATTCAGCAATAGATTACACTGCAGCCCACTTGACAGCCTTTTCACAAGCTATTAGAAGCGACTTCATGTTGGGAGACCCCTGGTTTGCAACAATTCCAGGGATGATGTGCTATAATAAGCATGTTGGCATGACTGTTCCCTGACCTTTATCTTGCCCCGCCAAGGTTTTGATGTGCCTGGGTCAGGGTCATTTCTCCTACCTAGGCAGTTATCTTTTCACAAGGGTCAACACTGATACCAAAATCCAGCATCGCCTGAGCTCTACGAGTGCGGCTTTCTCCCGATTGAAGTGCAGAGTGTTTGAGGACCTGGAAATTTGCAGGGAAACCAAAATGCTTGTTTACAAAGCTGTTGTACTAACAACCTTACTATATGCTTGTGAAACATGGCCCACTTAGAAACGCCATCTCCAACTTCTCGAAAAATTCCATCAAAGGTGTCTCCGAAAAATCTTACATATCACTTGGAAAGACAGGCGAACTAATATCCGTGTACTGGATGAAGTAAAGATCACCAGTGTTGAAGCAATGATTCTTCAACATCAACTTCGTTGGACTGGTCATGTTCTGCAGATGCCTGATTATCGTCTTCCAAAGTAACTACTCTATTCCAAGCTTAAAAATGGAAAGTGCCATGCCAGTGGTCAACAAAAGAGGTTTAAAGACTGTCTCAAGGCAAATCTAAAAAAATGTAGTATAAACACTGACAACTGGAAAACACTGGCCTGTGAGCGCTTCAATTGGAGAACAGCCTTTACCAAAGGTGTCATGGACTTTGAAGACACTCAAACTCAGGATGCAAGGGAGAAACGTGCTAAGAGGAAGGCACGCTTGGCAAATCCACACAGTGATCAACTCCCACCCGGGAACCAATGTCCCCACTGTGGAAGGACATGAGGATCCAAAATTGGCCTCCAAGGTCACTTACGGACTCATTGTTAAAACCCTGTTTATGGAAGACAATCTTACTCGGCTATGACTGAAGAAGAAATCACGAGCCAGGGTTGAGATTGATCACCTTGGATAATACATCTGGCGTTTTGAGGATGAAAGAATACTGAAATTTATAGTCGAGGCTATAGCAGCACTGGTCATACTTCTGCATGCTATCGTGTGTGACTTGATCTTTCTGCCGGAACGGGAAAGGCTATAGCTCAGTGGTAAAGGACACACTTTGCATGCAAAATGTCTCTAGTTCACTTTCTGCTGGGCTGGTGTAGTGGTTAGAGTGTTAGACTAGAACCTGGGAGACCAGGGTTCAAATCCCCACTTGGTCATGAAGCACACTGAATGACCTTGGGCCAGTCCCTGTCTCTCAGTCTAGCCTATTCTCATAGGGATGTTGTGGGGATTAAATGATGAGGGGGAGAACGATGTACCGCCACCTTGAGCTCTTTGGAAGAAAAGGTGGAATATGAATGCAATGAATGAATGGGCTTTGGAAAGAAGGCTACTTTTGGACGACTATTTTAAAATCGTCACGGTCACTGCCCTCTCACATCACCTCTCTCCCTTGCCTCTGACTTTATGCAGCATTTTAGATGCACTCAGAATGCCTCCAAAGAGCGAGTAAAAAAATCAGCTGTCAATCCTAATTCTTCCTCAGGACTGGAATTCAGGCGAGATAAGATGTTCTGGTCTCTGAACCTGCGCTGCACTCTGGAAGGGCCCTGAAAGTCAGAATGTTTCCAAAGCACCTGCCAAAGGATTTTCTCTTGGTTGAGGGGGTGCTGATGTTCCCAAATCCTGGCGGGCTACCAAGGCCATCCAAAATTAGTGGCCCATCTCTAGAGAATTCTAATAGCATTTTATCTATAGCAGTAAGATCACAGCCAGAATGACCACTCCCAGTTTAAATGCCTTTTCAACGCTTATTTTGTTATGCCGGCACAATTCCACTCAGTCCCAGAACAATTTCATGTTGTTCAATCAAATAATTCCTCACTTTGTGCTTGGCCAGACCTTCACAGCATTAAGAGAGACTATAAAAATGTAACTCAACAGCATGAACCAGCCTTCCCCAACCTGGTGCCCTCCAGATGTTTTGAACAACTCCTATCAGGGCTTTAACGGGTGCCATTTGAAATGCAATGGAGGAGTCACACTTAGAAAAATGAATGGAGCAGCATCCAACTAAATTGCACACTTTGGGTTAGTGATAGAGAAACTACAAGTCTCCACTTCTTCCATGAGAAGACTAGGACTAGCTCAGACACCAAAGACCCAGAACTCATTTCCATGCCATTTGGTGGGATTTCATTTCTTACATGTCAAACTCACCCACCAAATTGCTAAATTTGGCTTTCAGGATGCGTTTTCCTGCTTTTTTCTAAATCAAAAGTGCAGACAAACGAGGAAAAAAATGCCAACATAAAGTTGTGAAACACAGGAACAGTAAGTAAAGAGAAATGAAATAATTTTACAGTAATAGAATAATATTTCTAAAAAGAAATCAAGTTTCCTAGCAGCAAAAGTGGCTTACGCTTGTCGCTGAATGGAAGCCACCCCTTTAAAAGACATGCCTAGCATTTAAACAAGCCCTTAAAGACCTTTATACTCAACTAGGTATTGGGTAGGTTTCCCTGGAAGACACATGCAGATGTCTGGAAACAGACATTAATTATGGTTCATTTCAAACCCGTCATCGTCGTATTAAGGTTTTTGACACTCGCTTGTTGAAAGCATCCATAGTAAAGTGTTAACCACAGTGCTGACAGCACAGGAGGCAGGTGCTAACTCACAGCAGAAGCTTCCGAATGCCGCCTCCCAGACACCTGGATGGAGGAAAGGGGAGGAGGGGAATGAGCAAGCCCAGGACGAAGATAGGCTCACTGGTATCTGCTAAACCGGGGGGGACCGGGGGGACCTTTGACAGCTCAAGGGCCACATTCCCCGCTGAGGAACCTTCCAGGGGCCACATGCCAGAGGCTGCTGGAGCCAGAGGCAAAACTATACATTTGTGCAGTAGGCTGGTTTCTGCACATACACCCCTCTCTATGGAAGTCTATGGGTGACATTTAACCAAGTTTTATTCAGAGAAGACCCACTGAAATTAATTGACCTGGCTTAGTCACAAACGTTCATTTCAACGGGTCTCCTCCTGAGTAAAGAGCAGTTGCATACCACTCCATTGTTCTAATTTGGCAGGAGACAAGTTAGTGTTATGGGCCTTTCTTCTGATTAAGCTTCAACTGTGCTGCTATTCTGCCAAAACAGGAAAGGAAAAGGGAAAGAGAAGATCACACAACTGACCTGGTGTTCATTAACTTGCAAGACACTTCAGGGGGCAAGACTGCCATTTCACATTCATTTTAAGTTGGTGAGTTCTAGCAACTGGGAGCGGGTAGTTAAGAGCCAGCTAGAAACTGCATCTGTGTACAGTCATACCTTGGGTTACAGATGCTACAGGTTGTGTTCTTTCGGGTTACGGACCTGGAAGTACTAGAACGGGTTACTTCCGGGTTTCAGCGGTTGTGCATGCGCAGAAGCGCTAAATTGCACTTTGTGCATAAGTGCCGAATCACAACCCGCACGTGCGCAGACGCGCCGCTGCAGGCTGCGGACACTGCGGGTTGCGAACATGCATCCCGCATGGATCATATTTGCAACCCGAGCGTCCACTGTACTGTACTTAAAAACTTCCTGCTGCTGGGAGCGCTGAAGTATCACTTGGTGGCCTTAATCCAACATCAATGGATTTACAGCATGCTCCTCAGACTTTGGATCTGGGCACTACAGAGTTGAATTGCCTGAAGAAATTGGTCATTAGCCCACAACTGTGATTTTATGGATGAGAAGCAGAGACAGCTTTGTTCTCACAAAATATCCAATGGAGCATCTAAGGTGTTTGTTTGGTTTTTTTAAAAAAGTATGGTGGGGGATGCACGAAGAAACATTTGATCACATCACACACACACATACACAAATACACACACCTGCAGTCTGAAGCGGCACTGGCCAGATACAGCATTTTTACGTTTCTTCATTCATTAAAATGTTTATAACACAGGTTCATTAAAAAAAGAAAACCAAAGCAGCTTGCAAAAAGAACTAAAAGCAATTAGCGCACTGTATAAACAGAACGTAAATCAACAGAAAGCCATACCTGAGATTACAGTCAACAGTGTTTATATTTTTTAGAAATAGGCCCTTGTGGGAAAAGATTGCCTTTGCTTGACGTCTGAAAGCCACCAAACACAGGAAAGTGGGAAGCTACCTTGTGGCAAGTCAGAACATTGGCCAACCTAACTCACTGGCTGGCAGCATGTCTGGGATTCTGAAGAGAGGGTCTCTCCCAGTCCTCCCAGGAGATGCTGGGAACCAAATCTGGAAATTTCCGCATGCAAAATGGACGGTCTACCGCTGAGTTACGGAGCTTCCCTACAAGGAATGGAGATTCCCAAGGGAAGGAATGCCTTAATGTCAGTGCTATCTCAGAGAAGGCTCCGACCTACATTGCCACAAACACCTCTGCTGCTGCTCCTCAGAAGAACAGACAGAAGCCTATGGACCAGGACTCATGTCTACCATGAACTCTGTAGTCTTAGGCAAGCAACATTCTGTCAGCACATCACATTAGGAAGGAGGAAGATAATGATATTACTGGTATTATTACTAATACTACTCATTAATGCAATTAATATTTCTAAAAAGTTATATACCACTTAATGCCAAAATACGCTTATACAGTACAAATATAAAAATTGTTTCGCTAAGATGTAGACAGTGATGGGCACCTGTCGGTGGGGTCTGTATCACAGAGGGTTGAAGTGCAAAGGGAGATTTCCCTCCACCTGATTTTGGGAAATTCTCCCCTTGCACCAAGCCCCATGGGACCCACAGCGTCAACTGTTCAGGAGGGGCCCCCAATTCTCTGGAGAGTTTTGGGGGGGTACAGGAGAGGGGAGGGGAAGAGTTGCTCAGTTGGCAGAGCATGAGACTCTTAATTTCAGGGCTATGGATTTGAGCGCCACGTTGGGCAAAAGATTCCTGCATTGCAAGGGTTGGACAAGTTTGCCATCATGGTCCCTTCCAACTCTACAATTCATATTCTAAATCATATGATCCACTGAAAGTGTTAATTTTTAGCTGGCAGCTGGTTTCATCTTCTCTTTTGTATTTTTTTGGTATATTGTTTTAATGTAAATTTGTGGTTTTATTGTTAGCTGCCTTGAGTGTTTCCTTTGGGAAAGCATGATATAACTTTTTATAATAAAGAAATATTACTACTGCTACTATAATAACCAGCGTGGGGGGGGGTGTTACGTTAAGTAATTTATATACCACCGCAAGCACTTTGCTTGCTTTACAACCTTCACAGCAGCCCCGAGAGAGAAGCTCCCTAAGTTTTTGCCCCACCATAGCTGAGCAAGGATCTAGGCACCCGTGCCAACGAACACCACAAAAAGGTTTTCATACAGGTTTCTGGTCTAGGTCAATCCTCCACAGGGAGTCTGTCAGGCTTTGTTGAACAGAACTTGATGTGTTTTCCCCTCGGGCTTCAGAAGACATTCATAGTCCTTCCCACACAAAGTCTTCTTATAAGCCCACATGCTGTCTGCTGAAGTCATTGGTCGCTTCTGACAAGCCTAAAGAAAGATATCTTCTGAGTAAGAGCTGCTTCTTTTTTAGGAGGATGGCACTACTACCATCCCAACTTCTATAGATCTGCAATGGAGGAGATTCTCATGGAGGGTGGCCACGATGTGGGATAGCTCAGTTGGTGGAGCATGAAACTCTTGATCTCAGGGTTGTGGATTTAAGCCCCAGCTTGGGCAAAAAAGTCCTGCATTGCAGGGAGTCAGATGACCTACGTGGTCCCTTCCAACAGTTCTATGATTCTCTGGTTAAGCTCTGCCTCCACAGTTGGAAACCACAGAATGGGAGGCTGCTCTTGTCCTCAGATCCTGCTTTGAGGGGTTTCCTGCAGGCATCTGGTTTGCGACTGAGAACAGGAGGCTGGACTGGATTGTGCAGCCAGCCAGCTCTTCTTATGTAGCAAACATGAGATGGGTGCAGAAAAGAGACAGTGAATGCTGCCTGCTTAAGGCTGTGCTGTCACCCACATGCACACAGAGCTTTATGGAATTCTCTGCTGCAACCCTTTCCCACCTCCTAAAAGCTGCTCCTGAATGCCCAGCAACCTCCCTGGGGGTGCATGCAGTGCACTGCGGTGTGCATCGCTGTGAAAACTGGGTGACACCTAAACCCACCCCAGACAGGCACATACTTGGAAGCACTTTCTGCTCTGGCCATGCTGTATCCTGGGGTGGTATCGCTTGAAGCAGTTCTGTTAGCAGTGTCTCTCAACCTTGGGTCCCCAGTGGTTTGATGGACTACAACTCCCATCATCCCAAGCTAGCAGGGCCAGTGGTCAGGGATGATGGGAGTCGTAGTCCAGCAGCAGCTGGGATTCCAAGATTGAAAAATACTGTGATAGCACAAGGATTTCTGGCTACGCAAGGGAACCCCTCCTCAGGTGCCCACTAAATCTGTTCTGGGGGTTCCTCCAATCCTACAGAGCATATCTGGGCAGGGTGCAGGGAGAGGAGAGGGAGGTTTAGTTCAGCCAGAAGCCCTTGTGATGAAAAAACTACTTTGTTGATGCTGCCCCGGCTATTCTTTCCATGTCTATTCATTATCCAACTTCTTCCCTTTCAGAACTAAAGGACTAAAACTTTAGTCCTTTAGTATTAAAGCCAGTATTAAAGCCAGAAGATACTGGTGCCAAACTATTCAATGAATTGGATTCATTAAGCCTGAGACTCCACTTTAATCATACAAATTCATTAAGCCTATCCTAGTTAAATTCAGATAGTCCACTAACATACGCTATAAATCAGCCTTCCAGACCTTCACCAGGCAACCTGTGACAGGTATTTTTGGAGCTGTAAGACAATGCTGAAGCCCCTTTGCCATGCAAGCACAGCAGGGGCACCGACTGTCATTTGCAATCCTCTTTTCCTTCTCTGTTGACCCACAAGTGAATCACACAGCCCCGAGCTGAATTGGGAGCTTTTATTGTTTGCAAGATCAAGGATCCAAATCAACATTACTTCTTTAAAAGGTCAGATGCTCAGCTTTAGCTGCACTCAGCTTCCTCAGATTTCATGACCAGCGTAATACCAAGTCTGGTGCCGTGAAGCAAATAATCATTTTAATGGCTTAAGACAAACAGAATCGGAAGTATGAGAGCAACAGCTAATACAAACGTTAAGATAAAACAAGAAAATGGCATGCCTAGTACAGTACTGATGTTTCACTGTTAACAGAAGCAGCAGAAAACTCAGAGAGTTGGACTCAAGACTAAATTAGCTGCACTTGGTTCCCACTGATTTCAATGGCTCATAAGTCCAACTAATTGAAGCCCAATTTCTCTTATCATAAACAAACTCATGACTTGCAGCAGAGAAAACCTATTAAGGGTGGTTCTAAACACTAGAACTACCACTGCTTACGTACATTCAGGAAGTTTTTCAGCCTTACCAGAACTCCCTGGACTAGTTTCCCTCCAGCTACTGAAAAGCAACTCCGCCTTTTTGGAGCAATCTAAACAACCATCCTCCGAAAGGCAAACAACTCAATATACTCACTTAAACACCAACAAAAATTGTGATCCAAAATTGTAGGAAAGTAGTGGTGCGTTTTCTAATCTAGGCAGTTCCAAGCATCAGCGCTGAAGGAGAGAATATTTACCTTTCTTCTATTTTGTTCCTGTCCACTAGGGGCTGTTTGATCCACTGGTTCACCAACCTCTGTCCTTGGGCCGTTCTGCACTTATTTAACAGGGCAGCCAAACAGTGCGTACCTTGAGCATTTTCCGAAGAACGCTGAGGGGAAATAACACATTGTGGCAGAAAGTCAATTTTAAAAAAACAACAACCAAAAAACATTTGTGCAAAAGTGAGTGAAACCTCTCTAAAAGCAGAATAGTGGCAAGTGAGAACATGTATGTGTTTTGCATTTTAGTACTTTTCTTCTGAATTAAGAGGTGGTCGCCATAGTGGTTAGAGTGTTGGACTATGACTTGGAAGGCCAGAGTTCAAATCCCCACTCGTTCATGGAGCTCACTAGGTCACTTTAGGCCAATCACTGTCTCTCAACCTTGCAGGGTTATTTTGAGCATGGGATGCAGAGAGCCACGTATGAGTGTGTGAGCTCTTTGGAAGGCAGTGTTGGGAGAGCGCTCTGGGCTATCTGCAGCCCCCCTGGATCTCCAAGCGTCCTCCGGTGACCACAGTTCTGGAAAAGGCACCCCCTTCTTCTCCAGGGCGCTCCAGTGACATAAACCAACTTAATTTATGTGGGGTGTAAATGTAATAATAGATAAATAAAATTATTTCCTTTATGCTTTATAGTTCCTTTATAGTTAATTTGGCATGCTGCAACAGAGTTCAAGCCCATCCTTCCCGTAACAAAGGAGGCAACTCATAGGGAAAACAAACTAGCTGAATTGAGAGATGAGGAGAGGGGAGAAAAAAATGGGGGCGAGGGTCTTTCCCTTCTATGTGGATGTATACAAATGTACTAGATCAGTGAAGATGAGGAACCAGCAGCTTAGCTGTGGAGCGGTATCAGAGCACAGCTCGTTTTTAAAAACAATAAAGCCATGTAAAGCTCCGAAATAAAATAATGGGCTTTACAGGGCTATATACCAAGATCAATACAACTTTATAGCGTCCCTAGCTAGCTTCACAACGTGGCTTATGTCTTTCCTTATGTCAAGGCAGATTCTGCCACATTGCGTGGATTAAAGGTTTACTTCCCCAACATTTTCCTTCCCAAATGCTGGCTGATCCATCGATGCAACACAAAATACATTCTCTTAAAGCTTTCGGCTCATATTTTATTTATCTAAGCTTTGCCAGCCTAATATGCTATGCAGGAGTGGGGAATACTAGCTGCAGGGCATCTGCATATATTTGCATGCGCACACCTGTCAAAACAAGGGCTGCAACATGTAGTCTATCTAATCTATTAGATCAGGGATGAGGAAGTAGTAGCCCTCCAGGACTTACTGGACTATAACTCCTATTGTCCCTGAGCCTTGACCCTGAGCCTCCTTTGAGATGTATGTGCGCCTTCTCTCTTCCAATTTACTGTTTTATTTGTGTGCAGCTGTTAATCAATTAAGATGCATAGTTTATTATGATTTATTTAATAAGTTGATTACCGTATTTTTCACTCTATAAGACGCACCAGACCACAAGAAGCACCTAGTTTTTGGAGGAGGAAAACAAGAAAAAAAAAATCTGAATCTCAGAAGCCAGAACAGCAAGAGGAATCGCTGCGCAGTGAAAGCAGCAATCCCTCTTGCTGTTCTGGCTTCTGTGATAGCTGCGCAGCCTGCATTCACTCCATAAGACGCACACACATTTCCCCTTACTTTTTAGGAGGGAAAAAGTGAGTCTTATAGAGCAGAAAATACGGTATATCCACTTAAGTCATGCTCAGAACAGACCAACTGGAATTGATGGACATGACAAACCCAGCCAATTTGATTTTGAAGGGGGGGCAATTCAAGAATGAGTTAGACAAAATTAATGGCCTTTTAGGCTTCTTCCATGTGAATAGTTCACTTTTTGAATAATAAGAGTTATAAAGATGCTTAGGTTGGATACGGCCAAAAAAAGGTTGGGAACCACTGCATTGGCCATCAAAATCTGCTCCAGAGGTTTGGGGGACCCTCTGGAGCAGATCTGAGGAGTGCGCAGGGAGCTGCAGGAGGGAGGAGAGGAATTATTTGTGCAAGCAGAAGTCCTCTCACACAACGTTGGATGCAATCTACTGGTATCAGTGGGTCTACTTTGAGTATGCCTTGATCAAAATAAGTTCCGATGCGAAAATCCTTAACCTGGGCTAACTCCTGAGAATACTGTTCTCTTAATTCAACTAAGATTTGTTTCTGGAATGAGCTTGTGTTCACATTTCATTTACATGCTTATCTGGATGCCACTTTCCCACCCAAAAACTGTGTCCAACTTAAAACAGATGTGCAAAAAAAGGGCATGTGTCCCTATTTTAGGCAGGTTTGTGTTGCAGGTCTGTGCCCAGAGTCTTACGTACATAGCAATGCCCCGGCTTACCTGGAAAAGATTAAGTGCCCTGACAGCAGAATGATCCAGTGTGACATATTGATGGAGGTTCATGGTGGAGAGTTCGAACTGCCCAAAATTAGACTCGTCAGTTAAGAGTTCTAAATACTTAATCACTGCAGCCAAGGAAGTGATGGCGATCTGGGGGTGTGGGGGGGAAAAAAAGGGGGGATTACTCTACATGCAGTAAGACAGGCAGCTTGTCACTGGCGTACTGTTAGGTACAGAGCGGGATGCCATCCAACTAAGGAAGAGTTCCCAAATGAACAGTAGAATCGGCAGTTAAATAATTCCACGTGAAATTATTGCTAGAAATTTGATAGCAATCTAGTTCCGAAGATGCAACAATAAGCCAAACTATGGTTTAGCGAAAATGAGTTAAACACATGGTTTCTGGGAGCAAAGACTGCAAAGCCACTGTATCTCCCCCTGCCCCCCAGTCCTACTGCTGCCATGCTACCCAGACTTAAGCAATGGTTTGGCATAGCAATATATCCAAAGCTGGGATAATGACTTGTCTGGCTCCAAACAAACCATGGTAAGCCACAGAACAAACCATGGTTATAGCTTGTGTTTCGTCTGGAAAACTATCAGCCCAGGTTAGATGCAACACTTAGCCAAACCATGGTTTAGCCCCCCAGGTAGCAAACCAACAAGAGGAGTTGCAATCTTCATTCAATGAACCCATGTGTTTGCACGAAGCCATGGCTGACTCTAAGTTATATGTGAACTAGTCTGTATCTCTGTGCTAGAAAGATATAAGGTGAACAGCCAAGTACGGTGGGAAGCATTAAGAGCCCTATCCTGGACTGTCCCAGTCAAAGGCTTTATCCTTCACACACCTTTAAATTAGTGTTCAGAGAACTGCAATAGCCACTATCTGCAGCAGGAGAGCAAAGAAAGAACAGAAGCAGCCATTTATTCTGAAGGGAGAGGAGTGAAGAGGTGGGGGAAGGTAAAAACTCCATCGTGCTTTAGCTAGCTCCAGCTAACAATTGTCTTAGCTATGCAAGACAGCTCTGCGGGCAGGTAGTGGGTTTCCTGTCTGGCGTCCTACTTAGCTGAAGCAGAAGAGCGAGGCTCGGCAGGCCGTTAGTGGTTTTCGTTTTGACTTCTCACCCCAGCTGTGCAAAGATGCAAAAGCAAACAATATGCAAAGGTGGGGGAGGAGGGCTTAGCTAATAAAGTGTATCTCTGCCTGTTGATTGGGGAGCAACTGGGAGCCAAGCTTGCAGCTTCAGTATAAGAATGCTTGGAAGACAATAGGGGGCGGCCAGTCTTTGGAAGCTATTCCACTGGCTAACTCTGCGCAGATTTTGCAATAAACCTTTTTCTCTGTGGAACCCACCCTGGTGTATGTTTGACTCCTTCATGCTAACAGCAGGGGCAGGTGACTGGATCCGGACCCCTTAGGTTCAGATATCCTAACAATTCCACACTGAAAGGACTATGCAAATATAACAAAAGTACTTCAGTGTTGAAATGCAAACGTAAACTGCAGTTGTTTGAAAAGCTAGCTACAAACAGATCTTCTGTTTAAAAGTGACATTGATGCCCATTTTCTTCTGCAAAACTCCTCCTTTTTCTTTTTAGCAGGTCATAGTGCTACTTCTCTCACTTGAAACTGCATGTTAAACATCACCAATAAACATTTGCAAAGCGTAGTTCAAGTGCAGAGAGAGAGGAAGGGAGACTAAGGCTACATTCAAGTTTGTGGCAGAGATGAGAATTGAACCAAGCACTTTTAACTCACACTTAGCAACTGTACAAGCCTTCCACCATTCAAATAAAGGTTGTCATAAAGAACAAAACCACAGGTGTGGTTCAAAGAAAACCTTTGGGAGAGCATTAGTTTAAAAGCAAGCCTTATACATGTTTTCAGAATGTTATTAAAAGTTGCAGGCAGTCTCCCCAGCAGGAGGAGGAAGTGCTAGCCATAGCTTATGTGTGTTAATTTAAAATTGCCCACGCACTGAGTTGGCTGTGTGTAATTTTAAGTGGGTGAGGGAGGAGAGCGTTAAAAAAATTGGTAATTTTAAAAGATGCCAGTCACTTATCTTGTGTAGAATGAATGCAAGAGGTCTAACCGATCTCTCACAGATTTTTTGCTACAGTTATTATTATTATTATTATTCTTCCATAAAATTTATACACCGTTTAATTGTATAAAATACCTCAAAGTGGTTTACAGAAGGTAAAACAGTAAAATCAAGAATTATTTACAGCCCTACATAAAAAACATACAAAAGTTAAAATACTAAAACGGATTAACAATTCCTCAACTTTCTAAGCATCCATCCTAAAGATTCCAGAAGAGCTTCCCTGAAAAATAGTAATTACTGATGGGCTTTCCCTCTCCCAGTCACCTGTTTACAGTACTTTAAGAATGTCAGCATTCTTTAATTTAGGGTGGAATTCTAACCCCTAGACAACAGCTTCAGGGCTTGCTGGAGCAATGCAGTCAAGCACAACATCCACAAATCATCTCTGCTGTACCAGCTCACAGCTCATTTTGGAGAAGAAGCCCACATTGGGCCTGTCTTCACGATGGCAGCAGGGGGTGCCCAGAATCAAGTGAACCCTGTGCCAGTCCAGCCCTCCCCACAAAAGCCCTGCTCTGGGGTTTTCTGATGGCTACCACTGGTATGAATACCAGCAGCAGCGGCTTCTGCCCATTCGCCATTTAAGCAATTGTATGGGGATGATCCTCGCCAGTGTAGTTCCCCAGCTGGCGGAGACTGGCAGAGTTGAATGGAAAGGTGGCTCTGGTCCCCACAAACGCTTTCTACCATGGCAGTTTGGATTGCTCTGATATAACGGCTTGATTTTACCACACAGTCGTACCTCGGTCTAAGAACAGTCCTGTTAACGAACGATTCAGGCAATGCACTCCGCCAAACTGGAAGTAGGTGTTCCAGCTAGCAAACTTTGCACCGGAAAACAAACAGAAGCGGACCAGTGGAAGGCCACCAGCGGCGGCAAGCCTCATTGGGGAAAGCACGCCTCAGTTTAAGAACGTTTTTGGTGTAAGAACGGACTTCCAGAACGAATTAAGTTCGTAAACAGAGATACCACTGTATATTTAAATTGGCTGCTGCTGCATGAGTTTTCATTCCTTGTATTATTATTATTATTATAATTATTAATTATCACCGCCATCTTAAATCATCTTTTCTTACTATGTTAGTTACTCTGGGAACACGAGTATATATTGAGGGTATAGAATATGAATTACGTACGTATGTAAATAAATAAATAAATAAATAAAGGTTACAACAACTTTCTTGAAAATATGGATTAAGATGGGGTGGGTACAGTAGCTTTATACATTAACTAGACTAGGCAGCAATGCTGAATATCACTTTTAAAATATTCTTCACACATCCATGCTCTAACGGTTGCATTGCTTTTTGTAGCAACGTAAATATTTAAAGAGGACTTTATCTCGTCTATCTGCAAAAAAACCCCTGTGAGTTACATCATTCCAATTTTACAGATGATGCAAAATAACAAACAAAAAAGAGCAGCCAACGAAGGCTAGTTTACATGTGTCATTTTGTCTAAACAGAGGTAAGACCCGTGTAGAAAAATGTATATACCACTATGTGTGAGACGGCAACATGTATTTGGAAGTCTCTCCAGCAAATAATAAAATAGTAATACTTCAAAAACATTCGTGTAACTTGCTTGATATTTAACTTCAATGAGAAGTAGCAAGAAAGTATTTGTTTTGACCATGTCCATTTTCACCGTGCATCCCATTCCATGTTGCAGCTTAGGACTAGACCTCAGGACTGAAGTCTAGAGCCACCAAATGACCACCCAGGGAGCAGTAGATGTCAGTGAAGTGGCAAACAGGCCCAGTATCAGCATCTGAACTGGTATGAGAATGCCTGGGTCATTGCGGCATCCTTCCTTTCTTCTCCTAAAACATATTTTTGGAACACAGGAACAGCCCTACCTGGAGCTGCCAGGTATTGAACCTGGGATCTCCTGTATGCAAGGCAGATGCTCTACCACTGAGCTAAGGCTCTTCCCCATAATATTATAGTCCAGGAGCAGACAGCCAGGCAGGTACATGGTTACAGGTGCTCATTTTATGTATTATTGTTTTCTGCAACAAAATGGTACTTATTCCCAGGTAAAGGTGTTCAACAGCAGGGTAACAGTAGCAAACACCCATTTTATTTCTGTGGCATTGGCAGTGCTACAATTTGAGTTTAAAATGCAAAACCTAACATGCTCAGGAAACTTAAAAAAAAAAAAATAATGCTCAAGAGTGGTTTAAGTTTTTTGCTCTAACAGAATCAGGATTGTTAGAAGCTGCTGTAAGCATGGAACGGCATTTGTGGCGGGGGCGGGACAGTCTAGCACAAGGGCCTGCAAATAAAATGGCTAATCTGGATGATACCGATTCCTTCAGTATCATCCAGATTAACCTTTTGTTTGCAGGCCCTTATGCTAGGCTGACCCCTGGCGGCAATCATACATCATAGCAGCCAGCAAAAGACAACTGTCCAATCTAGGCTGCCAGCAAATGAGCTGCAGTGAGATCAATGAAAAACTTTTAGTTGACTAAAAATGGGCACCCAACTAATCAGGTAGCAATTTATTTACACATGTTATAGATATATTTAGAAGCTCATTTTTTAGTATTAAAAAATGGAATCTGCAGGCATCATAAAGGGCATTTCTCTCCTCTCCTTCACACAACAGGGAACACCTCTTCTAAAAGGATTCCCATCATGACATGCTTGCATCAGAGAATTGTACAGTTGCAATGCAGAAATATGCAGCTGTCCCATACGTGACTCGAATCTGCAACCTTGGCATTATCAGCATCACACTTTAACCAACTGAGAAAACAAAATATGCTTCTTGTTTTGGAACTACTGTTTTACCCACATGCACACTTAATGGACATGCTAAGCCAACTGGCATTCCTTTAATCAAGCACCAGCCCCTAGAAACAAACCAGTGTACCATCATACTATGGTCTGGATAGATAGATAGAGAGAGAGAGAGAGAGAGAGAGAGATAGATAGATATCTGCATCAACCACTGGCCTTTGCAATTTGAGTATAAAATACAAACATGTATGAACACAAACATGTATAAACAAAATTACCAAACTAAATCAAAATACCAGCCATTGCAATTTGGCCTGGTTCAGACCCTCATTGAGACACCATTCCAATTCATCAGGAAGAATAGCACAAGCCAGTTTGGATGGGCATAAACCTCTCCCTGCCCTGTCATGCAGCACCCCCCTGGCATGCCTCTTTTTAGGAACTCAGATCAGCCAGCTGAGCCCCGGCATAGCCACGATGGATGACTTCTGCCAGTGTATCTTTGGCTGTGCTGGGATGAGGGACTTCAGCCGGCAGAGCCCTGGCAGAGCCCAGGCTCAGCTGGAGATCAGTCTATTCCAAATTCCACTCATACCAGTGGATTGCTCTATAGGGCACAAAGCTCTGGGAAGCATTGGATTCTGGTATACAGGTTCAAAACACCACTCTGAACCCGTACAAAGACAGCTGTCAAACAGGTTGAGCCATTTCTTCTCCCTTTCAAAAAGAATTTACATGAAAGTGGCCAAAGAGGAGGCGCTGGTGCAAAATGCCAGTGAAGCCACAAGTTACCAGGCTAGGACACTTTTCTGATATCTATCCCCCCACCCTCAAGCCTGGTTACCCACCTGTTGGTCCATTTCGGGTAATGTTGCACTAGACATCTTCTCTTTCCCTTTCGATCTCAGCAAGCGGTTGAGATCTTGAACAATGTCCTTTGTTACAAACTCGGTCTTTTTCCTCTCTGTAATCAGAATCCCTCCTCTCTGAACAACCTGCACAAATATATATATATTTAGATATAAAAATTGAGAATGTTCTCTTCCATTAGAGCAGAGATGGGGAACCTGTGGCGCTCTAGATATTATGGGACATCAACTCCTCTTGTACACTGGCCACTGGCCAAGCGGGCAAGGCTAATGGGGAGTCCAACAACATCTACAGAGCTGCAGGTTCTCCAGTGTTGGAATATGCTTCTGAATACCAGCTGCTGGAAGCCACAGGAGAGGAGAGGGCTCTTGTTCTCAGGGCCTGCTTGCAGGTTTCCCACAGGCATCTGGTTGGCCAGTGTGAGAACAGGAAGCTGGACCAGGTGGGCCACTTACTTGATCCAACAGACTCTTCTTTGTTATTAAGTGCACCCGTATCAGCCTAACCTTATGCATGTCTGCTCAGAAATTGACTGAACTCAATGGCTGAACTCAATACCTCACTCCCAGGTAAATGTGCACAGAACTGCAGTTTTACCAGAAATTTACTAACTTCCATGTAAACATGCATGTAAATCTCTCAGTGAATTCATTCAAAATGGATCTTACCATAACGTTTTTGTTACGATATGGATGCAGTGCAGCTGCAAACTGCTAGCTTGAAAACATCACATGATGGGAATGTTGGAGCTGACTGTGGGAAACAGCCTTCCAGCCAGCTCACAGGGCAGTTCACCGGAAATTGCACAGAGTGTAATTTGAGACCTTCCTCATGTGATTGTACAGGAAGTCTTACTCCCTTGTTTGCCGGAGTCTGAAGTGAGCAGACATGTTTTATGTGATGCTGAAGAGTCAGAAATAAACCATGTAAATAAACGTTTCTGACTATCTCTTTCCCCTGCCGGGGGAGCAGGAAAGAGTGGGTGTGTTCTTTCCACGCTGGGAAGAATCGCCTATAGAGACCTAGCCTGAGTTTGCTGGGGAATGCAGCAGGGAGGTCATCGGAACTCAAGCCGGGTGCCTGGGAGGGTTGCCAGCTTCTCCCGATAGAGGCTTGAATTCCAACAGTTTTAACCAAAATGTTTGAATCAATGTAACTACTGATAAACTAATAATCCAAGTGAATTATTTAATAACAGACACAATAATGTATTCTCCTTAACCGTTCGTAATATTAGCAATTAATAAAGGGTGAAATTCTGCCAAAATATAAGCATTCCTATAGAGTCCAGAGGGGAAGGTACTTTACATACATGAAATCTTTCCCTTTAAAATCTATAGGATATGGAGCCAATTTAATGCAGAAATAGAAGATCCCATTGCGTTCCATTGGACTTACTCCCAGGTAAGCGAGCCTGGGATTGCAGCTGTAACATGTTTCACTTTGGATGGATTGTGTCCATTTTAGAACACGAACTACTCATTATTAACAAAAGTTAAGCACTAGGAAAGATGAACATGCTTGTTAGACATGTATCCCACTACAGTCTAGAAACTATGAAGAAAGCACTGATTTCTCCATAAAAGCTCATTATTTTCCCCTCTGGGTGAGAAATATACATTCCCTGCTCCTTACAATTCCCCTTATATGGTGGAAAAGATGGTTGATGCTTTTACATTCCTATAAACTAAGCTGTGAATAACTCTGTACATACTATAAATATTTCATGAAACTGCTGAAAGCCAAATACCTATGCTCCAAAAATACATGACAATAAATTGATGTGTCAACATCCCAAGTAACTTTGGACTTGTGAGTTGCCATACCAAAAAGGTTGGGAACCACTGAAGAATGTTAAAAGAAAAGGGAGAAGAGAATCCTACTTTTTCTTAGCTTTTCTATACCTGCAGCACAAATTAACTTGAAAGCCAAACCCTGTCCACTTCTGTAAGTCTTCTACCAAATTTAAGAGGAGTGGGGGTAGAACTGGCAGAAGGACAGAGGATTACTTGGCTAGTAATCATGGCTCATGTTTATAGGCGCTGGGCAGTAACCACAGCTAGCCTAATTCAAACATAATGCAAACCAGGTAGTGAGCGAGGGAATCTGAGAGTGTGAAGGGAGGAGCACATGACCCTGAGAATCAAGCCATGGTTTGGCCATGACATTTGGGCCAGGTCCTTGAAAAGCAGCTATAACAAAAGTACCACCATCTCAGCGAACTTAATCAGCCTGGTATAGAAGGTAGAAACTGGAATCAGAAGCATTGACCCCCACCAAAAACTCAACATAAACTTAACTGCTAAAGCCAATTAAGGCTTGAAGACCTGTTTCAAAAGTAATCTTCAATGAGCTGCTCCCGCCTCTACTCCAAATTTATGTAAACAAAGCCTACAGCCCATAACATTTCCATGGCTTACCTCTTTCAGCTTTTCCATCTCTCCAGCAGCCTCTCCAGTAGGTAGAATACATTCCTTGGGGCCCAACTGAACTAGCAGAGCTTCAAGGTTTGAAAACTGGTCATTATCTGGAAACTCACATACTTCCAGCTTCCTCACTAATGTATCCACAAACCCAACTCCAACAAGTTTTTGCCCATCAGCTGAGGATACCCGAATGCCCACAACACCAACAGAAGATGACATATCGTGGTTAGAAAACAGAACGTCTTCAAAATGGGCAAGGTTCCCTGGAGAGCCCTATTTAAGAAAGAAAAATCACAGTTTGAGAGTTTCTTCACCTATGTATCTGGTCCACCTGCCTCCCTCTCCCTGCATTAGACAGACCTTTTGAAACACCTATTTAGGTAGTCTTAGCCTGAATAGTTTCTTCATCTCACCTGAGGCCTCTTGCTGACAGATCCAAATGCAAACTCTAAAGACTGCAGATTCGCAAGGCTTAACATGGATCAGCTTCCTCATCGTTGTCTGTGGGTCTAGGATTCTTAATACAATTTAATGCCCCTTATGCCCTTGAAAGGATCTCCAATATCATTTTCCACTGGGCAAATGTGGAGTCAGTAAGCTTTGCAAAGGTAAAGCTATGGCCGCTCACTGGATCCTGGGCTGCCAACCTTAAAAAGTAAGTTTCCCCAAAATGCACAAAAGCAAAACTACCAAAATTGCAACAACAAAAAATCACTCAAAAAGTGATTAGATTAGCCAAGACTAGATTAGCCTAAGCAGAGAAACAAAACTGGTGGGTGGGGAAAAGAAAAGAGAACATTGGCAGGGGGTTTGCAAAAACAAAAGAGCAAAAAAAATTGAAAGGCTCAAAATTCAAAAAGCAAAAACTTTTCTCAACAATTTAGGTGCTGTCTGAGCCCATAAACCAATGTTGGAGAGAGAGGTTTGGAAGAGATTCGTACTCAAGGAGAGAAAGAGGGGGAGCAGAGGTTGCTGCAAGCCTGCTAAGCAACACCCATTCTGGCAACTTGAGCTCTGGGCTCAGATTAACCCTTTTGTGCATGCAAGTGTGAATCAGTAACTGTATGTAACAATGACAATTTAAACATGTGAGGCACAGAATTGCAGGCACAGACTTATTATCTCAGGATCTAGGCACTGGTCTCTTATTCACCCAAATAATTATTCAGCTCTCAACACGACTGGTGCTTTATGATGGTTTTTGAGTGATGCGAGGTGACTCCAACTGCTTAAGAATAGAACCCAAAATCTTAATGGATAGCAGAAAGGCAGTAGGAAATGCATCTTACTAGATATCAGATGAAAAGCACACACAGATTTGCAAAGCAGTAAGTATTTTATTTACTGCAACTGTTTGTGATGAAGACTTTACCTTATATGCCAAATACCACTCTCCCTCCTTGGTGGATTTATTTCCCGCCTTATTCTTATACACCTCAGCCCTGTAGCGACGAATCAAAAGCAGATTCCTCAAAAAAGATTCAAAGTTCATCTTGCTAAGCGCAACACTTTCAAGTTTCCGGTTTCCTAAGAGATGAGAAAGCAGCGTAAGGAAAGTGGCTGACATACCACACAGAGAAAATTTGATCCACTGAAGTAAAACACATTTGATTTTGATGGGAAAGTTAATTTGCTCTTGTTGAAATCAAACATGCTCAAATTGATGTAGATTACGTTCATGATAGCTCCCACACTTACTGTGAAAAGATTTTTTAAAAAAAGATTAAACAGCTTAGAAAGTAAACGCGACAAAGCAAAAGGCAAACAAGAAATCACATGAAGTATACCTTTCCTGTTGCATATAGACAAAAGGCTTACATACTGAATCAAGACAGTAAAATGAGAGCTCTAAAATAAATCTCCAAACCACAGGTGTAAACTTGAAGGGGGGCTTGATTCCCCCGGGGGTCACCTCCCCAAGAACTTAATCCGTTCCAGAAGTCCGTTCTTAAACTGAAACCATTCTTAAACTGAGGCGCACTTTCCTAATGAGGCCTCCCGCCGCCAGTGCCCTTCCACCATTCGGATTCCGTTCTTAGTCTGAGGTAAAGTTCTCAAACCGAGACACTATTTCCGGTTTTGCGAAGTTTGTAAACCGAATCGTTCTTAAACCAGGCTGTTCTTAAACCGAGGTACCACTGTATACATTCAAGGCAACATAATTAACAGGAAACTAAAATATTATCTTAAAGATTTCAAAATAAAACATTGCAAAGGAAGTCAACTACAGAATGCACATTTAGAACAGCAGAGTTAACACACACAAAAAAAGAAAACATTAGTAAAGGAAGTAAAGTATAAAATGCACATTTAAAACAGCATGGTTAGCAAGAGAATAAAATACTATCATAAACATAGAACATATCTACTGGGTAGTGGCCCAAGCTCAATGACCTGGATCTGCACTCAGAGACAGCCAAGATACCATCAAAATCATTGCAAATCATGCTCAGTCTCACATGACAGACTCATTTACAACAGCAGCTGCACCACAGGTGTGGGTGGGTGTATATACAGTGGTACCTCGGGTTAAGTACTTAATTCGTTCTGGAGATCCATACTTAATCTGAAACTGTTCTTAACCTGAAGCACCACTTTAGCTAATGGGGCCTCCTGCTGCTGCCGTGCCGCCGGAGCACAATTTCTGTTCTCATCCTGAAGCAAAGTTCTTAACCTGAAGCACTATTTCTGGGTTAGCGGAGTCTGTAACCTGAAGCGTATGTTACCTGAAGCGTATGTAACCTGAGGTACCACTGTGTGTGTGTGTGTATACACCAGAGAGCCACTGGTGATCAAGACTTTTGAAGCAAAAGTCCATTTTAATGGAACTGGGTTTTTTTGTTTTTTGCTTTTGTGTATATATTTATTGCAATGTGATGGTTAGCGTGTCAAGACTAGGACACTGGAGAACAGAGTTCAAATCCCAACTTTGCCACAAGCTCACTGCCGGCATAACCTACTTCACAGGATTGTTGTGAGGATTAAACAAGGGAGAGGGAGGACCATATATGCCACCTTGAGCTCCTTGGAGAAAAAGCTGAGATATAAATGCAGAAAATAAATAAATAAAAGATACACATATAACTTTTTTTTTTTTAATGCTTTAAGCTCAGAAGTTAACATAATCTCCTGCCTTTACTTCTGTGTTCTAATTACAGGCTCTGCTTGCTTTTTATAACTTAATTAGCTGTTTACCTGGCAGAACTGTTCGAATAGCATTAGTTGTATAAAAGTAAATGTAAAGGGACCCCTGACTGTTAGGTCCAGTTCCGGATGACTCTGGGGTTGCAGCGCTCATCTCGCTTTATTGGCTGCGGCGTACAGCTTCCAGGTCATGTGGCCAGCATGACTAAGCCACTTCTGGCGAACCAGAGCAGCGCACGGAAACACCGTTTACCTTCCTGCCAGAGTGGTACCTATTTATCTACTTGCACTTTGACGTGCTTTCAAACTGCTAGGTGGGCAGGAGCAGGGACCGAGCAATGGGAGCTCACCCAATCTTCTGATCGGCAAACCCTAGGCTCTGTGGTTTAGACCACAGCGCCACCCGCATCCCTATTAGTTGTACCCTGGTACCTCGGGTTGCATACACTTCAGGTTACAGACTCCGCTAACCCAGAAATAGTACCTCAGGTTAAGAACTTTGCTTCAGGATGAGAACAGAAATCGTGCTCCGGCGGCGCAGCAGCAGCGGGAGGCCTCATTAGCTAAAGTGGTGCTTCAGGTTAAAAACAGTTTCAGGTTAAGAATGGACCACTGTATAGGTGAGTGTTATTTTTCGGAATCTCAACTAAAGCAAACCCTGACTCTTGCTGATTCTGAAACCCACAAGCGCACAATCAAAACTTGATACAGTGGTACCTCGGGTTAAGTACTTAATTCGTTCTGGAGGTCCGTTCTTAACCTGAAACTGTTCTTAACCTGAAGCACCATTTTAGCTAATGGGGCCTCCCACTGCTGCCGCGCCGCCAGATAACGATTTCTGTTCTCATCCTGCAGCAAAGTTCTTAACCCGAGGTACTATTTCTGGGTTAGCGGAGTCTATAACCTGAAGCGTATGTAACCCGAGGTACCACTGTACTGTATTTAACTTGACCACAAGCAGACTCCACCCCGCCACCTCGGCTGCAGGTGGCTGACTCCCACTTCTCCCCCGCCCTTCCCCCACCCAATTCATTTCAGCTCCTGTTGTTCAAGACTTGCTGCAACTTTGCGTTATTTTCCTGCTTCCAAACGAAAAGAACAAAATGCGCGTGTTGGAGAAGGGGTTCCTGTTTGTTCCCATTTTATATTGTAAAGCTAAACCAAGCAAGCAAGCTTCCTAGAGGAGCTGTTGTTATGAATGCATGTTATGAACTGTCCCGCGTCCTTCGGCTGGAGGGCGGCGTGTAAATTTACTTAATGATGACGATTGGAAGAACGGCAACAAAGCAGGTGACGAACGGAGAGGCAGCTTCGGCGAGCCCCGTCGTGTTAACGGAGCCGGCGTCCGACGGAAACCTGCGGGGGGGGGGACCGACCCCCTGTCCCTTCCGAGAGCCGGCAGCCTCCGGACTCAGCCCTCCCCCCGGCGCCCTTACCTTGCGCCAGCATCCGAATGACCGTCCGCGTCTTGAAGACGTCGGCGGCGGCCAGCAGCGCGTCCCTTCCATGCACCGTATAGTAGTCGCCGCGCTCGAAGAAGCGCACGGTGGTGTCCGGCTTCTCCGGCAGCGCCAGGACGGCGCGCACGAAGCCGCTCTCGGCGTTCGCCCCGTCGGGCCAGCACGCCTCGCGCGCCGAAGTCGAGGGGGAGCCGCCGACGGCGATGTCCACCGAGACCGCCAAGGCCGCGTTGAAGTCGGACGCCATGCTGCCGGAATCTCCCGCCAAGCGAAAAAAACTGCCGCGCTTTACTGGTCGCGCCTCCTCAGACGCCGACTGCCACGCCGCCCTCTCGGCCGCCGTAGCGAGTCACGTGCTCCTCGGAGCCCGCACGAGCCCTTGCCGGATGTCATGGCAACGGATGCGCGCGCAGCGACGGCGGTTGAGATTTTCAGGGCCCGTTTTGCGCATGCTGTGGAAATGGTGGGCGGGGTTTTGGGCTCGCCTGTCTGTCCTTCTCTCGCTATTGAATGAATGAGGATCTTAGCCAGGGGTCAGCAACCTTTTTCAGCCGTGGCCCGGTCCACCCTCCCTCCGACCATGTGGGGGGCTGGACTATATTTTTGTGGGGGGGGGGTGAACGAATTTCTGTGCCCCACAAATAACCCAGAGATGCATTTTAAATATAAGCATACAATCTACTCATGTAAAAAGCTATGGTTTTCCCAGTACAGTGGTACCTCGGGTTACATACACTTCAGGTTACACACTCCGCTAACCCAGAAATAGTGCTTCAGGTTAAGAACTCTGCTTCAGGATAAGAACAGAAATCATGCTCCGGCGGCGCAGCAGCAGCAGGAGGCCCCATTAGCTAAATTGGTGCTTCAGGTTAAGAACAGTTTCAGGTTAAGTACGGACCTCCAGAACGAATTAAGTACTTAACCCGAGGTACCACTGTAGTGATGTATGGAAGTGAGAGCTGGACCATAAAGAAGGCAGATCGCCGAAGAATTGATGCTTTTGAATTATGGTGCTGGAGGAGACTCTTGAGAGTTCCATGGACTGCAAGAAGATCAAACGTATCCATTCTTAAGGAAATCAGCCCTGAGTGCTCACTGGAAGGACAGATCCTGAAGCTGAGGCTCCAATACTTTGGCCACCTCATGAGAAGAGAAGACTCCCTAGAAAAGACCCTGATGTTGGGAAAGATGGAGGGCACAAGGACGACAGAGGATGAGATGGCTGGATAGCGTTCTCGAAGCCACCAGCATGAGTTTGACCAAACTGCGGGAGGCAATGGAAGACAGGAGTGCCTGGCGTGCTCTGGTCCATGGGGTCACGAAGAGTCGGACACGACTAAACAACAACAAAAACACGTTGATTCCTGGACCGTCCGCGGGCCGGATTGAGAAGGCGATTGGGCCGGATCCGGCCCCCAGGCCTTAGGTTGCCTACCCCTGGTCTTAGCCATGCTCTGCGCCCACCTGCCGTGTTTACTTGGGAAGTCCAGCCCTGCTGAGCTCTGCGGGCATCACTTCTTAGTGGTCCTTGTCTATCCTACCTCCAGCAATCCCCGCTGAACTTCGTGGGACTGGCTTTTGAGCACACAGGTGTAGGACTGCGCTGCTAAATGAGCTTAGTTAAAAATATAAAAAGAAGTGCCCTGCTGGATCAGAACAGTGACCCAGATAGTGCAGCATCCTGCTCTCAAAGAGGGCAGCCAGATACTTGTGGGGAAAACCAGGGAGCAGAGCATGAGCCCAAGAGCACCCTCCCCCCTCCTGTGGCATTTAGCAACTGGTGCTCAGAAGTGTTGCTGCTTGTGCAGGCAGAGCATACAGTGGTACCTCAGGTTAAGAACTTACTTCGTTGCGGAGGTCTGTTCTTAACCTGAAACTCTTCTTAACCTGAAGCACCACTTTAGCTAATGGGGCTTCCTGCTGCCTCCACACCGCCGCAGCGCAATTTCTGTTCTCATCCTGAAGCAAAGTTCTTAACCCGAGGTACTATTTCTGGGTTAGTGGAGTCTGTAACCTGAAGCGTCTGTAACCCGAGGTACCACTGTATAGGGCATTATGGCTAGTAGCCCTCGGTAGCCCTCTCCTCCATGAACTTGCCTTATGCTATTTTAAAGCCATCCAAGTTAGTGGCCATCCTTGTGAGAGGGAGTTCCATAGTCTTGACTTTCTTTTACATTGAATCTTCCAACATACAGCTTCCCTGGATTTCCAGGGGGAACAAGAAAGGGAGAATAAGCATAAAAGTATCCACTTTTTCCATGCCATGTTTATACCAATGGTTCTCAAACTTTTTTTCTCCAGGCTGCACCTTCAGGAAAAAAATGCATTGAAAAACACAACTGGGATTGTCCTCAGTATCACCTGATGTTCCTCTTCTCATTTTGAAAAGATAGTAAAGGTAAAGGTATCCCTGCCCGTACGGGCCAGTCGTGTCTGACTCTAGGGTTGTGCGCCCATCTCACTTAAGAGGCCAGGGGCCAGCGCTGTCCAGAGACACTTCCGGGTCACGTGGCCAGCGTGACGAAGCTGCTCTGGCGAGCCAGCACCAGCGCAGCACACAGAAATGCCGTTTACCTTCCCGCTGTAAAGCGGTACCTATTTATCTACTTGCACTTAGGGGTGCTTTCGAACTGCTAGGTGGGCAGGAGCTGGGACCGAAAGACGGGAGCTCACCCCGCCGCGGGGATTCGAACCGCCGACCATACAATCGGCAAGTCCTAGGCACTGAGGTTTTACCCACAGCGCCACCCGCGTCCCGCGTGAAAAGATACCCATCTGTATTTCACAAATGTTTTTATACTATACCATATAACTTAATTGTTTATATTTTCCTTTGGTTGTCCTTGAATCTTCCCACCACTGCCATCCTCTCCTGCAACACTAGTGTGGCGCACCACACCATTTGAGAACGAACAGTTTATACGTTTCTATCATGTCACTTCTTACTTGCCTGTTCTCTAAACTAAAAAGCCCCAAATGCTGCAACCTTTCATTAGGGGAGTCACTCCATGCCCTTGATAATTTTGGTGCCCCTTTTCTGTTGTTTTTTTAAATATATATATAATATTAAGTTTTCCAATTTAATAATCCAATGAACCACATTAAAACATTCCAAATTGCAATACAATAAAAAAGCTAAATATAAATGCCAATTTTTTTATCTTTGGGTGACTTCCCATGCTCTGAAGTGCTGATCATCTAATCTCACATTGCATTTCTTAATCAATAAGCCATTTCGATGTTAATCCTTCACATAATTTTCATTTACTTTCACAACCACTGGTCTGTTCAACTTTTGCCTTCTTAAGTTCTGTATGAAATATTTTTCCCTGTTTTCCACAGTCCAGCAATTCCATTTTCAGTTTCTGCCCCCTTTCCAACTCTACAATATTATTTTTGAGGTGAGGTCACCAGAACCATACACAGTACTCCAAATGTGATCGCACCATAGATTTATATAAGGGAATTGTGATACTGGCAATTTTATTTTCAGCTCCTTTCCTAATGATCCCTAGCATGGAATATGTCTTTTTTACAGCCTTTGTATGCAAGTACCTTCATCGAGCTAGTATAGCAGGCCCCATAATACACTGATCTTCAACTGGTGCTCATGGCCTGATCCAAAGTGGGTCACAACAGCAGTACCACCATGCAAATATAAGGTAAGTGGTTAAAAAATGGGTCCTCAGGTTTATGTTTGGGTGAAAAGTGAGTGCAGAGTCAGAAAAGGTTGAAGATAACTTGCCATAACACACTTCAGATGGAGGGAGAAATATTTATTCCCCCAGATATTGCTCATCTACAACTCCCATCAGCTACAGCAAGAATGGCCAATGGCAAGGGAGAATGGCAAGCTGCAGTTCAGCAACATCTAGAGGGCCAGAGGTTCCCTTTTAGACAGGTACAGAAAAAGGTGAGAAGGTAACTATCTAAAATTAATAAATCCTAGGCATGCAGTCTTCAGTGGAAATTATTCCTATGGAAAATGTGCACCAAATGATAGCTCTGCTGTCTTCCAGCCAAGTACTTCTTTGCACTTCTGTTACTCTTCAGGTTTTCCTCCCTGCAGCCCAGTCCTATACCTGTTTACTCAAACGTTCTCTGTACGATAGAACTTACTGCCAAATAAGTGGCATGGCATCTGAACCAATGGATTCAAGTTACAAAAAAGAGATTCCGATCAATATCAGAAATAACTTTTTGACAGCAAGAGCTGTTCCGACAGTGGAATAGACTCCTTCGGGAGATGGTGGTCTCCTTCACCGGAGGTTTTTAAGTAGAGGTTGATGGCCATCTGTCATGGATGACCTAGCTGAGATTCCTGTATTGCAGGGGGTTGGACTAAATAACCCTTGGGCTCTCTTCCAACTCTACAATTCTATTATATCAAAATACCTTTTTCCTAAATGCTAATCTAATTAGAGTTATCTGTCTCTAAAACTAGAATGAAGATATTGGGAAGTGTCTCATTAAGTCATTCTTAGAAATACCACAGAAGAGCCGAAAAGATTTTCAGAATTTATTAAAATTACTTGTAAAAAAAAGAGCAAATTTGAAGGAAAATATTTACAAGCATTAAAAAAAACCACACACACTATATTCCATGATCTGCAAGAGATGCAAGGTGGCCAAATTCATTTAGTAACTTACTAGACACCTCAAAGTTTATACAAAACAGTTATTTAACATACATCCAACAAAAAGGCATCAGTAATTTTACACAAAGAAAGGACGTTCATCTTGCCCAACTAGTAAAAATGTTTAAAAAATGGATTACAGTCCAGCAAAATGCAGTCTAGTGTCAAAATTTGAAGTAATCCTTTTATTAAACTATAAGGAAGTATTTAAACAAAAAAAAAGTCTCTACAGGTAATCTTCAGTTTACATGCTTTTGCCATGTTTATCCTTATTTCATGTTACAGCAATTACGAGTTTAGTTCTCTGTGCATTTCGTTCATTTCCTTTACCTGAAGACACACAAAAAAAGAGTTTTATTCCTTTTCAGTTTTGATGCCTTTAGAACATGTTCATTTATTAATATTACCAATAGAATGGACACCAGTCACCAGCCTAGAAACTAATTTTTGCTAAATGTAACTCCCCCTGCCCCCAATAATATCATATGTTCAGCTTTTTGGCTGAATTTGTTTACAGAAGAATCCAGAAAGCTGTAATTTTCAGTTTTGTTTTTACTACATAAAAAACCTCTTCCCTGGGCCAATGTATGTATCAGATCCTAAGCTCTCTAGAAAATACTATTTCCTGTGTGCAGCATTTAAGTGACTTCCCAAACTGTTAGATGTCAAAACACATTCCCTCTCTCACACACAGAATGTTGGCCATACTTGTTACAAACATGGCATATGAACCTTTCAGCAACTTATTGCATGGCAAGTTAAGCAAATAGATACTGTAAGAACCTGAGAATTGTTCCTGTTCACTTTCTTGCTAGATTATAGTTTTCATTATTATTTTGTTTTATTATTCACTCTTCACACTAAGGTCAAAGGGCAGGTCAAAACAATTTTACATACAACATTAAAAACAATTTCAAAGATTAAAAAATATGAACCACGAGAAGCTAGAATAAGCCATAAAATATGCACCTCAGATGTTACAAGCTCAGAGGAATTTTTATAGTACCGTTCTATGCCATTGTTTAAATTCTTAACAGTTCCTTTGATTTTTTAAAACTCACCTCAGCTTTTTCATATTTCCCCTTCTTTCTTCTAGTAAAGACCTGCAGGGAAAGCAACAGGTTACACCAAGTTTTTGCAAATGCAACATCCACGACTTCCCAGGTCCCATTCACTGAGGTCCCCTAAACGATAAAACCTTCTGGCCAGTCAGGTCCATGTTGCTTATGAGACCTGCAAGCAGGGGCGACCCAGCCCGTTTCACCACCTAAGACAAAATAGGAATTGCCACCTCCTGCCCCCACACCCCGCCATAGTGTCCCACCAGAATGCTCCAGCTTCTCATCAAACTCAGGTGTTTCACAAGTGGGGCAGGAAAGATGAGTGGATCTGTAAGCAGCCATTGTGATTCTGCTGTCTGAGGGAGGTGCTGCACCCTGTCTCATGGGTGGTCTTGGTTCATGTGCACACAGGACCAAGTCTCATCTACTATAAGAATTTATTTATTTTTATCACTGCAAGCCAGGTCACTGTGGGAAGCACAGTAGCTCAGTGGTAGAGCACATGCACTGCATACAGAAGGTTGAAGATTTAGCCTCTGGCATGTCCAGGTAGGACAGGGAAAGACCCCTGGAATGAAAGCCCGGAAAGCCACTGTCAATCAATATAGTCAATTGTGAGAATAATGATCCAGTGATCCAAACTCTGTATAAGCACCTTTTTCCATTTATTTCTGTAATTTGGACCAAGGTATGAAAACTGGACTGGAATGAGCATATTTCACAGCAGCAGCCACCCACACCAGTGTCTGCCCGTTACAGAGACTTACGATATGGTCTCCGAAAAGTTTGCATGCCGCTTCTTTAACAAACTAGGCATTTGTTCTCACTATGATAGCTTCCTATTACCTAAATTCAGCCTATAGCATGTATGACGATCAAGTATTTACCTCACTTATTCTTATCCTATTCAGGAGTGAATAGCTATTTCCACATAAAATACTACTACCTCGGACATAATACATGAAGTTATTCAACCTTAAAGATCCTCCCAGGAGGCCCTTCAGGTCCCCCAACCTTCAGAATACTCGCCCAAGGAGGTTCATCTGGTACAAGTCTCTGCTGAAATAGAGACTTCAGATACCAAGTTCCATTATATTATAACTGGCTATTTTATTTCTGCTGCTACTGTGACTGTTGCCTTATTACACAACTCTGGAACATTTTTAACATGAAGAATGGGGTTAAAGTATCTTATACAGTTAGAAAAACATACCAGTACAAGAATACCAGCAACTATGGCCAGTATTATAATTACAATCACAGCAATAATACCAGGATTCAAATGTTGCATTGTGAACTCTGGTGCCTTGTCATCAATGTAGTAGATTATAACATCATTAGATTGAAGAGGTCCTGTTGAACTGTCAAGGGTAAGTCTTGGTCCTACAATCAAAGGGTCCCCTTTGATCTGAAAGAGTAGAAGCACTAGTTACACACTTCCTCTTTTGGAGTAAGCAGTCCAAGCAATATCCAATCATTGAAATACAGGCAACTACTGATTGGTGTGGGGTTACATTTCTGATCCACAGGCACATTGGTGGAGCGCGCACAAGGCTATTAAGTCCCCACCCTGTTCCGCCCCCTTTTCTGGTCACTTACGGGTCACCACACTGCCCATGTGCTCAACTGCATATAAATTGGACTAGCGTAAATCAGTCGTTGCCTGTAAAGCACTGAGTTTACATGAACCATTCTATTCTACCTTGCACAAAGGGACTGGTATACTTACATCTTTTTCAAAATAGTATGCCACATCAACTATATCTACATCTGTGGCAGATTTCTCTGTAGCATTTTGTCTCAGTTCGATAAAAACGAAAGGCTTTTCATACTGGGATGAAGAAAACACAGCATTTAGATCCACATAACCAATAAATAAATATATGAACAGAATGTGACTTTGTTAGGTTTTTAGAAATCTCTTGGAGTTTAAAAATCATGTTCTTTTTGAATAGTACTATAGTAATAATAATAATAATAATAATAAATATTAATAATTTTATTATTTACACCCTGCCCAATTGGCTGGGTTTCCCTGGTCACTCTGGGCAGCTTACAGAATATATAAAACATACACTTCAAGACAAGTGGTTTGTTTGTTTCAAGAACTTGTATTAAAAGAGATTAATATAACAGTTCAAATATCACAGCTGTATGATACAAACACTGACAAAACGTCTTGAATTAGCAGGCTATGGAATTACAGGTGGAAGCTACAAAGAGGCACATTTCTTGTGAAGCCTAATACGTTCCATTCCTAAAACTTGTTCTTGGGAATTCTGGGTGACTCCCTCTTGAACCTTCTCGATTCTTTTATGTTTTCCCTTCAGTAGTTCATTATATATTTTGCTTTTAGCTGGGCTTTTTAGATTAATATAAAATACTTACAACAGAAAGTCCTTTATATAGTAAAATTAAATATTTAACGTTGGGGTTCAAGTATATCTCCTCTATCTTGAAAGTTTAAAGGCCATTTTTAGAAATACAGTGGACGCTCAGGTTGCGAACGTGATCTGTGCGGGATGCACGTTTGCAACCCGCGTCCACAACCCACAGCGTCGCATCTGCGCACACGTGGCTTGCAATTCGGTGCAAAGCTCAATTTAGCGCTTCTGCGCATGCTCGACCGCCGAAACCTGGAAGTAACCCGTTCCAGTACTTCCGGGTTTCGGTGGCCCGCAACCCAAAAAAACGTAACCTGAAGCGTCTGTAACCCGAGGTATGACTGTATGTGAATACTAGCACAAAATTGTCTATAGGAATCCAAATATGACAGAAAATCTGCAAAAATTGCTATTCATACCGTAGCAGTTATGTGATTTTTATTCAATTTGTAACGCTGAGAAAGTTGTTCTCTGATTTCACTACAAAGACAAGAATTAGAAACTGTTAGTACTTGAACATGTGATTTAGAACTGAATCTTGTGTCATCCTCTAACAACAATCTAACATCTTTGCATTAACCCCTAAGGGACACATCAGCAACTTCTATTGGTTCCTTCCTGTCAACTACAACTTCTGCAACTGTATTTACACCTTTCCCCATACTTGGCACTAGCAGAAACAGAGGCAAAGCTGGCTTAAACCAGCCCACTTATATTTTGCTACCAACATCAGTTAAACAAGGAAAGTGTAGATGCAGTATAGCAAGAACAATGGCTTTGGAGGAAGTTAACACTGCATTAGTATACAAATCACTTCCTTTTGAACTACATTCTGAAGAACATCCCCATCCCTAGAAATTGTATGTTTTGCAATCCTAATTACTTCAAACAGACTAAAGACATACCTCTCAAGGCTAGGTTTGTCCAAATCATTTTCTGTCCCAGAGTGCTTCATTTCCATCGAAATCCAGCTGAAAAATAAAGTATTGCCCTCAGGAATTTAGCTGGCCGATTCCACACATTAAATACAAGCTTAAGAAATAGGATTTCAAATAATATTTTATTTGTAAAATTACAGTGGGAACAAACTTGACAATATAAGGAGTGGGCAACCTCAAACACCACCACTCCTAGAGCCACATCTGCAGGGCCAGACATTTGGAGACACATACCACTGGGCAAATTGTGTGGCAGGCAGTGCACAGGGCTGTATATTCACTTTAATCCCCATGCTCTGAAGTAGACAAAGTGCCTTAGGTTACTATTAGCAGTGTGGGGACAGTGATATTGGCTGCATTAGGAGTGCCTTGTAGTGCAGGGAAGAAATTAAACCACACTCCCACCCAGCTCTCAATGCAGGGGAAATCTATTTCTGCACTGATTGCTGATCAGCTTGGCAACACAGGAAGTGAGTGAGCCATGGCAAGCTGCAGAGTGCGCTGCTGAGGGACATATGTTGCTTGCTGGTTGCCCACCTGTGACATAAAACATTAATGTTTTGTACCTGCATGTTTATATATTTGCCTGGCACCAAATATTTATATTTCAAGGTACATGCAGTTTCATTGGAGGCTTACCTTGTCCTTACTACTTCATCGCATTTAATGTCTTTACCCCCCTTGTCAGTTCTTCGTACTCCAGCTGAGTTCACACACCAGCAAGTGTCTGTACCATTGCACTGCTTAGCTTTGAAGTTACCATTGTCATCACATTCTGGATCATAAATGCCATCATTGTCTCTAATAGCATGTTGTGGTCTAATACTTCTGCCAGAGTTTTTGCGGTATATTTCTGCTTTCATCAGCAGGCATTTTGAAGACACTGAAAATAAGATCGCAAAGAACCACATTTAAAGTTACCATTTCAGTTTCAAGTGTCTGATTATGCTGGAATGCTAGGGCTTCACAGCTCATATTTGAAACTGAAGCAAGTTATCCAGGAGTTATTGTACTCACATGTTCCACAGTCCACTGTGACATTGGACCCAAAACTTGTGCATCTGCATGTACTGCTAATTGAAGTACAGTTTACCACATGCTTGTTGTTCAGGCATAAGCAACCTGTAATAATTAAATGTATCAGTTAGGAAGGAAACCAGTCAGGTACCATGCACCAAATAGGCAAGTAAATGTCTTCACTTTTGAGGGAGGAAGAAAAAGTCTCTCTCTGTAGATCTCTGAGCACTCAAGATAAAGCCAACAACTGACACCAGAAATCAAAGCTCAGATGAAGTTATCATTTTAAGAAGAAATGGTTTAATTCAGTGTACTGAATTTTAACTTAAAAAGAGGCCCATTCCAAAAGTGTCTTGTGTTTATGTAATATTTCTGAAATTACTTCCTTCTGGTGCATTGTAATAATGTTATCAAAACAGTACAGTTTGCATATCAGAGTATTTACACTGTTTACCATCAGCACACAGTAGACTACACAGCAGCACACAGCACTGCTTTACTATTCCCTTCTAGCAAGCAGGAACAAACAATGCTACATCCAAACCAGAGATGAGTTTTGTTTTGCTCAAACAACATCAAGAACAAACCACAATCTCTAGTTTGGATCAGGGTGGATAAAAAGTAATGATTTTTTTAAATGGGCTTTTTTATTTAAATTGAATTTTTTATAAATAAAATGCTTTTGGAGTAAAAATCTTTCTAAAGATAGATTTCTATTTAAGTTAAGGAAAAAACCTTAATCCCATTGTTCCTTTGCAAATTTATATACACAGAATCAACCCCGTACCTCTTAAATGCTAAGTTCCAAGAGGTTCGATGAACAGATTGTTTGGAGTGGAATAGATCTGCCCAAGTAAGTGTGAAGCAGTAAAAATGAAAGTGTAACCTTGTGAGCAGAATACTCCACAAGTCTTGGGATATTTGTGTAATAATTGTGCGAGTCAGTTGCATGCCTGTGCAACTCAGACTTGAGGCAAGTGCTGAAGGCACTTCAGGGCTAGCCACCTCTTCCCAATCCCACTGGGTTCCAACAACTGCACTAACACTTAACTGTACAGAATAGGCACCTGAATGTAGAAGCCAATCCAAAGGGGTAGTGGTGGAAATAATAACTGGGATCTGTAAGTCCATGGCAAGACCTTGAAGTGCTTGCCAGTCAACTAATAAGAGTTCACTGGTTCCAGACCCTTCTTCCCAGGGCTCACCTGACATTGTCCAAACAATCAAGTCTCTAACCACATCAGTTTACAAACATGGATACATATGCTATAATATTATTGTTTTAGTTAAATAAATTGTTAAAATTGTTATTAAGGAAATGATTATTTTTCTCCTTCCAACAAAGTACAGCAGAAAAGTTGTCCAAATATAAATAGTTAACTTATTAAACCTCACAATAATTTCATAATTATCTTTCTATGTATTTCTAGTAGAATAACCAAATCAGCAATTTTTTTATATAACTGTAAAAACTACCTTGAAAGTTTATTATTCCAAAAATTAAACCTTCATCTGGTTGTAAATATTAAGATTATACCAGCAAGATTGTCTTTCTCTAAAAAAATGATTTAAATCAAATCTTACTTAAATTACTTAATTACTTAAATTAAAAATTACTTAAATCAAGTGATTTAAATTGTGATTTAAATCAATTTCATTTAAATCAAATCCACCCTGGTTTGGAAATAACTAAGAAATTACAGTGTGTTGCTCCCACTGGCTAGATAGGAGTAGCAAAAGTGGGAGTCTTCTGCTTTTGAAGATGTCATCCCCATCCTCAAAAATGGGGGAAAGGAAGACCCAGGTTACTACTGATCAGTGAGCTTGACATAGATACCAGGGAATGTCCTAAAACAGATAATTCAATAGTTGGTCTGTGAGCATTCAGAAAAGGATGTTGTGATTACCAAGACCCAGCATGGGCTTCTCAAAAATAAGTCATGCCAGACCAATCTGATTTCTTTTTTTGATGGAATTACAAACTTGGTGGATCAGGGAAATGCTGTGGACATAGTGTATCTTGATTTCAGTAAGGCTTTTGACAAAGTCCCCCATGATATTATTGTGAGGAAGCTGGCAAAATGTGGAATGAAAGAGGTAACCGTTAGGTGGATTTGTAGCTGGTTGACTGACTGAACCCAAAGAGTACTCATTAATGGCTTCTTGTCATCCTGGAAAAAAGAGACAAGTGGGGTACCACAGGGTTCTGTCCTGGGCACGTTGTTGTTCAGTGTCTTTATAAATGATTTGGATAAAGGAATTGAGGGGACGCTCATAAAAATTTGCAGATGACACCAAACTGGGAGGGGTACCTAATGCCGCAGAAGACAGAATTGGAATTCAAAATGACCTTAACAGATTGGAGAACTGGGCGCAAGCTAACAAAATGAATTTCAATAAGGACAAATGTAAGGTTCTGCACCTAGGAAGGAAGAACCAGGTGCACAAATATAGAATGGGGGGCACCTGGGTTACTAGCAGTACATGTGAAAAGGATCTAGAGGTCTTGGTGGACCACAAGCTTAACCTGAGTCAACAGTGTGATGCAGGAACATAACAGCTAATGCTATTCTAGGCTGCAACAACAGAAGTATAGTGTCCAGATCAAGGGAAGTCACAGTATCACTCTATTCTGCCTTAGTCAGACCACACTTGAAATACTGTGTCCAGTTCTGGGCACCACAGTTTAAGAAGGATGTTAACAAGCTGGAACATGTGCAGAGAAGGTCAACCAAGATGATTAAGGGTCTGGAAACTAAGCCTTATGAGGAGCACTTGAAGGAGCTGACTATGTTTAGCCTGGGAAAGAGGAGACTGAGAGGAGACAAACTGACAAACTGGAACATGTCCAGAGGAGGGCAACCAAAATGGTCAAAGGCCTGGAAACGATGCCTTATGAGGAACGGCTAAGGGAGCTGGGCATGTTTAGCCTGGAGAAGAGGAGGTTAAGGGGTGATATGATAGCCATGTTCAAATATATAAAAGGATGTCACATAGAGGAGGGAGAAAGGTTGTTTTCTGCTGCTCCAGAGAAGCGGACACGGAGCAATGGATCCAAACTACAAGAAAGAAGATTCCACCTAAACATTAGGAAGAACTTCCTGACAGTTAAGAGCTGTTCGACAGTGGAATTTGCTGCCAAGGAGTGTGGTGGAGTCTCCTTCTTTGGAGGTCTTTAAGCAGAGGCTTGACAACCATATGTCAGGAGTGCTCTGATGGTGTTTCCTGCTTGGCAGGGGGTTGGACTCAATGGCCCTTGTGGTCTCTTCCAACTCCATGAGTCTATGATTCTATGAGATATGATAGCCATCTTCAAATATCTCAAGAGCTGTCTCATGGAAGAGGGAACAAGCTTGTTTCCTCCTGCTCTGGAGGGTAGAAACTGAACCAATGGATACAAGTTACAAGAAAGGAGATTCCGACTAAACACCAGGAAGAACTTTCCGACAGAGCTGTTCGACAGTGGAATAGATACCCCTGAATGTTTTTAAGCAGAGGTTGATGGTCATCTGTCATGGATGCTTTATTTGAGATTCCTGCATTGCAGGGAGTTGGGTGACCCTTCCAACTCTACAATTCTATGACTGCAATTTCCACTGGAAAGGGTTATAGCTCAGTGGCAGAGCATGTGCTTTGGATGTAAAATATCCCAGGTTCAATTCCTGGCATCTCCAGAGAGGGCTGGGAATGTCCCATCTGAAACTCTGGAGATCTGCTGCCAGTCAGAGTAGACGCTACAGAGCTGAATGCCTCAATGGCTTGATTCTGTATAAGGCAGCTTCCTCTCAAAGTCTAAAGAAAAAAAGATTCAAGAACTCAGTGGAGGAAGTCACTAATCTAAAACAAAATTTTAAGACTTGCGTGTTGAATAATTTGAATACACACATTTAAAGGATTTGGTTCTCTCTCCAGGAAGGAAATATCTACTGCCTATTTTTTAAAAAAATAAAGTGTGAGATGCTCTACTAGCTACACATGAGATGCTATATTTTTAATAATTCATGCTGCCAATATTCAAATTTTAACCGAGGCTTTGAAAATTGGTGACAGATGGTTTTATAAAAGAAACCTACTTGGGACATACTAAGAAACACTCCTTCCGCAAGAGTCACAACACATGGGCATTTTCAAGAGAAATTTTACAACTATTGTCTATCCTCTAGTAGAAGACCAGATTTGCTCTCAGGCACCTCCCCTAACCCTGGGTGTAGTCTCAATTGCAAGTCACATCTCTGCTCTGCTTTATTTCTGCTACCAGGAAATGTGAAATCTGAAAACAGCTCAAGGCCTCAGGGATGGGCTTCCATTTACCATCAGGAGTCACATAGGAGCTGACACAGATTAAAAAGGAAAGCAAAAGTTACTAGCCTGTTCTTTCCAGGGCTCTTAGAACTATAACAATGAAGCCTCTTCTCTTCCTGATGGAAGAGGTGCCCAGCAATGGCTGCAACAGCTCCTTGCAGCCCATTTAACCCCATGGGCTTGTAAACTGTACAAAACAATCATATTGATGGCACTCCCATCAGACAGCAGATATAACCAACACTGATGAGCGTCAGCTCAGTCACCCATAGAATACACAGCAGCAGGAGAGGAAAAAGAAGGCTGCTTTGGTTAATCAGGTGATTGATCCGTTAATATCACAGCCCTAGAAGGTTCCGACACCAGGGGTGCTCCAGGAAATTTTACTGTCCGAGAGGAAGGGTTAAGATGACACCATCATTCTACATAGTGGCCAACTGGACCTAGCATTGCCAATGGGTCAGTGTCCTCCACCACACCCATAAGCCACAACCGTAGGGAGTTGCAGGGCAGGTTGTATAGTAAACACAGTCCTATCCTCAAACATCTCACCTGCCCCCCCCCCAGGCAGCCACCTCACTCCACCTAGTGGTGAGGCCAAACTCTGCACATCACCTAGCAGTTCAACAGCTATGTATTTTAAAACTACTTCCTCTTTGTGATGTCACAGGCTGAGCCTCATTCCTGTTCTTTCGAGGCAAACCTGGGGGGCGGTGGGGGGGGGCGGACAACGTTTGAAAGGCAACGGTCCCTGGAAAGAAGAGTACCTCTGACAACGCTTAGATGTCGAGGGGGGGGTAGGGGAAGAAAGATTCTTCTGCACAGGGAATTTCTTATCTTGAGAGACGACACAAAATAAATAAATTCCGACGACATTCAAGAAAGGAACCCTGTAGCTGCTGAGCCCAAGTTGGCCTTACCTCCCATTTCTTCAGACAGGTTATAGTGAATATCGGCATAACCATATTGAAGCGCTGCTTCACCTGAGACACGCACTAATACTATATACTGCCCACATCTCAGCACACCTTTTTAAAAATAATAACCTTCTGAAATGAAAGCATTTTTTTTAAAAAAAAAGTTAGTTTCCAGGACGGGACGTCTTCGAGGCGCGGGGTTGTACCTAGCTAAGTTAAGACTTCCAGAGGATCCAAATCCGTCCCTTGACTTCGACGGATCTACTCTCGGTGAGTAGACCTAACACTCCAGTGGGGTCAAAATCTGAAGAAAAAGTCCCCCGAGGACCGCGCTTGGGTCGGGCCGCCACCCTCAACTCTCCCCGGAGGCCCTCGCTCTCTCTCCAGGGAGCTTCTTTCCCAAGCAGCAGGATCCTCGACGGGGGGCAGCCAGGTGCACCCCCAGCCCTTGTCCCCTAACCCCCACCCACCCCGCCACCCACTGAAGGCAAACCGAAGCTCTTTCTGTCCCGGTGAGAAGAAGCGCCTCGCCCCTTCCCTCCCCGCCCCGACGGGGCGCCATTTTGTGGCGAGCGGGCACGGCTCGCCTCGCTCCGGAAGGGGCTCTCTCCGGGCAAGGCGCCATTAAACCCCCTCACAGGAGCGGATAGTCGGAGGAAGGAGCAGCAGAGAAGGAAGGGGGAAAGAGAAGGAGGTTTCCTCGACGGATACGTACTGCAGTTCACGGTGGCGGCGAGCGCCAGCATCGCCAGCGCCAGGTAGACGGTCCCGCGGGGCAGCTCCATCGCTGGGCAAGTTGAAGGAACAGGTAGGCAAAGGAGGCAAAATAGTAAAACAGTAATAAAGAGGAGCACTGCTTCGACGCGCCTTCTCCTCGAGGCTCCGCGGCGCCCTTTCTCCCCTCGCGAAGACGCTCAAGCTGCTCAGCAGGTTCCGCAGGTAGACCAAGCCCCCTCTCGGCCGGCCGCGCCCGACGTCTCAGGTTGCACCTGGGGCCTCCTCTCAAACGCCGCCTCCCCTGGCACCTGTGTCGCTCGCTTTCACTCGCGCGCGCTCCCGCTTCCTCCTCCTCCTGCCGCCAAGGACAAATGAGTCTCTCGGGGCTCCCGCCAGCGCTTATAGCCCGCAGCGCCACCTGAGCGAAACTGGGAGCGGCCGGCGGGGCGGGGCGAGTCCGGCGGCCGAGGCGAAAGAGGCTCACCTGCCCGCCCGGTGGCCCATATATGGATTTTTCCGGCGCGAGGCACCTTTGGAGGGACGGGGCGGGTGCTGAGGTAAGAGGCGCCTGGCACCTGCTGTCTGAGGGAATGCAGGTGGATCCTGCTGGAGCGCCGTCTGAATGTAACTTTAAAAAATGGGGATGGGTGGTGTTTTCACAATTTACAGTGGTACCTCGGGTTACAGACGCTTCAGGTTACAGACTCCACTAACCCAGAAATAGTACCTCAGGTTAAGAACTTTGCTTCAGAATGAGAACAGAAATCACGCGGCGGCAGCGCGAGGCCCCGTTAGCTAAAGTGGTACCTCAGGTTAAGAACAGTTTCAGGTTAAGAACGGACCTCCAGAACGAATTAAGTTCTTAACCCGAGGTACCACTGTACCTGTGTGCTGGTCCAACTGGGGAAAGCTGGGGCTCGCCAGGTGGATGGCAGCGCAATGCGCAAACTGAAAACTCTTACTCTCTTTTCTCCCCACACCCCAACAAGAAACCAAGAAGTTAGCCCGCAAGAATTTAAAGTTCAAGGAATAGGTTTTGACAGCCTGCCTGCTGGTAACTGTCGCAATTGTGCCCGAAAGAATTGGCCTGGTGAAGTCTGTGGCAAACACAGGCACAAGAAGGGGAATTCAGGGCACCTGTGGGGAAAGAAAGGATAGGGGATGCCCTCAAATTTTAAAGTTGATGGATCGTGAGCTGCATATATCGAAAGCTTCGTCCTTGTGCTGTAATAAATGTATCTTCAAGGACCTCTAATGGAACTGAGTTTCTAGTGTCCACTAATAAAACTACATAACTGACCCTCGTGGTACCTTCCAACTCTAAAATTATATTCTTCTGTTATTATTTATTAAATTTGTATACCACCCTTCATGTGAAGATCACAGGGTAGTTCCCAACCTAAAAATACAAAATGAGAACACAGAATACAGAATAGAACAAAACCCAATAACCTCACTCCCATGAACACACTTGAAGGCCATGGAATATTAATCAGCCAAAGACCTGGTTAAAGAGAACCATTGTTACCTGGAACCTAAAGATAGGTACTGAAGATGCCAGATGAGCTTCCCTGGAGAGAGCATTGCACAAATGTTTATTTTTAAAAAGCATAAATCCCACTCTTTAGCCCAAAATGGCCCAGATTGACTTACAAAGGTCTGTGATAAGACAGTCCTTGCCATCAAGCATATAGTCTAAAAAAGCACAACAGAAAAGGTAAAATGAATTGGAAGGGAGGAGAAAAAAGCAAACTCGGGCATTATCTCTTCGTTACAGCATTCTGTATTGACTAGCAGGAATAGAAAGGTTTCAGTGAAAGGACAAAAATAAAGTTGCTGGTCTTTCAACAGAGCTCATGGAGGAGCCTTGTAGTTCCATCTCTCTCACTCCTATAAGGTTGGAGTTAGTAAAAAGTTGCCTGAGCTGTTCAGCTTAGCTAAGCATGAATAAATTTATGTTGTCATATATTGTTCCTATTAAAAAGGAAGCTGTTTATAAGTCTACCTGTCTCTACGGAGTGCTGACCTGACAGCAGATCCTACTGAAGCATAGAAAGCTGACTAAGTACTCCACCCCTGGCCCACAGACAAAGAGATAATATTATACTTATTAATACCAAGCCATTCCTGTTGTATTCCCACCCTGTTGATGGATCCACCTGCAAGAAGCTGCTTTACGTTGGTATGTTCATGCTTTTCTTAATAACCTTACTTTATCAGATTTATGGAGGAAACCTGAGATTCGCTCACACATAATCTGCTTTGAGAGCCACAGAAAATGATTCTGCACACCTTAATCTCTCTTTTGTATTCAGAGTTGGGCATAGTCAAGATTTGCTCCCAAACGCTTTAACTATCCTGTTTTACAGGAGAGTGAAGTTGGTTCCCAGTTCCTTGTTTGCATTTTCCTTCGTTTTTTTATTTGCAGTACAGAGGAACAGGGGGGAAAGCAGATATTCAAGAAATATTAACTTCCAGCTCGACAGTTCTCTGAGTCTATGAATGTCCAGCAAACTGGAAAAGGAAAAGGAAAAGGAACAAACACCAAAAGAACTTTGTGTCACCTTTAAGACAAACAGAATTATTGTGGGAGGAGCTTTGGCAACAATAAAAGTTGTGCCACAATCAAATTGTCGGTCTTTCAGGTACCATAAAACATGGAGCAGGGCCATAGTTCAGTGAAAGAGACGTGCTCATTATGCCTCTCCCATTCCAGGTCCAATCTCTGGCCTCTCCCATTAAATAGAGCTCAAACTCATAGCAGCACAAGAAATGATCTCTGCCTGTTATTAGTACAAAGAACATACCCTGGTTGCCAAGTTTCAACCACAAAGACCATGTGGATTTTTAAAAGGGACAGATCTGTCCTTCAAAACCAGGGGTGAAGAACGTGTGGTCTTCCACATGTTGCTGTTCTTCAATGCCCACCATACCTGACCATTGGCCATCTTGGCTGGGCCTGGTGGGAGTTGAAGTCCAACGACTCCCAGAGGACTACAGGTTTCCCTCCACTGCCCTAAACATGTAGTACAAGCACTACAGATGAATCGGGGCTCTCTGACACATGACCATCAATGTTTAGCTTGAGGTAATGTCTTTACTTTTTATTGAGCAGATCTGAAAGCCTTTTTGGCTGAAGAAAAACATAGAAATACTTTAAATAAGTAGATTTTGTCACACAGGATTGCCCTTCACACATACTACAGGCAATACTGCTGTAACTCTAATATGGAGCAGTGAGCATACGCCAGACCCAGAGAACTGCGAAGAATATGCCTGAAATCCTTGATATTTGAATACATGAATCCTCTCCCCAATAATTTATTGTATTTTTATTTTTTGCTTTTCAGACAAAAATTGTCTTCCAAAGTGGCTCACACCAATCAAAAATAAAAGAAGATACTTGTGGCAGTTACTGTCTATAAAAAAAAGGGACACAGGCTCTCAGGCATACAAACAAAAAAGACAAGACGCACAAAGTAAGGTGGAGTAAATGGGAAAATGTAGAGGAGGGAGATTGATTTGGTAATGCCGGAATGTAATTGTGAGTTGTAAGCAGGCATTTATTGCTAAGTTGAGCTCAGCTGATCTGCTTCGCAAGTGTGTTTTCTTTCACAGAAGTACAAAAGCAAGTGGTTCTTGTTCCTCTGGGCACTGTGTCCTTGCTTTTACAGTCCTAGGGTAACTGGGAGTTGGAACAGTAATTTTTCTGGTGGGGTAAGGCAAGCTCCCTACTGTTACTTGTTCTCTGGTTGGTGCCTGGAGCAAGGTTCGTCTTTCCCTTAGCATGTATTCTTCCTAGGTGGAAGGGTCCCTTGTTCCTCTGGGCAGTGACAAAAGTCATAAAGTTATTCCCCTCATTTCTGTAATCCTTAGGAGACAAGCATTCCTTCCTTTCCTTGCTTCAGATTCTGCAGAGACCCAATAAGTATAAATACTCCAGGAACAAACAAAATTGTGATACACAAATTAGCTAAGAATTATAAAACATATTCCACACTAAAGCATTACAGAAATGGCAACCTGTATTTAGCCCTCAGGGAAACAAAAACATAAAAAATCCCCGTTCCGCCCACAAGTATTCAATGAAAGAGTCACGGAAAACTTATTCAGTTTCCATACTGTTGCTACCCATGTTATCTGGTGACAAGTATCTTAGAAAGGAATCAGAACAAGAAACAGCAGGCACTTTCTGCCTTTTCTCGCTCCCCCCTTTTACCTGTTTTGTTTGATTTATTGCTTTTTCTCCTTTTATTGTTTCTTGTGTGTACATGCTAGTAAAAGTGTGTGAGAATAGAAAGAGCACAGGGAGTTGTGTGTGTATCAGAAAGTATAATTGCTGTTAACAGAAGGCCTTGGAAAACCAATACACTTTTAAAATTAATTGACAGCTCCCCAAAGCCCCAACCACAGCTTTTTACCATTCTTTAAATCACGGTGATGGGGAACACAAGAGTATGTTTCTTAAGCAATCTTTATGAAGTGAGTTTGTCTATCTGCTCCATATCTGTAAGCGGATTATTTGTACAAGTGTACAATCTGCCCCCTTCAAAAAGTACTGCATATATACTTGTGTGTAGAACCCAAGAAGAACAAGCAGAGGTACCCAAGTGCTGAGAACCAGGTACAACTTTCCATGAGCTCAGCAAGCTATTTTTATACAGTGCCCAAGGGCAATCTGAACAGGAGAGAGAGAGAGAGAGAGCGCTAGGCGAGGAGGAGTAACAGGCAAATGGAGACCATCAGGAAGATAAGAGAGAAATTAAAAGGCGAAGCAAGGGGCAAGGGTGGATTCTTGAGTTCGTCATCAGTGTAAGCAAAGCATGATCATTGTCTGCTAGACAGAGGAAACTATTACTCACTCATATTATTTGGTCACACAGAAACAACACACACTTTTTTCATGACACATTTTCTCGTAAAAACTGAACAAGAGCCTGTTGGAGGACCCGACCACCCCCCCAACAGCCGAGAGGAGCTCCAAAACCAGGAGGACAGTGGAGCTAACGCAGAGAGGGAGAAAAAGAAAAGGGGGAAAGAAGAAGAAAAAGAAAGAAAGAAAAAGGAGCCCCAAACTTACCGCTGCTGCCCCCATCTCTGCTGACAAGAAAGCAGAGGAGAGGTAGGTGAGCACGGGAAGGCAAAAGAGGCTCCGGAAAAAAACACGTGGCTGAGCCCCACCGGGAGCTCCAGCAGCAAAGGAAAAACACAGAGAAGCTGCATAACAAAGGGGATTTCCCCCCCTTTCTTTCTTCTCTTTTCTTTTTTTTTAACCCCCCTTTGTTTTTAACCCCTTCCTCCCCTCCCTCCCCCCTTTAAAATATATATATATATATCTTTTTTATCCCTCCCCCCCCCATATACCTACTTTTATCACTTTTCTTTTTAAAAGAGGGGCCACTGCTGCTGCAGCCACCCTTTATTTGAATCTTTATTTTTATTGCTATCTTTTCTACACACTATTTAAAGACACACTTTTCCACACACACACTCTGAATTTAAACCTCATTTTATTTCCACCTCAAACTCCCCTCTTAAGAACTAAAATGGCAGTACCCAGGAAACAGCCCTGAACCATCACAGGCCATTTCCTGGGACTGCCACTTCGCCCCAGACTTTCCACTCTCTTTTACCTATCCTCTTTTACCTATACTTTACTCATTTTTTAAAATAAAATAAAATAAAAAGCTCTATCTATCTATCTATCTAAAGACAACCCCCCCTTTTTTTTTTTAACCTTTAACTCTCATTTTTATATTTTACCCGTACATTTTTAATTACTTTTTTACAAACAAAAAATAATAACAATAATTAGGGGAAAATATTATTATTATTATTATTTTAAAAAAAAAAACAAAAAAAACCAAAACCATACAATTATTATTTTTTCTCCCCTCTTTCTCTTTTTAAAGCCCTTTCTTTTCTATTTGTTGGCTTGTTCTTGAGGGGGGAATCTTTCGCCCCCAGCTACGACCACCACTCTCTTTTAAAACAAAAACTTCCTCCATATCACTGCTATTGCTATTGATACTCTCCCCCTCAACTCCCCTCCTTTTTATTTTTCTCTCCCTTTTTTCTCTCCCCTCTCTCTCTTCACCCCTCCTCATTTTTTCCTTTTATCCCACCTTTCATTTCCCATCCCCAATTTTGTTCTCTATCCCTTTAATTTTTTTTTTTAAATCAACCCCCCCTTTTTAGCCTGTTCATCAGTTTGTTTTTGTGTGGGGAGCCCTTTCCCCCCCACCCCCCTATTTTAAAATAAGACTTTCCCCCATACCATTGCAGCAGCTCACCCTCCCTCCCTCCCCTCTCCCCCTCTCTTTTCTTCTCCTTCCTTTTCCCACCCTTCCCCCTCCTCCTCTCCTTTCTCTCCCTCCTCCCTCTCTCCATCCCCCTTCCCCTAAAGGAAACACATACACACATTCATATCACCCTATCACAATTTGCCCCCCTCATACTATAGCTAAAACTACTGCTGCATTCTAATACCGCTGATATTACTGTACTATCTCTCCCCGCTCTTTCAACTCTCTTTTTGTCCCTCTCTCTCTCTTCTCTTTTACTCCAATCTCCCCCCTCCCCCCCGCCTCCCCCCTTCTTCTTTCTTTCTTCTTCTTCTTCCCTTTTTTCTCCCTCCACCCTTTACATATAGCCTATTTGTCTGTCTCTGTTTCTGAGCGCACTCCCAACCCCAACTTCCACCTTAACTGGACCCCAATACCCCTTCTGGGCATATACAACCCCCTCCTAAACACATATTTCCCCTGACCCCACCCCTCTAATCTCTTGCATCTCTACCTGCTAACCCCCTCCCTTTATATGAACTGTCTGTCCGTTAATCTACCCATCTCTGCTTACCTGCCCCCCCCACCTCGGCGGCACCGCTGAGGCATCCATAAAAGCCCTAGAGAAGTTCTTAAAACACAGGCTAGAAGTGACACAAATGACCACCTAATCCAAACGCTCTGTAGAAGCCACCAGCCAACAAAGCCTGATCAGCTCAGCAACCCAACAATACCCAGGAATCACCACTGCCACAACTCCTAACCACCACACGCCCTACCCCAAGAGGACGCCAAGCCAACCTCAAACCAAAACCATCAGGGAGACCGAGATGACACCAACCAGGGAGATGGCAAACAATGCTAAGATGGTAACTCCCCTTCAAGATGACGACCACCCAATAACGAAACGAGATCTGAGGGAAATGGAAGCAAGATTAGAAGCACGATTAGAAGAAACACTGAAGGCCACAATGGCTCCCATGCAGGTACTAATCAACAATCTAACCTCCAAAGTGGAAGCTCTAGAGAACAAGAACCAAATGCAAGAAAGAATAATAGAGCAATACCGGGAGGAGAACACACGTGTGAACAAGAAACTGGACGAACTGGTAAACCAAATGGAAGCAGAACACAGAGAGATGAAAATTAAGCAAGCCGACCTCGAAGACCGCAATAGACGTTGTAACATCCGCTTCCGCAACTTTCCTGAAAAAACAGAGGAGAAAAGCCCAGCAGACCTAATTATACGCTGGCTGAAAAACACAATCCCAAGCCTGAAACTTGAGGCAGATGACTTGGAGAGGGCTCACAGAGCCCTAAAACCTATGCCAAAACCCAGCGCCCCCCCAAGAGACATCATTGTATGCTTCACACGCTACAAAAAGAAGGAAGAGGTATGGAACCATCTCAAAAACTCAACCAACCTTCGATATGGAGAAACCCCCATTCTGGCCTTACAGGACCTTTCTCAGGATACCCTAAACCGGAGGAAAAGCCTGCGCCCATGCACCCAGCGTCTCCAACAAGCAGGGATCAAATACCGATGGGGCTTCCCCTTCCGCCTCATTGTAACAACCAATACAACACAACACATGGCTACCAACATACCTGAGGCCCTGCAACTACTAAAAACCTTGAACTCAACCTCCCACCGGAATGGCAACCGACAAACCCACCAAGTGACAGCCCCAACCACGAGGAAACAACAGCAAACAACTGGACAACGGTACAGAAGAAAAAGAAACAACAGAAGCGGCACAACAACGCAAACCAATACAGGCAAGCATCATGCTCAGAACCGTCCCGCCGGCCATACGACACAAGAAACCAGACCAAGATCAACCAAACCAATTCATCGCAGATGGACAACCCTACAACAACAACAACCCCAGCTGAATGAAGCAACCAGGAAAAACCACAAACTGAAGGACTGGTGACTCCCCCTTTCCCCTCTCCCCCAAAAACATAGATTTAGTTAACACCATCAACATCCCCCCCAGCCCCGCACCCCCACAGGAATCCCCAACCCAACACCAGTCCAGACGACCTCAACCACATTCCCCATCACCCACACCTTCAACACCCCCATACTCCATACTAGGGAAAAACAACTCCCACAACCTTAATAACACAACCCACAATCAGGCTAAAATCTGATACCCAACCAGCACTATGGTGGCACCAGAGCGTACCAGCACCCACATCCCCACCCCAACACACCAATAATGTTGCTCATAACATTGGCAACATTGCTTATGAACCTTATACCTGACAGCGACGTTACAAAGTCACTTCACACTGTCTCACTGATCACCCCTATCGCAAACAACAGGGGGGATGGCCTGTCCTTGAACACGGCCTTCCACACCAGCTGAGACCTAGGACCAACTGGCTAAATGCCAGATGGCCTAAAATACCCCAAACAAACACCTATATGACTACATATAGGAAACTCTCTACAACTTACCCCCTACTCTTTAACCCAAATCTTACTCTAATCCCATTAGCCCCCACCCACCACACCCTAGGTCAGCGCAACCCCACTTTTTTAAACAACACGAAGAGAGAGACACAAGACAACCCGAATGGGTTGGCAAGGAATTGCCCCACATAATAGATAAGCAAGATGGCTAACCTAAAAGCAATTACATTAAACGTGAGGGGCTGGGAAACCCCATCAAAAGAAAACGCATCACCTCATACATAAACACCATGAAACCACACATCACCTTCCTACAAGAAATACACAACCCACCCAAAGGCAGCAAACTCCTGAGCGACCCCCGCTTCAGTCAACAGTGGGTCGCACGAGGCTCAGGGAAAGCTCGTGGTGTAGCCATAATACTCAGTAGAGACCTGAACTTCACTGCCACAACAGTCCTCAAGGACAAAAAGGCAGATTCATTTTCGCTAAAGGGACACTAGATGGCAAAATCAAACTGACAATCGGCTCCATATATGCCCCAAACACGAAACAATTAGAATTCTTCCAGAAGACACTAAACAAATTCCTCTCCTTCTCTGAGGGGAAGCAATCCTAGGAGGGGACCTCAATCTAAATATGAAAGGTATATCCCTGAAAGATATCCACCCCACAACCCCATGGGCAACCTTCCTCCGAAGGAAACCCCCACAACCAGGAACTCTTACAAGTTACTAAAAATGCTAAAAAACAGGGGTCTCTACGACATTTGGGGTGAGCAAAACCCGGGAGACATCAGCCATACATTCCAATCAGGACGCCATGATACAGTGTCCAGACTGGACAGCATTCTACTCACACAGGGTCTGATCCCCTCAGTAGAATCAACAAACATAGGTAACATTAAAATCACAGACCACGCCCCAGTAGAAGTCATTGTTAAAATAGGAGAAGGAACACAAACCACCCCATCATGGTCCTTCAGTCCCATCCTAACTACAAACAAACAAATTAGAGAGAGTCTCACAAAAACCCTCCAAAACTACTTCAAAGAAAACGATGTAAACAATATAACAACCCCCCTCCTATGGGACGCAATGAAAGCGGTCACCAGAGGAGCTTGCATAAAAGAGAAAACATTCCTTAAAAACAAACCTCCTCAAAAACTAGCAAAATAGAACAAGACCTCACAGCACACTCATCACGCTACCAACAAACAGGATCAAACAAACTCCTCAAACTTATAGAACAAAAAAGGAGAGAACTAGACTCCCTAGAAATTAACAAAACAATGATCAACATTCTATACTCTAAACAACGTTTCTACGAATATGGAGGGAAAAACTCCAGATTACTAGCAAATAGATGTAGGAAAAAAGCACTCAAAACAAGAATACACTGCATCACCAAAAAAGACGGCAACATAACATTCTCCCCCAAAGAAATAACCTCAGAATTTGCAGAATTCTACTCCAACCTATACACCTCCCATAACCCACCAGAGAAGGAAATCAGAACATTTCTAGCAGGACTGACCATGCCTACCCTAACTAATGAGGAACAGGAATTCATGGACAGCCCTATCACCCCAGAGGAAATAGATGCGGTCCTCAAAAACCTGAAACCACACAAAGCCCCAGGCCCAGACGGCTTCACAGCAGAATTCTATAAGAAATTCAAAGAACCCTTGATGCCCTACATGACCCGCCTATTCAACGACATCATAAAAGGGGGCCCCATCCCCAAAACCTGGACCCACTCCAAAATAGTCTCCATCCCAAAACCACTAAAAGACAGCCTCAAAGTAGAATCATACCGCCCAATCTCATTAATAAACCAAGACTACAAGATATTCACATCAATCTTGGCCAACCGCCTAAAAATCTTCCTACACAAGTTAATAGCCCCAGACCAGACTGGCTTTGTCCCTGGCCGCAATATAACAGACCCCATCAGGAAACTACTGAACCTGATCGAACACAGCAAGGCAACCAAACTCCCATTGACAATTATGTCCCTAGACATCCTCAAAGCCTTTGATTGCTTGGAGTGGAAATACATATTAGCAGTACTAACTAACATGAAATTTGGCCCCAACTTCCTACAAATCCTCAAACAAATATACTCCCAAGCCTCAGCAAAATGCAGAACTAACAATATGGATTCTAATACTATAGCTATCCAAAGAGGCACGAAACAAGGATGCCCACTGTCTCCCTTCTTATTTATCCTGGCTCTGGAACCCCTAGCAATCCGCATCCGAGCAGCCACAGACATCAAGGGAGTGGAAATAAAAGGCAGAACCTATAAATTAGGGCTCTTTGCAGATGACCTAATGGTCACAACACCAGACCCCATAAGCACAGCAACCTCCCTAATCAGAGAACTCAACACATTTGCAATGGTGTCGGGCCTACAGGTAAATTTTACAAAGTCAGAAGCTATGTGCTTCAACACCCCTCCTCACACCCAAAAAGAACTCACGAAGGTCACCAAAATAAAACTTTGCCACACCAAGTTCAGATACCTAGGGGTACAAATAACCAGAAACCTCAATAAATTGTACCTCCACAACTACAAGCCCCTGTGGCGACAAATTAACAAAGACCTAAAGAGATGGAATAACATGAACTTCACTCTCTCAGACAAAATAGCCATGATCAAAATGATCACACTCCCAAAACTAACCTACCTATTCCAAACCCTCCCAATCTGGATCCCCTCAACCCAACTTCGCAGTTGGCAGAGAAAACTACACTCTTTCATCTTCTCACATAAAAAACCAAGAATAAGCCCCAAATACCTGCACCTCCCCACCTCAGAAGGAGGATGGGGAATCCCCAACATAGAAGCATATTACAATGCCAACCAAATACGCCACATAATCCCATATATACTAGAAGATGAGACAAAACAATGGGTACACCTAGAGAGGGACACAATTGAAAACACCTGCACCACAACATACCCACTCCTCCCAAACAAACTAAAGAAAATTCCCACAACACTTAACAGGTACACACAGACCATGCTCAAAGCATGGAAAACACAAATAGGCAAACTATCCCCAACCCCATCCCCACTAATCCCCCTGGCGTACCACCCATTATTCCACCGTGCAGCACAAAACCTCAAGATAAAAACCTGGCGAACCAAAGGCTTATATCGCCTAATAGACTTTTATAAAAATAACAAACCCTTGTCAACACAAGAAATACAAGACAAACTAGAAGACACCCAAATGCCCTGGTTAACACAACACCAACTTCATGCCCTCTTAAACAACCCAACAGTAAAATCAGCAGCAACTAGGCCCCTGACAACCTTCGAAAACCTCCTCCTAACAACAAAGGGAAACGGTAAAGGGACGGTATCCGCAATATACAAAATACTACTCCAAAATCCTGTAAATCCCCTAGACGCAATCAAAAAACAATGGGAGAATGACATAGGTTACGAGATTAACCCCACTCAATGGACCAGAATGTGGTCTAAACCCCCCTTTAAATCCATATCAACGAAAAGAAAAGAACTCACACTGAAACTCACCTACAGGTGGTACCTAACACCAAGGAAACTAGCGCTAATACACCCAGGAACCTCACCAAAATGCTGGAGAGGGTGCACCTCCACAGGCACATACCTCCACATGTGGTGGGAGTGTCCCAAAATCCAACTATTCTGGACAACAGCCATACAAGAAATATGTAAAATAACTAAGCAAGTAATAGACATCACCCCAGAATTGGCCCTACTAAACATCTTCCAAGACAACAATGCCCATTTACACCACAAAGAACTCATAACCCACCTGCTCTCAGCAGCCAGAAACACCATAACCAGACACTGGAGAGACCTGTCAGGAGTAAGCATGGACCAATGGTACCAAATAGTATGGGAAACAGCCCTACTAGAAAAATTAACTAATAAACTGAAACTGACACGGGGACAAACAGAAGAAGACGCCTTCACCCCGGTATGGCTCCCATTTATCACATACACAGCCCAACAGGACAATGACAATAATCCACCAACAGCATACAAATCAATATGGCTAACCTGATCCAAAACACCCACCCACCTCACTCACACACGAAAACAAAGATCACCACAGCCAATCACAAGCAAACAATCACACCCTAGGCCAACCCCAACCTCTCTCACCACCAAAGGAACACAAGTGAACAACACAAGCAACGCTGACACCAAACTCTACATACATTAAACATAATAGAAACACCGCCACCCGACCCCACCCCCATCCATCTTCCCTCTCTCCACCCCCTTTTTCTTTTTCTTTTTTTTTCTTCTCCCCCTAATGCCTCAACAAATGAAACGGATTTGTAAAAATGTTACATGGGAAAAAAAAATACGAGGCACTACACTTCTGTAAAACAAGAAAATCCTTAATAAAATATTTAAAAAAAAAAAAAAAAAAGAGCCTGTTGGAGCAGGTCATTGGCCCATCGAGTCCAGTATCCTGTTCTCACAGTGGTCAGCTAAATGCCTGTGGCAAACTGCCAGCCAGCCCCATGCATGAGAGAACTCCAGTGGTTTCCAATAACCGGTCTTCCTAAGTATACTGGATGTAAAATGTATAAAAAGGTAAAGGACCCCTGACAGTTATATCCAGTCGCAAACGATTCTGGGGTTGCGGCACTCATCTCGCTTTACTGGCCGAGGGAGCTGGTGTTTTGTCCGCAGACGGTTTTTCCGGGTTATGTAGCCAGCATGACTAACCCGCTTCTGGCGAAACCAGAGCAGCACACGGAAATGCCATTTACCTTCCCGCCGGAGTGGTACCTATTTATCTACTTTGACATTTTTTCGAACTGCTAGGTTGGCAGGAGCTGGGACCGAGCAACGGGAGCTCACCCCATCACAGGGATTCGAACCGGCGACCTTCCGATTGGCAAGCCCAAGAGACTCAGTGGTTTAGACCACAGCGCCACCTGCATCCCGGCTGCAAAATGTATACTGGATGTAAAATATCCCAGGTTCAATTCATACTAGAGCTGCAGCTCCTCACTGACATGTGGCTGTGACCATCACAGCAACTGGGGAGAAAAGGCTGTGAGCAGACAGGCAGCTATAGCTGTTCCTGAGCCTCACCTGTGTGATGTAGATCTCTGCCTGCTCCCAGACCCAGAGCATTGAGTTCTAGGATGCACATAGGTCATGGCTAGGCAGCCCATGGTGCTCCTAATATCCCAGTGCTTTTTTTTCTACAAAAAGTAGTGCTGGTACTCACCATGAAGTTGTTCCAGTAAGTGCCACACTTTTTAACAACAACAAAAAGAGTTTCTGGTACTGCGTACCCATGGATACCCCCTAAAAAAAGCACTGCTAATACCCAATCATATTTAAACTATTGAAAGAGATTAGAGAACAGCAATAATGTGAGCTTAAGGTAGTCCATGCCCAAGAGAACCCTCCTTACAACATACTTCTATTCCCCTCCCATAGAATTGTAATTTGACTGTTTGTGAGACCTTTCCTTGACACTGGTTTTGTTTTTGCTTTCCTGTAACTGTTGAATTGTCTTCTATTTTCCTTGTTGCAGTTGGTTGGATTTATATTCATACTCATTTTATTGTACCATTGTGTATTATAATAGGAAATCAATGTATGTATTATTTATCAATAGTAATAATAATAATAATGAATGAATGCTCTAATAAGGTCTATCAGGTTCACTTCCTTTAGTGGAAGAATCTGCAAGCTTTTGAGCTACCAGTAACTCTTTTCTAGGTTTGATGAACAGTTCTATATTAGTCAAATGTTTGCATAGTCTCCCAACAAAAACACCTCCATCTAATACAATACATGACTTAATCTCTCTCTCTTTTATTTGGTCTGCCCATTGACTGTATCCTGCTCAGTACTTAGTATTTGCAGCATCCATTTATTCTTCTTGGTAGGGAATATCTATTCTGCACCACTTTGTTGCCAGGTTCATGCCCTCCCTAGGGAGTTATCTGGCAGCAGTAGCCAAACACTGGTCTGAAATTAGTCATGTATTTAGAACTGTAGCTTTAGCAGTAGTGTGGCTCCCAGAGGGAGAGGTGTGCTATTCCAATTTTTTTACAACAGAGAGCAGATAAAAAATAGTAACTGGAAAGCACACGATGAAGTTGCCTGCCTGGCCAACTTCATTAGTATAAGCACATGTCCAGAGTTTGACATTGTGCCCTTCTCTGCCTGTCAATTTTGTCTCTATTTGAAATTTCCCTTTACTCCTTGTTGGGAAGAGGGCTGTTGTATTCAAGTCCTGCTGGCTGGCTTCCCAGAGTCATGTGAGTGTGAGTTGGTCAAGATGCTGAACTATGATGGATCTTTGGCAGGGCTTTTCTTATATTCTTATGTCCTTTTAAGTAACCACTTTCTGGCTTCTCCCCAAGCATGCCTGCCTTGCAGATAGCATGTGATCTGTTCTGCTTCTTGATCTGATCCTCCAGCCCGCCTTGGGGCTACAACTCCCAAATTCAAACCTCTGAGCTAGCTAATGCTTTCCTTTTTTGCTTGTCACTTGCTTCCATCCAGTTTTCCAGGATTCTTAATAATTTCTAGTCTGGAATTTGACCTGCTCTTGCCTCATCACACCATTAAGTGGGAGGTTCTCCTTCACAACTCCTATGAAACTGACTGGGGGCAAGTGCAAGAGCACAGCTGCGCTCCTATTCATTCCAATGGAGTTTGCAAAGGACTTTTCAGTGGATTGTGCCCTGAATGCACAACTTGGATCTTGATCTAAATTTACATGGGTAGGCAAATTAAGGCCCAGGGGCTGGATCCGACCCAATCGCCTTCTCAATCTGGACCGTGGACGGTCCGGGAATCAGCGTGTTTTTTACATGAGTAGAATGTGTCCTTTTATTTAAAATGCATCTCTGGGTTAGTTGTGGGGCATAGGAATTCATTCCCCCCCCCAAAAAAAAAGTATAGTCCGCCCCCCCACAAGGTCTGAGGGACAGCGGACCGGCCCCGTACTGAAAAAGTTTGCTGATCTAAAAGGAACTGTACACATATATTCTCATGGGAATGTCTTACTCGTGCTTTGGCAATTTAGTACTAAAATGAGCAGCAGAACTCATTGCTTGCATATTATTATCAACAAGACGTATTTACAGAACATGTTGCATTTCAACATGGTAGCTTAACAAGTTGAAACACAGCCACCAGCTCTATTCATACTCCTGAGTGTACAGAACTTTTGTGATAGCAATCTTTTCTGCTTCCTCTCATGATACGGTATGAGTCACTAAAGTCAGTTTTGTGACCTGTTAAGAAGTGCACACCTACCCCTTCCTAAAATGTCCAGTATGAAAGTTCACATTGACTTAAGCATTGTCTTCTCAAAAGCAGACAAACAACATTCTTCATAAGAGTAAACATTCCACATAGGCATCACCAAACGTGCTGCAAAATGACATGCTTAGGAGGAGAAGAACTACCTTCGAAGTTGCATCTTGTAGTAAAGTCATAAAATTGTGTGAGAGAGATGGAGGGCCTGTCAATACACAGGTCTGTTGCTTTAATTCAAGTTTGCTGTGAATATGTCAACCGCTTACTGACAGAAGCAATTAAATAACCCCATGCCCTTGCTTTTTCATCTCACTTCAGGTTCTGGGTAATCCCTTCATTGTACTAAAACTGAGGAGGACTAAATACAAAGAACAGTTTTCTGAAAATAACCTATTTTGTAAAGATTCTCACTTAAAAAAATATCTGATGGGCTACTAGCTGGAATGACAAACACATTGGCTGTATGTTGCTCTGGAATTTTTACTAGGAGATTTACACAATTTTCTTGAACCAAAACTAAGAAGCAGATTTGTGTTGGGTTGCCAGACCATTAAAATATTATTGGGAACAATATATAAATTTATAAAGCTTCAAGTGAATAACTCAAACTATTATCTTTATTCTGTCGTGTGTGTGAAAATGACCATGGAGATTCCTTCTGTGTCCATATATGGTGTTGTCTCTTTCACTTCCCAGCTGCTGTTTTCTCCCATCGTGGCTTCGGGCAGAACTGAATATCGAAGTTTCTCAGAGGTCTTATCTCTCCATCCCTCGCTTCGATGTCTCAGAACAGGCAACTTTCTGCTAGAAACCATTCTGTCACAGATCTTCACCATTTCCCCCTCTTCCTAGGAAAAGGGGGGCAGTTTTCGTACGTGCTGAAGATTTAATACTCCTTTCCAACTCCCATAATCTCTGCAGCATTCTTATCACAGCCCCCCAATTCTTTTCCTTCCAGCAAGATATTTATGCCCCAATTAAACTTTATCTTAGATTACATTCTATCAGTAGCACCCACAAATCTCAGTCTCTTTTTCCTTGTCTGCTGTTTTTAAACAGAGGTGAGAGAAATTACTATGTCTTTCCAACACAGTCCTACTTGAGCTTCCTCTCCCCCTCCGTCCTTCATTTCAGATCACACACAGTTTCCATTTTTGCTTGTTAATATCAATACTACTCCAACATCACTTCCTCACTTGTAAATATATTTTAATCTTATATTCCGGAGAGGGTTGCTGAATCACAAATATATAAAAGAAACTTAGAATAAACAAACCATGGGCTTCCCTCTCCCCAAACGACCCTCACGCCGAATAAATTCTTATCTTAATTCAAACCTTTGATCCATGTAGCTGGCATATTCAGCAGTACGTTGTTGCAACCCTTTCCCATCACATGCCGGTAATTGAAAGCCAATTAAAGATCCAATTAAACAGAGAACCTGGGGGGAATTTGGTATCCTTGTTTTTGTTTGGCAATGATCCCCTGTTGTCATGGGGGCTGCCTATACAGGTGAGACCGGGAGCCCTTTATAGGGAAGCTTTTTAATGTTTAATGTTATATTATGTTTTTATATATGTTGGAAGCTGCCCAGGGTGGCTGGGGCAACCCAGTCAGATGGGTGGGGTAATAATAATAATAATGGAATAGGATGTCCCTATTTTTATCAGAGAAATGTTGGAGGGTATGGAATTAAGTAGCAGTAATAAGTTTCCCTTGTAACAAATACATGGGACAAAATGTATAGTCCATGTGCATGATATTGCATTTCTCTTTCAGGCATCCTAAGAAAAGCAAAGAGCTACCTGGAGGTTATATTTAAGAAAGCGTATTAATTTTCTAGTGCCTCTGGTCTAGCGAACAGAGTGGCGTCACCAAGAATGCAAAAATTGATCGCTAAAATCTCAGTTCAATATATCCGCCTTATAGGAAGGAATACGTTATTGCACCAAGGAGTGTTTAAAGTTTAGCCAAACAATTACTCTTCTGGGCTTGACTAAAATTTCTTAGGAGAAATGTTACTCATTTTCTGTGAGCACTACTTCATAGCACACTTTATTGCACCATCTAAGAATTCCCCAAATATATATAGCAAGTTAAGTCTTGTTATTGTGGATAAATAAAGGTAGCAGTTGGGGTGGAATCCAGTTCAAAGAAAGCAAAATCCCACACCTTTCTGTATCGCAAGACAAACAAGCTTTTGTGTGTCATCAGCCTAAAGCTTACTTAAACCCTTGTTTAAATTTATAAGGAAAGTACAGACTCAAGCTTGATTAAGAGTCAAATACTTGAACAGAAGCAAAGTGTGACGATGACCCTCTGGTTTCTGTACATGCTCAGAGTTCTTCACTGCTGCAGCTTATATACAACTGTCAAGAAAACAAAAACCAGCTAAGGCAGGAGGAGGAATCAAAGGAAATAAACATAAACAAAAAGGGTGAGTACTACCATGGCTCCTGCTTTTTTCAACAAGAAAGGTATTTCTGGTGAACCATATGCCCCACTTTCCTATAACTATTGTGCCTGTAGCGAAGGAGCCCTCTATATAGCAGAGACTCTCTGTTCACTTTCTAGTCGGTTTCTGTGGCTTTCCAGACTTCTCCCAGAACAGAAATATGTTGGAATTAGAATGCAGAAGTGTCTACTGCGGTGAACAGAATGTAGAAGTGTTTTTCGGGGGGCAGGGGAAGCAGCAAAAATGCACACTTTCACATGCCAAAAATCTTGCGCAACACACAGACACAGACCACAGCATTCTTCTAGAACACAAGCTAAAATGCAAATATGTGTGATGGTATAGTGTACAGTGAATACAACCATCATTCACTGGGGACATGAAATCACTGGAATTAAGACACTAGCTGCAGAAACGATTCCTTCAGCTCTCTTTCGACACAGTGTTAAAAGTGCAATTTCAGCAACCAACAGTGCCAGCACCTGGAGTGCTAGGTTACATATGATAATAAAAGAAAACACTACGTTTTAAGTAGGGTATGGGGGCAGGATACAGTAGAAGTATCTGACATGCAAGTCCTTTTCTAGGTTTTGCATGGGTAGGTCCAAGGTTGATCATTTGATACAGAGTTTGTGGCTGAGGGGTGGAGGCAGGACCCAGCTGCTGTTCTGAAAGCCCCAGGTAACGTTCAGCAACCGTTGAGCCTTCTTGCTGATCTGGGTCTGTTGGGGCAGTAGTGTATAAAACGTGTTCCACAAATCATGATTTGCACTTGCCAAGAGCTGAGTCAGCCAGGTCTGTGGTTTTAACAGGCGATAAACCAGTAAGATAAAGTGGAATTCTATAGGAGGTTAAATCTCTTATTTATATTGAATCATTGATATGCCCTGTTCGTCAAATATTGGACGAAGCAGATATAGATTTGAAGTTTACAAAAAGAACACAGATAGAAAACAGGAGGGGTAAGAGAGGAGAAAAACAAAAGGAGATGCTACATGACTCTTCCCATCCCTTTTGAGGGCAAGAAGCTAGCAACCACAGCAACAAGAATTTCCCTATGGTAACAGCAGTCACGAAATTAAAAGACGCCTGCTTCTTGGGAGAAAAGCAATGACAAAGCTTGGGTATGCACTGGCTGAAGAATTTGTAGTGCTTCCTTTCGCCTAGATTGCCCTCTTGAACAAAACAGTCAGGATATCCCACCTACTCAGGGCACTGTTGGGATGCGTCCGGGGAGACGGGGGCATTTGGCAGGCCCCCAGCTGGCTCCAGCCACCAGCCAGCAGCCGGGCGAACTCCGGTACTCGGAACAGCATCAATCAGCGACTCCAGCCTCCGAACCCTTTGGAGACTGAGCACGCTCTTATCAGCAAATTGAATAAATCTCCACAACGGAAGTGGCGGACAGAGACATGTGTAGGCATTATTTACAGGCGTTTATTCAGCATAGCTCAGGAACAAAGGAAAAAACATGTCTGCTTCCCTTCGTGTCCAAGCAAACAGCAGTACAGCAAAAGCAATATACAATGGAAGTTCCCAGCAGACTGTGCTGGAAGTAAACAGACATGTGACATACAATGACTCCACATATCTGTTCCTCTTAAGGCGGAACAGAGCATCAATATCCTAACAGGCACTAGTGCCCTCAGTGGTGCTTTATTTTCATGAAGCCATTTGGGGCCAAATGAGGGGAGAGACTCCATCAGGCAAGGCCTCCTTCCACCTGCCTTGCCTCACTCTCTGCTTCTCATTGTGTATTGTATTGTTTTATGTACTGTGGGCTTGCCGTTGTTTTATTGATTATAGTTTAGATATTATTGTAACTGTTGAGTGGATTTCTGTTTAACTTTAAATGTTGATATTATTAATTTATACTATTCTAATGATTGTCGAATGTTACTTTTTTGATGGAGGTTGCCTATTTTTAAGTTATGTTTTATTCTCACATTTTTGTATTGCATTAGATTGTTATAAAATGTACATTTTTTGTTTCTTCAGCTTGTAAACCGCCTTGAGTATTGTAAGATGGAAAGGTGGTATACAAATTAAAAATGATGATGAATGATGAAATGTGCTGGCCTCCTGAAGCGAGGTCCTTCAGCATAGTTAACTGGCTGCCTTTGCTCTAAGGACGTTTGGATTCCCGAGGACCTGTTCTTTCCTGTGCAAGTGTGATTCACTTAATGTTTACCCAACGCTGGGTATTTGGCATCCGAAGGCTTGGACGGTTGTTGTTGGCATCTGTCGGTCTCGAGGGACAGTGGAGTGTGCCTCCAGGGGTGAAGTCAGAGCACTGTGCTAGCAGCACCAAAGTGACCTTACTAGGGCGCAAGCCTGGTCAGTGTGTATGGAGGTCCTGGACTGCCCAGACAAGACTCCCCTCTCAGCCTCGTTGATGTGGTCCAAAGGAAAGCAGAGAAAGACGTTTGGCACCAGCTTGGCTGCAGGATTTGCCTAAATGGCAAGAACGGACTGCACTGAAAAATAACATAGTTGTTTTGGTAACACGGAAATTAGAAGTCTCTGTTGGGCAAGGTTTTTTTGATAGATCATTCATATGTGGCTCTCACACAGTCAACGCTTGAGGAATATGCATGGGATAGTTAGCATTCTGGTGTACCTATTCTTGTTCAGTTACCAGAAAAGTTACTACGTTAAGGTGCGGCAGCATAAAAGAGAAAAAGGGCAGTGGCAACTTTGCCCCACCTTGCTGTTTGGCAGTTGCTAAATGGACTTTGCCTGCAGCCGTTGAGTTTCCTTTTACACACCCGACACTGCAGGCTTTATTGTATTGGCTTGGGTGGAAGGCACTTTTTATGGGCTATGGTGCATGTCCCACCCACTATACGACAATTAACTGCTCAGTTCTCAGAAAATGAAAAGAATCTGCACCAAGCACTGAGCAAGCATTGGCTGATTTAACTCACAGACTGTATTTTGCTGTTGCCAGACCTTGATGCATGCTTGCACAAGAAAAAATAAATCTAAACCTTCAGGAAACCCCATATTCTGGACAAAGGGAAACTTGGAAAAACAGGTGATAAATTATTACAAAGTTTGTAGTATGTAGGCTGGGTGTGTGTGTAGTTTATGGTGAACTTACCTGATGTGTTTGCACAGTTGGGCATTCTTTTGAGTGTGGAGCAATTGTGCTAAGAAAGGTGTTTTGATTTGCCTTTTTAATGGCACAGTGCCTCCTTTGTCTTTATCGTGTAGTTAAAAACAAATTCAGCAAAAAAGCTTTTTCTGGCATGAAGAGGAAACAATGGGGAAGAGGAGGAGGTTTCCTCTCCTACGTTTTTGCTTGTCCCAGTGTTAAAGACAAGCCTTGCTTAAAAAAGGGGGGGGGGTTGGTACTTGCACAAATCAAGCACTTGTTCCTTCCCCCACCCCTTATTTTATTAGAAATTTCTAGCCGCAAAAGCATCATCATGCCTTTAAGATCTTTTGTAAGCTTTAAAATTGGCATCCACGTTGGCAAATCTTCCAAACACTCTGTCCCAGCTCCTGCCAACCTAGCAGTTCGAAAGCACACCAGTGCAAGTAGATAAATAGGTACTGCTGTGGCAGGCAGGTAAACGGTGTTTCCGTGCGCTCTGGCTTCCGTCGCAGTGTCCTGTTGCACCAGAAGTGGTTTAGTCATGCTGGCCACATGACCCGGAAAGCTGTCTGTGGACAAACACCAGCTTCCTCGGCCTGAAAGCGAGATGAGTGCCGCAACCCCACAGTCGCCTTTGACGGGACTTAACTGTCCAGGGGTCCTTTACCTTTACCTTTTTTATATCCATAATACAGTACAAAAAGAACAAGAAGTTTTAATGAGCCATCAAGGACACTGAAGATCCCTTCTCTGTCTTGCCTGCTATCATCTTTTAAAACCATGGACAAGACTGATTCAAGTTGCAATCCAAACCCCTGATCCACTACATTAGGAAGGGAATGGGATGGGCAGGTTCCCCACCACCACTGCCACACCCAAAACTGTTCAACTGCTTCCATTATTCTCCAGCTTTCTAAAGGGGTAGGCAGAAGTACTGCCACAGCAGGATTCCTATTGAGGTAGCCAGTGGAATGTTCTAACACAGTGTTCCAGGGGTGAGGAAGGCTAGTGGCCAAGCTGGGCCAGAACCCATGGATCCTGAGCTGGTGCCACTGCTGTCATTTGAGCAGTGTTTTACCTGCCTTCCGCTGCAGGGGTGCAGTGCAACAGTGGCTCCACCACTCTGTCACAAGCCTTGGTTCCCTCCAGGTGCTTTGGATTGCACAGGTAACTCTTGGCCAATGCAGTTGCGGCTTGTGGAGTTTACATCCTGCCCCCAAAAGCCACTTAGAAGGACAAACATTCTGCCTGTCTTGCGGGTACTAAAGGCACAGGAGTGTTGTCAAAGGAAAAGTGGCAACGCTGCCTCTAGCTTGGGAAACGTGAAATTGCTTTGTGTAGAAACTCCTTTTCAGAAGGGGAAGTTGAGTTCCGGGTGGTGACTCATGAGTCCCGGAAGTCTGGCTGAATTTCCCAGGGGAATCACAAAGGAGGAGGTCCCTGGGAGCCTCTCTGTTTGCGGGAAGCTCACTAGTGCCACATACTGAGTAACTATTGTTCTTAGCAATTGGATGCATAAAGTGCGCATTCCAAAAGGCAAGAAAACAAGAGCGCTGCTGGATCAGAGCAAAGGTCCATATAGGTGGACTGCAATCCTACTTACGCACACTATAGATGCCAATAAAACTCCCAATATCACGAGACTTTCCTAAATATCCTTAGCACAAAATTTGCCTTTATTTTTTACAGTGCCACTGGCTCAGCATTTTCACTGAGCTATCTACTGTGCTCCAAAGATCCTTTTCCTGGTTAGTCACAATTAGCTCACGCCCCATCAAGGAATGCTTAGATTAGAATTCTGTTTGCCCCAGTGACTTCACTTTACACTTTCTGACTTACATCAAACCACAAATCCCTGGAGGAATAGATTGTTTGGCTTGTGCTGTCAACATTGCTCTAATACAAACCATAACAATTAATCGCAAATCCTCTGGATATATACTTTTCTTTTCTTGCAGTGTAATCTTGAACAAACATCTGTACCCTGTTCAAAATTTTGCTCCCCTAATCTAATGCCTTCATCTGCTTCAGCTGCAGCAAAACTTGTCTCTCTGGTATCAGTCTCTACAGCCACAGTAGCTGCAATAACTCTCCAACAGTTTGACTTCAACCCCAAAGGCGCAATCTCCCATTGTTTCCTGAGACAGACAGATGCCAACCAGTCTTTAGAATAGAGGTGTATGTACGTGCTTAATGATCATTTGCTGCCTGCATATTTGCAGCACTTGTACCTTCTGTTTTCATGTCCATGTAATAAACTGAACTTTACTGCTTCCTGTTGTGACATATACTTGATCTGGGTATACGTATAAGGGTTAAAGGTAAGCACACATTTTTATCAAAAGCACTGTGACTCCATGCAAAAGGTTCCTTTCTTCTAACCACTGTACATATGAATTCATGCGTGTGACAAGCATGTGGGCTCAGATGTACATCTCTTAACAATACTTTCTGTCACAGCACTCAAAAGGTGTATTGCACAAGGGCAAGGGCAAATATATATAAAATACATGGCAGAATGCACAGGAATCATTTAGCAAAACACAATTTGAAAATCCATACATGTGGAATTTCCTGACAGGTAGTCCCGATTCCAATGGGTAGCTTAGAAAGTGAGCCGCACGCCTCCTACAAAATCTAATTTTAAATTGTCTCGTAACAAACTGCAGGAAACATGTCCATGCACACTCCAAAGCCAGACCTCTCTACAGCCAAGGACAGCAGCATGCTTTCTCCTATTGCAATGAGCCAGCGTTCTTTGCCCGACAAAGCCGTTTCGCCTACCATAGAAACTTACTGCAGCTACATTATCAATAATTAATCCCAATGGAGGATGAATCACGAAGGAGCAGCTGACTGCAAAGTGTGGCGTTTGCTTTCTTGCTGCGACGATTGAAGAGGAACAGAGTTGTCTAACCTAGGCCTGAGAGACATCTTAAGGGACTGCCAAATGCAGAAATCACAAAGAGTAAGACTAGTTATTTCTCAAGTTTCTAATACTTGGCGCACTATTGCTTTTTCTGGATTAAAAATAGAGATACTATATGAATGAGAAATAGTATTCTATTTTCTCCGTTGGTTTTCAGAGCAGATGGGGTCCTTGAAATTTCAAGACAGGACAGGTATAGACCGCTATCATTCTGCCCTCCCTTTTTAACCAGCTAGCAAAGGCTTAGGCAAGGAACTTAATACCACAATTCATCCCCTTTCACTATGTCCAGAACCTAAGTGGATTAGGCCCTGAACATTTGGAGATAACTTTCGCGCGCTTACTCTGAATAGACTGAGCTACCGATTAACTACCTTTTCAAAAAAAAACAAAAAAAAAACCCGGATGTAAGGTAGGACCTAGAAACTCCCCTGAAATAATTGTACACTATGCTTAGGAGTTTCAAGTACACTGGGGCTGTATGCTGTTGAAATGTAGATACCAAAATATCTGAAAATTTACTTACTTAGTTCAGAAAAGAACTTCCGTAAGGTATTTTTTTATATGATCACAACAGCAAAACCTTTTTACGCTAAATAAAAGATACTGTATATGGAATACCCCAGCTTAGAGATAGGCTTGTTAAATTATAGAATTCAGCAATTATCAATAAACTAAAATGGGTGTCTTTTGGGTAAAGGTAGGCAGCAGCAGAGTTGAGCAGGAATGATAATTTTTAAGAAAATACTGGAATACCAAGTGTAGTTTATGGTAATCCATTTCCTTTAATAAAATTTGAAGGTAATAATGGGCTGGATCCAGATGTCAATTGGACCTTAGGTTCCATTAGAATCAATGACAAGTTAATCACTAAATTAGTTCCCACTGATTTCAATGGGACATACATGCAACTTAACTCCATATGGATCCCCCCAGGGCTTATTATTTTTGAACTTTTAAAAAAATGCCACATTATTTCCCTGCTGGATGTTGTTGTTTTTATACTTACAAAATCCCAGGAAGTTTCAAGGCAAGACATGCCCCTTGTAGAAGCCAAATTCTTTCTCATGCAGAATTTGTACTTCTACCCACCACGTGCCTGCAAATTTAGTGCCCTGTATAGGTTTACTAGCAGCAATCTTGTTTGCAACTGTACGGGTTTCCAAAGTGGCAATCTGTTTGCAACACATTGCATGCTAGTGCCCTAACATTGGGGGGGGGGGGTCAGTAAGACCAAACCAATCAGTGGCTTTAACTTGTAAAGACCTGCACAGCTTGGCTTAGGACAAGGGTCTCTCAAGGACCACCTGCAAATGTCTTGAAAAAATCTGGCAAAGCTGTTCTCCGGGTTCCTCTGCCTAGTGAACAGAGGTGGGTAATATAACTGGGGGACTGAACCTTTTCTGTGGTGGTGCTTCCTAGATGCTTATGCCTGGTTCCTCCGTTCACAAGTTTTCAGTATTGGACAAAAATTGTTTTATTTGACAAGGTATTTTAATTCGATGCCCTTGTTAAGCTTTTGTTGTCTTGAAGCTTTGAGTTTTAGCTGAAATGTTTATTTGCTACTGCCACTTTTTAGTTTTGTCCTTAACTTGTTGGTTTATTATGTTTAGCTTTATGTTCATAATTATCCAGTAAATTTCACAATCACTTTTTTAAAAAGGAAAGACAAGATATACATAATTAAGATACTGTACTACAATTATTGGATGATTTAATCATTTAATCTGTTGTTTCCATTGACAAATTATATTAAAGATTTTTAACATTTGTTTGTGTTATTTGAAATGCCGCCCAGATGTAACTCAGTAAGCCAGCAAAGCATTGGTTGGTTTTACTCTTAAAAACCTTATGCATATTAAATTCTTCTGACAAAATCTTGACATCTTAAAAAAACACCCCTGAACTACCCAAATAATAATAAAAGCACTTAACTTTATGAGTCAAAAACATAAAATAAAATAAAATATACTTTAAGTAACAAAATATCAGTTCTTATGTGCTTCAAAAAATTATTTCAATCATACAATTTATACATTTGAGTCAACCTTATGTTTATTACTATGTGAGTGCAGTTTTCAGTCAAATCCATACGAGAAATAAAGGCCTCAACGGATAGCTTGTACACCAGTCAGGTACAGGGTTTAAAGGCTTTTTCCTACATTGCAATCTAATGACATGAAAGCATTCCTATGACTGAAAAGATTGTGTTAGTGGTCAAATAATCTGTGCAGACACAAAATAAGACTCTGGAACAAGCTTCTTCCAAGTCAGTTGTATCTATTTACCATTCGGAGGATACATTTTCAAGTTTAGAGAGCCACACAGGAGTGATCTCATGTCTTTAAAATTACCCATGCAGAAAACAGCGGACAGAAAATAGAATTATACCTGTAATTTATTTGCTTATTAATACATCTATAAATGATAGCTTTTATAATGTGCATGCTTAGAAAAACATGCTTATAAAGACAAATCCAAGTTGGAAGCAAATGCATGCAAGACATCATTTTGGACTAGCAAGTAAAGTCCAAGGATGTAATTCCAGTATGTTATTTGAAGTGCAGACAGAATTATGTACATCTTTCACTAGTGGAAGCAGCTTCTAAAGAACATTATTAGATGTAGCAACTTTTGTTTTCATGAGGTAATTTTGTATTTATGTGTAAGTAAGTAAAGATACCAAAGATTGTATACAACTCACCAAGAACTTCTTCTACACAAGGCCCATCAATTCAAATGGGAGTTGCACAAGACATTAGTGGATTGGGTTCACCGGTTTTATGGCATGGCATGCTTAATGTAAGAAACGCTCAAACTTTATTCCCTGCAAATTACTTAGGGCCTACAGTGCTCATGACTGACTGCAATTTCATTCTTCTTCCTGGGCCGTTTGCCCTTCTAGAGGAACTCAAGACAACAGCGGCAGTGCTTTTGGCTGAGAGAATTATACTTCCTCGAGGTTCAGTCTGCAAATAAAGGGAGACCGGAAGGAGCCCAAATAGAGATGTCCATCATGTTCATGTGCTTCACTTATGTACGTTGCCACCATTCCATTCGGATCATGGAAGCTTCTTCTGTAGGATCCGGTATCACTTAGTTCTAGAAGGAGGCTGTACTTGGGCACAAATTTTATCACCATTTCTTGACTGAGCAGCTGGGGGAAGAAAGTATTCATTTTAGGGATAACCACCTCAGCCATAAGCATTACGAGTACACTGAACAGTCAGTTAAAATGTTAACCAATTCAGATTTTAAACCCCAGAACATCCAAAGAGTATCAACCATCCATAAGCTCTTTGAAGCACAATTTATTATTGGCCAGAATTAAAAATATGCTCAAGTATCTTCCCCAACCTGGTGCCCGCGACCCAGATGTTTTAGATGACTTCTCCGCCATTCCTGACCATTGACCATGCAGGCTGGGGCTGACGGGAGCCATAGTCCAATGCTTTTGGAGGGCACTAGGTTGGGTAAGGGTGCACTAAATCAATGGGGAGTGTTAAAGCTTGCCTACAGTTTGCCCAAATTAAGCTTTTCGTGATGGGTGCTTTTTGTTTTTTTAAAAACTGCAAATGTAAGCATTTTAATCTTAAAGCATTTTTAATTTACTGTCTATTTGAGTGAATGTTGCAGTTTTAGTGCTTTTTAATTTGTTGCATCCATTTTATGCTTTGTTCTGCTACATAAAAATAAAAACTACTTTAATGTTTCATAAACTTGTAAACCACCCTGGGAACGTAAATTTATGTTGAAGGTGTGGGATATAAATATTGATGCGTTTCAATCTTCACACCAGTCCAACAAACACATAAGGTAATAAGCACCAGTGCTGGCAGCTGGGACACTTGTTGGACTGCTAAGAGGAATGAAGAACATCAGCCCTCGGAACTTCTGTTTGCCAGCACCACCAAAAGGGAGGGAGGACTTCACAGGTGCCTCCAACAGCCATTGCCTCTCAAAGTCCTAGGGGTTGGAGTGGTTTCAATACCATCTGCCTAAAGCAGGAACAACTGCTTGACTAGGAAAAGGACTCTCAAGGGAAAAAAAATCCGTCCCCCATAACTTCCTTTTGCTGCCACCATCTTTGAGACAGCACAACAAAGAGTCACACAATTTAAACATTTGATTGATATTGCCCGGTATTCTGGCTCTATCATTGTGAGGGCAATATGATCTGTCCATAAATCGGCTATTTCAAATCACTTTTTGAGAAACATTAATATTAATATACTGCTTTTAAATGTCTTTTTTTAAACGAACCAATTGGCTCTCAAGATAGGTTATGCAATTTATCATCAAAGCAGAATTTGTTTTACCTTAAATATTATTCTTTTAATCCATGGTTTTTCAGATAAGAAATCCAACATAGAAAATCCAGGATTGGACCGAATAGCTGACATAGCCACCCAATAACCTCCAGAGCTGCTTGGACGTATGTTATCTGGAAAGCCAGGCATATTTTCTATAAACATGTCTTCTCCACCTTTCATTAGGCCAGATACGTAGTATCTGCAAAATTAAAGTGCATTAATATATTACAAGATAATAGCACGTGTCAAGGAGGAACCATAGAAACCAACAAGTGCTTCGCAGGAGGAAGAAGAGGCAAGAAAAGACCTACTATATCACAAGTGGGCAAAATTCGTCAGAGCAAGTGAGTTTGCAGTTTGCATAGTAAAAGCAGCGAGTTCACTTGCAGAGCACAGTATTTAGAAAAGCCTCATCAACAAACTTTGCATCGAATATATTCCTAAAAAGATAGCTGAGCTTAAAACACTTGGCTAATGCTGTTGGTGCAAATTTTAATGTATAGCCCCCTCGGGAGGCATCCCACATACCTTCGTATTCTTGCCATAGTTGTTTCGGCCACCAACACAAAGTCTTCAGCAGGTGAGAGCTGGACTCCATTTGGAAATCGGAGCCCTCCCATTAAGACTTTCACTTCCTTTGTGACAGTGTCATATTCAAGCAAGCTGAGGGCAAAACCATTAACACAGTCATTAATTTTTAAATTCATTTGTCATAAAGTTACGTGCAAACTAATACATAACCATGTAGACAATAACAGAACCAATACAAGGAGCACATATGTGTAAGAGACCCACAAGTCAGAAGGGGTCTCAAGCACAGCAGTATTTATAGTCCAGTTTCCTAGAGATTTCAATACTCACAGGCTCATTTAACGTCTGTGAACCTACATGTTTCTTAGTTGCTTCACTCACAAATTTGCTTGTAATGCCGTATTTTTATTGGCTTGGTTTCCACGCAACTCTAAGCATAGTTTATTTTGAACTATGGTTTAACATAAACAAGCAGCCTGCTGCTGCAGGCTCCTCAAAAGTCTCACCACTCCTGTCTGGGCCGTTCTTGAAAGACACTAACCACAGCACTGGTTCACAGGTATGCATTAGTAGGAGCACAAGGAACCTAAACTCCAGCTCAAGGGTGGGGCTGCTCATTCAATTAAGCTATTACTATTACCTTTAATTAAGAATTAGCACATTGGCTAAGAGAAAATTCCACACCAGGCAGTCCCAGCCGTGCTACAGACCAGAAACTCACTAAGAAACCCAGTCGTACTGCTCTGTCAAAATTCTGCTTTCGCAACTGGCATCAAAACACTGCAAGGATTTTCCCCAGTTGGGACTTACCGTCCATCATCAGAAGCCTCCATGATTAATAAGGAATAGTCTTTTCTGTGCCATTTACTACTGGAGTCAGTAAAGTAGATTTTCCTTCCGTCTCGCGTCAGTGTAAGATCATTCACAAAGGACATGTTTTTTCCTTCAATGGGAATCTTGGAGGACACAAGTGGTTTCACTTCACCTGATCACAGAAAGGAGGACTTGGTTAACCCCTTGCTTTCCTACATGCTTTAAGTTTAGATTACAGTATTTTTTGCCCTATAGGGCGCACTGGCCCATAGGGCGCACCTCGGGGTTTTTTTTTGTGGGGGGGGGATAAATAAATAAATAATTATTTTCCCCCCAACCGCGAGGCTGGGGCGGGGGAAGCCCGAGCTTCCCCCGACCCCAGCCCCAAGAACAGGCTGTTTCCCGCAAGCCTTACAAGCCCGCGGGAACTCCTGCCGGGCTCCCAAGGCTTGCGGATAGCTTCCAGAAGCCTGGAGAGAGAGAGGGGTCGGTGCGCACCGACGCCTCTCGCTCTCCAGGCCTCAGCGAAAGCCTGCATTCGCCCCATAGGACGCACACACATTTCCCCTTCATTTTTGGAGGGGAAAAAGTGCGTCCTATAGGGCGAAAAATACGGTAGTTAATAACTTTCCAATGATAAGAGCTTTCCTTATGCATCAAAATGGCAGGTAGAAAATAATTTACAAATATTTTCATTTACTTTGGCTAAGGAAGAGGAATCTGTGTTTGCACATAAGAAAGGTTTTTTGTTCTTAAAATGAACAGCTTGCATTTCAAGGTGTGCTTTTGTCGTATGTTATTTAAAGCAGACAGCTCCATCGGGCTGAGACTTTCCCAACTCCCTTCTTGCTGTATTGAAACTTTGCTTTAAACAGCCACCTTTCCCTGAGTGTTTCCTTCTCTCTGCTTGCTCTGCTTAAACCTCTGCCATTGTTTAAAACTGTAATTTTCCTCTTGTGTATGAGAGACAAAGGATGCAGAGCCATGGAATATTACATAGTCCTTTCACACAACATGTTTCATTCCCAGTATTAGGGGTTGTTTTCAGCATGATTTCCCAGATTCAACACAGTAATTTAGAACAGGTATTTTATTAGCAAGCAAACACTCATGTATGTACAACATTCATCAGCTGATAATCTTCACTAACGGAACAAGACGGAACAGGATTGCTCATCTTAAAACAGTGACATATATCATCATGGTGTGTGGGCAAACGGCTGCAGAATAGGAAGGAGACATGAAAATGGGGGTGATCTGTATGCAAAGAGGAGTTGGAAAAGGAAGTGAAGGGGGGAAAGGGGGTGCAAAGAGAGTTGCCAAAAAGGAGGGAGTAGGAGGCATGGGAAGGGGTTTAAGAAGAAAGCAGGGAAATGAAAGCATCTGAAGAATAGGAGATCATAGCGACTTCACAAGGAAGACAAAAGAAATGCCAGGCCAAAGCAAACATAAACAGAAAAAACAAGAGTGCAAGTTTACCTGAGACAGGATTGATTTCAAAGAGTCCATAGTATGCATCTGCCACAAAAAGGGTGTTCTCTGGTCCAACTCTGATTCCGAGAGGTCTCCCACATGTGGTTTCATCTTCTCTGGTTCCTTTTAAGACACATTTCCAGCAAGTTAACAGCAGCAGGTTTTATACAAATATTTCTATACTGCTTTAGGGGAAAAAATGCCATTACTTCAGAATTTAATCCAAAAACAAATATTCAGCAAAACTTTACTGATATCAACACCATTTTATGCTGACAAAATTCCAAAATGGTACCTTTAGTCGTCTGTTGCAGGAAACAACAATGCAACTTGCAGACTATTGAGATTTTCTGGGCAACATTAAATTGTGCTAGTGCAAGGATTAGCATGAACACAACAAGACTTTCGCCCCTCTCCTCCTCCTGTGCGCGCCCTGTGCTATCCCTAAATCTGCTCCAGAGGGTGGGGGAACTCCCAGAACAGATTTAGGAGGCACACAAGAGGAAGAGAATGTTTACTTACGCAAGGATAAATCCTTGCACTGATGGAACTATTTGTTTAGTGCTTCATGCCAGCAGGCGCAACAAAACTTCCCCTTCCTTTCCTCCCACTTCTGCCCCCCCCCCCAGCAAACAGGGAATTTCCCTCTTGCACAAGTAGGCTGACACTTCAATGTCACCCTAACATATTTATTGTGAAAATTTCATGGACAAATAACTATTTGCCTTATAATAAATGTGACGTATAATCTCTTCCAATAGTGGATTTTTATTGCATTTATGTTTTTGTTGCCACTTTTAGGACAAGTTATTCTTTTTGCATGCAGAATGAAGATGTAGCCAAAGAAGCAGCAAATGTTTAAAACTTTTACGTTCACAGTGCCCTCTACTGGCTGTTCCAGAAAAGGAAACCAACACAAGCAGTATCAGTGCCTATAACAAAAGGAGAAATAATTTGAAGCTAGATGTTCATTCTGCAAGTTGCCAACAAGCAGTACTGAACAACAGTTAGTCTCTTTCTTGCCCCTTACTGACTTCACATGGCACAACCTGTGAAAAACATAGTAAGTGAAGTCATTTCCTTTTTCCAAAATACATTTCTCTTCCACTGTTCTATGTAGGAAAACACTTCTAGTCAGAACAATGCAGAGTTGCCTCTCTCAACTTTAACAGGCTAAAGCCAATCACTCCAAAAAGTTGGAGCACTGCTATCCTATATTCTCTTAAGCACCTCTGTGTTTGAAGGGGATATCCTGAGTGTAAGTTATTGGACTGTGCTATATAACAAAATAAATGGATGGAAGCATTAGAGAAAAAGAAAAGCTACACAGAATTTTATAAAAACACAAAATCAAAGGATAGATGTTAAGGAAATGAGATCCTACAAGTAATGGTGCAAATCTGGATGCTGCAATGAGGCTTCTCATTCTGTCAGGGAACTGCCATCAATGCCGGAGGGAGAGAGCAAAATCCAGAGGGATTCCGGAGTGCGTCCCGGGAGTGGGAGAGGCAGCCCACCTTCTGGGGAAGAGAATCAGCGTAGCACCAGTGGAGAAGGGGGGCAGATGGGGGAAGCAGCGAGGCGGTCCCATGACTCCTTGCCGGGGACCAGCGGGGAGAGTAGAGGTCCTCCGCTGCCTACGCCCTCCTTGCGCAGAAGGCTTTCGCGCAGAGAGTGTGGGAGGAGACTAGGCGTCAAAGAGCTTCTTTGCTGGAAGTAGTTTAAGAAACGCCCACTGACGGATTCTGCCAGCGATTGAGACAGCCACGGGTGAGTGGCTGTCCGGACAGGAAAGGTTCACTCAGGCAACCCAGCCAGGTGTTTGCACCGGCTTACGCACGAGCAACCCCTAGAACCACTACACATTCTTCACGTGCAATTTCAGATGTTGTAGTTCCTCATTTTTTATGTGCAATTTCAGATGTAGTTCCTCTATTTTTCTAGCTAAGCTAAAGTCAAAGATGGCATGATGTGCAGTACCAGAATGAGGGGCATGTTATCCATATTATATTGAGATACTGACTGTGCCTGGCTGCTATATGATTGAAATAAAAATTGAAATACTTTGTTGTCACTTGTACAACTTGTATACAGTGAAGCACCCCCACTCAGCTCCCTTAGTCTTAATTCCCCTCGTTTACTGATGCACACCCACCAAACCGAAAGTCAGTTGCCCTGTTGTTATCTTTTCATTCAGCAGCCTAACAGCCCACAGATAGAAGCTGTTCTTTACCCTGTTGGTGCGACTAATCATGCTTCTATATCTTCTGTATCTATATCTTCTGCCTGATATCCTGAAGTGTAGCCAAACACCACCAGTCCTGGCTTCCCGTAAGCTACTGGGCCCAATTTATAAACTCCTGAACAGCTTAGGACTACTTGATGGAGTGCCTTTCCCAGCAGGTCCCAACCTGTCCAATGAGACTGGCAGGAGACTGGCTGGTGGTACAAGCAATGGGTGCTGTGCATTTGGCAGTGACATGGCAGGGATTGTAATGGTTTTTTTCCTTTCAGTAGTTTAATTTTTTTATACAGCATTGTACTAATTGGATGAAGGTTGGTTTGGAAATAAATAATTTCTTTTGAAGATTGCCAGAATATAGCTGTGTTAGTTCGGTAGCTTGGAATAAGGGAATCTGTATATTCTTTCACTGGTAGCCATGAGTCTGGGAGAGCATCAATTTCCCAAGATCTTGCTGCATTCTCCCTTTCATTTACAGAACCTTGTGACACATGGACCTTTACAAGTCCGCTCCTCTTAACCACTGCATGGTCAGTTTCCTGCTCCGAACATCCTCTCTGTTGCTGTCCCATGTCAAACTCAGCTAGGGTATTTTCAACCAAAGCCATTATATGGCAATCAGGGCTGCAGTTGAGCAGTTAGCTAGAATCATTGGCATGAAGGTTAAAAGAAGCACAAGAAGAGAACCATCAGGAAGTGTTGATACAGTTGCATACATAAAAAAATAACAAATGGTAGCGTGCGCTGAATTACTGACCATTACTCCACAGTGTTAGCAGTATGTTTTTATTCCACAGGGGCATTCCTGTCTTCACACTTTCAAGTCAATTATTGGCACAGTTCTCAGACCAAACCTGTATAATAAGGCCCATGAAACTATATACCAAAAATAAACTGCCTGAAATGCACTGTGAAGAACATTATGAAATACTGCTATTTTTCCATTTAGGAAAAGAAAAATCATTAGTGCACCTTAAAATGAGTTAGATAATATACAAGCAAATGACTTAGCAAAGCTTAAAATGTTGACAGTACAATCACTATACAATTCAGACTGAAATGCAATAGCAGCAATAAAATACGTGGTTCCTCTAACTTACCACAGGGGCCATGTCCAAGTCGGGCTAATGTGTGTATTTCGCCATTTTCAATCTTTAGAATTTTTCCATCCGCTGTACCAGTGAACAACACATCTAAGAGAGACAAGTTGTAAGATATGCTTTTTATGAATTCTGGAAACTGGAAGTACTGTATGAATTGTACATTGTTCCTTCATAAAAAAGCTCATGACCTTTAAATATTAAAACTAAAGTCAGCCTCAAATCATGTCCACAGTAGCAGTCATCTGTGACTCAAAGCCACATGAACACACTCCAGTCAGCATCTGGCTCATAAACAGGACTCCAAATACACAACCTTTTGTAGGGATAACTTAGATCCTTTATATTGAGATACAATACTTGTTCAATTTTTACTTTCTTTAATGTTGGTATCTCTTGGATTTCTCGCCATGAGTGGATTTTTGTAGCTCTGGTGGCTGCTATTCACCAATTAAGATTCCAGTAGAAAGGGAAAGCATTGTTTTCATCTTCCATAATCCAAGCTAATAGATGGCTTTTTATTTTGATGCATTTCCCATTAGTTAGAGTAATCAGAGATTGACCAGCCTTTAACTGTAACACTGGGACAACCTTAAGCATTCATGGTTATTTTCTTATTTCAGAATTTTGACATTCTCGGTATTGTCCTATTTTTGGTAGTATGTGTGTTTGGTTACATTTTCTGCAATTTATACGTTTGCTGTTTATTATTTTGATTATGAACTGTGAATAAATGGCGTTGCCTGTGAATCTATAGTGATTCTTGCCATTTGCTTCCTGAAAAGTTACAGAGGCCATGTTGGATCAGAAAAAAAAGGACTTCTAGCCAGCATCTTGTTTCCCAGTGAGCAGCCAGATGCTTCTAGGAAGACCATAAGCAGGACATGAAGGCAATAGCCCTGTTCCATTGTTGCTCCTCAGCAACCATTGAGACACTTATCCACTTACAAGAGCAGGGACATCCATGCGCCTTGAGTATTAGACCCTGAGCACACCAGGTGGGGACCCAAGGTACACTAGCTCTCTGGATGTAGAAGATCAGCTCTCCCTGGCTCTTTCACGTAACCCACAACAGCTACAGAAACCACACTGTTACAACTTATAGTATGTCATATCTTCTAACATGACATGCTCTTTCACTGTGTGCTTTATATAATTGAATTATTTCAGAAATCAATTGCAGAGTTATTTGGATCAATAACAGATGATCAATGGTTACACCAAGAGTTACCAACATGACTTATGGAGTAGTTATTATTATAAAGCAGGCTTCCTCAAACTTGGCCCTCCAGATGTTTTTTGCTTACAACTCTCATGATCCCTAGCTAGCAAGACCAGTGGTCAGGGATGATGGGAATTGTAGAAAAACATCTGGAGGGCCGAGTTTGAGGAAGCCTGCTATAAAGTATTTGGGGAAAAGAACAGAGCAAGAGAAAAAATGATTTTTTGCTAGGCTCAGAAGGTCTCATGTTTGACTCAAGTTCCAAGCATTAAGACCCTTCACAGTTTAGCATGCAGACGTTATTGTGCTTACCGCCGATGTTTGCAATAGATTCTGGTCCAACAAGCTGATTTTCAAATAGCCTTTCTGCTTGTCGGAGCTTGAAGTTTGGCTCTAATGCGCCAGTGAGGAGAGGAGGTTCTTTGAAGCTAGAGGGGAAGAAGGAGAAGCAATTTCATCGGTGGACTGAAAGAAAAGGGCAGCCAGCCAACCAATTTTGGAAGATTCTGGGTACAGATAAACCTAGTTTTCCTTTCTACCTCAGGCACTAAAAGGCAGGCGAGGCTGGACATGAGTTTCAAACACACTCTGCTCATACTGCATACGGAAGTCTGATCAAGGCATCAACATAAGATCCAAAATGTTACAATATCTTGATAGAAAATTTAAACTATAGTTTAACATAACATGCAAAATAAGCCAGCATCAAGCCAACACACTTGAGATAGAAAAGCCACAGAGAGGCCTGCAGATCTCTTTTAATTCAAAATAGGGGAAAAAAACCAGGGCATTTGCAATATCAGCATGATGGACACTATCACAAGGACATACAATGGACCACCTATTGGGGAAAATTCCACACTTACATCTTTTATACTAGTTTCCTATTCTAGTTTGGTGTCAAATGAACAAACACCAATTGTTCAAATGGCAATGCTTTCAGTTTTCAACATTGTACTCATTTCCAACGTTGAAGCATTTTAATACTGCATATTTGTAACTCAATTATTTCCATACCTTTTTTGAAACAATTCTCCATTACAAGTTAAAATGCTTCTTAATGAAGACTTGCTTTTATGGAACACCTTAAAGATCACTTCAAAATACACACCGTGATTACTTTGGCCAATAAGATGTAATCATCCAGAGAAATGATCATACCACCAGGTGGTCAGTAACACTACCAAACAGCTTAGGAAAGAATCTTACCTAAATGAAATAGTAGCCATTTCCCTGTTCTAGATCTGCTTAGCGCTACTTAATCCTGTATTTTGCTGTCAGGATAATGTAAGTTAAATGGACCAAAGCTGAATACAACATGAAAGGTTCTATGAAATGGAGGATTCTAAGGACAGAGATGTGATTACGAATGTTAAACTTGTCAATTCCTGAAACTTATCATGACAGTAAGATTTATAGGTTGATCTAACCTTATTTACTTGACAGTAAGCCCCACTTATTTCAGAGGGACCTGATTCACAGACGTATGCTTTGGACTGTAGCCTTAAAAACTTTTTTCATCTCAAAAAGATAAAGTATTTATTCTGACATATGTATGGCTCCTCATAAGAAAGTTATATGGATGGCCTCCATTATATAAGCAAAGAACACAATTGAAATATAATGCAAAAAACAGAAGCATTCAGCAGGAGGGAGAAACTGCATAAATACTACAAGACAGAACTTGTCACACCATACCACCCCCCCCCCGGTTTCAAACATAAAATAAAAAAGGACGCAGGAGGCAGGGTGCCAAAGGCAGCAGGGAGTCTTAATGATACATAACTTACAACAACCATGTTTGACTTAGTTTCAAACCCCCCAAAAAAGCCTTTGCCAATTTTTCTCTGAGCTTTCAAAGTCTAATGTGTAATCAAACATTTGTTTACATTTGCTTCTCCAGCATGCCTTTCTTTGTGTGTTTGTGGCAGCATTTAACGCTCAGCAGGTTTGGGTGCTTTTGACCAACGGGCAGCTTCCTCTTTCTACAAAGGTTTGCTCAACATACCACCACTGCATAACCTGTCACAAGAACAAGTCTAGTCTCCCATGCCTAACTGTATGTAACTGTCTCACATTATCACGTGAATGTAAGCTGTATTCCTGTAAAGCTGTGACTCAGGTGTTCACCTGGGCCCAAGTTTTCATGCATGACTATTCTGATGAGCACCGTAGACTTTTTGGCACCTGCTAAAAATATTCCTTTTTAGAAAATCCTACCCAGATGCTTTAAAAACTGAGGTAATTTTAATCTGTTTTAGTATTTTAACTTTTGTATGTTTTAAAGTAAGGTTGTAGATTTATCTGTTTTATCTTTTGTAAACCACTTCATTTTTTAAAATAATACAGTGGTGTATAAATTTTATGAAAAATAATAATAAAGTAAGTCAAATTTATTACAGCAGAAGATTTCTGGGCAACAGCCCACTTCCTCAGATGCATGGAAGCGTTATCCTGAGTTTCAGGGGTGTGTACAAATTCACATGCAAGCATTTGTATAAGTTCCCTTAAGTCATGTGGGGGAACCCCTAAGAAAGGGTTAAACTGTTCCATAAACCAGGCGCCACTACTGAAAAGGCCTTCTCTCTGGTGGTGAAAATATGAAAGGTGGCATCCAACCAAGCCGTACTCAGAGAAGATCCACTGGAAAAAAATGAATTTAGTCAGTCATGACTAACTTGTCACTGATTTCAGTAGATCTACTCCAAATACAGTTTAAATATATATCATCCAAACATACATTCATTCTCAAAACCAATGCAGTAAAGCTTTAGTACTAACACCTGGCAAGACTGAAATGAGAACTGAATACTCTCATTTCAACAATATGGGATTTTATCAATCTGGAGTGTTCTCCTTGTTCTGAAATCTTTCCCAAATGAGAGATGTCACTTTTGGGTGCTCTCAGAGCCTCCAAAGTACAATTTCCTTCAAAGACTTCTTGGTGAACTCCTGGCTCGAGGTACAAGAGATCTGGGCCTCTTATCATTAAGCTCTCTCCATGGCTACCATACAAATATCCTTCTTCCTTCCCTCAATATTCCTAAAAATGTGCTGAATCCACATATGGCTTCATGTTTGCAGAGACCCTAGATGCAGAGAGACCATAGGCTCATTTTAGCTGAGCAATCTGCACAACCCATGAACAAGGTATACTTATTGTGTTGGATCAAGTCCATGTAGGCACCTTTGCAAACATGTACGCAAGACAGGTGCGGAGCAGACTCACCAAGGGGAGTTGACACAATTCCCATAGTGCTAAAGAAATGAATAAGCAGCTCTAGCCAGATGAGAACACTTGCCAAAGAAGTCCTATTGTGCTTGAAGATCCTCTTCTTTGCTTGCAGTCTTAAAGGATGCACTGTTCATTTCACTTCAAAAATCAAATCTATCTTCCTTATATTTGATTGCATTTATTTAAAAAATACATACAGCAACTGTTATTCATTTCTAAGATCTGAACTGAGACAGCAAATGTGAAATTTGTTGAGATACCAAAAGCAATCCAGCTTTCAATACGTCTTTCAATATCAGAATACTGCATATCTTGGCAGGCTGCACAGTCCTGTGTATACTACACATCACAGTTTAATCAGGTCTTACCCTACTAATACCTGCATTCTGAAGGAAAAAAATTAAACTTACTGGCGATAAAAAAAATCCTAATTAAGTATTCAGTTAAACACTTAAATTATATGCTACATTCTGATATCATACATACTTTGCAACTCACCTTATAGGCTGAGGGTCTATTGGACACTCCAGAAGAATTATTGCTCCAAATAAGGGAATAATTAGCGATACAGCCAAAGTCATGAAAGTCACACGGAATACTCTGTTGCTGTAAGTACTGTAACAAAAATACAAAACAGATTAGAAACTTAAATTGAAGCTCTGCACAATTTTAAACAATGATCACCAGTGGGTTAGTGTAAATCTGTACCAGCGATTTCAGGCCAAGATTATAATATTTTTTGAATGTGTAACTAGCAATACATCAATGTATGCCTAGTTTTTCCACATAAGCATGTTGTATGAACTCAATCATTACGTTATTCCACTAATCAAAGGGGAATCACTAGTCAAATGAAGAAAAAACTCCAAATATCCTTTTCAAACCCATTACAATTTACCAATGATGTTACAGCTGAGCTATACGTTAAGTATATCACAAAATGACATCTCAGGAACGTACCATTGCAAAATGCAGGTGTAAGATTACACATCCAAATGCTTCGTGTAGAAAAGCTCCCTGCACACGGAAATCATGTCTAAGAAGATTCTAGCCTACCCTTCTTCCCATTCTGTTAGTTATCCACAAGCAAGAATTTAAACATTTAGAGTTCATAATTAATATCCCACCTGCATTCTTAACAGTATAGTCCCAAGGAAGGATATAGCTTGTGATGCAGAAAGCTCAGGCAGCAGAAAGGGAGGGAAATCACCTCCTCTTTCTACTTCTCTCTTAACTGCAGAGATTTGTGTTTACTTGAACCTTTGCAGCTTATGCAAAGAATCTTTGTGGAGGGCATGTGGGAACAGGGGATTTGCCAATGGAGAACAGGTAAGTGGATTTAAGAACTCTGCATGTTAAATGTGACTGGTACTTTCCAGTATGTGTTAGAAGCTGCCCAGAGTGGTTGGAGCAACCCAGCTAGATGGGTGGGGTATAAATAATAAAATTATTGAATATTATTATTATTATTATTATGTGTTTGAGGTAGTATCCACAATGCATGAATCTGACAGTTTAAATCCAAACCTTTTTATAGCCGCAAGAGAGATTAAGGGTAAGTAAGTGGGAGAAACAGAACTGAAGTTCTGTGGATGAAACCAGCTTAAGATTTTACTTTCTCAGGGTAAAGGTTGCATTTCTAACCCTTAGCAAGCTTTTTAATCACCATGATTTGTGAAAGGAAAACGAAGCAAAGAAAACTTGAAATCTCATTTTCTGTACCATTTCTCTTCAGTTATCTACAAAGATAGATACTGGAGTACATTTGGATACATGAAGACCTTTGTTATTAACAAATACAGTATGGTGTCCTTCATAAATCAAGGACAAAACCTCTGCTAAGAGGAATGTTACGCAGCATTTTTTTCTCTGATCAGCACATAAATGATTTTTTTTTAAACAACTGGGAAGGGATAAGACAGGCTTAAAGGCCCTAGGAGCTGGCAAGGTCTGAACATCAACATTTCATCAAAGAAGTGAAGAAATGCTGAACATGGATAAAAATGAATTGTGCTGCTCAAAAACCTATTCATATACTTCTTTTTCATTTAACATGTCTAATTTGAAGACCACCAGCAACACAGAATTTGGTAAAGAAATTCAGCTATAGGAAATATGCCAATAGGACAGATAACAAACATCAGCCAACAGGCCCCACTGAAATGAATGGGATTACTTCTTGGTAGACAGGCAAAAAGAATTCCCCGTTAAATAATTAAAATAAAATTCAGTTTCTCAAACTGCAGTTTTGATGACACCAACATGCAGCCTTCTTCCCAGTATAGAAATTCTGGGACATCTGAATTTGGCATTATCGTATTAGTTACACCTGAGAACTATTGTTGAAAGAGCTCTGCCCCACCCCAAACATGCAAGATTGCAACAGGTCTGTGTGACTCAAGAGCTTACTACCAGAACCCGAAGCGCTGGAAGTTTATTGTTTTTGTAACATGTTTCTGCAATGTAGAAAGTATCCTAACTAAGTACAGTAATTTCTCTCCCAAATTTCTCTCTCCCAGATTTGGTGTGAAGGTAACATGTAGATTATAAACTGTTTTGCACACACACCAGATCAAGGATAGGTACATTCACTGAAAAGGACAACAAATTCAAGCAGGTTTACCCAAGAGGTTTACCCAACATTATGTCCCAAGGAGATGTGACATAATTATCCCCTTTTCTCTTCCATAGATTACCTCCAGGTACAGGTGTACAATGGAAACATGTGTTTACTGGAAGGTGAATCAGATATGTTAGCCATTGGGAAATAGGGAAATACTCCTCCAAGGAAGCATAAATGTAATTACAGTATTCTGCAGTCCAAATGCAAACTGAAATATGAACAGAGTGCATGTACAGTCATAGCTCGTATTGCGTTAGGTTCATGTTGCGTCTTTTCAGCTTGCGAACGTGGCAAACCCGGAAGTGTATAAACTTCTGGGTTTCACCATGCGCACACGCGATCCGTGTGCTTCGTGCATGCACAGAAGCACTCAATAGTGCCACGCACATGCGCGGAAGAGGCACTCTAGTTGCGGACTTTTCAGGGTGCTAACAGCAACTCAGAACGGATCGTGTCCGCAACTAAAGGTACCACTGTAATGTAAAGCCAAAGTTAGAAGAAACCAAGGCTCATAAGTCAGCAAAAATCAAGGCTTCACATGATGATTTGTTGGCAGTAAAGAAACCAGAGTTTATTAACCATTGTTTAATAAACCATGATTGAAGTGTTAAGTGCAAACCAGGCTGTTCTTCGCAGTGGGTAGTGCTTCATTTAGACTCACTAAGCCACCACCCCCAAACCACACAGTAAGTCACATTAAGAACACAGTAAGAATAAGCAAACATACTCAGAAATGTACTTATGAAGGGGCTTGCCATGGATACTATTGCCATGATTGCCATGACTATTAGCATTTTTGAGTCATACTCTCGTATTTCAGCTGCTCACACAAATCCACCAAACTATCACTTATCTGAATTTAGTATTTGAACAATGTTGTCACCAGATAACTCCATATACTTCAACAGAGCTTGAAGATTTCGCCATGCTGGAAAGATGACTGAACTCTCCCCTAGTTAACCCTTGTCCTCTCTACATAATGCTTCCTTTGCAAATGAGCCTAACAGGCTTCAATGCTGGAACCAATTTTCAACACCAGAGTTCTGACCAGGGCATTTTATACAGAGTTTAATAAAAGAAGAGTTATTATTTTTATTGTACTTATTTACCACTTTTTTCTGCAATGAGCTCAAGTTAGCATACATGCTTCTCCCCCTCCTCATTTAACCTCCATAACAACCCTGTGGAGCAGGCTAGGCTGAGAGTGAGTGACTGGCCTAGTGAACTTCATGGTTCAACCCTGATCTCCTAGGTCCCAGTCTGACACACTAACCACACTGGATCTCACATTTCATGTGCAAGTGCAGCACTCCCCAATTTCCATAACTAGTTACCACACATTTGGGATTTAGAAAGGTTTCGACTTAGGTCTCTCTTCTGGTGTTTTTTTTTTAATTACTGCCATTTCATTGCCTTTATTGCAGAATTATTCTTTTTGTTTATACAACCGGAGCACGTTTGACACTTTACAGCCTTGTATAATGGGTGGACGGGGGAGAGCTGGATTCCTCCTTTCCAAGCACTTTTCGATCTACATTTTGGTAGGTTAGAAATGAATGCCCAAATGTTTTTTGAGTGCAGTATACGAGCAATGCTAATAAAATCCACATGTTGGTTTTTAAGGTAGCTATATTGTGATCACAGAAGGGGCCCCGCGCGTGTGTATTTACTGTGGGGAGGCAGAAGAAAGCGTTGTAAACAGCAGGGCCAAAATACAATGCAATACGAGAGACACAATACACCGTGTTTGTGTTACATCGGGTTACATGCCTTGGCAGCACTGAGAGAGAAAAGAATCAAATTATTCTTATTATATACGAATAAATGCCAGCAAATGAGAGGCCTTCCAAAAAGGTTTGAGCCCAGGAGCATCTCGTTGCAGAATTACGCGGCCCTCTCCACCTTCCACCCTGCCCTAGGCAGGGAGGCAGCTCAGCCTCTCCCCTCCCGCCCCAAAGCACCCTCGGGCCAGGCAAGACCCACTCCTTAAACCCGGGGTCTGGGGAGGAGGCCGAGGGGGAATGCCGCCTCACGCCGCCCACCCAACCCAGCTGCTCCCTCAAGGGCCGAGGCGGGGGCTCGCTTTCCGGCCCCCTCGCGCCCCGCGGAACAGGAGCAGGCGGGCGGGCGGGCGCCCACGAGGTCACCTCCCTGGGAAGCCGGCCGACGCCCCTCACGCACCTGCCATCCTTGGTCTCCTGAGCCGTGTTGTCCTCGGTGATCACCTGAGGGCGTATAGGGCGCCGCTGCCTCAGGCCTTCCGCCTCATTCATGTTGCCCCCGTCGCCCCTCGGCGTGACTGAGGAGAAGCGCGCTCGCCCGCCGCCGCAGACCAAGCTCTCCACGCAGCGCCAAGAGGGGATGCCGCCCCGCCCCGGAGCTCCGCCCCCGCCTCCATGCTTGCCCAACGGCCGCCAGGCTGGGGCCCCGCAGGCCCCGCCCCCTACATACCCGCCCAACGGCTGCCAGAGCCACGCCTCCTCGTAACGGCCGCCCCGCCGAAGCCCCGCCCACTCGGCTATGCCCGCCCAACGGCGACCCAACGGCCCCGCCGAAGCCCCACCCCGCCGCCCAGGGTAGACCAATCGACGGCAGCCAGCTCTGAAGCCACTTCTCCCGTGACCAGAGAGCCGAATGGGCCGCCCTCAGCTTCCACGAAGCCGGCGCCTCGTCGCTCTTCGGGCAATGACTGGCTGAGGCGTTTCAGTGCTGCCCACAGACAAGACCCCTCTCTCTTTGTTCTCTAATGGGATCGACTTTTTCTCTGACACACACGCGCTTGACGCTTCGTAATTCGCAGCTCCGCCCACACAACGCGCCTGAACGTCGGTAAGCCCGTCCCCGCCCACACACTACCCACCACGCCCCCTCTCCCTGCGTCTGCCCAATCGGTGTCACAGTTGCATGCTTAGGGGGTGGAGTCAAAGGCGTATATCTTTCCCCGCGAGGAAAATGGAACTTAGAACGTCATTGCGTTAGGAACGGGCAGTTGCAATGTGTTTAAATGTCCATACTGGTTTGTTTTTGTTCTTATTATGTCTTTTGTTTTTCTGTTTTGTATTTTTATGTCATGAAACGCCCTGCCTGTGATCTTTGGATGAAGGGTGGTGTACAAATGTAACGATGATGATGATGATAATAATAATATAAACAGGTGATTTGGGAGGGAATAACCTCTGGAGTTTACTGTACCTGAGCAAGTTGGGTATCTGAGCCCAAAGAATTAGTGGGTGTATATGCAACATCAGAAATAGAAATATTCACACATCGTCAGGGAAACATTTCAAGCTACCAGGACGCTGCCTGAATTACATTTCATCAAATAAACTCAGCTTAGGAGGATCTGAGTAGAGACAGGTTCTGCACCAATACAGATGTAACTCAGCTTTGTCAAGTTGAGCGCTGCTGCAATTGTAAATGGTATATATTACCAGTGCTTTTTTATGGGGGGACGCAGGGGCACGCATACCCCTGAACATTTTGTGAATCTAAGTTTTGCCTCATTGAGGGGCAGTATTTCAATACGAGTAGGAAAATAAGAGTACCCCTAAGCATTTTTATAAAAGCACTGTATATTACCTTACATATAACATTAGTTGCAAGAGGAATCTTAAGTGCACTTTCTGGCTTAAATGAGTATTCCATTACTTGATGCAGAAGTGGGTAGCTGCAGCCCCTGGGGAGCAAATGCAATGCCCTCCGTCAGACCCTCATAATTCTCCTGAGTAGGCCACACTCCTCACTTCCTCTGGTTCATACCCTCATGGTTTCTGATAGGCTGGAGTTTTGATCATGACTTTTGCTTATCTGGATGGAGGCTAGTGAAGAGTGTGTTTAGAACCCAGCCTACTGTACCAAAGGTAAGATTTCATTCACACTTTTGACTCTGGACCCACCCACTATTGGCATGCGGTTGTTGACCAGAAGGCTGCTCATCCCTGACAGAAAGCATTTTGATATTCTAGCACACCTGGGCATCCTAGAAAGGTTTCCAGAGACCAGCACCATCACTAATACCTGACCTGGGCTTCCAACTGCAGGGCCTATTAGTGACTAGTTACTGATTCCCATAATTCCCAGGAGCAACATTACGGTTGGACGCTCCAGGGCATTATGAAAAATTACTAATATGCTAGCTTTCAGTCACCCTCAGATTGCTGCGGCTACTACCAGCACTTTATATGTCTGAGGGGATCCATATACAAGGGACAGCCCACCAGCAAACTTTGTGTACCAGGAGATCCCTTAAACCAGTTGACCAGACTTTTTCAGCATTTCTTGGATAAACTTTTATCCTTAGCCTTATTAACTGTAATTGTTTTTAATTAGAATAGCACAATTTGGTTTTAAAACTGATAAACCGATTTGAATTTTTAAAATGATATTCAAATTTATTAATTACATTTTTAATTAAATAAATGCATAATAGGTTTCGATTTCACGCAGAAGCTGCTGTTTTAATACATAATATTTGTATGTAAAGCATATATTCCACAAAAATAGAGAGACTATCATTCATCTTGTTCTGTGGTGGGAGTGATGGCTGCCCTTATCATTTCCCAAGTTTTGAGGGAGTGAAGCCATATTCAGGTGTTTGAGGAACATATGAGGGGACTATATAGACCTTCTGTAGGAAAATGTACATTAGAGTGCCACAGTGGATATTTTTATAGATTACGAGCAGACTAGAAATCAGCAAAGATTTGTTTAATCAAGGGAGATTCCAATTCCCTTAAGATATGCTGCCTAGTGGCCATTAGATGGCACCAATTTTCTGTGTTGGTAGGATAAACTACTAGAAGTGAGCCTTCCAACGGTTACTTTTGGCTCCAAAATGCAACATTGTATAATTTATGCTACCTAATAAAAGGCAGAGATCGGAAAGAAGATTGCCTTGCATGCTTAAAAGCAAATGAAAAGAAGTCTCTTCCTATTTTGAGGTTTTGGCCAAGAATTCTTCCATTTCAAAAGCTGCAACCAAGCTCAAAAGCTCTTTGCTAAGACATACAGATCTGTATCCTAAATACTTCAACCACCTCATAAATGTTCCTGCCCTTTGGAATATAGGCAAAGTCCAATTAATATACTAACTCAGGTATTTTAATATTTGTATTACTTAGCTGCAGCCCTTTGAATCCTAATATGGTTTTGATATTATATGCCTTTTTATAAACCTTGCATAAAGTATCAACAATAACTGGCTATAAAAACTATAGCAGATTTTTTCACATACAGACTGTTAACAAGGATCTTTAATGAAGATTTTCAGAAATATGCTATTTCCATTTTCTGTTTGTTAAAAGCAACACGGTTTGCAGGGCCGAAACTAGGCTTTCTGTCAAAGACCCATTTTGGCACCCTACACCCCCCCCCCATGTGTGTTTGCGTACATACATACATACAAAGACACAAACCTCAACACATTTATTTGTAAAGGACATAAAAAGTAGGCAATATATTATTTGAATACAAAGGAATGCTAAGAGGTGTTATGACTGTATCATCAAAGGGATAATGAGCATCCCTTCCAGTAAAAGCAAATTGTGTCAAAAATAGAACTTCCATGTTCAGCAAGTGTCTATCCGAGGTCAGGATTTTTTGAATTGGATTTATTTGGTCACAGGATCAATAAAATACTGCATTTCCATAATATCAGCCAAGACCCTCTAGTTTCCTTTTAATATGTCCCCCCCCCCTTTGAGGCTTTTTGTCTCCCACCCTTCTTCTTGGTTCTGTGCAAACCCTTTCAATGAGTTCAGACGTGTAAATTTACTCCCAGATAAGCTTGAACAGGATTCCTTTCAATTTTATTTTTGTTTGATTACTAATTTTAGGAAATGATAGTTTTGTAGTCATTTTAAGTTCCATGTAAGGTGAAGAAATGCTTTTTTTTCTCTATACATTTTTCATCAAGCCATATAAACATATATTATATATCCTTATTAAAATTTTATCTTTCAGTTATCCCTAATTAAAATTTGCTTTCACAAAATATGAAAAATAATTTATTCTACTTAAATGAATAATGTCCCTCTGCTTTTAATGAATGCAGTATCCAGAAAGATATCATGGGTTACTCAGAAGAGAGCATTTTCCCCAAGAGTAAGTGCAAAGAGTGATTAATATTTCCAAGGCACTGGTTTTAAGGTTGAATTAATGCTTTCTGTTTAGAGTTCCCACTCTGTGTGGTTTCAATAAAGTATTTAAAAAAGATAGGCAGGATATCCAAAATATCAGGATCTAACCTACATGCTGCATAGTTTCAAAGAAAGGCAAAGTGCAGTGAAATACACACGGTGGGTATTGTAATATACGTATTTTTCAGAAGGAGAATCTTCTGAGCCTCACATGATTAAGCAGAATTCCATGAAAACTTGTGCGTATTTGATGGTTCCTTTCATTTCTCGGCGTTTCTAATGGAACATATCCCCACAGCTTCTCATTACAAAGTAGGATGCTTAATTTTGTACTTCGCATATGCATCAAGTATTTCTTCAATGACACTGGAGTCATCCAGTGTGGTGATATCTCCCATATCGCTTACATTGCCTGTCACTATTTTCCGTAGCAACCTTCTCATTATTTTCCCTGAGCGAGTTTTAGGAAGGCGCTTCACTACCTGTTTGAGAACGGGAAGAATTGTGTTATTGTGAAAGTGAACCACTATGGCAATAATATGTTAAATTAAGCCAGACATAGACAGCCTTCAGCCTCTGGCCTGGTTCCGCCATTAAAAGAACTGCAAATGGAAAAAAGTTTAAGTGTTCTTTTGCAATTTGGAACAAACTGTGGTTTCCTACCATGTCCAAAAATGGCAAAACTGGTTTGTTCAAGAAAGTTACTTGGAAGACACCACAATCTGAAACTGTGGTTTGATCCAAGTATGTTTTAAGTATGGCTTGAAGATGCAACAGCTTTCCTGAATTTGGACATAACAAGAAACCAAGCAGCAAAAGGAAACTTTAAACTTCCTAGCCTTGCATGCATAGAAGAAAGGAACGGGTCTGCTTAAGCCCAAGCCTGACGGCACATTCTTATAATAGGTTTTATTGTTGTTTAGTCGTTCAGTCGTGTCCAACTCTTCGTGACCCCATGGACCAGAGCACCTATAATAGGTTACCCTTTGCATCTTGACAGTGCCATTGTTTTGTGCCTATGTGATCTTTTAGCCATGTTCATGAAGTGGTAAATGTAAACATATGCCAAAAGACACCTCTGATACTACCTTTAAAAGAAAAGTGGTATATGTACAGAGGACAAAGAATAACGGTGGCACAAGTCAAGTAGGAGGAACTTAGGCTTCGAAAAACAACAACAGTCTAGTAATATGAAGCCAGGGTTTCGTACAAGGCTTAGTAATGTCATTTTATAAAAGGACTCTAAGGGAATTAATCATGAAGTAAGTTTTGTGTACAGCAGTAGCACTATAACAGAGGACAATATATTTTGGAAGTAAAAGAAAGTCACCCCCTAGTTCAAGGGTCATCAGGCTAATGCAGTGCTTGCTAAATCAAGAAAAACCTGTCTGGCCATTACTAAACAAAGGCAACTGCATTCAAAGAAACATGACTGGAGTTATTCCTCTTAAAATTATGGATTCCCAAAATGAAAAAAGCCTATGAAAAATGTAGATCAATTGTACTGCCCAAGCACTTCTAGTCAATAATGGACAACCTGCCCCCACAAACAGCTGTCCCCATTAAAGAAGGAAGTGGGAAACAAGTGAGTACTGCTAAGTCCCTTTAACCAAACAAGGGGCAGGTACAAACTAGTCTGAGAGGAGTCTGGGAGATACTTGTTCCTCCTCTAGAAATTGTCCCCAGTGCCATAAGGAAGGTTAGTAGATGCATGTTGACCCCCTGTAGCCTGATATTATTAAAGACAAATTCTGATCCTGAAGAACTTACCAGAACATGATCAGGCACAGCATACTTGGCTATCTTGGAGGCAACTATTTCCCTTAGCTCTTTGGTAACCGTTTCTGGATGTGCTTTCTCATCTTTTAGAACTATGAAAGCAAATGCAGCTGGAAGAAAAGACCACAGTTCATTTACTATACATTAAACTACTCTCGACTCTTCCTTTTCACTACATAAGACATGTAGAATAGCCCATTACTCAGTGCAATGAAGTGTGAAAGTCTTGCCTAAAGCAATGGCTGTAAGGATATTCTTTTCTAGTTGAGTTAAGAAATTATGCTAAAATTCCTGTTCTGATCAATGTAGTTTTTCTTCATTGTTTAAAAATGTTTAAAATTTAAGTACCATTCTTAGATACAGTTGTGAAAATATTATTGCAGTGCAGACTTACACATGTCTACTTAAAGGGGAGTCAGATGAGTTAAATGGGATTTAATCCCAAGTAAGTGTGTATAGCATTGCAGCCTTAAAGACCAAAAGCTTTAATGCCAAATCATGCCACATTTTGAGTAATGAATCCTCAAAATACTAAGGTGTTCAAAGTTCTTCTAGAATCATAGAACTAGGGAGTTGGAAGGGACCACAAGGGTTGTCTAGTCCAACCCCCTGCAAAGCAGGAATCTTTTGCCCAAAGTGGGCTCAAACCCATGACCCTGATATTAAGTGTCTCATGTTCTACATCGTGACGGGTAGGTAAGAAATCTTATAAATACCAGATTATTCTACATGTGCTTCCTTATGTACAGAAAGAGAATCAAATATCAGAAATCAAAAGCACTACTCCTTGTGCGAGAATTCTTGGATCAAGGTACCATGAATTTAGTTTATAAGCTGACCCTGTTAAACTTCATATACAAATCCTGTTGCTAAATGTTTTAAGCAAAAGCATTTCAATTCAATGAAATACTATTAATCCGGCAGTATGTTTTAAAATTCTGATTCTGCACATCTGAACAAACTGGTAACAGGAGCACCTGAAATAGAATCTATTCTTTTTTTCTATTAAACCATACCTTTCCTTATCTGAACCTATAAAAAGCAATCATTAAACATGAAATTAAGTATTTGAATAATATCTTCAAAACATTTCATTTGCTTACCTTCCCCTTTGATATCATGCGGATAACTAATCACTGCTGTTTCAGGTACTGCAGGATGTTCATCCTTTAAAAAGACAAATAAAAAAAATAAAGTTATGCTTCATACCTTCGTTTTACAAGCTGCATGAATAGATTCATATATACATGTATGCATGTCACTTGGGCCTAGTTCTTCAAACTGCCCCCAGCAGTTTCTGTAAGGGAGCGTTACTCCATGGAAAAAAGAAAAGAGGTTCCTACACACACAAATCTGGCAGATCAGTGAGAAGGTTAGGCTAGAACACCACTTCACAATATACTGTTTTGTATATACAAGTGTATTTTCTTATATGTAGTCTGATGTGGTATTCCTGAGTTTACCCTCAAATCCATTTGAAAAGACTAGGCCTTGATCTCTCATCAGCCACTGACTCTTCACCAAATGTGTGAACTGTTTCCTTCTTAATAATTGTGTTTATGGTGATATCAGGTGGTAGACTGTCTGTGGTAACTAATCTGTAACCACATAAGCAAGTTATCTCTTAATGCCACAATGAAGATGTCAATGAATATCAATAGGTGAGCAAGCTCTAAAATGAAAATCTTGTGGATTAGTGTGATTCCCCGATGGTCAATTATGTTCCCACTGACTTAACTTAATTAGGGCCAACACTTTTCATTGCCCTAGTAATTACCATAGCATCTTCAATCTCTGCAGTTCCAAGTCTGTGCCCACTGATGTTGAGGACATCATCCATTCGCCCCGTTATCTGGTAATAGCCTTCTTTAGTTCTATAAGCACCATCACCTGTAAAATAATAACCTGTAACAACAAACAAGCAGTGTCAGTTAATGCCTTTGATGGCAGCACTAAAATTCAACATCAGAATGGGCACTGTCCATTAGTCCTTACAGAATAATTTGTATGTGTGAACATGATTCATAACCACTCACTGGTATTATTTTTTTTAAAAAATGGGAGGAAATGACCCATGTCATAGGTGACATTTTAGAAGTATGGACATAAAATAATGTATAAACAACACCAATTAGTAAATATGTTTCAGAACTTTTCATTTTTATCACTGTTGGCTTTACATATATACACACATATGCTTAACTGGCTTGGATAATACAAGCTGCAATATCCAGCTTGTACAGAAATTGCTGGTACAAAATTGATTTTTCTTTCTTTTTTGAAGTGTCACATATGCTAGACAGTACTGTCAAAAGAAAAGAGTCAGCAGCTTATGCAAAATTATGGTGCACTACTTGCACCAGTGTTTCCACTCTCACCTGGGTAAGCTTTGAAATAAGCTTCTACAAATCTCTGGTGGTCTCCATAGATGGTCCTTGCTATACCTGGCCAAGGCTGTGCTATGCAGAGAGCTCCAGAGACATCATTGCCTTCTACAACATTCCCCTGAGAGTCCAAAAAAAAGAAGCAACTGTCAATATAACAATTACCGTAAACAGAGATGTTGCAAAAGCTGAACTATATTGCCTAACTGTATGTTTCATTAATATTTACAATTTAGGACATCACCAGCAAGAGAACCACAACCTTCTATCAAAGTCCTAGACTAGAGAGCATTGATACAGTCAGCAATTTCCCTAACAAAAGTAAAGTCCTATCTAGATAGCAGTTCTGACTAGAAAGAAAATAATAAATGAGATAGGTAGGTAGGTAGATATGAGACAATGATTTGGGAGTTTAGGAACAATACATATACCAAAAAGGCACTATGTCTTTGAATGTTCTTTGGTCATATTTTAATAAATCTCACCCCTTCATCCATCAGAACTGGGGTAATCCCATAGAAAGGCCGCATTGCTATGGCAGGAATGATCTCAGCTCCTTTTTCTGAAGGCCGAGGAGCGATGCAAATGCCACCAGTTTCTGGAAGAAAAATGGTGGAAAGCAATTGAAATCTATTCATCCTCTGCTCTTCTGTAGGCTACGGTACAATGTAGCCCCAATAAAAACAATAGCAGGTTTATTATTCATTGCAATGGGAAGTGGATTGAATCCTTTAAAAATACGTAGAACAACCTTGCAAACAGTTCCAATATATAACAAATAATTCCAATCCACACCATCCATGCCTTGCAGGGAGCCTTTTCATCTGAGAGGCAGAATATCTGAAGGTATAAGATTTGACTGCCACCCCAGTCTCAAACCTCTGAAGGCAAACTCACACACATAAATATAAGCATTATTATATAGTGGGGCCTTACTTGCTTCTTTTCAATTTTCCAAATTTCCAGTTAGTGAAATCCCCATCAATAAAATGATCTGTGTTTATTTTAGCGGGGGGGAAACTCTCCCATTCAGGCAGGCAGGCGGGAGAGAGAACACTGGAAGGTAAGAAATAGAGCATTTCTAGATGCAACCCATCTGTCAGTGACAGTACAGAGGCTTCTAATCTAGTCTTCTCAGGCTGCCAGGAGAAACAAGCAATAATTGGTAGGGTGGCTCATGTAAAGGCATTACAAGAATGAACCCAAACTTCATTTTGTACTGCAAGTTGGTGGATTCCAACTAGACTAGACTTTGATGATGATGATGAGCAAGTATGAGTAAGGGCTCCTGAGAGGTTAACAAAAGCCCATGGATAGGCAATGGATCTATTTATGACATATATATATTGTGCTTTTCTCCCATGATAAAACTCCAGGCAGCATACATGGGGCTCCCAGGCACTGACCAGAACTTTAGCTTCAACTAAACTGCTGTGCCATGTGTCTTCAGACCATGCTTTGTACATAGATGCCATCTCCCACAGGATACCCATCAATCTGGACTCCCAAGGGTGGGTATACTACACCAGAAGTCCAGCATTATCAAGAGCCACAGAAATGATTATTCTCCCGGACATAAAATTTTCCTTGGCAAGCTCCTTTTTAACAAACTCAATTTTGTCTCTGTCCCTAGCCACGCAATGGTTAAGAGCAAGGATGGACACCTGCAGATCCAGGTTAAAATTTAGATTTCTAGCCTACATTATATGGACTGCCAAACCATCCACAATGGAAAAAGATGGATGCTGCTGGGTGGGGGAGACAAGCACATCTTAAAGGAGGGGCAAGTAACTATAGATTCCCATATGTTCTTGGACTACAGTTCCTATCACCCCTGACAACTGGCTATGCTGGTGCCAATGGGACTCTAGTTACTTCATGAAGCCACACTAAAGCATCTATAGTGGCATCTTTGGGGACAAGTTCTTAACATGTTGCAGTGACTGGTATAGGGAAGGTATCAGTTCCTGTGCAAAAATACAGGGACGCAGCTTGTTTTATTTCTCTCCCCAACATGAAGCTGCCAAGAAAATTGTATTCAACCCAATTTCATACACTTAGCAAGTAATTTAAACAGCAGTGATAAAAGTGCAAGGATATTATGGAATGTGCTTCCTTGTGCTGTTTTCACAGCACTTCAAATGGTTTGCTTGAAAAGCGGTTTATGAGACTAAAATACTATTATTATATAGGATTAGATTCTCCCACCCATTATGGGCATTCTGCGATTATTTTCAATTCAGGACTGAGCCTCTTAATCATTCTTTCCTCATTTCTCTCAGGATAAATGTTAAATCAGATCAGAGATTTCAACCTTAATCAGATCTTTTATAGCCTAACACTAACAGATACACAAAAAGAAGCAAAAGTAATAAAACCGCTGGAATATTAGGCCCTACAAATAAAGAAAGCCATATCCAACAGTTGTATGCAATTCCTTTGATAACTGTGATTTGTTGCAAATGAAGAGCTACTGGTAAATGTGTAATTTTTGCTATTCATATCTAGGGATTTTGTCTCCTGATTGCCCTGTGAAGGTTGGGAAAGGAGAGGGTAGGGCTGTCCTAGTTGGCACAAAACAGCAATCCTTCATCTCCCTACCCCACCCCCTATTTATGGAGATCAGGGCTCAAACATGGCTTATATGCTAACAGGGAAATTATTTGGGATGTCTCAAAGGTAATGGATGTTTGCCCTAATTACAAATCATTGCAAAATACATTAAAGCTATTGTTACTATTTATCGTGCATATAGCACTTTTAAGGCATTAGTCCCTTTAGCCTGTTTGTCCGCTTAACTGGGGAAACAGAACACTCTACTCCTTTTATAAGAAAGGAAACAGAAATAAACTCACATGTAAAATAATCACAAGCACATCAACACTCAACAGGGAAAGGGTATGAAGTCTATAGTACTGACTTCCAAGACTTAAGTTTCAACTTGAGAATTGTTCCCATACAGTTATCATTATTTTCTCTCAAACTTAAGTGCTGCATTGGTATGCATCTTAAACAACAGTTAATGGTTCTTGCTTTAGTTTTTTTTAAAATTGGATTTGGGTACTAGGTGCTATTGGTTTGTTGGTTATCTTAAAAAGGTGCTTCAAAGAAAATTATATTGCAGTGCTTCTCAATGACTACATTTTATTGTGTTAATGTAATTATTTTAGAACCGCTCTGGGATCTTGATGGATGAAGGTCAGTTTAGAAATTGGCAGAATAGTAAAACTAGAAAGAGAACTGTGCAAGAGACATAGTGAATAGGGAAAAGGTTGAGCACCCCTTACCCAAGCCCATTGCTTCTCAACTAAAAACAGCAACAACTTTCTGAAGCTAATGTCAAACCTAAGGCACATGCATGTATATGGCATGTGTAGTTAAACCCTAAATTTCACATTAACCTAAAAAAAAACTCCATAGACAATCCACTAAATTCTTAACCGCCTATCTGAAAAGGGAGATAATAATTCCTACTTTACAGGCTATTAATAATACAATGTACACAAAATGCTTTGAATACTTGAAATTTGCTAGATTCATTAACCACAGTAGTATCTGAATATTCAAGCTGCATTTAGCACCACGCCATATTCCATGCATCCTTTTGGCATCGTGACAAACTTTTGTTTAGAATACTATTTAACCTCAAAAGTCTTGTCAAAGCCCCTTACAAAAAACTCTCAGAATAAACATCAAATCCTAATATGGTGTCAGAAATGTCTCTATGGTGAAAGGATTATGACTGTTTTTGCCCACATCCTTGGTCCTCCTTGGTGTCAGTTTTTGGCTCCTGTCTGCTAGACGGCAGAGCCTGTTCAGGGCCTCTGAGGCAAGGGAGTGGAGCTGAGCAGCTGGATCTTGCTTAGCCCACAATGCAGGCAAGTCTGCATTGTTTAATGTTCTGGAGTTTGCTGTTCCATGCTTAGATATTCCTGTGCTCACCTTGAATGCTGGGTATTATTATGAGGCTTGGGACTAGATTACCTGAAGGGCAACCTGTTCCCACACAAGCCTGCTCAGCTGCTAAACTCTTACTACCTGAGGCTCAGGGACACTTGTTCAGGTTCCCCTGCCTTCATAGGTGAAGTAGATGGTTACCCGGAAAGGGCTATAGCTCTGGAATGTTGCCCCAGGAAAGCTCCCCTAGAACTGGCTGCTGTCTTTCTAGCATCAAATGATTTTTATTTTTATTTTACCAGACTTTTCAGATTCAATTTTGTGTAAGTCTCCAAAATAAATGGGGAAGAAACACAGTTAATCACCGGAGCACATGCTTTGCATACTGAAAATTATTGGCCTCTCCAGTTAAACATAGCAGGTGATCAGAAAGACTTCTGCCCAAGACTCTTGGCAGACACTCTCAGACACAATAGAAAATACTGGGTGAGATGGACAAATAATCTGACCTCCTATAAGGCAAGCTACCTCTGGTTTGAGGGCTGAAGGTTCGTTGAACACTGGATCTGAAAATTATGCTACGGTGTAGAGCTTGATCAAACTTTGCAAATATATTAACACAAGATGTGCACAATGAGCTCCCTGTTACACACACACACACACACACACACACACTCATAATCTCCCTCTCACTTATCCACTCATCCAAATGCTTTCAAATGGATTCGTAAAGCCTGATTTGTTAATCTTTATGCCTGTTCAAGTTGATTATCTTGTGGCATACTGCTGCTTCAGAGAGCTATGTTCCAGAGTGGATAAACAGCAATTAATGAGCTATTTTTAAATTGATTGTGAGATGTGCAATTGAGCTAACACGGTGGCAAATCAACTCACATTCTATATCCTCATAAACACTCCATGCGAATTATTCTTACCACTACCATTTATATCCAAAGGAAATAATAAATCCTCTCACAGGAATGTGTGCATTTGTTTTTGCATTGGGTATAAAGCTTTTGAGAGATTAAGGTTTCTGCTTCTGAGCATCAGCAATAATGGAAAAAATCATTCTATTTTCAAATAAATATTTAAACTAGATAGACTAACTTCAGGGGTGTTGTCACGAAACAGCTCAGGGGATCCGAACCCTAGGCTCTTTTGTAATGAGAGTTTATAATTTAGAGATATTCCGTTAGTATTAAGAAGTCAGTAGTTTGAAGACTCGCACCAAGGTCAGATGCCCCAGGCAGTTCCAAAGGCCTAGAGGCTGTTGCACAAGCCATTTCTTGTTCCTCTAGCCTGATAAGATGGCTTTAAACAGGATGCTAGCAGCTACCCAATAAACACACAATGTTTATTGTGCACAATGCTCTGTGTGTACATGTGTGAAGGGGGAGGGGTAGAAAGATTTTTAAAACTGTCATTTATTTTTACCTGTTTGCCACCAAGTGTCCACAAGAGAACAGCGTCCCTCTCCTACCACATTGTAGAACCACTGCCAAGCTTCATGGTTTATGGGTTCTCCCACTAAAATCCAAAATAGTAAAAGGAAGAATTGCAAGTTCTGCCAAAAGTATTTTATATTTGGTAACTGATCAACAATCATATTAAGAATGACTGAAGGAACTGGATATGTTTAGCAAAAAGAAGAACTGGTAGAGAAACATGCTAAAAATGTTCCGAATTGGTTGTCCTTTCTACTAAAAATAGGACATAAAGCAACAGGATGAAATTAAAAAGAAGATGCATTTTTGTAAACCTTTAAGTTACAAACGTGAATTAAAAATCATAAAACTTTGGAAGCTTTGAAAATGAAATGTGTGTATTTGCATCTACTGCAGATACTATAAAGAGTAAGGGGGCTGGGTGTCATGAACCAAATTTCCTAGGTTGTTTCTCCACAGCCACAAGCACTTGGGTGCACAAGACCAAGAATGGCAACAATCAAAAATGTTTTTCAGATATTTGCAAAAGAGGCAGCTCACATCATCTTGTCAGTTAGATTACTACTGGTGAGGTATGAGAGTGGCCAGCCCTTGCAAATACAGCAGCCTATGAATTTGTGCTTTGCCTGATTAATAAAGTATAATTTATTGGCTGGTGCACCCAGTGCTCAAATTGGAGCTTCTACAGCACTCTTGCCATACCATTCCAAGGTTAGTCCACTCACAGCTCCAATGCGAGTGTGACACAGGACTAAACTGGCTATGTAAGTAGTCTTCTTCCTTATCATCTCCAGGATCCATCTTTAATCCCAAATGTTGAGATGCGTCCCAACTTCAATCACCGATTGCATATTTCTACATTTTCTCTAAGCTGCGAACAGGGACAGCAAAGCTTCCTGCAATTTTAATAGTTGCAGAGATTCAAGGATGTTTCAGCTTGTCATGCCAGAGTGAGAAAAGCTTTACCTACTGAAAGCATCTCTAACCACTCAATTATTGGACTCTTGGGTGCTAGAAGTACCTTTGGCAGGTAAATTAGAAATAATTAGTGGGGCAAAAGTCCTTGTGTTCCTTTTCCATCTGGTTATTATTTATCTCTCCCCTTTTTTTAGAAGATAAAGCTCCCACTGGTGCAATCCAGCTACTGTAAGGTCAGAGTGTGATCCACATATGGATCCTGACCTCCCAGTTGAAGAGTAATATGACATTTTCCACTGTCAACAAAATTTGCACTGTACTCTTCATACTCTCAGATATTTCTAAGATTTAACTCATAAATCTCTGACAAAATAAGAAGCTTCTCTCTCTCAAAATTATTACAGGACTGGGAAAATCTGCTTCCATAGAAATCAGCAGTACTGACTTCAAACGGAACAAAGCCTTAAATTGTGCATTCTCACCTGATCCAAGTGTAGTTAGGGAAGATGTGTCATACTTCTTTACATATTCATCTCCATACTTCAGCAGCAGTCGCAATGCAGTGGGAGCACAATAAAATTGATTAATTTTTAACCTTTGAACAGTTTCCCAGTAACGACCTGCAAAATTCCAAATGGTCATGTTAAATTTTTCTGTGAACTCCATAAGCACCACATGCTCAGAATAATTCGAGTACAATGAAAACACACACATTGTAATATGGGCACAAAGCACCTACTTTTTAAAGACTTTAAAAATATTTTTATAGATTCTCTGCCTGTCACACTAGCCCATCATTGTGCTTTGTGTTGTTGAGCTGATACCACTATTAGTATACCCCACCCAAAACACTTTGTACAGGCTTATGTTTAAGGCTGGAGCAGTAAGTCCACTGATCTATACTAAAATCAACACCTACCTTTTAAATCGAGCCAAAACAGATCATTTGAGATACCATTTGTACTCCTTAAACACATAGCAAAATCGTGACAGGCAGGTGAATGTGGACAGTCTCTTCTTAACAATTAAGACCAAACCTTATCATATATCCATTGGTCTGCAGTCCTTATGCTACAGATTCACCAAATATATGTGATGGAAGGTTGGCAGCTGCTACATCACCTCTGAAAATTTTCATTTCTAATATCTTAATACAAGTACATCAGTAGAAGGTTACTAAGATATATAAATCAATATAAATTAATTTTACTTCTGACACTCCCTCCCTATCAGGCTCCAGGTTCTCACCCAGGGTCCAAACAAACTTTCAGCTCACCCACAAAAGTCTCACAGCAAGAAGAATGCCTAGAAACGGCAGACATCACCCTAGTCTCTCACTCTAGACCTGCTTTTTATGGCCAGGCCCAAGGTGGATGGTGCTTCCTCAAGCTGCCACAGCTGTGTCCCATTCAGCGGTATTCTCTACACCCAGTTCCAGGTACAGCAGGTTTGTACCTGCTCTATGTTGCTATGATGCTCAGTTTCAGATTATGTGTGAACCAACACTCCTGGTTTCTTTTTTTCAAATCACTAACAGCAAGACATCTCCACCTGTGGTTTGTTTGGAGAGAAACCAACCACAAGTGCCAAGTCACACGTAATGCCAAGCCGTACTTTATGGTATGTTTCTCCCAGAGGCATGCAGGGTGGAGCAAAGTGGGGGCAACTGAGCAGCATGGTTGTGCATTGTTCTTGTATGGTAATCTGTGGTTTACCATCATGTGCATACCAAGCAGTGTCTATACTGTAGCTCTCTGGGGATTATCGACAGGTATCTTTTCCCAGCCCTATACGGAGATGCCAGAGTTTGAAACTGGGAGTTGTTACATGAACAGCCCTTCTCTGTGCCCAGGAGTTAAACTTTTAAGTTTTTACTTAAGGCACCTGGATTAGGATAGACTGGAGTGCTTTCAAACAGAACTGTGGTGCTTCCATTGCAGAGTGGTCCATACACAACATAGCTGTGTCCCGTGATCCAACCAATATCAGCCATACAACCAAAAATGTCATCTTGCTTGTAGTCAAACACATGCTACAAAGATGAACAGTAAAGCAGGTTAGAGTTTACATGTTTATTTATTAATTAATCTCTCCATCATTCTTTAGCAGAATGGTACACTTCATGTGGTGAAACAGGTGTACAGCCACAGATTTCAGGCACTTTGCTCTTCACATTCATGGTTTCATGTGATGGCCGAGGGCAGATCCACACCATACACACATGCCTCCCCACAAGGAATCACGGGAACTGCATTTTGTTAAGGGTGCTGGGAACTGTAGCTTTGCGAGAGGAGAGCTACAGTTCCCAGAATTCTTTGGGGAAATGTCATTTATTTTGCTCCATCAAACCATTATCAGCAAGTCAAGAATAAACATTGCTGGAAGTGAAACAAACCATGATTCCCAATTCATATGTAAGACAGAGATCATGGGATGATTTGTCCCAGTGTGAGCAGGGAGGAGCAAAATGACCAAGGTAAGCACATTCATAGCAGAAAAAGGAGGGCATTGACTACTAACTAGGAAGTTGCTTTTAGGGAAACTCTAAGCCAGGCATCGGCAAACTTCAGCCCTCCAATGTTTGGAACTACAATTCCCATCATCCCCGACCACTGGTCCTGTTAGCTAGAGATGATGGGAATTGTAGTCCCAAACATCAGGAGGGCCGGAGTTTGCCTATGCCTGCTCTAAGCACTGTTCTTAAGCCCTTTTCAGCAGAACATGAATACCTCTTCATTCACCCAGGCTTTTTAATTGATGTAGTCTGCGCCTCTCAGTTTTAGCGTTTTGTTGGAGTGCAATGAGTTTTGATTTCTGTTGTGTTTATGTAGCTTTTCATTTTGTATGTTATTTTGTTTATTGCCTGTTTTTACTCATTTATTGTTAAGCCACCCAAAGAAATCTATTTTATGTAGCAGAATACAAATGCTGTAAATAAGTGAATGAAATATCTGGGAAGTGACCTTGCCCAATAGAATGTATAACCAGAATTATGGAGGGAATAAAGTACTTTTCAATACTGAAGCTGAATAAATTATTTAGACATTTAGGGCTAAAGTGTCAGCTTTTGGTGTGCATATAACTTAAGTCTAGCAGAAGGAATCAGAGAAATTTTTACCAGGCACCATTTCCAAAAATCATCAGTACATCTCCCCACCCCCAAACAAATTTATTTTTACTATCTGTTCTCCACAATTACTACAGATATAGTAAAACAACAAGTGTTATTTTCCAAGGGATATGATTTCTGATGTACCTTGTGCGTTAAGGCAGCATAAAGGAGATAGCCAGCTTGGGTGTGAACAATCCCTTTAGGTTTTCCTGTGCTCCCTGAGGTATAAAGCATAAAGAGCATATCTTCACTGTCCATTATTTCAGGGGAACAAACTGGCACCTCCTTAGCCATCTCCTAAATAAGGAAAAGAAAGAGGAAGTATAAGAAATATCATCATCATCATCATCATCATACCCCACCCATCTGGCTGGGTGGCTTACAGCACATATTAAAACATAAAAACATCCCCAAAAAAGGGCCATTTCATAAAAACTGAAGCAATGTTCTGGATTCATAGAGTTGTGGTTTTGTTTATTTAAATGCTTTCATGTTTCTGTGCAGAAACAGTGGCCCAAAGTCTATTGTGCTGCACTCTACTGACAGCTGCCATCTCCAGTAAACTCCAGGCACACCTGGGGTATGGATAAAGTATTGTCCAAAGGCTGTGTACCAGCTAATTAGCTATTGGGTAACTCAGCCAGGAGCCACAAGTCCATTGCACTGTTTTTCACTGAGAGCTATTGCAACTGTTACACCATACATCCTCTTTTGTTTCAGTTATCTTGGAAGAAGCAAGAACTTGGAGAAACAGTGGAAGTTCTTTGCTGCTGTTTTGAGGGCAGTTTTGACCTGAATGAGAGTGAATCAGCTGAAGTTTAATCCAGATAGGACAGGTACTGCTAAATGGGAGATCTGCTGATCTGGATGTACGTGCGCAACTTGTACTGATAGGGTTGCACGTCTCCTGAAACAGTAAGTTTGCTGGTTGAGAGTTCTCTTGGATGCTCAGGTGCAGGCACTGACCAGGAACACCTTACCGTCTTCATTTAGTAAGTCAGCTGTGTCCTTACCAGGTGAAATCAGACCTGACCTCTGTTATACATACCTTTGTCACTGCCTGGTTGGATACCTACAATGTGCTCTACACAGGGCTGTCCATGAAGACAGTTCAGGAACAGTTGGTTCAAAATGGAGCCACTAGGTCTTTTGCTAAGACCAGGAGATTTATACATATTGCTCAATCCTTGACCAACTTTCCTCATTTGAAATCCGTTCAGACTCAACTGTGGTTGCTGCCATTGGTCTTTGAAACATCTTGGGACAATGATTATCTACAGAACCACATCCTCCTGGATGAACCTGCTCAAGAATAGAGTTTTTGGAGAGGCTCCTCCATGCTCCCACTTGCCATCTGAGGTGCAGAGGTGGCACAAAAAGAGCACCTTTTCAGTTGTGGTCCCCCCACCCAAGGGAGTAGATACTCCATCACTCCCCACCTTTTGATGACTGTTTTATTCCAACATGTTTTTAATTAATACACCTCTTTCATAATATTTTACATTGCTACTATCTATCTATCTATCTATCTATCTATTTATTTATTTATTATTTTGCTTCCAATTTTTCATGATCCAAGATTGAACACAGACTCACCTAAGTCTTCCTGCTACACAGTTTAAAAAATCATTTTGGGAGAATATGAACACCTTGTCTTAAAAGTAATACTGAAGTAAAAGATTTCTTAATCCAAAAATGTGTCTAATTTTCAAAAACAAACACACAGCTTCAGAAAATAATGGGGATGGGGGGAAAGATGGGTTCCCCCCCAAATTTCCCCAGTTTTTCTGGACTCTCATCTCTAGATATGAAGCTGCAATCCAAGGATGCACTAACTTAACAATTCCAAGTTTCAGCCTGGCCTTTGATTCATTATAAAACTAGGCTCATCAACATTAATTTGTTCTAGACAAAACACCAGCATATAACCTGCTGTGATAAAATATTATTGCACCCTATAGAAATACCTGATTTAAAAGAAGTACCATGAACATCATGAACATACTTCTTCAAGGAGAATATCACGACTGCCCATGTGGATTTTGTTGGTAGTTCTCTGGGTCACAAAGACACACTTGACACTTGGACAATTCTTTACAGCTTCATCCACAGTCTTCTTCAGTTCTATGACTCGTCCGCCCCTGACTCCCTGGTTAGAGGTGATGACTGCTTTGCATTCAGCTAACAAGAAAAATCATTTGTGGACTTAGCAGTTTGTTTTCCTCCATTATTGTTCTGAGTAATATTGTAACCAAGACATTATATACTGTATAGTATAGCAGAACAGTAACTCATACACAGTTTCCAGAGGGGTAGCTGTGTTTTCTGTTGCAGCAGAAACAAAAGGTCTTGTAGCAAAACTAGAAACAGACTCTTGTCCACAAAAGATTACACCCCCTGATAAATTTGTTAGTTTGTAAGAAGCTTCAAGACTCTATAGTTAAGCAGAGGCTTAACTCTTATCATAGTGCTGTGATGCTTAGTCCGCAGATAACAAATCTCTGCATCTGATATCATATAACTGGCTGGTGGGTGTAATGAGGCCCATTGGCCAATGTTCCTCACAACATACTACAAAGGGCTCTAATGTACACACATGAATTTTGTGCATACAGAGGCTAACACATTCTTTTCAATGATGGGGAATATTAGTCATGCATAATGGGAATGCCTGTTGTGTGTGAAGAGAACTGCCCTGCAATATGAGGAAAAAGTCATACTGTACTATGAATGTTTATCAGCTACCCCTTCCCAGCATCTGAAAACTACTCACAGTCATTGATCCTCCCTGCCAATGAATCTGCACTGAATCCAGCAAAGACAACGGTATGAACAGCACCAATTCTGGCACAAGCCAACATGGCAGCCACTGCCATTGGGGACACAGGCATATAAATAGCAACTCGGTCCCCTTTTTTTATTCCATTCTTCTTTAATGTATTAGCAAGGCGGCAAGTCATATCCAGAAGCTCCCTGCAACACAGGAAAGAACCATGTCATTTCTGTATGCTCCAGTTTGTTAAATATGTATTTCTATAGCATAAGGCTAGTATAAAGCAATGCCAATCCCAGTAATTTGAGTTTTTAAGAAAATTTTGAATTGGAAGATATCCCAGGAAAAGCCCCTGTGCCAATTAGGTTTTTTTTTATGTCCTAAACCAGGGGTTTTTTTATGTCCTAGTGGATGATCCAGTTTAGTATTTTTACTTTACTTCTATATTGTACAGTTAAAAATTTGAAACTGCCATGTTTGCCTAATATTGAACAGTACATGCAATTGGTACCCACTCATTGTTAGTAGTGAACTTATGAAATGGGGGGAAATGATTTGGAAATTATTCACTGGCCAGTCTAAAGATCTAGAACAGATAATTATTATTCCACCAAAGTCCCCATCTATGCAAGATTTAGTTATTTACTATGTATTAATTACCTGCCATTAAGACAGAATGAAGTATGTCATATAATGAAATATATGCACTGTTTTAACAGCTGAGAGCAACCATTTTAATACATGATCTAAAGTTCAGAGAAGTTGTTATCTGAATTATACCAAAAAATGGTATAACAATCCTTAGCTTTGTCTCTTGCTGGTCTTTTGGATAACAACATTTGCTGAACCATAGAAATCAATAGTGCTTTTGAAATATTGACATAATGAGGAATACTTGGCCTTCATCAACATTCTTAGCATTCAAGAGACACTTACAGTGTTCAAATATAAAAAAGAATGCTTTGTAGGAAGCTTGCCTCCTTGCTCAGCCTTAAAAACTGTAATTTGTTTCATATGCATTTGATTGTGTAATTACTTCTTACCAACTAACGACCCAACCTGAAATCAACAAATCTATGAATAAGGCTATTTTTAAAAAAGTTGTTTTTACTCTTAGAATAGAGTCTAAAAATAATTAAATGGAGACTGATATACAGTTCGTATCTTTTCCAAGGCTACCTACAAGTTTTATGGCTAAACAAAAATGAGAAACTCGGATATCTGCCAAACCATAGCTGTCTTAGTAGACAACCATTCCATCTCACACTATCCAAATAATTCAGATATGTTTCAAGAATATGGTATCAAAGTCCTGCACAGGATCAGAACATTTCAGAAGGGACTATAAGGACAGAACTACACATTGTGAAGTAAATTCAAGATTTCCAAGCTGAGGTTTGTCTCCTATTACTAACAAAGGGACCAGAAGACATTTACAAGTGAGAATTGACAGGTGGAGTTTAATCCTGCTCATATCCATGGATGAGTCTGGTGAAGGCTGGTCCACTAGGTCAAATGGGACACTGCTCCACCAACCTCAGCCGGCTCCACCTACCTGCTTTCAGTCTTGAGGGTGGCACTGGTTGTCAGTGCCTCCTCTCAGTCTCAGCATTGCCCTCGTGCAGCTCTCTGCCTTCTGCTCTACCAGTCCCTGTAGGGACGAGCCACCGCTGGATTATCCCCTGCAAACGCCCTTGGCTATTTTTCCTCCCAGTAGTGCTCTGTAACCAGATGAAGCACAGCAGGAAGAAACAGCCAGGAGAAATTTGCAGAATGATAAGAGCTGCAATCCAGCAACATCTGGAGGGCCACAAACTCCTCCCTCCCTGTATTGTGCTCAGAAAGAAAGCCAGCCAGCAACAAAAGCTAGAACTGTTTTCATTCCTATTAATGTATCTATATTGTTGTATAATATTTTCCATTCCTCCACTCAAGAAGTAGGCTGCAACGCTATCCAGGCATTCGCAATTCGACACCTCTAAAAAAAGGCGACAGCCTCTTGTGCTGACAGTTCCTATACAGTTATCAATATGCCAATGCTTCCATGCCTTCTTCTGAGATAAAGCAAATATTTTCATGGAAATATATTACATTTATCTATCCACTGGTAGCTGTAAATGGATCAGTTTTATGACTGTATATTTTGCAAATATGCATCAAGATCACACTGTGTATTTTGCAAATATGCATCAGGATCATGCTGAAAAAATCCAGAGCAAAACCTTAACTGATTATCACCAGTTCATTGTCACTGTATTATATATTTTCTGAATACATGTAGCTACAAGTCATAAAATAATAACAACACTAATTTTATTATTATTATCGTTGTTGTTGTTACTACTACTACCACTACTACAGTATTATTATTATTATTACCCCACCCATCTGGGTGGCTTACAACACATATGATACCACAAAAAACACCAACCATTAAAAACTTCCCTATAGAGGGCTGCCTTCAGATGTCTTCTAAAGGTTGTGTAGTTGTTCATCTCTTTGACATCTGATGGGAGGGCATTCCACAGGGAGGGAAGCAAAGTGCCAAAACTTTTGAATGAGTGGCAAACAGCTTTTGACCTGCTTAAAAAAAAACTAGGGATATGAGAAACTCCCAATGAAAATATTTGCTTTATCTCCCAAGTTAAGGCCCAAGCTGAAAATGGCCTATCCTCCTAACACCATCTCAGTGTTTCCCAGACACTCCAAGTAGGAGGTACACATTATTTACTTTCAGATATGGAAGTATGTATGTATTCCACAAGTGCTCATGCCCAGCTTAGGTTGTTTCACCAGCTATGGTTCCTTCCTGGACTGGGATAGCCTGGCCTCAGTTGTCCTCTTGCTTAGACTACTGTAATGTGCTCTACATAGGGCTGCCCTTGAAGACAGTCCAGAGGCTACAGCTAGTGAAGAATGCAACTGCTGCATTGATAAGGGGTAGCTTGAAGGGACCATGTGATACTGGTGCTGCAATATAAAACCTTTAATGGCTTGGGTTCCAAGGACCCAAAAAAGCGCCTTCTCCAGCTCAGACCCTATCATCAGAAGGTGAGGCCTTGCTGATAGTGCCACTGCTGGGAGCTGCCCAGTTGGTTCGGCTGACTCATGACGGGGCCCTTTCAATGGTACTTTGCCTGTTGTGGAAAGCCCTCCCTAGCGAGGGGCACCTGTCTCTATCATTATTAATTTGCAGGAGAAATTTGAAAACATTCCTGTTTACCCAAGCATTTGGTGGCTGAAGAATACTGCTCCTGGCAACCTTAAGATCATTAACTGTCACTGTAAGTGCTTTTAAATGTTTTCAGTTGTAGCTGCCTTTAGAATGTTGACTGTTATAGAATGTTTTTTCCTCTGTTTGTTTTTAAATTGTGTATCTGTTTGCCATTCTGGTCTGCTTTGGGAGGAAGGGCAGGACGTAAATACAATAAATAATATGTGGATTTAACACAGGCTATAATAATAATCCCAGCTAAAATCTCCAGACCAGGGGTCATCAAACCTTTTCAGCAGGGGGCTGGTCCACTGTCCCTCAGACCTTGTGGGGGGCCAGACTATATTTTGGGGGGAAACCAAATGAATTCCTATGCCCCACAAATTTTAAATAAAAGCACACATTCTACTCATGTAAAAACACCAGGCAGGCCGCACAAATAACCCAGAGATGCATTTTAAATAAAAGGACACATTCTACTCATGTAAAAACATGCTGATTCCCAGACAGTCTGGGGGCTGGATTTAGAAGGCGATTGGGCCAGATCCGGCTGCCGGGCTTTTGTTTGCCTACCCATGGTCCATACTATTTACTGATAAAGTACTCATGCCTCTTGACAACACACATATTTTTATTTTACGGGTCACCTACTTTCTGTGTGATACCTACATCTATCTATTTAAAGCAACAGCTGTGCATGGACAAAACTCCTTAGAGCAGTCAATACATTTTTATAGCAGCTTGGTTAATTAGCTGATAAGTCTACCAACAGCTTGCTATTATTAACAGATATCAGAACAGCTTGAAAGGAATCACTGTGTTTGCAGACCTTGTCCCTACTGAGACAACCAAAGACCAGAGGATTGTCACAGCTCAGTTTCTTCAAACTCTTACTTGAAGGCAAACCTAACAAAATACCTAAAGGAACATACTGGTGTTTAAAATAGCCAATGAGCCTTATGCACAATTTGGGGGAGGGGAACCATGTCAGGATCAAGAATGCAACACATGGGGCTATCCGTTCCTCTTCCAGCCCCATGCTGTGGTATCAATGAAAACAACCCGAAGGCTTGCGGATAGCTGCCTGAAGCCTGGAGAGCAAGAGGGGTCGGTGCCAACTCCCGCTGCGCTCCCCGGGCTTCAGGCAGCTATCCGCAAGCCTTAGGAGTGCGTCCCCAGCCCTGCAAGCTCCGGGAGCGGTGGCAAGGCTGCATGCAACCTTGCCACTGCTCCCGGACCTGTTCTGGGGGCTGGGGTCAGGGGAAGCTTGGGCTTCCCCCGCCCCAGCCCCACGGCTAAAAATGAAGCCAAGACAGCGAGCAGCATCCATCCCGCTCGCTGTCTTGGCTTCTGCAAAAGCTGAGTGCAGCCTCTCCCAGCTGGAGAGGTTGCACGCGGCTAAAGAGGAAGTCAAGACAAGCAGCGGGATGGATCCCGCTCGCTGTCTTGGCTTCTTTGCTCCTTGGGGCTGGGGGGGATATTTTTTTTCTTTATTCCCCCCCCCTAAAAACTAGGTGCGCCCTATGGTCCGGTGCGCCCTATGGAGCGAAAAATACGGTACATTAAATGTGATCAGACATTGAATGCAATGAATGGTTTGGCTAAGAGTTCCAATGTATTTAATTTCATAAATAAAACTAAATATGCTATTCATACGAATCTCAGACTAGAGTGGATATGACTCCATCATATTGAATATGAAACTAAATATTTGAGTATATTGTTAGAAGTTTGTGGGTGCCTTGATTCCCCTAAATTTATTGGTGTCAGATGCTCCCCTAAATTCCTGGGTCTAGTGGGTATTGGAGTTTAATCAAGGCTTGGAGTATTAAAATGGGCTGCCAGATGCTGGTTTTAGCCAAACAGGCCAAATTAGTTTCCCATACAGGCAATCACCTGGGAGAAGAGCCAGTCTGGAAAACAAAGATCAAGGTGATGAGCCATTAAGAAGACAAGGTCTGTGCCAGCCAGTCTCCCTTTCCTACCTCCTTTTTTCAACTATCCCTTGAACACAGACAACCCCGCCCTTACCGTTTTCATGCCTCATTCTCCCCCCTGTTCTGCAGCCCCCTCTGTGCGCACACCCCATGATAGTATATGTTGCTGTAGCTTTAAATTGAGTAGAATCTTAACAGCAAGTCAGTCAGTTAGCTTGTTCAGTTAGAGAAGGTTAACTTCAGCTTATGGATGTTGTGTGCATGTGAGTGCTTGCTTGGTAATAACATATATTTTCTAAATTATTACTTTGCATCTGGAACATCATGTTGAAGATAGCAAATGGTTCCAGGAGTGAAATACACTGTGTTAAGGTACAATCTCTGCTGTTGTTTACAACCACAATTTCCCTCCCATGACCAATTTACCCCTGCCACTGTTTAGAAGAGCCACTCATTTCCTTTCAGTATCCCCCCTTCTTGCTGTCCTGAAACTTCTTCCTCTTCCATTCCCTTGCTGTCTCATGTGAGACAGATAAAGAATGCACAGCTCTGAAATAATTCATAGCACTTCACTCATACTTCTGCCATTGTTCCAAACCACCACTCTCCCCTGTCAGTGTCACCCCCATGCCAAGGCCACCGCTGTTGTGCAACCAGCTTTCACTTTTGCTCCTCTACCCTAACTTGGTTTCTTGGCAATCCAGGATTGTGATGAGGCACTACAAATCCTCCAAGGTGGGTTGCACAGAGATATTCTTACATTTTTCTTACATGTTCATTTGCAGAAAGACCTCACATCCATGTGGACTGGTTCCTTTTTCTTACACTAGCTTCAGTTTGATTGCAAACTATATTTCCTCTTCTGACACACCTAGCTTCTTACTGTACATGTGTTGAAATAGCATTGTCAGGCAAATTTTTGTTACATTTCTATGTGTAACTATGTTTAGATGTAACTGTACTTTTGTAATATTTTGTAATAGATTAATTCATCCGTTGTTTTTTTGTAGACATATTTTTAATATATTAAGTGGTTCAGAAATTATTTAATCATAATAATGAAATTTTGTTTTATTAAATACCTGTTAATGACAACTGAGCAGTTATGAATATTCTTTAGGCTACATTGCCACATGGTTTCCAGTAGCCCCTTTCTGACTGGCTGCTCAGCTACCGCCAAATGTCCCATCAATCTACTGCTGGGTTCTAACCCACTATTTGAATCATAGAATCATAGAGTTGGAAGAGACCACAAGGGCCATCGAGTCCAACCCCCTGCCAAGCAGGAAACACCATCAGAGCACTCCTGACATATGGTTGTCAAGCCTCTGCTTAAAGACCTCCAAAGAAGGAGACTCCACCACACTCCTTGGCAGCAAATTCCACTGTTGAACAGCTCTTACTGTCAGGAAGTTCTTCCTAATGTTTAGGTGGAATCTTCTTTCTTGTAGTTTGGATCCATTGCTCCGTGTCCGCTTCTCTGGAGCAGCAGAAAAATTGGGAACCGCTCTGCTAAAAAAACACTGGTTGTCTTTGCCATCTTGTTCACCACTACTCCTGGACTGATTCCTCTTCTTTAGGCTGGCCATCATCAAAGAATGGAAAAGATTTTGTACAAAAGCTCATCTTGAAGTAGGCAGTAAGCACGCCCCAACTGCAATATAAGACACATTCTGAAGTCATACCTGTAGGTGACTTTCTCCTCAGTGCCAGGCTCGTCTTTTTCCCAGATCAAAGCCACTCTCTCTGGAGAATGTTGTGCATATCGGTCCAAGCAGTTAACTGCACAGAAACAAATTATAAAAAAGCAACATTTACAGTAGATTCTAAAGTGTCAGATTTGATAATCAACTTGTGCTGTTAATATTTTTAAAAGATAATGAACAAATATAATTTATTTAAAAAGCCTCTGATCATGCAAATCTACAATAATGTCCCAATGAAATAGTCAAGAGCATCAAAGTACAGTATTCAGAATCATTAAAATAAATGAAATTGCACTGTATATCAGTTTAGTTCATAAACATACGCTACAGTCAAGCATCTACAAGAATTCTGAGGCAGTAAATGTAAGGATGTCATTAGATATGGTTGCCATATACAGTGGTACCTCGGGTTAAGTACTTAATTCGTTCCAGAGGTCCGTAGTTAACCTGAAACTGTTCTTAACCTGAAGCACCACTTTAGCTAATGGGGCCTCCTGCTGCCGCCGCACCGCCAGAGCCAGATTTCTGTTCTTATCCTGAAGCAAAGTTCTTAACCTGAAGCACTATTTCTGGCTTAGTGGAGTATGTAACCTGAAGCGTATGTAACCTGAAGCATATGTAACCCGAGGTACCACTGTACAGTTGTTGAAACTTTGACAGTATGATTCTGTTTATAACACAAGATGGCCACAACTGACTAACTCCCTTCATGGGTTGTTGATGATCTTTGTAGTTTAGACCACCTACAGTCTAAAACCAGGCAAACAAGAGCTATGTGATTGGTATGTAAGCCAGGAATATATGCATAATATTTATTTATCTATCTATTTATATTTATTGAAAAATATAGCCTCTAACTAAGGCCTGCATAAATATTACAATTATGTGGAGGGATTGGAATGTGTATAACATACTGAAAGGAGTCCTGCCTCCTAAGCACAGGATGACTGATACACACAATTCTCCCTCAGCTTTGAGTTTACCAGGCCCTCTTTCCAGCGCTTAAAGGCCTTTTAAAATCAAAGTTGAAGTTTGGCCATAAGATTTTGCTGTAGACAGCTGTTGTGTAATTACTGTATGTTTCACCCTTCTAAAAATGCATATGTTTTGTAATTATAAGCTCATGTTTTGGAAACCTAATACTGTAGTGTTGTGCTCTTCAGCCAATCCCTTCAATGCCCTTGTTGGTGTCCTTTTCTTCTAATTGACCCTAAGGGAGTCCTCTATTTACAAATACTGTAATCAACAATCAAGGACAGTTCTTCACTGTACAAAGCTTAGAGAAACTTTACTGGGAAAATTATTCAGTAAAATACTTAATTTCACTGTATGTTCCCCACCCCCATGCCTGAGACCAACTATAACATCCTTGAAAATTAAGGCTTCTTCAATAAACAAAAGCAGCACTAGAGTCCTTTAATTATTCCAGCCACGTTCAAGTACCTTTTCAACTCTTATGTGTATGGCAATGGTAGCTTAACTAGGTCATTTAACTCTTCTCTTCCTTAATATTTAACATTTAAATGGTTTTCATGACCTTGATTATTTCTATACACTGGTGACTTGATTGCTTTTTAGCTAAATTCTACTTATTTTTAAATATTTTTATATTCCACCTTATAATCATTTTTTTCTTTTTACCCTTTTATTACAATGCAATTTGCTATCCTCTTCTATGAAACATGTATGACAAGATACATTCCCCCCATTAAACATTAACACATCAACTCTAAACCAATTTAAGCAAGTTATTCTCATCTTCTAAGTAAGAATGCATACAACAGTGATATGAAGATAAGAAGAGAAAGTGATAAGTAGAGCAAATGGAGTCAAAATATAATTAACAAAAGTGTGCATAATATAGAAAGCTCCATTAAAATAAATGAAAGTTGGCAGCTCTTCCTGTTGAATTTTGAACAATGTCACATGTAAACTACAAAGAATTGGACCAAATGCTAGTCAATGATCAAATTGAAATGGATTCTAAAGCAGTTTCTTTCAGCATAATAAGCCATCTGTGAGTAACTTTAACACCCTCACCTTGTAGAATATTAACTTGTAAAAAGAAGCAGCTGAAGAAAATGTGGCATTTCTGGAAAATGTCATCTGTGACTTTACTGTAGATTTCTCCAGCATGTCAACTGCAATGATGAAACCTGATCACTGTGGTAATTGTTGAAAATAGGTAATGGTTGAAAATAGAAACTCACATCCAGAAAGTGTTAAAGAACTGATGTGCCTAGGTTTAAATCCCATGAGTTTTATGAAGCTGTGTTGCACTTTGAATGAGAACAATTGGAATAATGAAGGATGCAATCCTAAGCACTGTGACTAGAGAGTTAAGGCCTACTGAACTCTGTGGAACTTAATTCTGAGTAAACATGGTTAACAGAGCAGCTGTTAGAGAAACAGCTGTATCTTTTTTATTAACTGAAATGAACTGTAAGTGTAAATGAGTGCAACTGTATTTAAATTAACAGAGAGGAAGTGGGGAGAAAGATCCTAACATAACCTCTACTGTAATTGTTTCTAAAGAAAGCAAGCTTTTTTTATATGGAGAACAATCATGGGTGTAGCCAAGGGGGGCCAGTTGCCCCCCCATCAAGTAATATCCTTAACTGACCAATCATGTCAGTCCTCCCTTCCCCCCCCCAAAAAAAAACCTGGCTACACCCATGAGAACATTAATCATGCCACTTCCCACAACCACCCCACAGGTGGAACTGACTCTGACTGGCAATGGCTTTCCAGGATTTCAGGCAGGGAACATTCCCAACAGATGCTTGAACCTGGGACCTTCTGCATGCAAAGATGATGCTCTACTACTGAGCTACAGCCCTTCCCCTATAAAGTAGTACTGTTCCAGGATTACTGTAGCCTGAGCTTTTGCTGAAAGTGTATCATCTCATGTGCCTCATTTGCTAAGGTTAGCACACAACTTTAGTGGGGGTGGTGATAGCCACTGTTTATGCAATCACAGCTAGCGGCAAACAGCCATGGGGACACCAGTTCCTATAAGAGGGATTCAGAGCCACTTACTTTATAATGAACCACTGTGGATTTAAAATCTTATTACCTTGTTATTGCTAGTTAAAACAGTGATTACAATTAGAACCCTATTGATTGCACACAAATTCATTTGGCAATGAGGGATCAGCACTCTGCATAGCACATGTTGAGAGGCACTTTCACCTATTCTTTAGTATTACTTAACACAACAAAAATTAAGATCCTGGTATTATAAACAACTTTACAGGAGAAAAGCAGCTATTAAAAAAGCATTTTTGGAATGCTAAAGCCAAAATGTTCAGTTCTCATCTACCAAAGCTGCACTAACACATACTTTATGACTTTGACAGCAGAATCAGTTGCCTCTAGGAAATTCACAAGCAAGGCACAAATGCAATAGCCCTCTCTCATTGTTGGTCCCCAACATTGTACAGTAAGAACCTCAAATAGCTTCATCTTTCACTATTTTTCCTTAATTTTTCAATATGTAATTGAATATGCTCGAAGTCTACAGTCACAGATTCATTATGTTTAGCATTAAACTTATAATTCTACTTTGAATAATCTTTGCCAAAGGAGAAAAAAGAAAATTACCAAGACAAATAGACAGGGAAAACCTTCGGTATATTCAGCTTCTTTCAAAGCAGGGCATGTGGGAGTAATAGTCTGTTCCAAATAAAAAATAAGGCAGGGACTGAGGGTGCATGGCTTGTCCATCCCATTAAAGTAACAGAATCAATGTTAAAGCTCATGGAACTGTTTTTCTATTGGTTAATCTTCATTTTTGTTATTTATACTTCTGTAATTGCTGAAATATATGATAAACCATTATGACATGACAAAAAGGAAAAGGGATGCAGGAGCAAAAAAAAAAAATTCAGTCTCATGCTAAGTACATAATATTTGGAGAGGTTGTAGGTCATTTTTTCAATTGTCAACTGTGGTCAAGTTAGATTTTTATTTAAAAAAAAAATTGTCACAAAGCATTTTAGTATTACAGACCCTGCAGAAAACCAATAATAAAGAGAAATCACATCCTCATCTGCTAGCAGTTTCATTTACTATCCAAGTTTTAAAAGCAGGAGGTGTGGGAACAAATTGTGCTTTTACCACAAAGCCAAGTTCAACTTCCACAGATGAAGCTTCCTAGCAACAAGCATTCCATGTACCAGAAAAATGTAGTGCCCATAGCAACTATTTAAGAGGAATTTGTGTTGAATTAAGTGGTTAGCACCATCACCAACTATAGCTCCTTGAGCTTTCCATGTTTCAGTATTGATACATTCACTCTTTCTGTAGAATCATGTAAAAGTACATGCTGTACAGTATATGTCTTACAAGGCCTTTATTTATACATGTCTTATTTTTAACAGCAGGATTTTCAAAAATCTAACAATAGGTTCTTTTGCAAGGAAAGCTTCTGGAAGCTGTTTCATTTACAGTGGTACCTCGCAAGACGAATGCCTCGGAAGACGAAAAACTCACAAGACGAAAGAGTTTTTCGTTTTTTGAGTTGCTTCGCAAGACGAATTTCCCTATGGGCTTGTTTCGCAAGACGAAAACGTCTTGCAAGTTTGTTTCCTTTTTCTTAAAACCGCTTGAAGAGGTGCAGTTGCGACTAGACCGTGCTTCGCAAGACGAAAATTTCGCAAGACGAAAAAACTCGCAGAACGAATTAATTTCGTCTTGCGAGGCACCACTGTACATTCTTATGGCATTGAATAGCTTTTTGATAGGACAACACCTTATTTTCTACTAGTCAAACTAAGCCCATCCTATATCTAGCTTGTTAATGCAACAGTTACAAAAGAATCAGCCCAAACTAGAAAAAATGGCCAATCTAGTTTTAAAACAGATGGTAGTTTCCAGAAGATCTGAGGTCAGCCAGGTGGTTAAAAGGTTGTGGAGCAGATGTGAAGAGTCTAAAACAATGAAGGAAGCAAGTGGTGGTTTGTATTTTTAACAACTCTGTGGAAAAACAGGACAGCAAATTAAAGGGCTTTGGTGTCTAGTTTTCTTTTTAGTGGAGCACAGTAACCCTTGATGGGGTCGGAATTATGGATCTAACATGTTAATACTGTTATTTATTTGTGCTTAACTGTTTGAATATAACTGCAAAGTCTAATGCATGAAATGTTTGTAGGCCAATGTGAAATGACATGCACTTTGCAGCCAACATCCAGGGACTATGCTCATTCTCAGGGTTAATCAATAGAAAAAGCTGCCACCTGAAATAATAATAAATCAATCAATATAATCATGAGGTAAACCTATATGGCAATCTCAAATGTTGAAAGACATGCTTTTAGTATATATCCAACCTGTGTGCATCATAATCACACACACACGGCAAGGGTACTCATTTTATTCTGCTTCCCACACTCTCAATATGGTACACAGCAAGCAACCAGGAGTATGCAAAATTGCCACCCAAAAGAGCTCTCAGAGAGCTTTAAGTAATTATGACTTTTAAGTTCTTTGGTAAAAAAATATATATACCTGCAAAAGTTCTTCGTAAGTTCTTTGGGACAGGGACCTGTTTTTTGTTCATATTACTTTGGAGGCAGCAATGTTTCCCACTACCAGTTGCTAGAAAACACAGGAGGGGAGAATGCTCTTGTGCTCATGTTCTGCTCCTTGGTTTCCCACAGGCATCTGGCTGGCCACTGTGAGAACAGGATGCTGGACTAGATGGGCAATTGGCCTGATCCAGCAGGCTAGTCTTCTGTTCTTATAATCTGCCTTTTATGTTGATATATGACTATACAGTATAAATAAGGTAGGCCCTGCAATGCTTGCTCAACCGCATTCCATGTGGTATTTCCAAGCACCAATGGAAATGTCCACTGGAGGTAAAATGCTTTTCCCCCCCCTCCCCGCAGCAAAGTATTTAAATGCTATTAATTTGTAAGATGAAAATGCTGCTTCCCTACCTCACAAAAACCACAGCAGCAAAAAAAATGTCATATGAGAATGATAAGCCACCTGTGACCTCAGACCCAATAAAATAAAAATAATGAGCAATTCACTTATTTGCATATTGCTTTCCCTCCCAGCATATCCTTAAGGAAGGCCACCTGCATCACACAAAACAAAGGTTGCTTCCATTATGTGAGCTGACAATTCTGAAAAAGCTTGTTTGTCTACTTTGAACTCTATTTCCTGTACTCTATTCACAGGGCCACATTGGCTTTCACAAATGCACAGCCGATGGTGGGGAGAAAATGTGTTTTAAATATGAAGATGCATTATCCTAAGAGCCACAGCTAATTTTTTTCCTTTTTTAGGTTGACTCTTCGAGGTCTTATTGCAAAACTCTTTCCTATCCTAGGCACCCTATGAACTGCAGATGCCAAAGATATTTGAATTCGGGGCATTCTGCACTGGAAAACTTGTGTAGTCTTACAACTCATGCGGGCTTCTTGAGCCCAGCTCCAGAAAGCCACACCTCAGGCCCGAAAACTTGTTTTTCGCAGCAGGGCCGATCGAAAAGGCCCGACCTGACACAATGCAGGTGCCTCTGAGCATCTGCAGAGCGCATTCGACCCCTTATTTTCTTTCTCTTCGCCGCATTAACAGCCACCTCATCACTTTGCAGGCGCCTGGCTTTCCATATCACTTGGGTGGTGACTTCCAGGCACTGAATTAGATAAGCTTTCGAAACCCGAAGGACTCGAGGAATGAGAAGACGGACCGAGGAGAGAGAGATATATAGCTATATATATATAAGATGTGTGCGCGCCAGGGGCAACTCCTCGCCCCTCCTGCCCAAGGAAGGCGCTCCTTACCCGCCACATTTAAGCGGCCGCCCAAGAACCAGCGGACGCGGCCCTGCGCGAAATCCCACTCGCAGTCGGTGTGGTGCGCGGCGTCCCACAGCAGCGCCTCCCGAGCCAGCGCCCCCCAGAAAGCCCCGGGCGCCTCGGCCGCCCTCCGGGACACCTCGCCATAGCTCCCCCTCAGGAAGGGGTCGCTCGCCTGAGAGAGGCAACGGCCGCCGCTGAGAAGGCGGCCGCACGAAGGCCGTCCCCAGGGGGCGCCCGGCCAGCTCCGGCTCCACCAGGGCAGCCTCCCTCGCCCGAGCCTGCTCAGGGCGCTCCGCAAGCGGCTCAGGGCAGCAGCCGCGGACGGTGTGGCTGCCATAAGGCCGCCGGCGAAGGTTTGGCAGGTGTGTAGCGGCGGGGGGTGCTGAAACCGGCTCGGCGCCGCCTCCGAGGGGGCGAAGGAGGGGAAGCGGCTTTCGAAATCGCTCGCCTGAGGCTCTGAGTTGGCCCAGCCAAGTTGGCCCTGCGCGCTTCCTCCTTCTCCTCCTCCTTCGCCTCACCACGCCTTTCCCGCCCTTTTCCCCTGCGTCTCATGAGGCGAAAGAGGAACTGAGCGCGAGCGCTCGGCCTCTTTAGCAGAGGGGAAACTTTAAAAAAGAAGTCTGTGGAACAACTGAAAAGTTCCTGAGTTTCGGAAACTGCCGGAGCGGGTAGCGGTTAAGCCGTTAGACCGTGAGGCGGGATTCGAAAAAAGTTCAAAAATCGGCACTCAGCCGCGGCCGAAGCGAAGGGCGACCCCATTTGGGCTGGTTCTCTCTCTCTCGCTCAGCCTCACCTGCACCACAGGTTTGTTGAGGAGGAAAAGCATATTCTCTGTAAACCGCACGTTTTGATTTGCAGCTTCTCCCACAGCCGAAAAGCAAAACGACTCTTGCGGATGATCTCTCTTAGGATTGAGATCTGAATTACTATTCGGAAACGCTAATTGCAAACGTTGGAAAGGTGGGTGTGTAAATAAATTTCGACTGGTGCGGTACCTTAAGGTTTGGCAAGGTGCTTTTTTTTCAAAGAGAAATTGCCACAAAGCTAGGCGTAAGTAACCCGGGGGCAAAAGATAAAATATGGAAAGTATTTTTTCCTCATGTGTGAAGTATAATGTTTGCCCTCCGACCCCCAACATACGCCAACTATGGACCTTTTGAACTATTTGCCTCATCTGGAAATCTTGTGGAGAAAGTGTGCCAGCGTGTCTTCATCTCAGCCAAAGCACTTGGCCAAAACCAAGTGATAGGTGGACAAAATATATTGTCATGCCTCTCTAGTAATGCATATACTGCCACCAAGCTTTGTACCCATTTCTCATCCAGATTATATTAGAAATAATTATTATGTTAGTGAGTTATGCTTATTTTTATTAAGCAGATAGGATTCCATGTCTATTCAGACTTAAATTACATCCACTTGCATTTTCTGCATATTAAATTAGTTTTTATTTAAAATCGGACTTAGTCCAATCCGCTGTTCATTAAGGAATTCCTGGTTAAAAAGGTAAAGGGACCCCTGACCATTAGGTCCAGTCGCGGACGACTCGCTTTATTGGCCGAGGGAGCCAGCTTCCGGGTCATGTGGCCAGCATGACAAAGCCGCTTCTGGCAAACCACACAAAAAGCCAAGAGCAGGGATGGGAAAGGGAACATGTAGCCCACCCAACATTATTTTACTACAACTCCCATGATCCCTGACCATTGCCTATGCTGACTAGAAATGATGGGAGCTGGAGTTCAACAACATCCGGAAAGCCATAGGTTCCCTGCTTCTGCTCTAGGGGAATATACAGTGGTACCTTGGGTTACATACGCTTCAGGTTACAGACTCCGCTAACCCAGAAATAGTACCTCAGGTTAAGAACTTTGTTCAGGATGAGAACAGAAATCGTGCTCCGGCGGCGTGGCAGCAGCAGGAGGCCCCATTAGCTAAAGTTGTGCTTCAGGTTAAGTACAGTTTCAGGTTAAGAACGGACCTCTGGAACGAATTAAGTACTTAACCCGATCTGTTCCGGAGGCCCATTCGCAACATGAAAAGAGTGCAACCTGAAGCGCCGTATCTGCGCAGGTGCGCATGCGCAATTTGGCGCTTCTGCACATGCGCGAGCGGCGAAACCCAGAAGTAACCCTTTCCGGTACTTCCAGGTTGCCGCGGGACGTAACATGAAAGAACGTAACATGAAACAAACATAACATGAGGTATGACTGTATATTCAATGCCTTTTCTGTTTCTTCATTTTTTCCAGATCACGATTTCAGTTCTGTATCAACAGTGTTTAAGACTGAGTTTGAAAATGTAATATTGCCAATATATTTGGGGTGGTATGAAGGAGGAGGAGGATTAAATGCAACTTTCCCTCTACAGTTCTGGTAGGAACTCAGCTCTCACTGAATTGCTATTCCCATGCTAATCACTGAGATACTTAGGCTTCATTTGGAAACAATTTCCCATCTGTTGAGCCTTCGTTATTCATTCAAAAAAATCTGTTTGCAGGAAAATGTACGCTGGCTGCTGAAAGAATACTGTAATTATTTCTACTAACGGTGATAATTGGTTTCCTTTTGTGAACTGGGGAATGCTACCTTTACAGTTCTGTGTTTAAGAGGATTGTGTTTTCCACAGAAACAGATATAGCTAATTCATGTGTTTGCTTGAATGGAGCAGACCAACAGAAGACTAATCAGGGAAGGCTGTTTGGCACCACCCCTGCCTGGTCTACTCTCCCAGGCAGCAAGATAGTGTGCGTGTTTTGTTGCTTGCATCAGTTTGTCCACTGATATATTTGCCTGCAGGTAAACGAGTGTTTATGCTGATTGCAGTACAAGGTATTGGCTGATTGTAGGCTGAGTGAATACAGTTGAGGTGTGGCTGTGGTCTGGAGCCTGCCTTGCTATAAAAACAGGCTCTGCTGTGAGTGGCAGAGTTGACACCAAAGGGATTGCTGATTTAGTTCGAATCCACTCCACGGTGGTCAACTCCTATTGCTCTATCCCAGCTTCTGCCAGCCTAGCAGTTCAAAAGCACACTAGTAGATAAATAGTAGATAAATAGATATTGCTGCAGCAGGAAGGTAAACAGCGTTTCCATGTGCTCTGGCTTCCGTCACAGTGTTCTGTTGCAGCAGAAGCAGTTTAGTCATGCTGGCCACATGACCCAGAAAGCTGTTTGTGGACAAACGCTGACTCCCTCTGCCTGAAGTGAGATGAGTGCCGCACCCCATAGTCACATTTGACTGGACTTAACCATCCAGGGGTCCTTTACCTTTACCTTTTTTACCTGCTGATTTCGGGAGTCATGGGGCATCTCCTATTGTCAGTCAGGCTATGAAATTGTAGGCAGGCACTGTGGGAGGTAACCTGGGGTGAGAGTCTGGTAGAGGGGAAGTTTGGTTGGGTGGTGTTCCCACTCAGTAATGTGGGAAATGGACTGAGGATTAAATCTGTAGATTTAGATCTAAACCTCCTCTCCCAATGTGCGTGGGAGAAATACAAAAATAAAAACTGGTCGTGAAGTCTTTTTAACAGAGTAAAACATTTGTAAGTTTTGCAGCTCATTAAAGCTTGGGAATTAGCCAATTACACATTTTAATCCGAATTATTTGTGGTCTGTTGACCTCCCCCTCTTCACCTCCATTCCAAATAATGAACTACATTTTTTAAGGAAGATAAATGAAAAAGGGTTTACTTACATTTCAATGCAGGCAGCAAATACAGCAAAGTAGTGAGCAAAAAATACTTATAAGTTACAGTAAAATAAAAGTTGGTAGTCTTAGCTAACATGGCTTAATGCAGGAACTTTAGTCATGCACATCTGGTCATCTTTGAGTCATGGTGGAAAGTGAAAGTCTCACAGGCAGAAGGAAGTAGAAAGGATTGTCTCCTTTGTTACAGAGTTCCCACCTGGAGGAGGTAAAGGAAGTGACCACACACAGAGTTCCTCTCTAAGAAGTTAAAGAACTCTCTGTCCACAAGCCCTGTGCTTGTCTAGCAAAACATGCATTTGTGATATTGACTGCAAACCTCACAAGTAAGATACAAGGGAAGGAGTGCTGAAATGGACTCAACATCTTCCTCTTGACATGTGGAATGTTATGTGCCTACTACTGGGCCTTAGTTTGTTATCTTGTGATCCTAATCTCCCAGTTGTACCTGGTGATAGTGAATGATGGTTCTAAAACATGTCTGGGTAAGCAGGTAGCTGAAAAGCTCCATGATTTGTGGATGAGCGGGCCAACCAGGTGTGTATTGCTGGGGAGGCCAGATCTGACTCTGCTCTGCCTACCTGGGTATTCAGTATGACATCAGCCCAGACTGGAGGGGGTGAGGAGGTGTTGCTGTAGTGCATAGGGGCTTACTTCCCACCACCAGAAAACCTCTCTCTCAGAGTGGTACTGAAGGACCTGCATCTGGTGTTGGGCCAAAGAGACAGGTTAGAGATGCTGTTGGTGTACCACCCACCCTGCTGTTCATCAGCTATCCTGACTTAGCTGATCTAGGCTGTCCTGGGTGTTGTGTTGGAGGAACCCAGAACTGTGGTTTGGGGTGACTTCAACATCCAATCTGAGGCTGTATCAGGCCTGGCTCAAATGGTCATTGGTCCAATGTAGGAGTCGAGGACCTGTTAGGAAGATCTGCCCGTGATGGAATCTGATAGATTCCTAACTGTTTGCAGGGGAGGGTGTCCAGTGGATAGAGCAGAGGATCTTGTTGAATCTCTAGTTTTGATATGGAATGGTGAGACCATATGGCCATTGACACAATCCCTCCTGAGGGCCCTCTCAAGTGTTGTGGAGTCTAGAATTTTTGGTTTGAAAGTGGAAAGCTAGCTTCAGATTTCTGTTCAGCAGAGCACTGTAACATGAGGAGTGAAGATATAGGCTAATATATAGGGGCATACAAATAATGCATTTCCCTCACCAGTGAGAATCCACAAAGACATATTTTTATGTCCATGTTTAAAGCCTTCCATGTTGATGGCCATTTCTGCCTCCTGTGGAAGCAAGTTCTATAGTTTAAATGCACTGTGTAAATAAGTAGTTTCTTTTATCTATCCTGAATCTTCCAATACAATGGTACCTTGGGTTACATACACTTCAGGTTACAGACTCCGTTAACCCAGAAATAGTACCTCGGGTTAAGAACTTTGCTTCAGGATGAGAACAGAAATCGCACGGCAGCGGCACAGCAGCAGTAGGAGGCCCCATTAGCTAAAGTGGTGCTTCAGGTTAAGAACAGACCTCCGGAACGAATTAAGTACTTAACCCGAGGTACCACTGTATTCAGCTTCATTGGATATCTATGAGTTGTAGTGCTATGAGAGAGAGAAATCCTTTTCTCTATCCACTCACATGCCATGTAAAAATTTATACACTTCTATCATGTAATCTTTTGTTTGACTTTTCTCTAAACTAAAAATTCCCAAGGGCTGCAACTTTTCTTCATAGGGGAGTTACTCCATTTCGTTGATCACTTTGGCCATGGCAATCTCTGCTATAAAAGTCAGCTCCTATTGTGATATTATTTTCTGTTCTTATAACTATGGCTTGATACTGTATATTGGCTATGTACATGGCCTCCGTGGTTTTCTCAGGTTTTCTTGGTGAAAATACCTGTCACTGTGCGTGAAGAAAGATAATGTGTTATACTAGAAACCTAGAGAACAGGGTGTCCAGGATGTCTTCGTACCATAGAAAGGGGAGAAAAAAATGATAGCAATGGGCAGGTGTGAAGCTGAGTGGGAAGAAACCTGAGAAAGCAGGAAAGAAAACCATCTTGAGGTGTTGAGGAAGAGTGATCTAAGGGCAAAATTGATGGAGGAGGTATGAAGTTAGAAGCCTAAGTAGAAAGAGAGATGGTGTTGGAAACAAACACAGGGACAGATATATCTAGGTGCTATTGGCAGTATTGGGTGGCTGAGTTTTATATGTTTAAAGAAATGAGCCAGGCAAATTTTGGCTTTCAGTTTCTAGTAGCATACGTTCCCAAAGGGCATATGTAAAGCTACAGGCTTAAGCTAGGTTGAACAGTCATCTCCTCTATCCTGAGACCACTAGGAATGGTATTTTATGAGCTGGCTAGAGATTTCTATCACAGTTCTCAACACCCTCACCAAAGTATAATTCCCAGGATTTTTTGGCTATAAGGTAAAAAGGTAAAGGAGCCCTGGACTTCAGTCGAATTTGACTATGTGTCAAATCTCCGTTTTCTCATCTCCGTTTTCAGGCCGAGGGAGCTGAATATTTGTCCACAGATAGCTTTTTTGGGTCATGTGGCCAGCATAACTAAACTGCTTCTGACACACAGAATACTGTGACGAGTGCCAAAGCACATGGAAACGCTGTTTACCTTCCTGCCGCAGCTGTACCTATTTATCTACGCACGCTGATATGCTTTCAAACTGGTAGGTTGGCAGGAGACAAATCAATGGGAGCTCACCCTGTCACACAGATTCAAACTGCCAACCTTACAACTAGCAAGCCTAAGAGGCTCAGGGGTTTAGACCACAGCGCCACCAGCGTCCCTTTGACTATAACAGTTATGTTGCTGTAAAACTGATATAATTTTGTAGCATTCAATATATCTGATTTTTCTTTTTCTTTTCTTTTTTACCGGAATCCTTATACAGTGGTACCTTGTTTTACGAACTTAATCCGTTCCAGAAGTCCATTCTTAAACTGAAACCGTTCTTAAACCGAAACACACTTTCCCTAATGAGGCCTCCCGCCACTGGTGCCCTTCCACCGTTTGGATTCCATTCTTAGACCAAGGTAAAGTTCTCAAACCAAGACACTATTTCCAGTTTTGAGGAGTTTGTAAACCAAATTGTTCTTAAACCGGACTGTTCTTAAACCGAAGAACCACTGTAATCTACTTGCTTGTACTAAATAAACAGAAGAAGAGTGTATATTCAAGCTCTCTTAATAATTAAGGAATAGCTATAATTGCTGCTTAGTGATCCAGAGGGTTTAATGAAAATGGCCAATAATTCATTGGTGTACTGGACTTTCCTTCTTCAGCAGTTTTGTTGATAATCTACAAGTGAAAAATAATTGAAGAGTGCCCTCTTCTGTTTATTGCATGAATCACAAGTTTTGAAGCTGGACTGTACCTGACCTTTGCTACTGCAATGTAACAAGAATGTGAAATATATGTATCTGAAGAAGTGTGCATGCACACGAAAGCTTATACCAAGAACAAACTTAGTTGGTCTCTAAGGTGCTACTGGACAATTTTCTTATATCTTGTGAAATATATGGCTTATTGATGCACAAAGCAGAGACGTTGATAGGTGTATACAAATTCTGAGGTATATTGAAGGATAAGTAAAATTAACAAGGAGAGAAGTAAAGAAGTGTATACAAAATAAACAGCTGTTTGAGATTCATTTAATGATGGTGGTGGTGGTGCAATGAATCCAATACAGCACACAGAGCAACCAGGCCTGTGCATGTAGATCCCTTTTAAGAAACCATCAATCACATGTTTAGCAGGAGTGTTTTAGTAGAAACCCTACTCCTTTACTAGCCAATCAGTGGGATCTTAGCCCTTTTCTTTCTTGTTAGCTTTACCAAAGTATTCTTTGCAAATTATATCATAAATGTTGCAGGGGAGAAGGCCATGCACATGTATTCCAGCATAGCTATATCTTAAGTGTCCAAAATGCCTGTTAGATCATAAGTGAAGATTGGCATGTCATGTGGCCTGGCACATCCATAGAGTATAGCATGAGAAGGATGGGCCTCAGCAGGTGTTCACAGATGTATGAAAGAGATAGCACAATGGTCCTGCTCTGAGTGACTGTGCAGTTTGTGAGTTTGGACCTGTGATGCCTAAAATCAGGTGAAGTCAAACCAAAGTCATGTTTTTGTCTGCCATGTTGATTCAAAATGGCACATGGTGTTAAAAAATCAACAAAGATGGTTGCTCACACTTCAGAAACCCTCATTCTGAGTTTGGCGATGATATCTCAAGAGGTGGCCAAACCTATGCCAAAAAATGGACAAAGTCACGTTACCATCTGCCATCTTGATTCAAGATGGCATTGGCATCCAAATGTCAATGAAAATTGCTACTCCCACCTTGGGAATCATTGTGCTCAGTTTGGCAATGACATAGGTTCTCAAGAACCTATAGAAAACAGGTGGATGAACGGACAAAGTATTTTCCAAAACATACAATAGATAAAGTGATCTGTCAAGTCACTTGAACTTGGCCCAATAGGAGATAGACAGCCAGTGTAAATACCGCAATAAAGGTTTTATATGCAGATGGTACTTTGCCCCCACAAGTAACCTAGCTGCTGCATTCTGCTAGTATTTCTGACCTCTGCTTGGTTTCAGTGCTTTCTGCCAGTTGTGGCCCCTCCCAGTCGCCACTGAGCAAGATTTGGATGCAGCATTGTTTCCACTGCCAGATTGTCAGCAGCCACACAAAATGTACTTAACCATAGTTTGGACTGCTGTGCTCATGGAGAAGTGAAATAGACATTAGTAATTGAATATATACACACTAAGGCCTCCAGTATAACTACATGCATGGGGGGGGGGGAGAAAATGGACAGAGCAGGAGGTTCAAGGCAAACTTGCTATCCGCAATGCAAATCAGAACTACGGAAAAAGGGATGTGGATCATAATCCCACAGTTAATCTGTGATTTTGGGGGCAGACGGGGAACACAGCTTGTTTCTTCTATATGACTCACTGGATAGTAATGAACACTTCATGTTCTCTCTCATGTGCAATAACCTGTATTACCCTCTGGGGGGCAATCTCTTTAAACATCACATTTGCTTAATCTTTCAATCTGAAACTCTTATCAAGCAGCAAGATGGGATAAACCTAGATAAAATGCCAGTTAAAAATTAATATTCCTAAGTCATTCAGTAATGGCAGAATACAGATGTTTCTGCAACAAATGCACACAGCCTTCCCTTTTATGTGAACATGAGTCATTCATTATTAAAAAGAATGGGGGAAAGTCTTATGAAAGCCAAAGAAACATATAATCCAGTCAATCTCGTAACCCCCTCCACAAATTAAAATCTAAATAATCTCATTTTTTTCACATTTCATTTTTTATGTCCTCCCTACCCCCACACCTCTCATCATTAATTCAGCAAATACTCTTAAATCCTAGGATCTAACTGTCCATATGGCAAAGTGAAAAGATGTAAATATGAAAGAAAATGTTGTTGTAACCCAGATAAATTAAAAAGAATGTGGAATTACTTACAGCATTATGCATGTTTCTATTTTAAACATTCCAGATGGAGAGAGATGGTTGTTTCTAGAAAAGCATTTGTACTGTTTATTCTTGCTGCTTACTAGCCCCGTTCAGATCACTTCAACCAACCTACTAATGGTTCAGCATCATCACAATAATTGGTAGTAGTGATAATCATTAGGGTAATGTTTATATGAAAGAGGTTGGCTTGTAAATACCATTTTATTTTATTATATTTCTATTGCAACACAATCAAAATTTGTTCCCCTTTCAATGAGATGCAGTGCCACCCTCTAATACTTACATAACCTTATTTGAGGTTTTCCCTGTCAAGAATTGGTTAATCGTTTTGGTTTAGATAGCAAAAACCAAGGATACATATCGCGAGCCCTTTTTGTGTTATTCATCAATGTGTTTTGTATTAGAAGAATCCACAAAATACCTCCTCTCTATTCAGACATACATAGTTAGGATTGTGTTGGGACATCTGTAGAGTAGAAAGCTGTGTGTGAAGGGCTTGTTCAGAGAGATGTCAAAGCAATAGAAATACAGGTTCTAGGTATAACAGCATAGCCTGAATAATGGGGTGGGTCATAGCAGAGGTGCCTAAAAGGGAGAGGGTTGAAAAACTGAAGCTTAGAAATTCCTGCTTTTAATATGTATGTTTTCTCTGCTTTTATTGTTTCCAATGATATCTGGCTTCTGTTTTCCAATGTGACAAGCAAAGAGATGTGCCATCTGTGTCATGTAAGGGGTGTGGTCATAAATGCAACAAAATGCTAGTGCCAGCACTGCACGGCCCAGATAAATTTGTTTGCAAATGCTGCCGAATCAGGATTAGGCTTTAAATGTGCCAAACCTCGGCTCTTGTAAAGCCTAATTTCTGATTAAATAAGCCTTTACCCATCATTATTTATCATGGTCACTGCAAATTCACTTTTAGGAACTCAGCGTTTGAGTCACTCACAAATAATTACTTACTCGCCAATCTCTTTTCATCCTTTCCTGTTTATTCCAGCCAAACCTAGTTATTTTGAGAGTGTTTCAAAACATGCATTAGGATAACAATCCGGAGCATCTGTTGATCATAGTGTTTGCATTACTATGATGTTCTGAACAATATTTTCCTAAAATTTTCATAGCTCATGTTTTTGTTAGAGTTCTCTCTACATTTTCTTGCTGTGTAGACAACCTACCAGTCCTGCTCCAGGTGGGAATATCATTACGTGTTTGTTCACATGTTGATCTCTATTAGGAATCTTTCCAGACTGGAATTACCTAGATTTTAATAAAACCTTTACATCATTTTCAGATAAAATTTGTCTGGCAGAAAAAATTGGAAACATTTCAATATGTCTGTTAGAATGTGATTTGGGGCCAATTCTGTCTTACACAGAAGATGAAAATGTACTACGAGTTTATCAAATGGTATGAAGTGTAGCCATTTTAAAAATACTATTTTACTTTCTGGATTACAACCCACAGCCACTGTCCCCAAAGCCACCTGTAATTTATATCTTTAAAAATTATGTATTTACTAACAATTTTTTTTTAGGAAGACTAAAAAGCTACATCAAAAAAATTATCTAGTTAAGAAAATCAATGTATGAAATTGAGCCCTGTCTCTTTATACCACCACCACCCTCATGGATAACTTCTTGGTCAATGATTGAAGCTTGTGAAAAGCACCTTTCTAGTCTGTAGTACCAGTGGTCCACTGTGTCTCTGGGAAGTCCTAAGCTCACGGATTACCTAGTAACTGAGGCTCCTGTAACTACTTCTCTTTACTGTCCTGAGACATAGTAAAAACTGCTTTCAGCCCTGCTGTGGCATCTTTGTCTCCCTTGTTGTCAAGCACTGAAATCCAGGACTCTCAGGTGCTCAAAAGCAGGAAATCAAAACCCTGATCTGACACTGAGATGGGGATATGTATCAATGCCTTAATATGAGAAGCTAGAACCAGTGCTGCTGGGTGGGGGAATTGTTATTACCAGCAGGATATTGCTATCAGGTAAACATCAGAGGGCAAGGCAATGCTAAGCCCAATGTGCCCAGTGTGTCATCACATTTTGCTTGATACCTCTAGGTGACAGTGGGACCCCCACACTGCCTGTTCAGCTCTTCATGTTGTCTAAGAAGCTGTTTCTAAAGGACATTCAGACAGTGTCTGGGGCTATGGCATGTCACCTAAAGATCCGTCATGTGCATGAATTTTATTTATTTAAATTGCTGTGAAAACAAAATTATTTCTCCCTTTCTCAATATCGGTTTCTTTAGAGGAAAAAGTAGGAGAAATTTTCTAATAATCTTAATGTAGGCAGAAACTGAATCATTCTAAATGCTCCTATATTGAGGGATTATATCTACCGTATCTAGCTAGCTATATTCAGATACTTTGGACGTTCTATTGAACCCAGTATGTATGGTTCCTTATCATCCTGAGAAAAAGTGACGACAAGCGGGGTGCCGCAGGGTTCTGTACTGGGCCTTTGTTGTCCAACATCTTTATAAATGACTCGGATGAAGGAATTAAGGGGATGCTCATCAAATTTGCAGATGACACCAAACAGGAAGAGGTACCTAATGCAGCAGAAGACAGAATTAGAATTCAAAATGACCTTAACAGATTGGAGAACTGGGCGCGAGCTAACAAAATGAATTTCAATAAGGACAAATGTAAGGTTCTGCACCTAGGCAGGAAGAACCAGGTGCACCGATATAGGATGGAGGACATCTGGCTTACTAGCAGTACATGTGAAAAGGATCTAGAGGTCTTGGTGGACCACAAGCTTAACCTGAGTCAACTGTGTGATGCAGGAACAAAAACAGCTAATGTTATTCTAGGCTGCATCAACAGTAGTGTCCATATCAAGGCAAGTCATAGCACCACTCTGTTCTGCCTTGGTCAAACCACACCTTGAATTCTGGACACCATTTAAGAAGGATGTTAACAAGCTGGAACATGTGCAGAGAAGGTCAACCAAGATGATCAAGGGTCTGTAGACCAAGTCTTATGACGAACAGTTGAAGGAGCTTGGTTTGTTTAGCCTGGAAAATAGACTGAGAGGAGATACAGCCATCTTCAGGTATCTCAGGGGCTGTCACATGGAAGAGGGAACAAGTTTTCTCCTGCTCTGGAGGGTCGGACTTGAACCAAGTTACAGAAAAATAGATTCCAAGTAAACATCAGGAAAAACTTTGTTAGTAAGAGCTGTTTGACAGTGGAACAGACTCTCTTGGAGGCTTTTAAGCAGAGGTTGGATGGCAATCTGTCGTGGATGCTTTAGCTGAGATTCCTGCATTGCGAAGGGTTGGACTAGATGACCCTTGGCACCCTTCCAGCTCTACAATTCTATGATTCTATGACAGCTTATAGGAAGTAATGAAGCATTGTATTGTCTTAGTGCCCTGTGAAGATTTATTCTGCACATTGCACACAGAGAGTGACTGCAGATTTTGAAACGGGCTACCCCACAAGCTCACACATTTGCTCTATGTTCATACATAGCTTTGAGTACAGTAGGCTGATGTCAAATCAGCAATGTAGTCTTTGCAGCAGGGGGGCCGTTTGCTGAAAAATGTAGGCCACCTAAATCTCACTCTTTCATCAACAAAGGTTTTTGTAACCAAAATAGGACTTGCTTAGAAGCTGTATTCTCAAAATCAAGCCACTAATATATATATATCTTCAAAAGCCACAAACAAACACAGAACTTTATTTGTGAATGCATAATAATAAATAAGTGGCAAACAAAACAAGTAGGGGAACATTCAGAAAATGGAGGTATCTAAAGTGCTTTCAGACAAATATAAAAAGACAAAGGAAATAAGATTAAACATTAACACTTTTACAGACATAATTACAAAATATTTTTCCTATGGCATTTTACAAAATAGGATTTTTTATTTCTGGGTTCTATGGCTTGATATTTTAATACAAGTGTGAATTCTATGCATAGCATGTCAAATAACATTCAAAAATGTAGAGTTATTGCATATGTTTTCCCAAATACAAATTTGTACAAATGCACAGTGTAATTCCATTTATTATGCTCAAATCATGGTAAAAGGGACAGATTCCTTATCAAGTAGAATTTGCTGCAGCTCAAGGTGAAATCATTGAGTCAAGAACAAGGAGATAGTCCACAGTGTTCCCAGGTACCATTTCCCTGCATCAGTTCCCAGGTACTGTTTCCCTGCATCAGTTGGACCTACTGCATATTGTAAACACAGGTACCCTGATGTAGCATTTTCTAAACAAAGAGGGTTGATACACAGCTTTGTGCAGGGAAGATCTAACTGTTTTCTTCAGGGTCAGGAAATGGTCTTTGTGTGCAAAGAGAATTTGTTCAGCACAGTGTTTGTTATAGACTGAGATTCTCATTTTCTAGAGCTGTACACAGCATTCTCTGACACAAAAGAAAACAGCGCATGTGTTCCACAGAACTCTCTATCTGGGCAAGAGGATTCAATTCAGCATGTGGTGGTGGAGTGAATTCTGGTGAAATTAAAGGGGATGCTGTCAGAACAGATTCCGGTGGCCTTCAGAGTTTGGTATAAGTATACCTTGTTTACTAAAGAATGAAAGGTCAACAGATAGTCTACCCCCTGTAGGACTCAAGATGTGCACAAACGCTTTTTGCTGACAGTTTCACTTGTAAGGAAAAGAAACCATGGTTCTCCATACACATTCCAACATCATGTCTTCGATACATGTTAAGCCCTTAAATCGCTAGGCATTGCTTGTCAAGGCTGGTTTGTTGTGCCCCTCCCCTCCCTAGTCTTTGTAATGTCACCCGAAATAGAGAAAATAACCATTCCTGTCCTATAGTAGCATGTAATCTAAAATAAAGTTTCCCTAAGGTTTATCACTTCTGAAAACAACACCCAAAGCATTTTTGTCAATACCACACCTTGGATTAGCTTAGATGGAGTGTCTTCCGTTTCTTTTTCTACTATAGCAGGTGTGGCTAACCAGTTGGTTTTGGTCTGCAACTCCCATTGGCCTCAGCCAGCTTGGCCAATCATCGGGAATGATGGGAGTTGTAGTCCAGCATCCGGAGGGCCACAGGTTAATCTCTCCCATGTTATAGAATGAGGATGCCCTGATCTTTTTTCTGGAGCTGCTAATAAAAGGTGACTTAGTGAAACATTTTAAAGGAAAAAAACAGTAACCCCAATTTATCTTGTTTACGTATAAACAACTTTAATGTTGAAAAAATAAATTTTATATTTTGGATGGGCAGCATCTAAAAAAGGTCCCACTTTTATGTAAAATGTACTAGTTAGTTGAAAAATACTAATAAATATTAATTAAACATTAATAAATATATTTTCCCATAGCATTGAAGAGGTTTCTTCATTTATTTATTTTCTATTGTACCACATCTCTCCTCTTTCTGATTCTTAGTGCTCACTGTCCTTCATTTTGGGCTGGGGGCCTCCACTGAGACACTGTCTCAAAGTGTCGTGCTTTTTCTCATGCTTTGCTGTGCTGGAGAGATCCATTGCAATGTCATCCGAATTGTCCATTGAGGTAAATTTGTCAGTGGAGCTTCTTTCCTGCTCTACCTGCTTAATTTTTAATTCCTCTTCAGGGCGTTGAGATTTCCAGTCACTGTTCCCCTTTTCCTCGCTTTCGGGCTTAGTTGTAACATCCATTGATTTTTTATGCATTCCTTTAAAGAAAAGCAAAGACCAGAGAGAGTACTGAGAGAGAATACTGATTAAACCTAACAGTGACTGAGAAAGCTAGCACACTCTAGCTTGACTGAAACTCATTGGGGTAAACTCATAGCAGCCCACTGAAATCAGTAGACCTGCAAGATAACCTTATCCCGTATATGCCCGCTCAATTGCTTCAATCTGCAGAACTAGTACTAATACAGGGGCCGCACAATAATCATTATGCATTTGTAAGAGATTTACCTTTTAGTGCAGCAGCACCCATATTTCAGAACTCCTTGTCTACTGACATCAGGAGTACATCACTCTACTTTTTTGGGTGTCAGGTTAAAAGCATTTTTGCTTAGGCAAGCCTGTTCAGACATGTTAAATATTGACATGTGTTTTAATACAGTTTTTAGTTTATCATTGCTTTTAATTATTTTTTGAATGTTTTAAATGGTTAACTTTTTTTAACTGATAATTTTATCGTTTTATTCTTGTTGTACACCACTTTGAAGTTTCATTACAATCAAAGAGTATATAAATATTGTGAAATAAAAATAAATAATAGTCATCAACGGCTGCATCCATTGCAGTACCACACATGCCATAGCTTGCTCATGTAAAACACATGAGCAGATCTGCCCTCCCCATCCACATGGTCCCATCATTAGCCATGCATACTAAGATATCATACAACTGGATTCATGGAAGACAGGTCAGTAGCTCTGCTTCTGATATTCAAGCATGGCGGGATCTCCATAGGGGATTTCACAAGCAAGGCAGCTGTTTTCTCCATGCAATGTCCCTGTCGTACAAGGAGGAAGTTTGAAGGACTAGGAAGAAAGCTGTTCTATCAGCTCTGATAAAATTCTTAACCAAAGGTTAATCTGTGCTTAACACAAGAACAAAAGGTCGCTTTATGTAATTAAATCGAAATTTCACTCTAGTGCTTTATAAAAGTGATGACAAGTCAGCTAACAATCACTTCCTTATTTCTCAGTTAATGAAGTGAAAAGGGCTTTCAAAATGACAAGCATTACTGGGGTAGAGAGCAGGTGTATAGGGTGTAACTAGAGAATGGATATGTATATTATAAGAAGTTGTATGTGTGCAAGCATGAGCAAACACATGAGTGCGCACCCACCCCAACACAGTGGGATCCTTAACAGTGAGGGTTGGAAGGTAGATTTCACCAGCATTGCAGCAGTGCCCACAAATGCACTCAGCAACACAATTGGGATGAAGGCTGTGAAGCCTAAGTCTGCTCTCTACCCCAGTAGTGGCTTTCATTTTGAAAGCCCTCCCCACTTAATTAACTGAGTTTCAGCCCAACCAGCGAATGCAGAGCACTATATGTTTGCTTACCGAGCAGCCAGGGGGCACAGGAGCCCACAAGCCCACTTTTGGCAGAGTTGATGATTGATTCAGGTAGTGGGATGGAGTGTCTCACCATAGCACCATAGAGACCATATTCTGCCATCACGCTGCTGCGGCCCCAGCACTTCTCACGCTTTCGCCACTTGGCTCTTCGGTTTTGAAACCAAACCTTTTGGATGTACATCAAGAAGTATATATTTAGCAAAAGTATCCATATTTGTGTGGAGGACTGATGGGGAGGGGGGAGGAAAGAATATCAAATAAAACATGTCAGATCAAGAAAGCATATGCTCTAAGTAATTTTTGAGTTCTCTGTTGGCATAAATAAGATGGAAAACACACACAACCAAATTAACAGTTTCTCAATCTTATTCCTGCACTAAATAAGCAATAGAAATTCTTTTTCCTTTCATTGTGTTCAGTGCTATTTTTCTAGAAACAGAAGTGCTGGAAGCCACCATGAACACCTCCTTTGTTCTCTTATAATGGCAATGGTGCCCACCTGAGAGGTGCCAGAACTGAGTTCCCGCTGAAAAAAACTCTTTGTTCCAGGTGAAGATGATACTACATAAATTAACTGATAAGGTTAACCTTCACTCCTTTTGCTATTATTTTTCTTTCTTAATACTACATAACACTGCCTTACTTGTAAAATACTACCTGGTCTGGGATTATGTCACTTCTACATTTTGTATAGTACCAGCACCCTGTTGGTGCAAATTTACAGTGGCAGGAGAGTCATAATATTGGAAAGTGCAGGCTAGATATTGCAACTAACATCAGTTATTTTTTACTTATTTCAATGGGCCATTCCTGTCCATCTATATACAATGGTACCTCGGGTTAAGAATTTAATTCGTTCTGGAGGTCCATTCTTAACCTGAAACTATTCTTAACCTGAAGCACCACTTTAGCTAATGCCTCCTGCTGCTGCTGCGCCCCTGCTGCGTGATTTCTGTTCTCATCCTGAAGCAAAGTTCTTAACCTGAGGTACCATTTCTGGGTTAGCGAGGTCTGTAACCTGAAGCGTCTGTAACCCGAGGTACCATTGTACATTTTTATAGAGCTGAATTAGAATCAGATGGCTGGAAGATTATACAGCCTAGCCTCCTGCACTGTTGCACAATTTGCTAGGAAAAAATAATTCCTTACAGCTATTTACCCAGCCACTCCTTAATCCAAAGATGTCAAAGTCAGATGGGCTAGAGTACCAAATTCCCCATCAGGCAGATACTCAACATTTTTTTTAACTGAAAATAAAAGATGCTGTTGGTCTTCAACTTCCTTCAGCCTCAGCCAACATGGTCAATGGTCAGGCATGATAGGAATTGTAGTCCAGGATCATATCCATTCCTACCTGCCCTGAGGGTCTAGTAAGCTCCCATGACTTGTGTTTGATCAGTGCTTTAAATGAATGTGTTGACACTCAATACAGGCAGCCTTTACTGAGGACTGTAAATAATAATAATTATTATTATTATCATCATTATTTATAGCCCACCCATGTGGCTGGGTTTCCCCAGCCACTCTGAGAGGCTCCCAACAGAATATTAAACAGAATAAAACTTCAAACATTAAAAACTTCCCTAAATGAACTTTCCATTTCCACACTTTATGGTGGCTTAACAATAACAAACAACATACCTGTATCCTATCCTCAGGGAGCTCTGTTTTCATGGCTAACATTTCTCTGGCATACACATCCGGGTAGTGGGCTTCATTGAAAGCCTTTTCCAATTCCTCCAGCTGATGGGCAGTAAACACAGTCCTACAGGGACAATAAACCCAGTAATTCATAGATGGCCGTGTCACATCCTTTAGAAACAACTTTCTGCCCTAGTAGCAGATGTGTAGTTGGAATTATACAGTCCAGAGTGAGAAATACCAAGTGAACTTGTTAAACTCCTGTATTTGCTATTTGCCTGGAACTGCAAGTGTGTGTGTTTGCATGTGTGTGTGATGGAGTACATGGTTGATGGACTTCATTCATCCTGCAGGCCTCAGACAATATTTCGTGGTCCCCAGTATTATTGAACTCCACCTCCCATAAGCCTCAGTCAGCATGGCTAATGGTCAGGGATGATGGGAATTATATAGTCCAGGAACATTTGGAGAAATGAGAAATTAACATATGAGCTGTATTTTTTGGCATTGCTTTCTATGGGAAAAGTGCCCACAATGTTCTCACTAATATAAAAGCAGCACGGTTATTTGTGACTTTTAATCTTTGATGCCTTAGGCAGGGTTGGGAAACTAGTAGCCACCAGCTGATGATGGACTCCAGCTCCCATCATCCTTGACCATTGGGTTTACTGACGGGCTGATTGGAGTTGTTCCAACCTAGTCTGAGACCTTGATGTCTAAATTACCGTATTTTTTGCTCTATAAGACTCACTTTTTCCCTCCTAAAAAGTAAGGGGAAATGTGTGTGCGTCTTATGGAGCGAATGCAGGCTGTGCAACTATCCCTGAAGCCAGAACAGCAAGAGGGATTGCTGCTTTCACTGCTCAGCGATCCCTCTTGCTGTTCTGGCTTCTGAGATTCAGAATATTTTTTTTCTTGTTTTCCTCCTCCAAAAACTAGGTGCGTCTTGTGGTCTGGTGCATCTTATAGAGCGAAAAATACGGTACCTTGCTCTTGTGCAAGGTAATGGGAATGAACAAGAGGGAGCTAGAGTCCACCCCAAGCTCTGCTGCTCAGACAAGCAGGCAGAGCGCAAACTATAACTTCCAGAATGCTGTACAAAATAAGAACTGGCATAGAAGGGTGTCCCTTTGTGTTTCCATCTGCCTAGGAATTTATTTTTTTCTGTAAAATCCAGAAATATTACCAGGTCTTCCAAGTCTAAAATGGAAGAGAAATCCTTTCTTTAACAACCTGTGATTTAAATTAACTCAGAATCTCCTAGCTCAATCAGATTTCATGCTGCCTAGAAGTTTACTGTTGTGCTTTCAAGACAGTGCAACCTTAGATATGCATAGGTTTACAACCCCACTTACCTGGGAGTAAGCCCCCTTGAATTAAATAGGCCTTGCTTCTGAGTAGACATGGTTAGGATGGCTCAGTTAATCTGGGAACACAGAGAGCCACCTTTATACTAAGTCAGGCTACTTGTCCATCCAGCCCAGTACTGCCTACACTGGCTGGCATTAGCTCTTCAAGGTCTCAGGCTTTTCCCATCACTTGCTAATCCTTTTTTCAACTGGAGATGCTGGGGATTGAACCTGGGACCTTCTGTGTGGAAAACATGGGTTTTACTACTGAGCTATGTCTCTGTTGTGCCTTCAGGGCTAACTTTGAGCCAGGTTTTCCCCAATATATTGTTTTCACTGCTGAGGCTTAGCACTGAGCATATAAAAAAAGAAAAAGATTCTGACCATGTGCAAAGTGTCTTTCCTTTGCCACTGAGTAACCACAACTAACCATTAGGACTTCCAGGTTAAATGGTGTGATTTCTGTCTTGTCCCAAGCCCCAGAATTCTCTAGCAAAAATTCATATGTCTGATCAAGTGGCAGTTTCTTTCTCCAACATCTACAAACCAGATAACTCATTTTAAAAAGTTATACAATACTGTCCAATACAATACAGAAATGCTAACAGTGAAATCCTATTGTGTGTGTCTACTCAGAGGTTAAGCCCTATTGAGTTCAATGATCCTCACTCCCAGGTGGGTGAATATAAGATTGCAGCTTAAGTGAGATTTTAAAGAGAGAGAATGTAGCGTACTTACAAAGTTTAACTTTGGGATCTAATGCTACAAGCTGTGTCTGGGAAGACTCCAGTTATATTTATCTGTCATACCTGTGCCGCCGTTTCTTTCTCTTGATCTGAGAATCGGATGCCTTGAGGTTGTTCTTGTCCCCCGACAAACTGTCTTCATCTAATATTTGGGTTGGGGAGAAAAACATAAATATAGATCAAAAGTTTTCCCCATATAAGCATTGTTCTATTCAACTTATTTAAAACAGATTTTTCCCCCCAAAGCCGTTTCCAAATTGTAAAAGAGAAATAAAAATTACTGTGAAGAAAATCAACATTAGTGTAAAAATCCAACAAGACAGCTTTCAGAAGTAGAATTTGTTAATGGCAACTCTGCTTTTAAGGCCCATCTAAAAATGGGAGAGGGAGCTCTGTAGACTTCCCCAGGGAGGGCATTTCACAGCTGCAGTGCCAACTAATATTCTACTTAGTACAGCATCTTCAGTGTCAAGAAATAGCCACTGATGAGCATATATTGACTGTTACCTACCACATATGCCACCTTTGAACCAGCCTATGTCCAATAGTCCCTGTTGTGGCAAGCACCAAGGAGGGGGGCAGGTGGCTGCCAACCAGGACTACAAACAGGGCTGGCAAGTGGCCAGAGCTGATTGAAACTGCTCTCCTCAGTCATTAGGAATATAGGTCAACTCCAGCCATCTCCGCTGCCTGGCAAAATAAATGGGAGGGAAGCTGCCACAAACACCAGCTTTTTAGCATTAGCAGAGCAACTAGAGCAGGTGGGCAGAAGGCTAAGGCAGGAATAGAATCAGAGGAAGTCAAATTCTTCTACCAAGGGACCAACAGAATAGGGGGCTCCAAAGTAAACCTAGTTGGTCCTAGATGGAGCCTTCTCTGAATCACAATAAAAGTTATCAAACAGCCTTTATTTTTCCATTTCAATATTTTATTAATGCATAAGATATACAGAATCAAATATTATATGAGATTGCTTGTTTAAGCAAATTACTTTGAAACGCCTCCGTTCTCCCATAGTGCATAGGACAGTTTTTTATTCCAATGTATACTGTTTTGCAGAACCCTTAAAAAACCCAAGAGAACTCTAGCTGAGCAAAATTCTGTAAGAACCAACACCTTCAAACAGCCGCTGAAATTTTCAGCTCAATAGTATTTTAGTGCCCTTTCCCTCCTTCAGTTTTATGCTGACCTCTCAGCTGGCAGCCGTGCTGCCTCTGAGATTACTAACTCAAGCAGGCATTCCTTTAATCTCTTCCCTGGAAAGACAGAGGCTGCCATCACACGCTTGCACAGCAGTGATTGAATCCCATGGGAAACCTGAGGAAGCCCAGTGCCATGGTGTTTCCTACCTGGTTAGAACCCCACCGTGGTGGAGGGTTTCAATCAAGTGAGAAAGGCCTACCTTTGATTGCCATTGGCCATGCTGATGTTCAACACTGCAGCTAAATGAACTATAACCACTGAAGAGAAACTCAAGCATGGTTTTGTGTGTGTTGTATGAAAAGGATTTGAGTGAAAACATGCATGAGTGAAAATGTGCATATAACTTCCAAGTCCTAGTGTTCACCCACAGAGATAATTACCAAAATCACACACTGGAAAACACCGTGCCACAATATTTGACCCATGCTCCTCACCCAATAATAGTGCTGTAAGAAGCAAGGCTGTTAGATTCTTCCCATGGACTCACCTGTCCCAACAAGCTGTTTGCCTAATATTTCCACACCTATTTACATCTGCACATCCAAAAGTGATCCCTTATAAACAGAATGTCACAGAAATGGTCCTTGGTGAATCTGTGTGAACATTTGCACATGTGAAAATATTTGTACATGTGTGTTCCCACATGCAGAAGCTTGTCATCCAAATGGCCCATCCATACAAGGATTGTTTCAGATCTTTTTGGAGTTCTCTCATCAGCACTTTTATTTGCAGAAATTATTTAATGTCTGCCAACAGTTAATGGTTCTGAAATAGCCGCCTGGTGCTCCAAATCATCTCCTTCCAAATCTTTCCCCCAGCAGATCAGGTCACCAGGATTTCATGTAAAGCATTAGCATATCCATGTAGCTCTGCCTTTGGCTAGAACAGGGGCTAGAGTATTGGTGACAGATATGATAAACTTCCTGCTCAGTCATGAAGCTCACTGGCTGGGTATGGGCTCGCTTTGGGAAGGGCCGTAGCTCAGTGGTAAAACATGTACTTTGTGCATAGGAGGTTTCAGGTTCAATCCTCAGCATCTCCAGGAAGGGCTAGCAGTGACTCGTGTCTTAAATTCTGGAGAGCTGCTGCCAGTCAATGTTGACAAAATTTGACTAGATTGACTAGTGGTCTGATTCTTTCTATGTTTCCAAGTTACTGTTTCTCAACACACCGTAGGGTGTTATAATGTTGTGAAGCTGTAATGTGGGTTATTGGAAGGACAGGATGCAAACACCTTTTTCATGGACACAGACAGGTCCTGTTTAACAGCTACATGATCTCCAGGATTCAACAGGTGGCACTTTTGCCTGTACAGAGATGTAGTGAGAGTTGAGGAAACCTCATGTTGTGGTGGTTCATATTATACTGCTTTTAAAAGGCACAGGATATCTGTTAGCAACTACAGTGGTACCTCGGGTTAAGTTCCGGAGGTCCGTTCTTAACCTGAAACTGCTCTTAACCTGAAGCACCACTTTAGCTAATGGGGCCTCCTGCTGCCACCGCTGCACGATTTCTGTTCTCATCCTGAAGCAAAGTTCTTAACCCGAGGTACTATTTCTGGGTTAGCGTAGTCTGTAACCTGAAGCATATGTAACCCGAGGTACCACTGTATATTAAACTTAAGATTGTTATCAGCTTTAGATATGGGAACCAAATTTGCATGTTGCGCTGGAAAATAAAGATTGGTGATAGCCCATTAATGCAAGACCCATGCAGTATGAAGACCTAACGGGTTGGTTGGTTGGTTGGTTTGTTCGTTTGTCTATCTATGGCGTGCAGTGCACGCACCTACCAAATGAGGATATTTCACGCATCTGGTAAGAAGACTCCAGCCCGCTGACCCTACCAAAAGATCTCTCGGTCCGTAAGGTGGCACACAGCAACTCTTTCAAAGTGCTCTTGGAACTTCGGAGGTGTCCAAAAGGAACTGATCGGGGCCTGCCTGCCAGCCAGCCTCTCGGCGGCTCTGTGCTGTCTGTGCGCCCTGCGGAAAGCAGCGCTGTTCCGAAGCAGCCACGCTGCGCAAAGGTCGGGCTCCTGCCCTGCTTGGTGCGCTTCCTCCGGCCGCTCACTGCTCCATCTAACCCGGCCTGCGCTCCTCCACCCCTCCCGGCCTCTCGCCCCACGGCAGTCGCTCTCCTGGGTTCCCCTCCCTCCGGAGAGGACCTGCCCCAAGCGGGATCTCGCTTACCGGAGATGTTCTCCTTGTGCTTTTCGGCTCCGGGGCCGTATTGGTGCGGGTGGTGGCTCGGGTGGTGGTGCGAGTGGTGATGGTGCTCCGGGCGCGCTTGCAGAAAGGGCAGGTGCGCCGGCAGGAGGCAATGCGCCCCGGCCGGCTGCTGCGTGGCGAAGCCGCACAAGAAGCCCAAGCCCATGGGCAAGGGACCTCCGCCGCCTCCTGCCAGTCCCGCTGCCCCTCCGCCGCCTTCGCAGCCCGAGCCGGTCACGGAGGAGGTGGCGGGCGGCTGCAGCTCCGCCTCCAAGCCCAGCAGGTCGGTGATGGCGAAGCCCTTGGAGCGCAGGCTGCCGCCCGACGGGCTCCCTAAGCGCGCCTTCTCGGGGCCGCCGCCTCCTCCGCTGGGCGTCAGCGCTTTCCCCTTGGCTTTGCCCTCCGCGATCTCTTCGCGGCCCGTCATGCTGCTGCTGCTGCCGCCTCTGCTCGCCTCTCCTCGGCAGCCGGGCGCCTACACACAAGCGCCGAGAGACTCTCCGAGGCTTTTTATCCTGCGCGCCCCAAGCCGTCCGGCGCCAATCAGCTGCAGGGAAAGTGTGCGCGGACGGAGGGGGGGGGTCACTCCCTGAGAATTAATTGCCACCAATTTCCTCGCGGTCCTATCACTCTTTCCCCTGCTCCCCCTCCCTCGTTTCCCTCTCCGCTTTCTGACTTGGGTATTATTTGCTCAGAGTAACAATAAAAGACGCCTGCTTCTTGGGAGAAAAGCGATGACAAACCTAGGCAGCATCTTAAAAAGCAGAGACATCGCCTCGCCAACAAAGGTCCGTATAGTTAAAGCTATGGTTTTCCCAGTAGTGATGTATGGAAGTGAGAGCTGGACCATAAAGAAGGCCGATCGCCGAAGAATTGATGCTTTTGAATTATGGTGCTGGTGGAGACTCTTGAGACTCCCATGGACTGCAAGAAGATCAAACCTATCCATTCTTAAGGAAATCAGCCCTGAGTGCTCACTTGAAGGACAAATCCTGAAGCTGAGGCTCCAATACTTTGGCCACCTCATGAGAAGGAAGAGAAGAATCCCTGGAAAAGACCCTGATGTTGGGAAAGATGGAGGGCAGAAGGAGAAGGGGACGACAGAGGACGAGATGGTTGGACAGTGTTGTCGAAGCTACCAGCATGAGTTTGACCAAACTGCGGGAGGCAGTGGAAGACAGGAGTGCCTGGCGGGCTCTGGTCCATGGGGTCACGAAGAGTCGGACAAGACTAAACGACTAATCAACAACAGATTTCACTACGAGGTGCGCAAGCCCCAGCAGCTTCGGCGTGTGTCCCCCATCTCCCTGCCCTCAACACCGTCCACCCCCACCCCACCCCCCGTCGCTGGCACACAAGAAGAGGCTGCAGGCCACCCAGATCCCTGCGAGAACCTGCAAGCAGGACCTCACTGCAACGACACCCTCCTTTCCTGCAGTTTCCAGCAACTGGCATTCAGAAACATACTGCCATGAATTTGTCTAATCCTCTTTTGAAGCCATCCAAGTTGGTGGCCATCCCTGCCTCTTGTGGAAGAGAGTTCCATGTGCTGCATTAAAAAGTATGTTATCTGTCCAAAATCCTCCACCATTGGGTGCCTACGAATTCCAGTGTTATACAAACTTCTATCCTGTCGCCTTACTCTCCTTTTCTCTAAACCTAGAAGTCCCAAAAGCTGCAACCCTTCCTCATAGAAGAGTAGCTCCACCCCCTGGATCATTTTGGTTGCCCTTTTGTGAATTCTCAAGGCATAGCCCATAGGAAGCTATATCAAGTCAGACAGGTGGTCCATTTAGCTCAGTACTGCCTACACTGATTGGCAGCAGCTCTCCTGCGTTTCAGATGGGGTTCTCTCCCAACCCCACCTACAGATGCCAGGGATTGGACATGGGACCCTCTACATGCAAAACAGATGTTTTGCCACAGAGCTACGGTCTTCCCCTCAGGACCACTGGATATTGTCACCCCTTAACCACCTCTTCATTCTGTCATAGTGATATGGCGACAGATAGTAATAAAGAATGCTAAAGACAACCACTAGCAAGATAGCAGGGTGTCTGTTCAGAGATACTAATGCAGCATAACTGTAAGTGGGGGTCTAAAGGTAAAGGGACCCCTGACCATTAGGTCCAGTCACGGACAACTCTGGGGTTGTGGTGCTCATCTCGCTTTATTGGCCGAGGGAGCCGGCGTACAGCTTCCGGGTCATGTGGCCAGCATGACTAAGCCGCTTCTGGCGAACCAGAGCAGCACACGGAAACACAGTTTACCTTCCCGCCAGGGTGGTACCTATTTATCTACTTGCACTTTGACATGCTTTTGAACTGCTAGGTTGGCAGGAGCAGGGACCGAGCAATGGGAGCTCACCCCATTGTGGGGATTCGAACCACCGACCTTCTGATCGGCAAGCCCAAGGCTCAGTGGTTTAGACCACAGTGCCACCCGCGTCCCATAAGTGGGGGTCTACACTGTAGCATATTTAGCATAACCATTAATTAGACAGTGAAGGCATCCCAATAATCATCTGCAGCCATTCGGACCTGGAAAATCAAGAACCATCAGATTTCTTGGCAATGAACCCTTGGATACCTTTAATTGCCTGTTCTGTCTTAATTCTCCATGTAGTGAGGGAGTGCTGATGGCACAGGAGGAACAGATGATTTATTAAAAACACAGCATGCTTTACAAAACATCCCATTAGAAGTAATATATATTGTAAGCCATGGCAGCCAGACTGTATCTGCAAAGCTGCCTTACAGAAGTTCAAGCCATTTGTTCATCATTCTAGCCCCAATTTCTGTACTCTGGCTGGCAGCAGCTCTCAGGCTTTCTCATTACCCACAACTTGAGCCTTTTAGCTGGAAATGCCAGAGATTGAGCCTGAGGCCTTTTGCATGGGAAGCATGTGCTCTGCCACTGAACTATGGCATCTTCCAATAGAGGTACCATTGTCTTCTCCCCCAGACAGGGAAAAACCCTTTTCCAATTAAGGCAAGGATGAGTCCATGGGAGTCTGAAGGAAGAAAGTTAGGCAGGAGTTTATGGTAGACTCACAGAGCAGGGGACTAACAGGCAGGAAAGTTACAACTCTAAGGACTCTTAAGGACGGGGGACAAAATTAAAAAGCACATGCAATCAGAAACAAATCCTTCAGAACCCTGGACAGGTCCCATGAGCAAGCTTATTTGTTGCATGAATGCCAAAATCCATATTAAGGCAATACCTTTAATAGGACAACTAAACTATCACAAGGTGGGTGGCGCTGTGGGTTGGACCACAGAGCCTAGGACTTGCCGATCAGAAGGTCAGCGGTTCGAATCCCTGCAATGGAGTGAACTCCCATTGCTCGGTTCCTGCTCCTGCCAACCTAGCAGTTCGAAAGCATGTCAAAGTGCAAGTTGATAAATAGGTACCACTCTGGTGGAAAGGTAAACAGTGTTTCCGTGCACTGCTCTGGTTCGCCAGAAGCGGCTTAGTCATGCTGGCCACATGACCCGGAAGCTGTATGCCGGCTCCCTCGGCCAATAAAGTGAGATGAGCGCCGCAACCCCAGAGTCAGCCACGACTGGACCTAATGGTCAGGGGTCCCTTTACCTTAAACTATCACAAAGCAATGTGTAAGCTTTTGAGTTCTCCATAGTTCTTCATCAGACAAGATGGTAAACAATGGGATGGGGGCAAACAAAGCAACACAGATGGAGAAAACCAAGGAGTCTGCCTCTCTTCATATCAATCCCCCTGCCCCCCCAAATGCAGCCCTCCAAGCCTCTCAGTCTGGGTACTCTCCCTAATGACATTATTTTTCTCCAGGCTGTACCCCTTACTGGCTTGCTTCACACCCTCCATGAGCATGAAATGTGTCCTTGAACTCTAGTTGTGCCTCCTGCTAGCCTAGCTAAAGACTAGGGTCTGTGAGCAACATGTGTAGAAACTAGCCTACTGCACATAGGTAAAATATACATTTGTTGCTCCACCTATTAGTGCCTCTGATCCCCACTCACTATTGGCATATGGCCCCTGGAAGGTTGCCTAGAAGGAAATGTGGCCCTCAACTTTAAAAAAAGCTCTTCACTGGCACATGTGCTCACAGACACATTGTCCTTTTCGCTTAGGATCTTAGACAATATATTGCTGTCTGTTCACTGGTGTTTTGGTGTTCCATTAGTAAGCTGCACAAAAAGAAATGGGAAATGGATTTTTGTTTTTGGGGAGGGGGGCAGGAATCAGTGTCAGGTGTACAAATGACTCTCAGCCGCTGCACTCTACAAGCTGCTTTTGTGATTATACCAAAGGGAAGAGGGAGTTGCTTCTCAGTCCATCTACAATTGATAGCATGGGCAGCATTGGGGGCAGGTGGAAGCTGTGGGGTGGTACAGAAGAGGCAAGTGTATTTCTGGGGAGGGGGCAAGGCTTGTCCCACATTTTAGATATCCGAAAGAGAAATAATGGACCCTACGACATGAATTCTCCCACACCAAATCTCCAGCAAATCCCACTGATCTTTTTAAAGTTAACTTTCAAATAAACATGTCTAAGATTGTAGCCTTATCTTAATTTCCAGTTTATGATTTAAACTTCCCCAAAACATCCAGCACTTCTTGGGAGCAAGCCTCCCTTTACTCTCCTTTCAGTGCTCCCTATTCTGTAAATGATAGTCCTAGGATTGCAGCAATCTGTTCTGTAAGAATTAATCTGGAATAATTGCTACCCTTTAGCCCCTCAAAATTATTGATACAGAATAGAAACTTCCACTTCACATGTGAGCAGAAAAGAAGAGATAAACTGACACACACACACATACCCCCCCCTCTCTCTCTCTCATACACACACACACACACACACACACACACTTCTCATTTATTGTTTATTTTGGCAATTACTGGGAGGGGAAAGGACACCTGAAAGCAACTTGCTCCAAATCTGTGTTGTATCAGGGGAGATTGTAAGGTATCTCTCAGGAACACACTCCATGTTGAAATTCCACCATAAAACCTACATTGGTTAGCATGTACAATTGGTTTTAAACTGGCTTTCTCCCCTCCCAGTTTCTATTCTGCATTAGCAGTGATCACAAGAGAAATATATCCTAACTAAAATGCATTCTTAAGGAAAGAAAGAAAAACTGCAAATTCCACACTGTTTCTGGGTGGTTTGTTATTTGGCTGACCAACAAAGCCAGCTTGCCAGCTCTTCAGTGTGTCTTTTGGACACTGGCATCAGGCTTGGTCAAATTCAAGCTGTGATTCCAGGTCAACTTTATTTTTAGCATCCGTCAAATCCATCAGTAAAGCTAAAATCTGCTAGGTTTCAGGCTCTCTCTTTTAAATTGAGAGAGTTGTTGCGTTTAACCACAAGCCACGTGTCACCAAACAAAAACAGGAAAGCGGGAGAGGGGAGACTGCAGCTATTTGTACCTCTGATTCCATTTCTTGCACCTGGATTGCATTTCCCCGCTTCATCTGTTTATGCAAACGATTTACAAACAGCTTACATCAAGTGCTCTAAAGCAGATCACTTTTTGATTTGGTCCTTTTCTGCTAAACATGCAGATTAAACAGGGGTCTTCTGATAAAGATAATTACAAGAGGACTGCGTATTAACTTTACATTATTAAAGAAAGACCCAAATCTCCCCTTGCAAGCTGTTCCTGGGATTAGCAAAACAATAACTTTCATTTAGGGTAATTGTGATGTGAATGGCTTGGGTTTTATGGTTTTGCTTTTGACGATTGCTTTTTGATCATTATTATTCTTGGTTTATAAGAAAAAGCTGGAATCTCGTTTTGAATTAGTCAGGTGTGAAGGAAAAGAAAAGAAAAGAAGGAGTTAGTAGTTTCAGACTGACTCATTAATGACAATGCTATTAGGGCTGCTGGTAATTTTGCTAGCAGCTCTGCTTACCCCAAACCAGGAAAGGGGAAATAGCTGTAGATTTTTAAGAAGCAACATTGGCTGCTTTGTATCCACTTATCAAAGAGTAAGCCCCATTGAACTTATTGGGGGATATATACTGTATAGGATTGCACTGTTTGGAACAGCAAAATATTGATGACTACAGAATATAAACATGATTCATGCCTGAGATTTGTAGCCTATATTGTTCCATGGTCTCAAGACAGGTAACACTGTTAAAAGCACACACACACACAAACTGATGTGTAAAGACATTTTATAACAGCTGTCATCTAACTACAGAATTTTGTTTGATTCATCTGCCTTTGATTTACGTTACTGATTATATTTAAATATATCTGCAGATTACCAGCATCTCAATTTTTTTCTATCTTAAATAGATATGGTAAATTAAACTATGAAGCTACCTGAACATTTCAAACAATAAATAACTACCCTTATTTGTTCAAAGGAAAGTGAATCTTTATTACCATATTTAACCTTTTCAATCCCTAGTATATTACACACAAATCAAAATCCCTAGTATATTACACACAAAACAATTCCCAAATTTAACCTGTGTGCTGCACAACATGGTCTGTAGATCAAAATTGGTCCCATTGAACCACTGAAATCTTTAGGTGACTGATCTACTAGTTGGAAAGCAGGGAACAAAAATTAAAGTTAAGAATTACATTAAAAGTTGAATGCATTTTGGAACAGTAGTTGTATTCAGAACATCCTAATGAAAATATTAGCATGTTAAAAATTGTTCTTAATTTAAGTAAATAAAGTAGGGGGTTCTCTTTTTTAAAGCTGTGGAAGGTTGAAAGGATATGCTTAGGAATTTTAGTTCATATTAACAATACTGAGTTTAGTGTACCTATAAGAGATTAATTTGTGTATTATAATTGATAGTTGAAATCCTATGCACACTGATTTGGGAAAAAGCTCCTTTGGCTACAGCGGGTAACAATGGAGAACCTTGAGACACATAGTGCCTTACTAAATACTAAACATTTTTGGAAACAAAACTCTCTCTCTCAAAACTTTGATCGCAGCAAAATGGAAGAGTAATGAAATCCCCTCTATACAAGATTGGATCCAAAAGCTGACAGAATATGCCGAATTAGATGGTTTATCAGAAAAAATAAAGAATAAATCAAAACAGGAATTTGTTTCTAAATGGGAGGTTTTCAAAGAATATCTGAAAAATAAATATAGTAGTTTAAATTCTGTTGCAGCATTCGAGGAACTTCAGTGATAGTTGCTAGGTAGATAGAAGAAATTAGATTTATTGAGAATAAGTTTAATTATGAAAAAAAATGTGTATTGGCAATACGTAATATGAATTTGAAATATGGAATAGACAGTAAGTTGGGTCTTTAGTGTTAAGACCAATAGATGTTTTATTGTTTGCCAAGAAAATTATGTGTCTATGGTTATTTTTGTAATTGGTGTGTAATTTGGTATTTGTGTTTTTTTGTGTGTGTTTTTTTCTTGTTGTATAAATAAATAAATAAATGTAGAAGGTAAAAAAAAAAAAAAAACATTTTTGCAAACATGAATTCTATTCCTAAGTTATTTAACACTTGGGTGGCGATTCTAGCACCAGAAATGTCTCTGCTTATCACTGTAACATTACCCACCCTTCAAAAAATAAAAGCAGGATATATAACAATGACTCCTGGCAAACTTGTAAATTGTTCCTCTTGCTGGATTTTTATAAATAAGGCACTCCCTTAACCATTGTGGCAATGAAAACTTGTTTGGGGGATAAACCCCTTCACGGGCTTTTAGGTTGTCAATTAAGAACATTTCTTCCCTGCCGATCAGTTTAAAAAGATGTCACTAGACAGTTAACCCCAGTCGAGAGAATTATTGTTGACTCTTCAGAGTGTATAAAGGAGCTGGTTTCACTGCGTACAACATTTTGTTAAAGGCCACTTTTAATTTAAACCAGAATCATAGGCCTTGGTGGGAACATCCTAGAGAACTCTCATTGGAAATAGAACATGGCTGATATTAAAGGTCACAATCTTTCTCTTTTATACACTAGAGCGCCATCCCATTATACTGGAGGGAGTGCTAGGAAAACGAGACTTTTTTTGAAATGTGGTGGAATTGTCCCAAAATTAATAATAATAATAATAATAATTTATACCCCACCCATCTGGCTGGGTTTCCCAGGGGTTTTGGGAAAAGGTATCATTGAGAACATAAATGCCCACTCAACTGCTTAGATCTGTGCCACTGTTACAGGTATCACATAACACCCGTTCCATATTTGTAAGAAATTGATCTTATGGTGTGGCAGTACCTACAGTTTGGAACTCCCTACTGGCATCAGGCTGGCACCTTCACTGTATTCTTTTAGGCACCTAAAACAAAACAATTTTTTTTTATACAAGCCTATCCAGATATGTAGAAAGTTGATTAGTGTTTTTAATAATAATAATAAATAATAATAATATTTATTTATACCCCGCCCTCCCCAGCCAAGGCCGGGCTCAGAGCTGCTGAGTTTATCACTGCCTTTAATTTTTTATAAAATGTTTTAAATAGCTGTTTTAAACTGTTTTTACCAATAATTTTGTTTCACTCCTTTTGTAAACCATGTTGAGGGTGTGTGCGTTTTTTCAATCAAGTGGTATATAAATTTTATGAAATAAATAAAATAAATAAATAACTGAGTAAACAGTCCACTCTTCCCCTTATTTGGCACTTTCAAATTGATTTGTGAACACTGATCAGGATTTGAAGAACAGAGAATTGGCACTTTCAAATTGATTTGTGAACACTGATCAGGATTTGAAGAACAGAGAATCTGTTTCACATCTCCTTACAGCAGAACAGGCTACAATTGCAAAGTTTTGGAAGATTTTCAGTCTTGATAATTTGGATTGTTGGTATACCAAGACTTGGCAATTTGCCTTCCTTGAAATTATTTTGCGTAAGTTAAAAGTATCCAGAGGCCAAAGTGCCCAATATTGCTTTATTGTCATTAGGTTTGATTTTATTTTCTGTGTGAATCAGGGCCGGCCCACACATGGGACAAGGTGAGGTGAGTGCCTCTGGTGGCAGGATTCGCTGGGGCAGCAGATCCCAATGTCAACCTTCCGTCCCCCAACTTGTCCCTGATGTAGGACTTCCTTCACCTCTACTTCCCCAGTGGGGAGGACTGCCCCCCCCCAATTTTGGGGTCCACCTCAGGTGCCAAAATGTATTGGGCTGGCCCTGATGTGAATGTAGCAGCTGAAGGACCCCAAGTCTCACTGGTTTAGGCAAATGTCTGGATTTAGTAAAATTCTAGCTTGTCATCTGTACTTTATTTTTGGAATTACTGTCTGTTACTATGTAGTCACAAGCTGCAAAATCTTTTACTGATGGCATGTCTTGGTACTGACTTTGTGAGTTTTACATTTATTTTATTTATGATCTCCAAGTAACGACAATTGCATTATTTATTTGTACTCTTTTTTACTTTGTTATTATTAAAACCTGCTTAAAACTGTAAACACAGTAAAAATACTGAGGTGGGGTGGGGAGGAAGACTTTCACTGGTAGTGCGAGGGAGCAAATCTGATGTAGTAATTAGAGAAGCAGTAATCCGACCACCACCCACAACAAATTTCCTGTCCGACTAGATATTAATGGATAAACCCCTAATTTCCCCCTCCCCTCCCCCCACCCTTTTTTTGACGTGGCACCAGAATCAGCTTAATTTCAGCAGTTTTACGTTAAAGGCTGAGCTCCTGGCGGGGATGAGGAAGCCTTAAATATGCATATGGCCAAGTCATTTGGAAAGTTTAGGGATAAAGCATATATAATTGCTCCTAATCAGTTTATGAAACATAAAAGCTCAAAAGCGAGAGAAAGCCGATAGACAGAGGAGAGGAAATAAGAGTTTTAAATCTCCTGCACTTTAGAGAGAGAGATGTGATTACTTACACAGAAGCAGACAAAAACAACCAGCTAGACATAAAGACGGGCTTTCTGCAGTGTACCTGGGGATTTTGCAGGAATATGTGCCTGTTGCGTGCTCTAGCTTGCGTATTTTCTACGCATCTTCTACTCTGAACCCTTTGTCAGTGTACTTTTTTGCTCCTGGGCTTTGCTTTGCACGGACATGGCATTTGCACTTCTGCACTGCGTTCTCCCATGATTTGCACACTTTCTTTCTTGCAAGAGGGAGGAGGTGGGGGCAAAGAAGAACCCAAGTAGAGCATGCTCTGGACTGAGCCTTTTGACAGTAAATCAGTTAAAGGATCTCTTGATATATGCTCATCAGATAGGATTATCTGGAATTAAACTAATCAGTAAATGTTTCTCTGCTCATTATTTTGCAAGGGAAGATTTTTGGCCTATTCCCCGACGCCAAAAGATTATTAATCCCTTAAAGAGCAGGACATCAAACATCGCTCCTCGCTCTAATTTTCTAGCATCCCCTCCCTCCAGGGCACATGGAGACTCTACAGTCACGTGTAAGGCAATCCAGGGGATTGCGTTTGCATTGGGAGCGCAGAAAGTAGATCGAGATGTACTGATAGATCTCTGGGTGCCTTGCAGAAGATCAGCGAGGATTTCTGACTCCCAACTGTTTAACCATAGCAGCAACAAAATGTAAGACTTGTCAAAACGTTGCCAGAGGGCATTCCAAAAAGAGCAATATCACCTTTCTAGTGTGTCCTCAGCAGTTAGGAAGTAAATGATTATGGATTTGCTCATCTCCATGCAGGTCTCCCCTTCTGGGTCAAGTGTCATGCACCAAAGCTAGACATACCTGTTGATCAGACACAAGGTAATGGTTGCTTCCATAGCAGTCTGCTGCCTGAAGCAGCTGCATCATAAAGCTCTATGGGAAAGCATGTGACTTTAACACAAACTTACCTTATAGTGTTGCTGTAATACTCCAGACCAATTTAGCATCTTCAAACACATAAGACAGAAAGATGAATGTATCCTTGACAAATCAGTTCTGTGCATTGGCCCCATTGTATGGACTACAAGGAAGAACAAACTCCTTAACATTCCTCCAGTCTCTGCCTAGTTGTCTGGCACAGGTTTATGTCCCTATGGACTGCAAGAAGATCAAACCTATCCATTCTGAAGGAAATCAGCCCTGAGTGCTCACTGGAAGGACAGATCCTGAAGCTGAGGCTCCAAGACTTTGGCCACCTCATGAGAAGAGAAGACTCCCTGGAAAAGACCCTGATGTTGGGAAAGATTGAGGGCACAAGGAGAAGGGGATGACAGAGGACAAGATGGTTGGACAGTGTTCTCGAAGCTACCAGCATGAGTTTGACCAAGCTGTGGGAGGCAGTGGAAGACAGGAGTGCCTGGCGTGCTCTGGTCCATGGGGTCACGAAGAGTAGGAAACGACTAAACAACAACAACAATAGTTGCACCTGATATCTCCTTAGTCCTCTGAAGTGACCGATCAAATCAATGCCTGCCTTTAGCTTTTAATTGATAGGATCCTACTTTCTGCATGTTTATCAAGTAACCACACTTACCTTTGTGGACAGCAGAATCTAGGCAACACTCCCAATTCTCAGACTTGGGAACCATTCACCTACAGTACCTTTGTCAGCTCCCGTCTACTGATCTGCACCTAGCGTACCTTCAGCTTCAGCTTCTGCACAGCCTCTTCTGACTCAGATTTAATGGAGAAATAGAACTGGGTGTTAGTATACCGAAGACACCGAAGACTTCCTGATGACTGTTCTCAATGGCTTCATATAGATGTTTAATAACATTGGGGACGAAACAGTGCCTTGTGGTAACCCACAACTGAGTTGCCAGGGTGTAGACACCCCAGTTCTGTTCTCTAAGATCATCTATGCCAGTATGAGTGAAACCATTGTAAAAACTGCCTTCGGCTCCCAGCCCACAAAAATAGTCCAGCAGTACACCACAGCCAATGGTGTCAAAATCCACTGACAGCCCCAATGGGAGCAGCAGGGTCACACTCCCCATTTCTATCCCTCAAGCAGCATGACAAGAGCCGATTCTGTACCAAAGCCAGACCTGAACCCAGACTGGAATGGGTCCAGATTATTGGTTTCCTCCAAAAGTACCTGGAGCTGAACTGCAACCACCCTCTCAAGCACCTTGCCTCAAAAGGGGTTCTTGTGTAGGTGTCACATATGAATTTCAGATACAGGAATGGTGTATTAGTATCATCTGGGGGGAAGGGAGAGGCTAAAAGTCCTTTATAATTAATATATATCTGAAGCCACACCCATTCAATTGGTGGCATGCTCCAATTCTGGTTCTGCAATATATTCCTGTTAGCCTCATCTGCAGGGTGCCCAGTCAACATCCTTGCTAATTCCTGGTAATAGATTTCTTTCTTAAGGCGTTTCTCTTTGATTAAAAACAGAAGAGCAGTCATGATTTAAATGGACTTTAAGATAAGAGCAAAGCGTGTGTTGACACACTCGACTTTTGCATCTGGAGTGTCACAGATTAATCAAACTGCTGGAAAGTGGAAGAGCAAGACAGCTGTCAGAGCAGTCCTGGCTAGATCTTTTAATTAATTCGTGGAGAAATACACAGTGGGTGCGGGGAGAAAAGTAAATGAACATCCAGTTCCTAACGTGGCAAGATACAAAATATATCCATTAAAAAAAACACAGTTATTTCGGTAACTTGAAATGGCACCTGCCTCATACACTTACAGTTGCAATCCTATACATGTCTACTCAGAAATAAGCCCACTGAGTTCATTGAGACTTATTCCCAGACAATACTGGATTGCAGCCTAATACACACTTACCTGGGAGCATGGTCTATTAGACTTAGCAGGACTTACCTCTGAGCTGACATATATAGGATTGCACCCCATGTGCCTCTATTCACAGCAACAACAAATTCATTTTAAGGGCATTTCTCCCACCCAATGCTGTGCAAAGTTTACATTAGTTAAAGATGCATGTGGCGATCACACAGGGTCCCCGGACGTTTGACGGTCTATTGACCCTGTGCCACCACTGTAATTGCTTTTCTTCGCTGCCACCAACCCATTTCTCATGGGTACACACGGAGTCCAGACAGTTGTTAACATTAACAAATAATCAAGTTTATTTTTATAAGCATGAACAAGCTAATGGTTTCAGTTAATTTTTCTTGGCAGTTTCTTAATCTTAGTTCGTTAATTGTCCTATTCGTTCCTAACAACTTCAAACTGATTATCCCAACTATCTATCTATCTGACTCCACCTAACAGTTCCTCTCACTCTCTCACCACACAACTTGACCAACCCACAAACTTATAACCTCCCTCTTCCTTCTCCAACTCCCAACTCTCAACTGACTTTCACACAACTCCAACTCTCACTCTAACTCCTCCCCTGGGGTTCTCACTGGCCAATCACATCACACTCATTTTAACCCTTTCCTTATGACCCACCTAGGAGGCAAATGCCACAATGCAAAATATGTCCTTTTGTGTCCAGATTCCTCACTGGCCTTCTAGAATCATGGACAAAATTGCATTTTCTGCTCCATTAATTCCATAGGCTCGAACTCTCCCTACTTACCAAGGAAGGTCCCTATTTTCTGCACTCAATAGATTACTTTCTGTGTTTTGCTTTGCTCCTATTTTGTCCTTTGGATGTTAACAATCCAGAAGGCTTCAACCCCATACTGCCTACAAGTATTTAGAGCAGGAGTGAAGAACAACATTAAGTATGTGACAAAAAGAATGTTTAGTTTACACTGGTAACAGACTAAACCAATAAAATTAAAATTAAAGATAAGCGAATGTGCCTAGTTTCTATGTAACACCGGACGTGGGTGGTGCTGTGGTTTAAACCACTGACCCTCTTGGGCTTGCCAATCGGAAGGTCAGTTTGAATCCGTGCAGCAGAGTGAGCTCCTGTTGCTCTGTCCCAGCTCCTGCCAACCTAGAAGTTCAAAAGCACACCAGTGCAAGTAGATAAATAGGTACTGCTGTGGCGGGAAGGTAAATGGCATTTCTGTGTGCCCTGGCTTCCATCACAATGTCCCATTGTACCCGAAGCAGTTTAGTCATGCTGGCCACATGACCTGGAAATCTGTCTGTGGACAAACCCCGGCTCCCTTGACCTGAAACGAGATGACTGCCACACCCATAGTCACCTTTGACTGGATTTATCCGTCCAGGGGTCCTTTACCTTTTACCTTACCACGTAGCACCCTTTTCAGCTACTTCACAGAACACAGGCCCAGTGGGGCATTTAGGTAGCTTTGGAAACAGTTGGGTGGTAAAGTTATTATTTGAAATAATATGTGAAGTTCCTCAGGTTTAGAGGTTTCTGTATATTTATAGGGGGTTTTTTTAATAAGGGCCTGCCATTATTTTTCTGGCACTTATTTGAAGATTACATTGGAGGCTGAGGTGGAGAAGGTACAGCTAAATCCGACAAGACCAAATTTAAGAGTCGAATTGTTTCGCTACAGCTGAGAATTTGGTGGTGCCTCATATGTTACTACAGTGGTACCTCGGGTTAAGAACTTAATTCGTTCTGGATGTCCGCTCTTAACCTGAAACTGTTCTTAACCTGAAGCACCACTTTAGCTAATGGGGCCTCCTGCTGCCGCCGCTGCGCAATTTCTGTTCTCATCCTGAAGCAAAGTTCTTAACCCGAGGTACTATTTCTGGGTTAGCGGAGTCTGTAACCTGAAGCGTATGTAACCTGAAGCATCTATAACCCAAGGTACCACTGTATGTGATAATGATTTAATTTTAGTAATGTATAAAAATCATTTTATTTAGACAAAACACTATTAATGGTTTATGTGTATATATTACTTGTCTCTGCCACTGCCTTTGCCATGAGTCCCTTCAGAGACACTTAGTAATGACCATTGGCATATAAACAAACATTAAGAATCATATCAAAAATAGTTACATAAGCACAACCTGAAATGATGTATGCTATCATGCAAATTGCACAGTGGAAGAAATCCACTGTGGCCAACCAGATGCCTCTGGGAAGCCTGTAAGATGGACATGGATGCCACAGTACACTGCCCATCTACCTTTCCCAGCAAGTGGTGATCAAAGGCATAACAATGTCTTTCAGGTACAATATAGCCATAATGATTAGAAGCCACTGAATGTAAATTCAAAGTCCCCCTTGTAGGATTAATTATGTACAGCACTTCATAAGTCATATATCCAACTCCTTAAATAATTTGATAATCCAAGTGTTTTGCCAGCCATTGTAAATTCTGCTTGCTTAAAATAAACAGCTGGTGAGCCAAATTATTTAACCACCTGAAACCCTTCAAAATTGCCTTCCTGAATTCAGTCTCTATTTACCAAGGGACCCTCTACAAAATACTCTGAAGTCGATGGAGGGATCTCCATTAGTCTTTCAGTCAAAGTCCAGCATCACTTGTAAATTAAATATAGCACAAGTACTAAATTAGCTGCGGACACAGCAATTATTTGCACTTGCTTATACCTAATTAGAGTTAATTGAAAGGACAACAGGAGCTGCAACTTGGTGGGCTGGTGGGAAGACCTGGCCACACGGCAGAACTGAGTAGTGGAACTCCAGCTGTGATAAGCTGCAAACTAGCTAAAAGGATGTCCACTTCAGTTCTCTCTGCAAAAGAGCTATTATTTTAGTGCACTATGCTTGTCCAATTGCCTCAACTTATTATTTTGATCACTCTTTCCAAATGTGCTAATTTAAACAGAAACCATCAAGCTCATTAGTGAGCCTCTCATTAAAATGGAAAAAAGAAAATATAAGCACCAAAGAAGGAACTCTGAGCCACATACAATAGCTGCCATATTCATTAAATCAACATCCTCCAAAAGGAGCAAAACTGCTTCAGAAACACAGAAACTCTGCACAAGAAGGGTGTTCTGTGTCAGTCCCAGGTGACTCTGAGGCAACATATCTCTTGAACGAGAGCTTTCCAAGGTCCTGAAAATCAGGACCTTGCCTTGCTATTTGGCACTAGCCAGCCTGCCCTCCAAGCTTTTAGTCTTCATCCCTTCCTTGTTTGCCCATTTTAGACTGTGAACAAAACTGTTGCTATTGTGACATTCCTGCTTCTTCCAGTAAATTTAGCAGCACAAGCTAATAGTCAGTTTAGCTGTTAAGTGCAGGAAATTTAGAGATAGTATTAGATACAGAGAAAGATGATAATTAAAGAAGGAAATAAAAGAACATGTTCAAGACTTTGACAAAGCAGAGAATCCTTAAAGCTCTCTTTCCAGAGATAGTGCAAGAATTTGTACAGTTCTCTTGGGCAAGCACATAAATTATACTTTAAAATGTTTAAACTCTCAAAAGAGAGGAAAACATACGTATTTTTCCTATTGCCATGTCCCCTTTTAGTGAACATCTGTCACCAAATACATTTCAGAATAATATCATAACAGTGGCTTATAATTAATCAATTAAAAAAATGGAACAGATAATTGTACAGTATGCAGTGATGAGATGCTAATGGTTGCTAATCCAGTGTAAGCTCTGGCCAACATTTTTAATGAAATTAATCAAAAGAGTGAAATATCAGCCTATAAAGCAGCCTCCACCAATCTGGTGCCCTCCAGATGTTTTAGACTACAACTCCCATCAGCCCCAGCCGCTAACGCTGGCAAAACACAGCCTATGAGGCCACCCACGACAGATATGCTAAAAGAAGATTTCAGGTGGCTAAAATGGGAAAGATTGTAGTAAGACATCCATGGCACAGCAGAAAGCAACACTTTTGTGTTACCTTATACAGTGGTACCTCGGGTTACAGACGCTTCAGGTTACTGACCCTTCAGGTTACAGACTCTGCTAACCCAGAAATAGTACCTCGGGTTAAGAACTTTGCTTCAGGATGAGAACAGAAATCGTGCGGCGGCGGCGGCGTGGTGGCAGCAGGAGGCCCCATTAGCTAAAGTGGTACCTCAGGTTAAGAACAGTTTCAGGTTAAGAACAGACCTCCAGAACGAATTAAGCTCTTAACCTGAGGTACCACTGTATCCTGATGTGACTGCAGCTCTTTTGATGAGTGAATTTTAAACCAGCCTCAGAATTGCTGCAAAAAAATTCCCTCTCCCAGACTTCAGTGGGAGGGAAGGAAATAGCTTCTCCTCATTCATGACCACCCTGCCCACATCACCACAAGAGGGCATAGGGAATGGTGTAACTCAACACCCAGTCACAGAACACCACCACAAGTATATAACCCCTTACCCAGGGAAACAGTAATACAGATGATCAGGCATGTGGCATCAGACTATATATCTCTGGCCTCTATCTAATTCTCTTTTATACTCCCTTCTCTTGCGGGGGCCCAATTAGTGCCATTGCCTTCCGTTAAGAGTTTGGGTGTAATCCTTGATGCCTCCCTTTGCATGGAGGCGCAGGTTACAGCAACAGCCAAGGCGACATTTTTCCACCTTTGCCGCATCAAGCAGTTGGTCCCTTACCTTTCCCGCCCCGACCTGGCCACAGTGATCCATGCAACGGTCATCTCCAGGCTTGACTACTGTAATTCGCTCCAAGCAGGGCTGCCCTTGAAGCTGTTCCAGAAACTCCAGCGGGTACAGAATGCTGCAGCGAGGCTCCTCACAGGGTCTCTGCCATGGGAGCATATTCACCCAGTGCTTTTCAAGCTGCACTGGCTCCCGGTGGAGTACAGGGTCAGATTTAAGGTGCTGCTTTTGACCTTTAAAGCCCTTCACGGCCTAGGACCCTCATACCTACGGAACCTCCTCTCCCAGTATGCCCCACGGAGAGCCTCAAGGTCCATAAATAGCAACACTCTAGTGGTCCTGGGCCCTAAGGAAGTTAGATTAGCTTCAACCAGAGCCAGGGCCTTTTCAACACTGGCTCTGGCCTGGTGGAACGCTCTGCCTCATGAGACCAGGGCCCTGCAGGATCTGGTTTCTTTCTGCAGGGCCTGTAAGACAGAGTTGTTCCGCCTGGCCTTTGGCTTGGAGCCAATTTGATTCCCCCCCTTTCTTTTTCCTTTTTCCTTTCTCCTCCTGTGAAGAGGCTGCAATTAAATATTTTAATGTTTCAGTATTTTAATTGTTGTATTTTAATCTTGTTTTTAAGTTGTATTCATTCAACTTGTTTTTATTATTGCTTGTTAGCCACCCTGAGCCCGGCCTTGGCTGGGGAGGGCGGGGTATAAATAAAAATTATTATTATTATTTTACAGCCATCCAAGTTGGTGGCCATCAGAAACAGTGTTGAGGAATCTCACACGGCGCGTTCTGGGGGACTTCAACATCCATGCCAAGGCGACATTTTTTCGCCGCATCAAGCAGTTGGTCCCTTACCTTTCCCTCCCCTCTGGGGTGGCTCAGGACTTCATAACCATGGGGCTGTCCCAACATGTCAACAGTCCAACGCATCTGGACCATGTTTTCTCAACTGGGCAGGAAGAGAGGGTGATCTGGAGGCTCTTCTTTGTGTGCCTCCTCCATGAGAGGTTCGGAGGGTGGCTCCCCGCTTGTGGAATGCACTCTCCAGAGAAGCATACCTGGCAACTTCATTGCATATCTTTAGGCATCAGGCAAAAGTATTCCTCTTCTCCGTCTTTTGGCTAACTAAAGAAAGTATGGCCTTTTAAACGGGTGTGTGTGTGTGTGTGTGTGTGTGTTCATTAGTATAGCATGCATTTTTTCCTGTTTTTATATTGTAAGCTGCCCTCTGATCCTTCGATGAAGAGAAGTATAGAAATTTAATAAATAATAAAGGGCCCTTCTTAGCCTGGCCCAGGGCCTCATTATGATGATGATGCTGATGTTGATGATGCCAGCACCAAAGGACAAAGTTTAGTAAGTGGTGTGTTGAGATACCCAGCAATTTAAGTGGTCTGGAGTACGGGTTGAAAACCATTTGCCATACTCAATTGAGTTTACCCTGAGTAATGGGCAGGGGGATTAAGAGGCACAGATCTGCGCTTTCTAAGAGCTGCCTGGCACAGAATTCAGCACAGTTAGAAATCTGGGTTAAAGCATGTCTGATCCTTTACTATTTCCAGGCCAGTTCACCCATCTCTAATTGGCACACACTGGGTTACAAAGCATCCACAGAAGTATTTCTATATTAATTACTATCCAAGTTTGATAGCTTGAATAGCTTACCATATGGTATTAATTTTCAGAGGGAAGCCCCCTGTTGCAAAGTATGGCTTGGAGTGGGGGGGAAAGTTAACCCATCTAAAAATTAAAATAGACATATGACCATAAGATAAAGAAGCACCCTGTCGCATTTAGAATTCACCAATGGCTGTCATCTTCTTCCAAATGCAGACTGACACCCAAACTTGAGTTAACAGTTGTGCATCATTGCTTTCAAGGACTAAACTCCTTCTGGTACTACAGCTATATAGGTGCCATCTTTAATTATTTTCAGTGGGAAAAATATCCTTCCTAATTATGGGAGACAAGAAGTTAAGGAGGTTTACTTGATTTCATCCCGTGCCTGCTTTCAACTTCATTGATAGTTTTCATAGAAAAGTTAAAATCTCTTCGCCTCAGCTGATCAATCTCTAAAATGGATATAACACAAGACTTACAACACCCCCCTCACAAACCATGTATGTCAGCCCACCAAAGGCTCAATAGATGTCCTGTTTCATTGCCTGCTTGGGACTGCAGAAATTACTGAGGGGTTCGAGCACATGTTAGGGCCCAATCCAAGGCGGAGAAGTTGCCACGTTCAGAGTTGGATTTAGGCATGGGTTCAAATTCCCATTCAACCATTAATCTTTCTGGCTGGTGCTCAGGCCAGCTGCTAAATCTCAGCCTAAGCAACCTCACATGGTTGTTGTGAGGGTAAAATGGGAGGGGCAGAGTAGCCAAATAAACATGTGAAATGAACAGCAGCTGTACAGGATTGTACCCAACTCAAGAAAGAATGAGCCCACAGGAAACTTTACAAGATCTGGAGGGTACAGACCCAGGCCATGGGTCATCCATCATCAAAAAACCAAGTAAGGAGAACAGGTTTCAAGTAGCCAAGGATGGCTTAGATTGTGTAGAGCCTTGGACAGCTCCCAAGAAAGACGAATATTGCTTTGACTTCATCAAAATAACATAAATGTAGACTACTGCAGACTGCTGAAAGCTAACAACATTTTCAAAAGCCAGAACCCTATAACACAATCTCACACTAACATCTGTGGGTAACCACCCTCCATGTTCATCCTATATTTGTTTACAGTGGAGAATGGAGCCTTAAATGGTTGTTGAGGTGAGGGAGAAGTCAAAACGATGCCAGAGTGGCAGAAGCAGACTTTAGCTACATTCACACAGCAGTTTATTCTGTTTCCCCAACATATCTATAACTGTTAATTTCTACATTAAATGTGAGCTTTCACACAACGTAAAAGCCACTTCCATAAATCTAGCAGAATAGAGTAGAGGTTTAGTGCTCATTTCCATGTTAATTCCTTCCAGGAAGAAAACCATTTGCAACCCCCATTAATGCAGAATATCATGGGTGTACAGAGATGGAATTTGAGGTGGTATACCTGCATACAGTTCATTCCTGCTGTTTTCATGGGTGACTCACAGGGGAACAGAAGCAGGTGTGTGCAGGAAGCATAGGGGAGTAGCAATATTGTCAATGTGGTGTAGTGGTTAAGAGCGGTAGACTCATAATCTGGTGAACCAGGTTCGCTTCCCTGCTCCTCCACATGCAGCTGCTGGGTGACCTTGAGCTAGTCACACTTCTTTGAAGTCTCTCAGCCCCACTCACCTCACAGAGTGTTTGTTGTGAGGGAGGAAGGGAAAGGAGAATGTTAGCCGCTTTGAGACTCCTTTGCGTAGTGATAAAGCGGGATATCAAATCCACTCTTCTTCTTCTTCTTCCAATAATATTCATTGTTGTGCCACACCACACCCACTGGTATGAATGGAACTTAGTATAGCATGCTCATATACCAGTCAAAAAGCCACAGTTCTATAACCCAGCAGGTACTGCAGTCTGAAAGAAACATGAGAAAGCAGGGCAGAAGCACTAATAATATAATCAGGAAAACTAGTGGACTGTTTTCCATATCCGAGGCTACATTCACATGGCAGTTTATTCTGTTTTCGCAATGTTTCTCTGACTGTTAAGTTCCACATTACGTTTGAGCTTTCACACAATGTAAAAGCCATTTCTAGAACAATAGTGCAAAATAGTGCAAGTTTGGTGCTAACTTCCATATTATTTGCTTTGGGGGGGGGGATCCATTTGCAAATAATATGGAATGGTGTGGTAAACTTGTCATATATTCCGCTATAATCCCAGAAGTGGCTTTTACTCTTATGTGGGGCTGTCCCTGAAGTTGACTCAGAAGCTGCAGCTAATGCAAAATGCAGCAGCTGAATTGCTCGCTGGAGTCACCATTATGTTATGCTGCTACTGAAAGAATTGCAGATAGCGACTGGGCTAAGTTCAAAGTGCTGGTACTGGCATGCTTGGGACGGCGCTGTGGTCTAAACCACTGAGCCTCTTGGGCTTGCCGATTGGAAGGTCAGCGGTTAAAATCCCTGCGACAGAGTGAGCTCCCGTTGCTCTGTCCCAGCTCCTGCCAACCTAGAAGTTTGAAAGCACACCAATGCAAATAGATAAATAGGTACCACTGCAGCGGGAAGGTAAACGGCATTTCCATGCACTCTGGTTTCCATCACGGTGTTCCATTGCACCAGAAGTGGTTTAGTCATACTGGCTGCATGAACCGGAAAGCTGTCTGTGGACAAACACCGGCTACCTCGGCCTGAAAGCAAGATGAGTGCCGCAACCCCATACTCGTCTTAGACTGGATTTAACTGTCCAGGGGTCCTTTACCTTTACCTGAAATTTCATTTTACCTCATTCATAGTCAACTGAATGAAGCATTCTGCAGGAGAGGGCCTCCTATAGACACCATTTCACCAGGTGGTTTGTTCCATACAATGTAGGAACTGGGCCTTTAATGTAACAGCACCTACCCTCCGGAACTTCCTCCCACTGCTTTTTTGATAGGGGCCATCTCAAAGCCTACCTGTTGAAGACCTGGCTTTCCCAACAAGTTTTTTAAAGTGGAGATTTTTATCCAAGTCTGCACCTGTATTGGATTTGAAAATGTTTCGATATATGTTTCCATTGTTAAACTGCGTTCAGAAATGAAACAAATAAATAATACACATCTGTAGCACTGTTAGTAGCGGCAGGGGGTCCTCATTCAAGGAATACAGTCATGAGAATATTTCGATGACACAGGCATCAGTGTGCTTTTTGATGGAGGATGCATAGGATGAAGTCACAAGACTCGCAGTATAGTAGCTGTACCCACAGTATGCTACTAAATAACTGGAATGTTCTCAGAAATTTATGTACCAGCCTACACCATCTGGGGAGCAAAGTTAATTCAGAAACCTCTCAAAACATGTCTTTTCTAAAGCTGTTGTTCTTAACTGGGCTTGTATCCATCTCATTTTACTTCTGTGCTTGAATCCATAAAATATCAAAATTTCACAATCTTCTATTTTTAAGGCATCATTTATTTAGAACCTTTTCGATTATGTGTTTTATGGTCTTGTTTTCTGTCACTTGCCTAAGCTTTCTTATTAGGACTGTATTTTAGGTGTTGTTATTTTTAAAGAGTATTTTGGTCATTATACACGCACATTCTGTACGCTGCCTTGAGTACACATCACCATAGAAAGGTGGTATATGAATATTGAAATAAACAAGCAAACACACACATAACAATTTAAATTACAGAATGAGACATTTCAGGGGGAGGAATTAAGAATCAAGGATTTGGGGGGAAACTGAAACATGTATTGAAAACAATAATAAAAATATGTAGGCATTTATTTTGGTTCCTTGTTCATACCATTTGAGATCAGCATGATTATTCGGGGATTCATCTGTTATTGCTTTTTTGTTATTTAACAGCTGCACATTAATAACAACTCCATTTATTGAAGGATTTGAGTTGGGATTGCTATAATAAAATATACAGATTTATACTGTTCGCTTAAGAGAACTCTTTGCAAAAGTAGAATTTCCCCTCAAGTGATTATGAGGTCCAGAACATATTGTTTTTGCTCCAAGCTGCAGCAAAGCCCCATCACTGCTGAGCATGGTGACAGATGTCTTGTGTTAATGTTGAATGATTAAATATCTCTGTAGCCACTCCCTATCTATGTAGCACCACAGCACATCATCCGTGCAATCTGTCTTCAATCTGTTCTTTTTGCTGAAAGCTTCGAGTGTCACCGATTGTCAAGGAACTGACACTGCGGCACAATCTGCATGCTGCTTCTTAGGGCCAAACCTCCGCTCACAAAATCCTTGCAAGGAGGGAAGGGCATCCCATTTACTTTTCAGGCAGCTGCCGAGACCTCTGGTCAGTGATGATCATTGCAGACTTTTTAAGAAGCTGGAAGAAGCACGAGGAAGTCTGTGCACCTTATAGTCTTGCTGCCTGCCATCCTTGTTCTAAAATTGGTACCAGCTTTACCGCTCCAGTACGCTAATGGTATCGCACACATCCTGCAGAATATGATCACAAAGGTCTCTGCTAACGTGTGTCATGACTCAGAAGTGATCCAAGCACAAATCAGTAGAACCAAAGTTCCCAAGGATTTAGTATCACCACTTTTTGTGCAAGTCAGACATTATCTGGAGCACTTTAAGGAGGATATTTTTTTTAAAAAGGTTAAAGGACCCCTGGATGGTTAAGTCCAGTCAGAGGTGACTATGGGGTGTGACGTTCATCTTGCTTCAGGTCGAGAGAGCCAGAATTTGTCCACAGACAGTTTTCCGGGTCGTGGCCAGCATGACCAAACCACTTCTGGCGCAACGGGACATTGTGATGGAAGCCGGGGCACACGGAAATGCCAATTACCTTCCTGCCACAGCGGTACCTAATTATCTACTTGCAGCAGTGTGCTTTCAAACTTCTAGGTTGGCAGGAGCTGGGACAGAGCAACAGGAGCTCACCCCATCATGTGGATTCGAACTGCTGACCTTCCGACAGGCAAGCCCAAGAGGCTCAATGGTTTGGACCACAGCGCCACCCGCCACCCTTCAAGGAGGATATAGACAAATTGCAATGGGCTCAGAAGAGCGTAATGGAGATGGCCAGCACTATGCAAACCAAGGCTGAAGATGCTGGGAATGTTTAGCTTGGAGGAGAAGAATGTAGAGGGACGCAATAGTACTTTTTAAATACACAAAGGACTATCATATAAAATAGGGCAAAGACATGTTCTCTGCTGCCCCAGGGGACGGGACTAGATCTAAAGGGCTTAAGTAACAGGATGGTAGATGTCAGTTGAATATTAGGAGAAACTCCTTGATGGTCAGTGGAATAATGGAAACAGTTACCTAGAAGGATGGTGGCTCTTCAAGCAAAAGCTGGCTAGCCATCTTTTGGGTATGCTCTGCATTACGCACGGGATTGACCTAGAGGTAACTCCAGGCTGTTAGTATGTTGCAGGAGGGATTCAAGCGCACACCAGAACTTTAGGTTTGTGCATTTACAGTGGATTAAACTGTTCTGTGGCCTTAAAGGAACAAACCTACTTTTTAAAAGACAGAATCCTTGCGTCTTGAAAAGTGACAGAGAAATGCACTGAAAAGCATAGGACGAATGGGTGATTAGTGGGAAGATGTGTAAACGCCCCATAAGCAAATCAAGATGAAAGCCTGCTGTCATATAACCACCCCACAAACAAATCAGAATGGCTGCTCAATAAAGATCAGACATAGTTTAACCACCACATAAAGAGATCAGGATAGCTACTGAATAAACCAGTCATCCTAAGTAGCCTGCAAGACCCCTTCCAACTATGTGATCGTGGGGCAGCTGCATCAGCTGGCAGTTTTTGAATGCCATTAAAGGTAGCAGAAAACGAGACTGAGAATGGTCCTGGGCAAGCCCAGTTGAAATGACCCAAATGTAGGCAAGAACGTTATTCTTTCTTGTGCAATCCCTTCCCATTCATTTCAGTGTGGCTTGATGGTATATATCACATGTAGATTGCAGGGGTGGGGGGAGTAGTACTATTTGCATGTTCCACAGGACTCTTCTTATGTTCTTAAGGCCAATGGCCCATCCAGTCCACCATTCTCTCCTCACGTTGGAAACCTGCAAGCAGGGTCCAAGCACAAGAGCACTCTCCCCTCCTGTGGTTTCTAGCAATTGGTATTTAGCTGCATTACTAACTTCAACTTTCTTGGGCTCCATGATGACTGCAGATGGTGACAGCAGTCGCGAAATTAAAAGACGCCTGATTCTTGGGAGAAAAGCAATGGCAAACCTAGACAGCATCTTAAAAAGCAGAGGCATCACCTTGCCAACAAAGGTCCATATAGTTAAAGCTATGGTTTTCCCAGTAGTGATGTATGGAAGTGAGAGCTGGACCATAAAGAAGGCTGATCACCGAAGAATTGATGCTTTTGAGAGTCCCATGGACTGCAAGAAGATCAAACCTCTCCATCCTAAAGGAAATCAGCCCTGAGTGCTCACTGGAAGGACAGATCCTGAAGCTGAGGCTCCAATACTTTGGCCACCTCATGAGAAGAGAAGACTCCCTGGAAAAGACCCTGATGTTGGGAAAGATGGAGGGCACAAGGAGAAGGGGACGACAGAGGACAAGATGGTTGGACAGTGTTCTCAAAGCTATGAACATGAGTTTGACCAAGCTGTGGGAGGCAGTAGAAGACAGGAGTGCCTGGCGTGCTCTGGTCCATGGGGTCATGAAGAGTCGGACATGACTAAACGACTAAACAGCTACAACAACTAACTTCAGCTATATACATTTTATGAAATAAAATATAAAATGCAGTGGCAGAACACTTCTCAGAACACTTGGTCCCTCCCCTGGATCCAGCTCCTTACTCTCTAGCTCACTACCTGCCTCCTCGGGTTCTGACATTTTGGGGGGATGAGGGCTGACTTTGCCTCCTGCAAGCCGCTGCCACCCTCCCTGGAGTCCTCAAGCCCCAGCTCTCTGAGATCCTTCCACCCTTTCCCCACGATCAGACCATTCCCTCTATGGCATCTCCACGGGACTTACGACATCGGAGGATTTCATCCCTTACATTGTGCTTCCCACTCTTTTGTCCCCATTTGACACAAACAGCTTGGTGTTTATGCATTCCAGAGGAAAGGCAGCTTCGAATAATCAGATTGATTCTATTTCCTAGCCCCAGATAATGGCTTCTTCGTCCAGCTTTCTAATCAAGTAAACCAATCAGTTAGCGAAGAGATTTGCAAAATGAATGGTGTCTCCTGGTCAACTGAAATGCCAGTTTTTCACCCCATGGGTGGCGCCGTGATTTTCACACACTGTGTGACAGCAGGAATGCCTACACTGAAAGAGCCAGTGATAATGGCTTCTAGTTTCAGAACATTGATACACAAAGGGTCTTCGGACCTCTAATGACTATTGATAATGAAATTTACAAAGGCTCGTGAGAATGTTTCAGTTTCCAACCCCTTAGGAGGAAGAGGAGCCAGTGTGGTGTAGTGGTTAAGAGCGGTAGACTCGTAATCTGGGGAACCAGGTTCGCGTCTCCTCTCCTCCACATGCAGCTGCTGGGTGACCTTGAGCTAGTCACACTTCTTTGAAGTCTCTCAGCCCCACTCACCTAACAGAGTGTTTATTGTGGGGGACGAAGGGAAAGGAGAATGTTAGCCGCTTCGAGACTCCTTCGGGTAGTGATAAAGCGGGATATCAAATCCAAACTCCTCCTCCTCCTCCTCCTCTTCTTCTTCTTCTTCTTCTTCTTATGCCAAAGTTCGAAAGCACGTCAAAATACAAGTAGATAAATAGGTACCACTCCAGCGGGAAGGTAAACGGCGTTTCCGTGCGCTGCTCTGGTTCGCCACATGACCCAGAAGCCAGCTCCCTCGGCCAATAAAGCAAGATGAATGCCGCAACCCCAGAGTTGATCACGACTGGACCTAAATGGTCAGGGGTCCCTTTACCTTTACCTTTACCTATGCCAAAGCTGATACTACAAGCCGCCATTGCTGGACACCTGACGAAGTCCATCCGCAGCAACCTCATGGCGCTGCTCTTCCTCTTCCTCGCTGGTACGGCCTGTTCACTTGCCCTCTCCAAGCAGGGAAAAGACCAACTTCCAGTGTCAGAGGCAGAATGCCTTGGAATAACAGTTACTGGAAATTGCAACTTCGGGAGAATGTTGCTGAGCTCAGGTTCTGTTTGGCATCTAGTTGGTCACTATGGAAACAGAGAGCTGGACCGGTTTGACTTTCAGCCTGATCCAGTAGGGCTCTTCTTATGTGCAACAGCTGCCCCTCACCTTGCACTCTCCCTCTGAGTAGTAGATTGTGTAGATTGCCGCCGGAGGAAAACAGCAAGGGAATGCTCAGTGGGGAGAGTGGTGTTGAGAGGCCAGCCCCCCACCCAAAAAAAGTCCGGCAGGAAATGCTGCTTTATGCTAAAGGGCAATCATGACATCACTAGCGGAGGTCTGTATAACCTTCAGTATCAAACTGTGTGCTATCAACAGAACACAGTGATTAATAATAATAATAATAATAATAATGTGCCTAAAAGTTCCTAAAAACAATACAAACTATGCATGTTTATCCAGATGTAAAGGGATCCCTGACCGTTAGGTCCAGTCGTGGATGACTCTGGGGTTGCGGTGCTCATCTCGCTTTATTGGCAGAGGGAGCCGGCATACAGTTTCCAGGTCATGTGGCCAGCATGACTAAGCCACTTCTGGCGAACCAGTGCAGTGCACAGAAACGCCATTTACCTTCCCGCCGGAGCGGTACCCATTTATCTACTTGCACTTTGTGTTTTCAAACTGCTAGGTTGGCAGGAGCAGGGACCAAGCAATGGGAGCTCACCCCATCGCGGGGATTCGAACCACCGACCTTCTGATCGGCAAGCCCTAGACTATGTGGTTTAACCCACAGCGCCACCCGCATCCCTTTTACCCAGATGTAAGTCCCACTATACATAGTAGGGCATTTTCCCTGGTAAGTGTGTTCAAGATACAAGCAAGTTAATTCCTGACCACAGGTTCACAACCTAAAAGACACAACATGAAAGGAAAAAGGAATGCGCAGGGAAGGAGAAGACAAGCAAATTCTGGCATCCGTTCATCAACTTTCCAAACTGTAACTCAGCAAAGAGGGGAAGGGTTTCTTGCTTTTTGGCCCTGAATGGAACTAACTGGTGCATACGTTTTCACTGATGATATGGTGGTTCTTGCTTGTCTTACAAATGATTGAGTGAGGTTCCACATGTATAAAAAGCCTTCGGAATCCTGAAACATATCAGCTCCATGAACCACTTCCAGGCACCTTGAGCTATCTGTTAGCCTCTTGCGGTACCTCAATTTTCTGGAGGTAAGAACAAGGAGGCTGCTCCCTGCTGTTTCCCAGCACTTGCTGTTTCTGATATAGCTTGTTGTTCCTGCTCAACATAAGCATGAATAGCTTAAAGAATCAAAGAAGAAAAGAGTCAGAAATTCCTTCCTTGCTCCTCTCTTCCAAAACAAAACAAAACAAAACAAAACAAAACAAAACGCTTCCAGAGTAGGCATGTAGCAGCATGTCTCTCCTTGCCTGATGTATGGGACAAGGAGAGGACTAGACAAGGCTCTTAAGTCACAGGTGCCTGTAGTTGTGGGTAAGGATCAAATATGGGAGATTTTGTATGTGAAGAATGCATTCCACCTTCCAGGACGGCAGCTCAGCTCTTGAAAGGTTCTCTTGGAGCAAGCTTCAGTGAAGCAAATAGGCGTGTGTAGCCAGAGAGCAGCAATTTTTTATTTATTTTTTTTGCAAATGCAAGCTCATCTCCCTTGTACAGAACATCTGTATAATCTGGAAGTATATTGTCTTCCCAAAACTATTATCTGTTTGGCATCTGGTTGCAATGACCTACTCCAATGACAAGTCACACGCGTTGTTCACACACACACACACACACACACACACACACACACACGAGCCATATGCAAAGGACAGATGAGGCTGTTTTTATCAAAAGGGGCCAACATGGGGAGGGGAAGCTGGGGAAGCTGGGATCAATTCACATGCTTTTACACATGCCACTTTAACTCCCACAACAACAAAAAAGAAAGAAACCTGTTATGAGGGCACTTAACCATGTCAGAAGACAGGACAGATTGTAATAAGGGCTCGTCTACCCCCCTCCTCCCCGAACATTAAGTCTTCCTTGCTTTACAGCATCGAGCATTACATGTGGTGTTTAGCATTACTAGGCTAGCCCAGAGCACAATCGCTTCTGTCATTCTCCAGCAGAATTTTTCATAGCTATTTATACAGAACAGTCTCAATACTCATGGGTCTTCTATTTCATTTTCATTTCACCTTTCCTTCAGGAAGCTCCTCTCGTTTTATTTTCTCAGTCGGCTGAGTGGCCATTTGAGCCTTGGGGTGGAATCCTACTTGGCACTCATTATTTCATCGAGCAAGAATTTCTGCTTGCCACTCTCTGTCCCCCTAAATCTGTAATAGGGGGTCCCCCATCCCTCTGAAGCAAAGACATCCCACCATCACACTTCCTGGACTTCTTAGAATAACACCACCCTAAATCTCTTCAGTTCTAGTCCAACTTTCCTTGGCACTACAGCAAAGTGAAATAATATTTATATATAGCACATGATGAGTGTTCAAAGTGACCTGTTTGCCTCTTAGTAATCTTTACAATAGGTAGGCCAATATTACTCCCCCTCTACAGTGGTACCTTGGGTTACATATGCCTCGGGTTACATACGCTTCAGGTTACAGACTCTGCTAACCCAGAAATAGTGCTTCGGGTTAAGAACTTTGCTTCAAGGTGAGAACAGAAATTGTGCTCTGACAGCGCGGCGGCAGCAGGAGGCCCCATTAGCTAAAGTGGTGCTTCAGGTTAAGAACAGTTTCAGGTTAAGAATGGACCTCCAGAACGAATTAAGTACTTAACCTGAGGTACCACTGTATTGCCATATTCATTCTAAGAGCGAAACAAGGCTGCTTATGGCTCAGGTTTTCTTCCCACGTTTCCCAGCAAAGTTTAGTGAAAGCAGGAGCACAATGTGACACCATCACACTCAGCATCGTTATTATTTATTAATGTATACACTGCAAAATATTTAAAAATATTTAAAAAGTCATACAAAGAGTAAAATGTAAATTTCTATAATTAAAATATGCAGTAATGCAATCCCATTAAAACAATGCAGCAATTTCAAAAAAGGAGAGATTGAGCAATCAAGGGATTGCCTGGGCAAAGAGGTGTGTCTTCAAAAGCTGGAAGAACGTCAACACAGATGTGATGTCTTGTATTTCAGCAGGGAGTGCATTCCATAACACCTGTGCTGCTGATGAAAAAGTCTGCCTCTTGTGTTACCGCAAGTCAATAATCACCGGGTCCTGGTCAGATTTATTTCCCTCCCTGCCTCAAGTGGCAGCCAGACTAGCAGAGCTGGGACAAGGAAACACTCAGCATGATGACATGATATTGTGATCCTCTTCCAATTTAAAACATTTCCAGGAGCCATGAGATGATGTAGGGTGGCAGCAGGTGATGCATTTATGGTAATATACAATCTGGCCTTCAGAGAATGTCTGAAATTAGCCAGTGGCCAAGATGAGAAGTGAGCCAGCGACCTTCCGGTTTGCAGCACTTTCCCCTGCATGTTTTCCAATAAGGCTCCCCTAATTGCGCACATTCATTCAGATACCAGCACCAAGCACCCTTAGGCAGCTGCCAGGTCCCCAGCATCCTGGTAGAGCCTTCTGGTGCTGATGCCTGCCCTAGGCCCTGACCGTTGGCTTTAGGTGTAAGGATTTCCCACAATACTCCCCAACATAGCATTGCTTTGGAGCAATCTTGGGTATTTAAACAGCTACCTGCCACTGCCAGGGGAGCCTGCGGATGAAGACCCACCAGTCTAAGAGGGGACCCACCAGAGGAAACTTAGCCAAAGGCCCATCAAATCTGGAGCTGAGCCTACATTCAGAAAAGCAAAAGCGTCTATTATTATTGGATGCTTGACCATTCTCTCATGATCAAGCATCCAATGAAAATGTGTTATATTAAAAGTACTGGGAATTGAGACACTCCAAAAATTGAACAAAGTTAAAATCAGGCGTTTAAAATATTCAAAAGTAAAACTTCGCAGCTAAGCTGAAAACAGATTAAAACATGCATCATCTTCTACCTGTCTGGATAGCCTTGTCTGGACAAAAATACGCCAATAAGTATGCAGAGGAGGTGCTTGTCTGATGTCAACAGCAGGGAGTTCCAAAGGGTGGATTAAAATATGGGTTTCTTAGAAGAGCAGAATGAATATTATGTGGCCCCTGTAAGCATGCCAGTTCCACATTTTTAACTGTGTACAGTGGTACCTCGGGTTACATACGCTTCAGGTTACAGACTCCGCTAACCCAGAAATAGTGCTTCAGGTTAAGAACTTTGCTTCAGGATGAGAACAGAAATTGTGCTCCGGTGGCACGGCGGCAGCAGGAGGCCCCATTAGCTAAAGTGGTGCTTCAGGTTAAGAACAGTTTCAGGTTAAGAACGGACCTCCGGAACGAATTAAGTACTTAACCCGAGGTACCACTGTATTTGCAAAAGAAGCCAGGCATAACTTGCATGTTCTTCCATCCCTCATTAGCAAATATGAAGAACTGAGAAGTTTCAAGAGCAGCTGTAAGAGGGTGGCCAGAAATAAATTTTGGCTTATTGACAGCAACCCCTGTCCCACCCCAAAAAGCCTACCTGAAGTTAAATCCATTTTCAGACAATTTGTGGGACTTTTTGTGGGACACATACACATTTTAAAATAGGTTGGGGTTTTTTTAGTGTTTGTCAGCCAACCTAGTACAGTGGCTTTTTCACTTAGTCAATTGGCTTGAATACAGAGCCTATATATCTTTCCATACATCCCCATGAGTAAAAGGCCTAGAGACTTATCTTTCTCTTAAAAAATGAAAGCTGAATATTCAGGGAAAGGGTCTACAACAGCCTGAAGGGGTTCAGCATCTCGCTGCCCCTCCTCCTCGCCTACAATGCTGTTTGGAGTTTATCCATCTAATAGGTCACGCTAAAACAGGGCAGTCCATTTTTTTCCTTCACTTTCCCTACACCTAAATTTACAAGTTAATAAC